GTATTTTTATCCAAGTCTGCCAATTTTGATTCCTCTAAATGTTTCATCAAAACGGCGACGACAATATTGAGGAGGACAAATTGTGTTATAAGAACAAACGAAGAGAAAAAGATAGGAGCAATATTATTGATAATAACACATCCCTCTGTTTCACCAGAATTGCATATTTTTGAGCTCATTGTGTCCTATGGAAAATGAATTTAAAGTGTTCAATAGAATATCATCTTTCACGTGTCTTAAAGATCAAACAAGATGCCTTATCGTCAATCTTTCTAAAGGTCGTAAAGAATTACACTTAACAAACACTCTTTATGAAGATCATATAACAGAATGCCTTATTATGAATATTTTTTAAGATACAAGAAAATATTGACTTATAGTATTTGCTCACTGTCTATAAGCTCTACACTATTTCTTTAGTTTTTAATAGCAACAAATTTCATCAATTGTACATTATCTCACCTGTAATATTCCAATCCAGTTATCTCCTGTAGCTACACGAAACAAAGTTAGAACAGAGTAGCCAAAATTTCGAAAGTGTGCATGTCTTTCATCTAAACCTATACATTCATTTTTTTGACAGGCTAAAAATAAACAAAAATATGAAATTAATTATTTTGTACTTTTCCAATCATGAGGAGAATCAAAATATTTCTTCTTGCTTACATATACGACCGAACAACTCCATTCCCAAAGCTCCAAAAATGAAAAAAAGAAGGAGAAAAAGAATTCCTAAGTTGGTGACCTAAAAAACCATAGATGTTAAATACACAATTTTGAACAAACTTTATGAAAATAGTCTGTAAAGTTTCTTCAGAAATTTGTAGACATATATTTTAACTTGCCTGTGGTAATGCTTTACCGATGGTATCCAACAAAGAACGGATTCCTTCTGCTGTTTTCAAAAGCTTCAACACTGATAAAAAAACAAATATTTATAGTAATCCTAACTAAAGAAGCTAATAAATGACAGTGTCACTCACTATATGTGTAAATTTTATCAAAAAAATCTTGATAACATGCGCTCAATCGTAAATAAAATATTTCAGTTACCTCTAGTTATCCTCAGAACTCTTATAACACGTATGATAGTTGGATTGATCGGTAGATCAGATGTTGCTAACTCATCTAATATAATCCCACCAATTGACAAGATTACAATGAACATATCCAAACAATTCCATCTAATAAAGAGAAGAAAAAATATTTTCTTTTTCTCAAAAGCCATTATTTTTGACTAAGGACTTTCAATTTTCATTCTATAGTACAAATTCAAGTGTATTTACCTGTCTTTAAAATATTTTCTTATTCCAAAAGCGATTAATTTAAGAACTGCTTCCAACACGAACAGGAAAGTGAATATATAGTTTGCGTATTGTAAACACAAGGTCAACATCTGAAAGGAGAGAGAGTATTGTTCAAGAAATATACAACAACAGCCAGTGAACAACCTTGTTCAATGACTTGACCAATCCACCCTTCCGATGTGTAAAACGTGTCAAAAATAAGAGATGAGAATACAAAATTCGGACAATCAAATGGCCGGACATAGTATTGTATATAAACACAACGTCAACATCTGAAAAGAGAGAGAGTATAGTTCAAGAAATATACAGCAACAGCCAGCAAAAAAACTCAGTCAACCAGCGGCTGCGTAGCCCGCTCACAATTTGTTCCTTCATGCTATATAAATTTCAGATCATTATCATTATTCATTTCTTTAGAAATTTATTGTTTTTGCAGTAAGTTAGCTTCAAAATAATCTACACAACAGCACTAACAAGTCGACACACATGATGAAATTTAAATGTATTTTCCTTTTCAAAAAATAATGATAAGAAATCAATTTTGACAGCATGGAGTTTTTACAGGAATGCAAAATATTGCCGAGCACAATTGCATTGCAAAACTAGTCCCAGTCTATCAGAGAGTTGAAACAAGAGCACAATTGCATGGTAAAACTAGTCCCAGTCTATCAGAGAGTTGAAACAAGAGCACAATTTCATGGTAAAACTAGTCCCAGTCTATCAGAGAGTTGAAACAAGAGCACAATTGCATGGTAAAACTAGTCCCAGTCTATCAGAGAGTTGAAACACAAATTGCATGGTAAAACTAGTCTCAGTCTATCAGAGAGTTGAAACAAGAGCACAATTGCATGGTAAATCTAGTCCCAGTCTATCAGAGAGTTGAAGCAAGAGCACAATTGCATGGTAAATCTAGTCCCAGTCTATCAGAGAGTTGAGACAAGAGCACAATTGCATGGTAAAACTAGTCCTAGTCTATCAGAGAGTTGAAACAAGAGCACAATTGCATGGTAAAACTAGTCCCAGTCTATCAGAGAGTTGAAACACAATTGCATGGTAAAACTAGTCTCAGTCTATCAGAGAGTTGAAACAAGAGCACAATTGCATGGTAAATCTAGTCCCAGTCTATCAGAGAGTTGAAGCAAGAGCACAATTGCATGGTAAATCTAGTCCCAGTCTATCAGAGAGTTGAGACAAGAGCACAATTGCATGGTAAAACTAGTCCTAGTCTATCAGAGAGTTGAAACAAGAGCACAATTGCATGGTAAAACTGGTCCCAGTCTATCAGAGAGTTGAAATATTTATTAGGAGATAAGATAATTCTTACTTTGGGTTGGTTATAATGCTCCATGGCCATACAAACAACATTGAAACCAATAACAATTGCTATCGCTAGATCAAAATACGCATGAGTAACAAATAGAAACAATTTCTGACGCCATTCAGGAATGCTATGATCAGGGATTTCTGCAACTGAAAAATATTTCAAAGTTCTTTTAGTAATGATTTCATGTTAGATGGATGTGAAATTTATCTTTCCTTAATGATATAAACACAAACGTTGTAACTGATAAAACATACTTGAATTTCTTGGTGAATTTGATCTTGTATTCACTGTCTCAACAGCAGAGATATTTTGTTCTTTTAGCAGCTCATCGCGACATTTTTTAAAGTTTTCAACGACAATACCAACCAACATGTTCATTACAATGAAACCAGCAATCAGAAGAAATGCAATAAAATACAAAACATTCCACTTGGCGTAATCACGTTTTGGTTGTTTGTCAACATCAACTGCATCAATGCCTGAGTACAATATGGTCGTCCATCCATCACATGTTGAAAACACAAAAAGTGTTAATAAAGCCTGTAAGGAATAGGAAAAAATGTTTGAAAAATTGGATTACTAAAAAGAGAAACGATAAAGCCATCCTTAAGAATAAATTTTAGTTAAGTCAAAGTTTCCAAAAAAAAGTTTGAGTCAAATTGAGTCATCCTGTTGCAACACTAATTACAATTTCCAAAACCATTAAATAACGCGATAACTCAATTTCTTTATTTTTAAGGCAGTTTTAAAACTTTAAGGGTCAGAGAATACCTTGGTGTGTTTTATGAGTAAATGCAGCAGTTATATCGAGACAACATTAAATTATGAAAAACTTGGCAATTTCGATGATATTTATTGTACTTACGCGAGCCAAGTTGTCAAAATTGTACACGTTGTTTATCCAGTTTCCATCGTTTGAAATACATTGATCTTTGTTGTTTATATTTACTGATGATTTAGCATCGTGACAGGAATAGAATTTACCTTTAAACAACTAGAAAAAGAAAATTTATCATTTTAGGAACAGGGAAGATTTTATGCTGTACAACTAAATTATTCAAACATTCCTACCTGCACACCCAAAATACCAAATATAATGTAAAACGTAGAAGCAATAAGAGCTAAATTTCCAATTGGCTTTAGTGAACTGATCAATGTCTCAACAACAACTTTCAACTCAGGAGCGCGGTTTATAACTCTGATGAAAAAGAACAACTTTTACATTGTATATAGTTTACAATGCAAAGATAAACTATACCAGAAATCATTTCGTTTAACTAGAAAACAGAGGTAAATAGTCAAGAAACATTTTTCATTGACACTGACAGTCTCGTGGCCAGCTTCAATCATTGATTGTGCTGTGCAAATTTTAGATTATTTGCAATATTGATCAATATAGCTTCAGAAATTGTTGTTTTTAAAGTGAGGAAACATCAAAGTATTTATATAGGAAACTGGCATGCTGGCTACGTTACTGGTCTGGTACTAAGTTATGTCGGCTTTACAAAATGTACTTCTTGTTAATGGTTGTTAAGTGGAAATTTCTCTCCCTCTATAGCGGTTTTACCGTAGAGGCCTTAAAGTACGAAACGCTCGAAATACTCTAAGAATTCCCAGGATTCCGCCGCTGCTGTCAGTTGTCAAGGAAACGATAAGATCAACCAATGAAATAAGTACAAGGATTCCATCGACGATGTTCCAACCAGATTTTAGATATGTATCAGGACCAATAATAAGACCCATAGATATCACCTGACGTTATAAAAACATACATATTGACAACAATAAAGCAGGTTTCACCTTGCTAACAGAGCTGTTATTATAATAACTTTTGGTTCCAATGAAATGAAAAATTATTTCCAATTTAGAAAATGGTTCAAAGTCAAAAAAATATTTTGAAAAATTTGTTTTACCTTGATTGACATCTCAATCGTAAATACTGCTGTGAAAATATACTGCATTATTTGAATAAACTGACCAATCTGAAACAAAATATAAATAGTTTAACGTCAAACCAACAACTCCACACAGATTACAAAACTGGCTTTTTACAACCTCACTGTTCTTGTCCAATCCAGGTTCTTCCATTGCCATAACAATACAATTTATCAAGATAAACAACAATACCACGCGATCAAACCATGGATGCTGATGAATTTTGACGACAAGTCGACGAAATTTATTTTCTGGTGAAAAGACAAAAAGTGACCATTCTTGACGACGCTTTAAACATGACGTGGCATAATTGTCAACTGTTTCGTTTCCATTTTCAACTTGCTCAACACTTTTAAGAACCAAAGACGTACTCTGCATTGGAAAATATTTGTTTTAACATTGCCAAGTTTAAATGTGTTGATCTGTTACCTCACCTCATCTTGAGGAAATTGAAATCGTACTTTGTAATCTTTCTTCGCATCTTTTTCTGTTTCTACTCCATTCAAAGGTAAAATCTGGAAATGTGAAGATGTTTTGCCACGTTTGTACTCGTTCCAAGGCTGGGAGGGTACGGACGAACATCTGATGAGCTGCTGGGAGTGTTTGAGATATTTGGGGTACATTTTGTGGAGGTCTGGGCAAGATAAATATTGTTCTTTTTCTGATATGCACAGATTCAGACCTAATTTTGACGACGCTGGAGACGTTTCCGTTTGCAATTGCTCTTTTTTTAGCAAAAGCTCGTCGTTTTCCTGAAATGAATATAATAATGCTTGATTAATTATAATAATTGAGTGTACGATGAATAGTTCACAACTGTATTCTAAAATCTTAATCATACTTCTGACGATTGTATGTGCACATGTCAAAATCATCCATATTTTCACAATATTTATTGTTTGAAGTATTATAGATTAAATCTTGCCATTGATGGAAAAATGCGTTTGTCATAGATTAGTGGAAGCAAGATTTCTATGTTGCACTCAGTAGCTAAATGGGAATATAAGTGAGTTTTTTGAATACAGGCACAAGTGTATTTTGACACTTACAAAATTAAGGTTTATTGAAACATTTAAAATTTTTTGTTGAGTTAATAACTAACTTACAGCAACGGCGTGATCAATAAAACCTTCGACAATGATAGCAACGAGGAGATTAAATAAAATAAAGTTTCCAATGACCATAATAAATATAAAATAAAGAGAAGACCACGATGAGAGAGAACGGACGCCGTCATACAGAACCACATTCCAGTCTGCTTGAGTCAGAATCTACGAAATTTAATTTATTCTGTTGATAATTCTGAAATGTTGACCAGCGAGAACTATCTCACACATTTTGTTCATTTGAGAAGAATTTTTACTTAACTTAATCAATCAATCGTATAAATACTATCAATAATAATAATCTTAAATAGAAGTCTTTGTGTTACTTTTCTTTACAGAGGTCGAAAATGTTCATGATTTATTCATGCATTTTGCTACATGATCTTCAACAAAAACTGACGTCAGTATGACGTTTTACCTGAAACACTGTAACAAGCGCCCAAAATAAAGTGTCAAAATTATCCCGCGATGTGACCAGCTGACCATCTTCGCTTGCAAACTGGAATTTCCTCCAAAAGATGCATCCCCAAAATACTTGATGTAAATACGAACAAAACAAGTAACGCCAGAAAAGACATGACGTTATCTAAAGTTCGTACCATAACCGCCAACTGACGTTGCAACTCTGGCATGAAACGAACAAGTTTGATTATTCTCAATAGTCGAAATGATCTCATAACAGACAAACCACCCGTACCGCTTTCAGCTAAAATATCTATAAAACTAAATAAAAATAGAAAGATTTTTTGGGAGACCATCGATTGTGTTTATCGTCCATGAACACACGTTGTAAAAGATATTAAATCATCGTTGAGAATTTCTTGAAAATGTATTTAAGTTGAATTAGAAATTTTTTATTTTTAGTGTTTCAAATGAAACAAAACAAAGTTTAAATGATCGCAATTGTAAAAATTTCATACCTTACAATGACAATCGCACCATCAAACAGATTATACGCATCTTTGATATAACCGTAAGGTCCAAGTGCAGCAATTTTTATCAACATTTCTAACGCGAAAATTGACGTAAATATGACGTTGAATATTTCCAAAATATCGGTCATTTTTTTGTGCTGAAAGAGACAAAGCATCAAAGACTTGTGGTAATCAAATATTGCAGACAAACTGACATCTATAATTTGTCAACAGTAACATAACCAGCCTGGAGATTTAGTCTCGCTAAAGAATGGTTTAGCTATTGCTGTTCCAGCAAAAGTAGTTTATTCTTGTGAAAATTGGATGCTTTTTGTGGTCAGTTAACTCATTAGCAGGAGTAAAATGTCAAACTATTTGAAGATTTTATACCTGCCCATGATGCTCTATGGCCATACTTATCGTGTTCAGAAATATAGACACCATGATGAACGTCATAAAATGTCTACTTTCAACAAATGCTTTGAGATTGTTACGTATTCTGACCCAACATTTTTTCTTCGTATTTTGGCTATCCACATCGTCGTCGTCAAAAGAATATATAAAATCATTACAAGCATTCTTAATCACGTTAACATTTTCGTCCTCGGAATGTCTTGCTGCACAAGAGCACGCCACCTCCAAGGTCTTTTCAGTTGCCTTTGTTGCAATTGCATTAACTGGGGCAGCGGTTTTACTATGAATAAAACAGAAAAGAAAAGCGATGAAACAGTTTAACACGGAATATCATAACAAGATAATATAGCTTGCAGTTGTTTACAGAATACAAAGTTTCTTTTTTAAGCATCAAAATATCACAATTACATGATAAAAACGTCATCATCACCTGTACGTAATGACGTTTTTTGAACATTCATCACCATCAATATTTATATTTGTTGTTGCTGTGGAAACCATTTTTCCTGATGAGTTGTCTCCAGTATCCTGGTAGAGCGCCGTTGTCGCTTGAGCATTAACATGAATATGCGGATCAATTTTTAAATCGGATGTATCGCATGACATTTGTAATGTATGGTCAATCGACTGGAGGTAAGGATGTCTGGATTGTTCTGTTGATATGTCAGGTGAGTTTGAAGTCTGAGGGGAATATGTGATCTCATTTTCACATTGACATGGATGATGATGTACATAATGGTGACAATAGTGGTAATGGTGGTGATGATGATGGATAGATTCTACATTATCCATACGGTTCTTTAGTTGCATAGAAGATGGAACACGTCGACGTTTAGACTCCTTGTCCATTTTGATCTTGGAACAAATGTACTTTTTAAAACGACGGCAAATATGCTCAAGATATTGCAACAACTGTGTATAACATCCTTGCTGCGTCAAACTTGAGGATACCGTGCTGACGCTGGTCCGAGATCGCCGGCGCGATTTTTTCATTAGCTCCTTCTCGCGTTGTTTGGTTTCTTGGAATTGTGACGTTATCACAACAAAAAAGAGATTTGTCATGAAGTAAGAACCAAGCTAAAGGCAAATTGATATAACATTAAACTTAAAATGGTTTTGTACTGTTATATATTATCATTCCTGTTTACAATTACATTTGCTTTACAAAACATTTCACTTAAATGAAGTTAAATGAAGATATGATCTTCGCACTTTTGCTTAAGCAATTGTCTCATGAACCTGAATTGTTCATGAGACAATTGCTAAATTGTCCAGCAAAAGTGCGAAGATCATATCTTCATTAATTCAAACACCGCACTGCATATAACAATCTTTCATAAAACATTTCACTTTTAAATAAACATACTATGCAAGCGGTTTCATTTTAATATTCAAACCTTACAAGAACAAGAAACACGAAATAAATCCAATTCCAAAAGGAATGTACATCTTGTATTTTATACATAATGTCTGACCATCCAACGAGAGTGATGATCTAGGAGTAACAATCATAAGAATATTATTCATACGTTCGTCATATTATTTAGCACCCATATTAATTGACTGCGATTCAGCAAAGTTTGTATAAAGAGATAGAGATCTGCCATTTCTCGGTAAAGACCGACCAAATGAAGTTAACAAAAAAATATTAATTATGTGGTTTGAGCATTTGCACATGAAAAAACGTAGGGCAAAGATTTTAATATTTTTAGAAATGCTTACATATCAAAAGCGTGATATACAAAATTTGACTCTTGCTCCAAGTGCTTTCCTTCATCTGTCTCGCATTTATACATGTTACAAAACTTTTTACTTTAGTTTTAATGAATTTTTCACTTTTTCGCAGTCCAAAATGCGAAAGAAAGAAAACGTCAAAAATGTTTTTAGGCCAAGCAAAGAATTTTAATTCAACATTGATTATCTTTGTAAACTTAAATAAATTAATAAGACATTTATTTCAACTCAACTTACTTGAAATATTACAACTGTTGCCATACCAATGTTATCAAAAGATACTGAACCCCAGTAGAGATTTTCTCCACTTTGCCGACACAACGTATAATATTGGTACCAGTCCACGCAATGTGATGATGACGTGTTCTCGGTCGTAAGGAAACTTTGGTTACACACTTTATTGTTGACCTTGTACGGATTAAAGTTATGAGGATTGCATTTAGATAAGCCGTTATTTTCTGGCAATGAACACACAAAGTATCCATTGAATGATGGACGGTAAAACTCTGCCAAATTATACCTGAACAAATGAAATAGTTTATGAAGTCAGAACGAGAATTCTAGAGTACACTGAGTAATGTGATGAGTATTTGAACAGATGACATAAAAATTTCATAACATTTTATGAGAATTACTTACTGTTTAATGATGCTATTGTTAAGGTCTTGTGGAAAACAGCGAGCACGTAAAAGACCTTGCCAAAGTTGAACAGCAATGATCCCAAATATTGCAAAAATCAAAAAACAAATTGCCAGAACATTGCCTAACATTGGCAACGTGTCCAGCAAAAGCATAACTAAAATACGGATGCCTAGGCAAATATGAAAAAAAGATTAATTATTTATTTATTTACAATACAATAAATTACTCAAATTATGGTTGAAATGGAAAAATAATTCGAGATTTGTCTTTGATCTATGTCTTTCATTCTGCAATCGTAAAAAGTTTCTGAAGCAATTCAAATGTTTTTATTTTACGTGGTATGTTTTTGTGTTAATTGTAAGGAATGTGAATATTCATTCCATTAAGCTTTGCTTGACTGATTTCTTTTGAAATAATGATTACCCTACAATCAAAAAAACGACAACGCTCTACGAGGTGTCTCGAAAACTGCACATCTTTAAAATCAAACTACGTATAGAATTTGCATCATTCGGCCGTCAATGGTTGCCAAGACCTGTAAACGCAATTGTAATGAATTTTATACCTGGAATTTGCAATGTAAAATAGCCATAATTCGTGCGTATTTTCAACTGCGTTTACAGGTTGATGTAAATTGCAAACATCCGTGAATTTCTAAGATGCGCAGTTTTTTTTAAATACACACCTCGTTGTTCTTTCCCCTGTAACATTTCGTGCATTTAGTTAAAGTTTGATGATGAACTAATCATTTCAAGACTGTTTTAACTTCCAAAACTCGTTTTGTAATTCTTCATAGCTTACTTGGAACTCGATTTATTGCTCTTAATGGTCTCAAGACACGAACTGATCTGACAGCACTCAAATATTTTCCTTCACCGTAGGCAAGTTCAAATGTTCTACAAAAATATACAGAAAAACAGAAATTTACTAAAATTTTGATTGTTGTCTGCGTCGAAAGAAGTTAATACATCACTCATAATACCCTGCAAGAACAATGAAACAATCCAGTTTATTCCAAGAGTCTTTGAAGTATCCTAAATCACCAAGAACTCCCATAGCCATCCATTTTATCAGCATCTCCACCACAAAAAAGGCGTAGATAGCAGTCTCTAGAATCTCAAGAATTTGACATTTCTTTGTAGCGCAGGTCTTGTCAAATGGATTGTACATGGCTAACGTTACACAGTTTAATAAAATCACTAAAGTGCTGGTACGCTCAAACCATCTTAGAATGAATTAAGGGAGAATAATTACTTTTGTGCAGAAAAATCAAACAGATAATTTATTCGATATAATTTGCTCAAAATAATTAATTTCACAACATAAGAATTTTTACGATGATTAAGCTATAATTAAAACTTGTACATTGATAATAAAGACAAGACAGGACAAGAAATACACCACACAAGTCAAAAAGATACGGAGAACTGACAAGTTTAATGAACCATCTTCTTGGTCGACTGTCTTGCTTTAGATAACAGAAGGCTACTTTTTCAAACTGATCTAAGTTGACATTTGATTGACGAACTGAGGGTCTTGGTGATGTTGAACCACATGGTCGATTGCGAGGAGATGGCGAAAGAGAAAACGATGTCATCTCTACGGAAGGCTTATGTCTTAAAAGTTTTGGGCATTCGGCATTCCTAAATGAAAGCATTAATTATGGACGTCATCGGCTGATATAACGGCGTTTTATGAAGTTTTAATGGTTTTGAACAGGGACGCCGGAAGATTGATAATCGAGGTTCATATTCATATATTCTTACGCTATAATCCCTAATCACTCTTGATTTCAATAGAAACTAATGAAGTAGAACTTACATTGAAGATTACATTACAAATATGCACAACTAAAACTTGTTATTGTTCAATAGTCTGCAGATGTTTAATCAAACTGGCGAAAATTCAAACTCCAACAAAAGGGGGCAAAGCTTTTGCAAATTCATGTTGCAAAAAAAATGCGTTATAGTTTATACATAAATAATGTAGGTTACAGGTAGAATTCAGAAATACATTTTTAATAATATTATTCTACAAGAATTCCAAAGTTTCCAGATCATTATTTCAAAACAAGCACAGGCTCTTCATGATTCTTTGACTTTGTCCGAATTGCTATTAAAATATTCTAAAGCCATAAACTTGTAAGAAATAGTTTTTTTCTTTAATCGTTTTTTGCCACTGACAACGAAGGAATTTTAAGTACCACTACCAGCAAATCTTTAATATCGTTGATAAAAATATTTTCTAATGCTTCAGTGATAAAATTTTTAATGTAGTGAAATTGTCCTTTTATAACTGCGATTTAAAGTTGGCTTTCAATAGATCTTGTCCTTCGTGACATTAAGTCTGCGTCGAGCCTCATTCTGACGTCATTCAAAGTAGGTGGCATAAATGGTTTCTTGAATGACGTCACAAAAATAACTCGTTCCACTCTTTCCTGAGACTGACAAGGTCCATGAAAAAAGGCATTTTCAGTCACTTTTAAACCACAATAAACATGAACAAATTTGACCATGCTGGAAAATTTTTTCCTTGGATATGCTAGAAATTTTGCACCTAGTTTTATGAACTCCTCAAATTCATTCCCAACTTTTGAATTTCTCGCAGCACAACCGAAAGGAATAGGCATCAAATAAGGATACTCATAACAGCTATTTTGAGTACACTTTGAATCTTCTTGCAAATCTCGTGTGATTGCTTCCTCTTCACTTTCGAAATCAGATTTCTTGTCCTAAAGGAAAAACGTTTCTAGTTATTTTTACACATTTTCAACAACATCATGAACAATTCTCACTAATATATACCACGTGAGACAACAAGCTTACAAACTGTATATGTGATACAGCGATATTTCTTTTCAAAATGTCTTCAGTAGACTCGGTGTGATTATTGAATTGCTTCTGTGTTGGAACCTCGTCCTCGCTAGAGCTTTTATTGTCGTCAACATGCTTGGAATCATTCGTGTTTCCATTGGTCCATGAGCCCTCGTCCAACTTCTTTCAACTACGTTCAATTTAATCACGTCATCTTCAATCTGGCGTGGTTTTTTCTCCTCTGTCATGCTTGATTTTGTTTCACTGTTGGAAGTTTCCTTTTCAATTATTTCTTCTTGCTTAATCCAAGAATTATAATATCTCTCATAAATATTAGAGCATCGTTTAAGAACAAAATATGCAGATACAAAGTTACGGAGAAAAATTAAAACATCTCTAACATTGTCACGGATACTACGAGTGGCGTAACAAAATGTTGATGAGTTGATGACAAACAGCATGCTAAAAACATATACCGATTATATAGAGTACTTAGCTCGCTCAGTCACAAATTTTCAGATGAATCATCTGCGCATGCACAGTCTGCTTCCGCATGCGCATTCGACTCGACCACTGATTTGTATATTAGACTGGATAGCGCATCTATTGCGAAAATTGAAGCCGGAAGATCGATCATTTGCTACTGGCTTCATGGGGGTATCGGTCCCACTTTACTATACTTTTGTACTTCAAAATCACAGTTTTTGCGTTTTTATTCCTTTAACAAACTTCTGATTAAGACAAATTTTTATGACATGTAGAAAAAAACCGATAGATAGTTGACATCAAACTTGGCTTTGGTAAAATTGAGTAATTACGATCGACTTCATTTGAATCCGTATCTGTTGACAATCCTCTTTTTAAATTAGTGTATTGTATAGCGCCATCTTTGATTTTATTGTCGTTCAATGCATTATTATCTAGCGTGATGAGGAACAGTTCATTTTGACGGTAACGATGAAGATTTAGTAACAAGCTGAATAAATAATTACACTCTTATTTATTTAGGTTATTTACTTTCGAAAAAGAGCATCAACTAAACAACTTACCATCCCATTCAACGCATTATTTACAGTTGTTTCGAGATCCATCGTAGAATTTAAATCATTTTCAACCTCTCTTGGGTTAGTGTCAGCTTCGGGACATAGCAAAAGGACCATCTCCAATTGAGATTTCATTATGAGAGATTGTTATATGCAGTGCGGTGTTTGAAATTAAATGAAGATATGATCTTCGCACTTTAATGGACAATTTAAGCAATTGTCTCATGAACCTGAAAAATTCAGGTGACTCAACGGGATCACGGACATCCCTTTGAGTCACCTGAATTCTTCAGGTTCATGAGACAATTGCTTAAATTGTCCATTAAAGTGTGAGATTTCATTACAGTAGATAAAATACTGAGATTTTAAGTACAAAAAGATAAAACAAAAATACCTACACAACAAACTAAAATTTTGCCAAAAGTTTAATTGTAAATATGCTATTTTCAAACCCGCCCGCGCAAATTTCAATTATCGTGTAAAAACACACGCGTGTCACTCGACACGCGTGTTGAAACTGAGCTGACAAGCCTGACAGTAAGCCAAGTAAGCCTAACACATACATAACTAATATTAAACCTAAGATCAATGTTTTTCAAACATTGATCTTGAGTATTTTTTGACAAAGATTAGAGCTTTGTTAAGTTCTTTCAAACATTGACCTTGTTTTCTGTAATCAGTCATGGTGAGCCTCTGTCTTTTCAGACTCTATTACAGGAGATAAACTACTGAGATTTTAATTACAAAAAGATGAACAGAGAAAATTCACCATAGCAAATTAAATCTTCCCCATTTTCAAAACTCGCACAAATTCATTGTTGGTTGCGGGGGAGTGTGTGTTATGTATCAAACGACAGAAATGTAAAACTAACGAATTACATATATCTTATTATCAACGTCTTAGTAAAAACTTTAATATTATAATTCATTCGGTGTTTTCAAATTAAGTATTTTATCACGTGCAAACCAAGTGTTTCCCATCGTGCATTGCTGGTGTGTAAGTAAATTTCTCATTTTCTTGAAGGTAAAGGATCCAATCTTACTGCACGTTTTCCAGTTTCAGTTAAAGGTAGCGTGTTTGAAATATTCCCACAGCTACCTCCTAATGAACTTCGTTTATCCTTATTACCCCGCAAGATCCCTAATGATCTCTTAACGTTCAAAAATTCTTCGGATTCAGCACCCCTTATATTCCCTAGAGATGCCCGAACGTTATAAAAATCCTTTGCTGAAAGGTCTGAATACTCGTTTGATAAGTCTGATATTTGTGCTTTGTTTGCTTTATCAGTTATTTCGTTCTTTTTACAAACATTCGTCGTTTCATCACCTTCCAAATTGTTCAACTCGGTAACTTTGTTTGATTTTCTGACATTTTCATCCCTCAAGGTACTTGCACAATCCTCTAATGTACCGCAAAGTTCATATGAGACGTCATCCATTGTTGGTTTAGTTTCCCCATCACTTTTTGCTGCATTATAATTTGTCTCGACGTTCTGATTATTTACGTTTTCATCGTTATGTTTGTGGAGATTTTTTGTTCGACGTGTCTCCTGTGTTTGGTGAGTCCCAGTCTTTTCAGCTTGACGTGTCTCCTGTGTCTGGTGAGTCCCAGTCTTCTCAGCTTGACGTGTCTCCTGTGTCTGGTGAGTCCCAGTTTTTTCAGCTTGACATGTCTCCTGTGTTAGGTGAGTCCCAGTCTTTTCAGCTTGACGTGTCTCCTGTGTCTGGTGAGTCCAGTTTTCTCAGCATGACATGTCTCCTGTGTCTGGTGAGTCCCAGTCTTCTCATTTTTGCAATTTCTCACATCCTTCTTAAGCGATTTATTATAAATACTTAATGCATCAACTACGTTGTCATTTTCACTCCTAACCTCTTCTGTTAGAAAATCGTTCATTTTGTGAGTATCAGTCAGCTCTTCGTTTTCTGGATTTCGTAGAATTTATTTTATTTCACAGTTCTGTAGAACATTGAGTTGTTCTTCGGTAAAAAATATTTGTTTTTTGCTCGCTTCACTAGAACGATTTTCATTGTCAGTTATTTGTTCCTCTTTTGACACATCATAACTATCTTCATTTTCTTTATTTGAACACTTTAAAAACAATTCAGAGTGATCTGCATTCGATCTTTAGTTGGCAATAGATGTTTGCGAAGGGCTCACAAGAGTGCTAGAAATTTCCTGAACAGGAGTTAAATCTTCACAATGTAAAGAAGGATATTTCAAAACCTGATTGTGTGGATTGTTGAATTCGAGATGTGGTCGGGAATATATCCCTTTATTAGTATAATTCTTGTCAGATAGGGAATTTTTATCTAAGTCTCTAGTGTCTTTTTTATGAACTACAAAGGCATTCACAGTTGATTGGCAAGAGTCGTTATCGTGAATTGCTTTGATTTTAATAGTGGTGCCTTTCTTGTCGTTTGATGTTGCGAAATCATGTATTTCTTCATCAGAAAATTCGTTCTCCGAAGATACTTTTCTCTGTCCCAAATTTCTTGTGCTCAAGAGATCCATTTCCTTAAAACAATATTGTGTTTTCATATAATTCCGTCCATTGTTGTTCTCTAATTCTCCCATGCTCATGGATCTCCTCTGACCATAAGGATCGCATTGCCCTCGTTTCTTTTTCAAAATGCCGTTCTCACTTCTTCGCGATCGTAATGAAGTCTGCGATTGTTTAGAAAAAGTCTGGATACCTTCTGTTTCATGCTTTTCGTGAAATATTGTCGATACTGCTAAGGTTTCATTTTTTACGGATTTTGTTTCTTCCAATTTCGATTCCTCCAAATGTTTCATTAAGACGGCGACGACAACATTGAGGAGGACAAATTGTGTTATAAGAACAAATGAAGAGAAAAAGATAGGAGCAATATTATTGATAATAACACATCTCTCTGTTTCACCGGACTTGCATATTTTTGAATTCATTGTGTCCTAAAGAAAACAGGTAAAATGTCATTGTTCATGTTTGTGACGATCCCACAAGATAATGTCCTCTTATCAATATTCCTTGAGGTGTTAATAAGATCATAATTGACCAATCTTTCTAAAGATCCGGCAAGATTATGCTTTATCATTAATAATCATAAAAATCCTATAAGAACAAGTTTTATTATCAATCTACAGGAAAATCCAAGAAGTACTTGACGTGTTTAGGAAGATCCCAAATGGTCAAGAGCATGATCTAGATGGAGTAGTCAGTTTATATGCAGTATCATTATTGCAAGTGACTCAATTTAGTACTACCTAAATTGAATTTACTTTCTAACAGCTGTGGACTTTCTCTTTATTTCATAAATAGATCATAATCTTACCTTTAATATCCCATTCCAGTTATCTCCTGTAGACACACGAAACAAGGTTAAAAGGGAGTAGCCAAAATTTCGAAAATGAGCATGTCTGTCCAAACCATTACATTCTATTTTGTCACAAGCTGTAAACAAAGCAAAACTATGAAATTAAATTGTAATTTTCCGATCATGGGAACAATACAAGTATTTGTTTTCACTTACATATATGGCCAAACAACTCCATTCCTAAAGCTCCAAAAATGAAAAAAAGAAGGAGAAAAAGAATTCCTAAGTTGATGACCTAAAAAGTAAAAATGTTAAATACACAATTTTGAACAAAATTTATGAAAATAGTTTTCAAAGATTCTTCAGAAATTTGTAGACATATATATTTACTTACCTGTGGTAATGCTTTACCAATGGTATCCAACAAAGAACGGATTCCTTCTGCTGTTTTCAAAAGCTTCAACACTGATAAAAAAACAAATATTTATAGTAACCCTAACCAAAGAAGCCAACAAATGACAGCGTCACTCACTGTATGCGTTAATCATATAAAATATCTTGACAACAGCTCTCAATCGTAAATAAAATATTTTAATCCAGTTACCTCTAGTTATTCTCAGAACTCTTATAACACGTATGATAGTTGGATTGATCGGTAGATCTGATGTTGCTAACTCATCTAATATAATCCCACCAATTGACAAGATTACAATGAACATATCCAAACAATTCCATCTAATAAAGAGAAGAAAAAATATTTCTCAAAAGCCATCGTTAATGCTGCAGGATTTCTATTTTTCAAGTTCTACGAAATCAAATTCATTTAGCTACCTGTCTTTAAAATAATTTCTTATTCCAAAAGCGATTAATTTAAGAACTGCTTCCAACACGAACAAGAAAGTGAATATATAGTTTGCGTATTGTAAACACAACGTCAACATCTGAAAGGAGAGAGAGTAAAGTTCAAGAAATATACAACAACAGCCAGTGAACAACCTTCTTCAATGACTTGACCAATCCACCCTTCCGATGTGTAAAATATGTCAAAAATAAGAGATGAGAATACAAAATTCGGACAATCAAATGGCCGGACATAGTATTGTATATGTAGAATAGTGGTAATAAAATAGAAAGAAGATGCTCTTGGGGAATTTGTAAATCTTATTTTAGAAATACATAACGACTAATAGTAATGGCAGAATGTGTAAAAGTAACATTGTCACAGATATTACAAGTGCCGTAACAAAACGTTGATGGGTTTGATATGCATTTGTCAAAACAAGCTTAAGAAGACAAAGAGCATGCCAGTAATACATGATTGAAAATTTGCTAAGCGAATATACAAACACCAATTTTAGAGCTCACTCCGTCGTAAATTAATGGAAAATGAATCTGAGCATGCGCAGTCAACTCCACCAACTCTCCAAGTTCATGGTCATGGCAATGACCAACTGTATGTACTAGTAACGGTTATGGAGTAATTAGCTTGGTCAGTCACAAATTTTGTAATAAATCATCTGCGCATGCGCAGTCTGTTTCAGCATATGCAGTCGACTTGACTAGCTGCACTAGTTCATTATATGGCAACGACCAACTGAATCTATTAGCACCGATTTTGAAGTAAATACCATGCTTAGTATCAATTTAATAGAGAAATCATCTGCGCATGCACTCGAGCTTGCGCAGTCCACTCGACTAATAGTTCATAATCATGGCAACGCCTAACTTTATGTACTTGCACTACATTTGTGCCAATTAACTCACTTAGTCGCAAATTATCAAAGAAATCAGCTGGGCATGCGCAGTAGTGACATTAATTATACCACAATTTTCGTAAGCCTTTGAATTTTGGTATATAAATATAAAGCCACTATTAAGTATAGTAGATGTCAACTAGCAGTGGAAGCTGGGTGCGATATAGTATGCAGTGGCTTAGGGGTCCACACTTCAGGGACGGCCGCATTCTCCCTGCGTACCCCGAGCAAAGCCTAACGCAGGTGATCTCGGGGTCTGATGGGCGGAAGCTTGCTATTGCATCTCCCAAGTAGGATATCGTGGAGGGGCCGAAATCTCCTACCGAAACGTTAACATGCGGCGTTCTAATACCTTACATATAAGAAGGTATCGCGAAGCATGGACCGAAAACGGGGTTTTTTGCTTTCGAATTTTATCTTTTTGTTTATTTTTTCTCATAAAATAAACAAAGCAATATTTTAATTAACTTCTTCTGACACTGTGTCTTTCTCTGAAACTTATAATTTAAGACAACTTTTAACATGTTTTGTACAATTTTTGTTGCTTTATATCTTTCTGATTTAATTCTCTCATTTGCTGTTTCTCATGCATCACGAGCAAACCATCGATGAGCTTCATGGCAAACAAGGATTATCTGGTTCTTTTAAGTAACATGAGACCCTCTATTACTCGACTATCCCGGAGTATCGGGACGCATGGACCGAAAACTGGATTTTTTGTTTTCAAAATTTGTCTTTTTTCTTTACAAGAATTCTTCTCATAAAAGAAACTAGAACATCCAAGTATACTGAAAAGGTTCAAACAACTTCTGCCGTTTTGACTTATAATTCAAACCAACTCTAAGCATGTTTATACGTTTCTTACTTGTTACCTTTTACAATGTAACTTTCTCATAACTCTCTCGTGATGAACGAGAGCCTCTTTATACAATGCAACTCTCTCATCATGAACGAAAGCATCCATGGGCTTCGTGGAGAAAAGAGATTATCTATTTTTTTATAATAGTTTTTACGAAGATAACATTTAATAAGCCAAGCCATTTGTATCGTCTAAATTGAAGCCTTATGTCATAAAATCTTTTTACCTAACGACAACATGCCAGTATTCAAGCTTTTCTTTGATCATTATGCTTTTTCTAACGCAAAACAGTTAATATTTACTGTTAAGACTTCTGCCTTTATAAATAATTGGTCTGAATAACTACAATCAGATTCAAAAATGCCCGAAAACTGAAAAGCATCTTCTAACCATTTTATTGCCACTATTCTACATATACAATACAATGTCCGACCATTTGTTTGTCCGAATTTTGTAATTAAATTGATCTCGTATGTTTGACAAGTATGTCTACCGTCGGAAAGGTGGATTCATTTGGTTATCGTGTGCAAATTTCAGTTTATTGTGTTGTTTTCAACCCACAAAGTAAAATTAGGGGAAGTTTTCACTGGCAAAAAGTAGTGTTTAAGAATTAATCTTAAAATTATTAAGTTTTTAGAGGAAGAAAAAATTTCGTTTGATGATTAAAAAAATACAAATTGCTAAACACAAAAGAGATAGTTCTTACTTTGGGTTGGTTATAATGCTCCATGGCCATACAAACAACATTGATACCAATAACAATTGCAATGGCTAGATCAAAATACGCATGAGTAACAAATAGAAACAGTTTCTGACGCCATTCAGGAATGCTAGGATCAGCGATTTCTGAAACTAAAAAAAAACTGAGAATATTTCAAAGATTCTTTTACTAATGATTTGATGTTAGATGGATGTGAAATTTATCTTTCCTTAATGATATAAACACAAACGTTGTAACTGATAAAACATACTTGAATTTCTTGGTGGTCTTAATCGTGTATTTACAGTCTCTATAGCGGATGAATTTTGTTCCTTCAACTTCTGTTCATCGCAACATTTGTGAAAGTTTTCGATCACAATACCAACCAACATGTTCATTACAATGAAACCAGCAATCAGAAGAAATGCAATAAAATACAAAATATTCCACTTGGCGTAATCACGTTTTGGCTGTTTGTCAACATCAACTGCATCAATGCCTGAGTACAATATGGCCGTCCAGCCATCACATGTTGAAAACACAAAAAGTGTTAATAAAGCCTGTAAGGAATAGAATAGCCGTCAAATTGCGTCCTGTGATAACAATGATTCAAATTATGAAAACAATTATGCATTTTAAATAACATTACTTTTACTTACGCTAGCCAAGTTGTCAAAATTGTACACGTTGTTCATCCAGTTGCCATCGTTTGAAATACATTGATCTTTGTTATTTATTTTTAATGATGATTTAGCATCGTTGCAGGAATAGAATTTGCCTTTAAACAACTAGAAAAAGGTAAATTCGGTTTGTTAGGGAAAAGTTTGGGCTGTTGCTATCATGTAATTACTTTAACAATCCTACCTGTACACCCAAGATACCAAATATAACAAAAAACGTAGCAGCTATAAGAGAAAAATTCCCGATCGGCTTTAGTGAACTGATCAATGTTTCAACAACCAATTTTAACTCAGGAGCGCGATTTATAACTCTGTTTAAAAAAAAACGAAGACGTTTGTCAATGTTAAAGAATAAGAACAACTTACATTGTATAATTTACCATGCAAAGTAAAACTAAATCATATATCATTTATTTTAACTAAGAAATTGTGCTAGATAGTCAAGAAAGAGTTTTCATTGCCATTAAAAGTCTCGTGGCCAGCTTCAATTATTGATTGTGCTGTGCAAACTTTAGATTATTGGCAATACTAATCAATATAGCTTCACAAATTGAATGTTTTTAAAGTGAATGAACATCGAAATGTTCATCAAAACTTTGTTGTAAAACAGAATGTGACTCTAGCTAATGGTTGTTAATGCATACTTCAAGTAACAATGATTTCATAAATCATAAATAAATGATAAATTCTCACTCCATCGCAATTTATTTTTACCGCAGAGGTCTTAAAGTACGAAACGCTCGAAATACTCTTAGAATTCCCAAGATTCCACCACTGCCCTCTGTTGTCAAGGAAACGATAAGATCAACCAGTGAAATAAGTACAAGGATTCCATCCACGATGTTCCAACCAGATTTTAGGTATGTATCAGGACCAATGATAAGACCCATAGATATCACCTGACGTTATAAAAACATACATATTGACAACAATAAAGCAGGTTTTACCTTGCTAACAGAGCTGTGATTATAGTAACTTTTGGTTCCGATAAAATGAAAAATTATTTCCAATTAACAAAATGTTTCAAAGTCAAATAAATATTTTGAAAAATTTGTTTTACCTTGATAGACATCTCAATCGTAAATACTGTTGTGAAAATGTACTGCATTATTTGAATAAACTGACCCATCTAAAATAAAATATCAATAGTTTAACGTCAAACAAACAACTCCACACAGATTACAAAACTGGCTTTTTACAACCTCACTGTTCTTGTCCAATCCAGGTTCTTCCATTACCATAACAATACAATTTATCAAGATAAACAGCAATACCACTCGATCAAACCATGGATGCTGATGAATTTTGACGACAAGTCGACGAAGTTTATTTTCTGGTGAAAAGATAAAAAGTGACCATTCTTGACGACGCTTTAAACATGACGTGGCATGATTGTCAACGGTTTCGTTTTCATTTTCAACTTGCTCGACAATTTGAAAAACCAGAGACGTATTCTGCAATGAAATATGATTTTCGTTACATTATCAACTTGAAAAATGTCAACTTGCTAACTCACTTCTTCTTGTAAAGATTGACATTGTACTTTGTCATCTTTCTTTCCATCTTTTTCTGTTTTAAATTCGTCCAAAGATAAAACATGAAATTGTGAAGAAGTGGTGTTCTCCCGTTTATAATTGCTCCAAGACTGGCAGGGAGCTGAGGTGCATCTGATGAGCTGCTGGGAACGTTGGAGATATTTGGGGTACATTGTGTGGAGGTCTGGGCAAGAGAAATATGGTTCTTTTTCTGACATGCATGGATTATGACCTAATTTTGCGGACGGTGAAGACGGTTCTGCTTGGAAATTTTTGTTTTTTAACAAAAGTTCTTCTTTTTCCTGAAATGAACAAAATAACACGTAATTTATTATTCTACTACAATGTAGAATATTGTAGAATAGAAAAATATAAACATAAAAAGTTTTCCGCGAATCGCGGAGTATTTTAACAAAACACATAACAACTTTAACTCCAAATAATGTTAGCATCTTCTTTCAACGCTTCATGTCTAATCAACTAAACATGGATGAACCCATAAACAATTTGACAAACCTTCTTCCTATTGAAGAAATATCATAGACTGTATATTTTAACACCGACTAATTAAAAGGATTTTTTCATCGACTTAAGGTTCATGGAAACATTCAAAAAATTTTTTGAGTTGATAGATAACTTACAGCAGCAGCGTGGTCAATAAAACCTTCCACAATGATAGAGACGAGGAGATTAAATAAAATAAAATCTCCAATGACCATAATAAATATAAAATAAAGAGAAGACCATGATGAGAGAGAACGAATTCCGTCAAAAAGAACGACATTCCAGTCAGCTTCAGTCAGAATCTATGAAATAAACCAATTGTAAGTACTGCACTCATTGATATTCGGCAAAAAGTATTATACACATTTTATTCAGCTTAAAGAACAAATCTTACTACAAAAAAAGAATTAAGGTATCTAAAATATGAGGTTTACAATGTGTTGCATAATTTAGGGAAAGTTTGTAACACTCTTTACCTGAAACACTGTAACAAGCGCCCAAAATAAAGTGTCAAAATTAGCCCGCGATGTGACCAGCTGACCATCTTCGTTTGCAAACTGGAATTTCCCTCCGAAAAGATGCATCCCAAAAATACTCGATGTAAATACGAACAAAGCAAGCAACGCCAGAAAAGACATGACGTTATCTAAAGTTCGTACCATAACCGCCAACTGACGTTGCAACTCTGGCATGAAACGAACAAGTTTGAATATTCTCAATACTCGAAATGATCTCATAACAGACAAACCACTCGTATCGCTGTCAGCTAAAATATCCATAAAACTAAAGAAAAATAGAAATATTTTGCTGTAAGAAAATATCAACAGCAGAATACAAGCCATTCTGTACATTTGAACTCGCTATTTACAATATTTAACCATTACAGTTATTTTGATTTCAGTGAACATAAGAATATTTGAAAAACAGGAACCAAAAGTGTATGTTAAATTATCTTTAAGAAACTGTCAAACACATGTTTTAGCGTGTACCTGGATTGAATATTTTTCCTGTAAATTTTGCATTAAAAAACAATTTTACTCCTAGAAACGTAATTCATATGCCAACGTAAAAGATTTTCCAGGCTAGTTTATTTACCGTACTGGTAAAAATTTCATACCTTACAATGACAATCACACCATCAAACAGATTATATGCATCTTTAATATAACCGTAAGGTCCAAATGCAGCAATTTTTATCAGCATTTCTATCGCAAAAATTGAGGTAAATACGACGTTGACAGTTTCCAAAATGTTCGTCATTTTCTTCGGCTGAAAGAGATACAAACATTCTTCAAAACACTATTTCTCCGTACTTTACAAATCTACAATTTGGACTAAAGTAAGCCAGGTTTCTCTAACCAAGCACTGTATCAAAGACTCTTCGTACTATGAAAATTATAGACAAAACATTTATAATATGTTATAAACAGTAACATAGCCAGCCTCGAGAATTAGTCTCGCTAATGAATGAGTGAACGACTACTATATTACTATTGCTATTTCAGCAAAAATATTTATTCTTTTAGAAATTGGTTGATTTTTGTGGTCAGTTAACTCATTAGCAGGAGTAAAATGTCAAACTATTTGATAATTTTATACCTGCCCATGATGCTCTATGGCCATACTTATCGTGTTCAGAAATATGGACACCATGATGAGCCTCATAAAATGTCGACTTTCAACAAATGCTTTGAGATTATAACGTATTTTGACCAAACATTTTTTCTTCGTATTTGGGCTATCCACATCGTCATCGTCGAAAGAATATATATAATCATTACAAGCATTCTTAATCACGTTAACATTTTCGTCCTCGGAATGCCTTGCTGCACAAGAGCACGCCACCTCCAAAGTCTTTTCAGTTGCCTTTGTTGCAATTGCATTAACTGGGGCAGCGGTTTTACTATGAATAAAACAGAAAAGAAAAGCGATGAAACAGTTTAACACGGAATATCATAACAAGATAATATAGCTTGCAGTTGTTTACAAAATACAAAGTTTCTTTTTTAAGCATCAAAATTTCACAATTACATAATAAAATACGTCATCATTACCTGTACGTAATGACGTTTTCTGAAGATTCGTCACCATCAATATTTATATTTGCTGTTGCTGTGGAAACCATTTTTCCTGATGAGTTGTCTCCAGTATCCTGGTAGAGCGCCGTTGTCGCTTGAGCAGTAACTTGAATATATGGATCAATTTTTAAATCGGATGTATCGCATGACATTCGTAATGTATGATCAACCGACTGGATGTAAGGATGACTGGATTGTTCTGTTGATATGGCAGGTGCGTTTGAAGTCGGAGGGGAATATGTGATCTCATTTTCACATTGACATGGATGATGATGTACATAATGGTGACAATAGTGGTAATGGTGGTGATGATGATGGATAGATTCTACATTATCCATACGGTTCTTTAGTTGCATAGAAGATGGAACACGTCGACGTTTAGACTCCTTGTCCATTTTGATCTTGGAACAAATGTACTTTTTAAAACGACGGCAAAGATGCTCAAGATATTGCAACAACTGTGTATAACATCCTTGCTGCGTCAAACTTGAGGATACCGTGCTGACGCTGGCCCGAGATCGCAGGCGCGATTTTTTCATTAGCTCCTTCTCGCGTTGTTTTGTTTGTTGGAATTGTGACGTTATCACAACAAAAAAGAGATTTGTCATGAAGTAAGAACCAAGCTAAAGCCAAATTGATATAAAAATTGAAAAGTTTTTTGATGTTTCTATTATAAAGTCGTATATTCCAGTTTTCAATGAAAATTCATTCAAATCTTACAACAACAAGAAAGACGAAATAAATCCAATTCCAAAAGGAATGTACATCTTGTATTTTATACATAATGTCCGACCATCCAGCGAGTGTGATGATCTAAGTATAATATTCTTATCATTAATAAACTTTGTTAAATAAATTAATAAATCATATATTTCAACTCAACTTACTTGAAATATTACAACTGTTGCTATACCAATGTTATCAAAAGATACTGAACCCCAGTGAAGATTTTCTCCACTTTGCCGACACAACGTATAATATTGGTACCAGTTCACGCAATGTGATGATGACGTGTTCTCCGTCGTGAGGAAACTTTGGTTACACACTTTATTGTTGACATTGTACGGATTAAAGTTATGAGGATTGCATTTAGATAAACCGTTATTTTCTGACAATGAACAGACATAATATTCATTGAATGATGGACGGTAAAACTCTGTCAAATTATACCTGAAGAAACGAAATATTTTATGGAGTCAGAACGAGAATTCTAGAATACACTGAGTAATGTGATGAGTATTTGAACAGATGACATAAAAATTTCATAACATTTTATGAGAATTACTTACTGTTTAATGATGCTACTGTTAAGGTCCTGTGGAAAGCAGCGAGCACGTAAAAGACCTTGCCAAAGTTGAACAGCAATGATCCCAAATATTGCAAAAATCAAAAAGCAAATTGCCAGAACACTGCCTAGCATTGGCAACGTGTCCAGCAAAAGCATAACTAAAATGCGAATGCCTAGGCAAATGAGAAAAAACAGATTTTTTATTTATTCATTTATCTATGTTACGGTGAGCTAGATAAATTATGTTTGAAATATCAAAACTTTCAAAATTAGTTTTTGTCTCCTTTTGAGTGCAATCGTAAACAGTTTCTAAAGCAGTTCAAATGTTTTTATTTCACAATTCTGTGACCAGTGGGAAAACTATAAAATTAATTAGAACGGTTAAATATTTATGTATGAAGTTCTATTCGACTGACGTCTAAGTACATTTAGTTGAAGGAAGTTTGAAATTTTGGAAACAATTCAAACTCAAGCGTATTTTAATTTCAAAGACTAATCTTTGTAGTTCTTCATAGCTTACTTGGAACTCGATTTATTGCTCTTAATGGTCTCAAGACACGAACTGATCTGACAGCACTCAAATATTTTCCTTCACCGTAGGCAAGTTCAAATGTTCTACAAAAATATACAGAAAAACAGAAATTTACTAAAATTGTGATTGTTGTCTACGTCAAAAGAATTTAATCCAGCACTCATTATACCCTGCAAGAACAATGAAACAATCCAGTTTATTCCAAGAGTCTTTGAAGTATCCTAAATCACCAAATACTCCCATAGCCATCCATTTTATCAGCATCTCCACCACAAAAAAGGCGTAGATAGCAGTCTCTAGAATCTCAAGAATTTGACATTTCTTTGTAGCGCAGGTCTTGTCAAATGGATTGTACATTGCTAACGTTACACAGTTTAATAAAATCACTAAAGTGCTCGTACGCTCGAACCATCTTTGAATGAATTAAGGGAGAATAATTACTTTTGTGCAAAAAAATCAAACAGACAATTTATTTGTAAATAATTTCTTCAAAATAATTGATTTTACAACATAAGTTTACAAGAAGAATTTCTACGATAATTGAGCTATAATTAAACCTTGTACATTGATAATAAAGACAAGACAGGACAAGAAATACACCACACAAGTCAAAAGGATACGGAGAACTGACAAGTTTAATAAACCATCTTCTTGGTCGACTTTCTTGCTTTAGACAACAGAAGGCTACTTCTTCAAACTGATCCAAGTTGACATTCGATTGACGAACTGAAGGTCTTGATGATGTTGAATCACATGGTCGATTGGGAGGAGATGGCGAAGGAGGAAAAGGGGTCATCTCTATAGACGTCTCACGTCTTGAGACGTTTGGGATCTCTGACATTCTGAATTCACAGTGTAAAGTATAGATGTTTGGTAGACTTCGTTTAAAGATTCATTACAAATACATTGATTACTTGATCTGGTATACGTCAGTGGCGTGCGGTCATGCAAGCGTAGGCAAGCGGCGCTTGCCTAAGCATTTTACCGAATAAAAATTTTTTGGATCAATCTCTGAGCAAAATCAGTTTAAATTTTTCTGTTCTAAACAATGTCAATGTAATCTTTTGTCTAAATTGTCTTTACAGTTGAAATGCTTGCTATTTATACGCGATTTACTGTCGTGGTTTTCGGTTTCACTTTGCTACACTTGTAAGATGAGTCAAGTGGATTAAATACACCTTAAAAATTTTTTATTCATTAACGAAGGCAAGCGCGCTTGCCTTCGGAGCTCAATTTGAACATTTGCGCATGCGTTAATCTAGATTTGGAGGCTTCTTATTCGAAGAATATCGAGAAAAGGCAAGGGCGCCGCTTGATAGCGATTGGTCAACAGTCTTGTACGCTCGCATTTTAAACACATATCAGCGCACGAACAATATTCGTATATTCAACACATTGGACATCCGAATTATTCACGCCGTTAATGTTATCGTTTATTAAAAGATGACTGAGAGCGAAAGGTAATGTTCTGATTTCTAATTCAAAGTAGTAGGTGCTTTACTGGTTATTTTATTATTTTCTGCGCACAATGTGCGTAAACAAGCAGGGGCCGCAGTCTGCAGAGATATCGAAATGCACGCAAACGTGTGTTGTGGTAAAGTATGACTAGCATTATGACCAAAACACTATGCTCTTGTCAGTCTTGTGTCGTTGAATTCGTAAATTAATGACTAAAAATAAAAGGTACAAGATACTAAATAATAAACACGACTCTCCGATATTCTGAAACGTACGAGTCAGTGCCAGACACATTTTGAAGAACGGGAGAACACGCTGCCATAACGTCATTATACCAAAATATAAACATTAAACAACGCCATGGCCTCAGTTTGTAACACACCGTGCCAATTTTGTGCGCGAAACTGGCTGTTCTTAATTGTTATAATCACGACTGCTACAATACATTTCGCGCCTATTGTCTTGCAATTTATGTATGTAGAAGATATTATCTGTAGCATGTAATACTTTAGCGTTATATAAGTCTTTCGTATGAGCTCTGAACGTGATTTCAATGTACTAGAACGCTATTAAATTTTGTGATTATTTTATTCACTAGCGAAGAAATGGTAAAGCTGTGGAGCGCTTTCTTGGATTTACCGATGTAAGGAGGATAGAACTGCGGCTAGACTGAAACAAGAAGTCGGTAAAACCCTGAACGAGTACGGATGCCGCGAACCTCACCCCCAGCGCTTGCCTATTAAATTCGGTCACCGCACGCCACTGGTATACGTTTAAAAGCAGTGACGGAAGTTTACCTATGACGTATGGCGCCAAGTTTACGATGCGTGGATTTCCAAAGAAAATTCATACCACAGTCCACAGAAAACACGAAACAGAAATTTATTGAATAATGTTCGTGTTAAGTAGACGGTTCGTAAAACATCCAAAATACATTTTAAAAATATTATTTCACAAGAATATGAACCATCGCATCATGATTTAACACCAAACACAGGCTTTTTGTTGCCTCTTGACTCATTCACATTGTTTATTGTAATTTAGCTCACTGACGTGAGCAATTAAATAAATAACGTAAAAAAGCCTTTGAACCTTCAATGTTGGCAGCCTGTTTTAAGTCTATTTTGGTTTTCTTGATAAAGTGAGTCAGCTCTGTGATTCAAATTCATTGTGGATTGATGTCAGATCTTGATAATTTTTGGCTTTAAAAATTTTCATGCGGACTGTCAAGAAAATTGTTATAACCTTAATCAATGATCTGATTTAAATCATAATTTTCACTCGTGTACAAGGAAAATACACCAACCAAACTGCGAGAGATTCTTAGATGTCGCCCATCGAGTGACTTTACAAAGATAAATCTAACTTACAGTAAAACTACGAGAAAGAAGCAATCAAAGCTTAAAGATAAAATAACAATTGTGTTGGTGTTCGTGTTGCTCTGTCAACCATATCATTATTATTAATATACCGACTCTCGTTACAAAGTCTTTGTTTAACTTGTCTGTGATGTCAAAATTTGATCGACTGTTTTTTATTGATAATTAGATCTTCCCATCGGTTTGTATGACAAAAATTTAGATCCCAATTTAATTTCTAACAACAGTATTCAACTTTAAGGCTTTTAGTTGTTAAGGAGGAACCGTTTTAGCGATACTTACGCATGTGCACAAATTTCCGCGTACATACCCCACCTAGTTTGTTTCAACAAACAAAGAAATACTGTGGATATATGATTGTTCTTGACGATAATGTTGAACACGATACTTGCTTTGTACGTACTTGAAGCAATATATTACATCCTACAATAAATAATAATGAAAATATTAATGAAAAAATAGTAATTTTGAGACAAAGCAACTATTTGTTCATATTACTTTAAAGTGGGTATGAAACGAAAATTTTGCTATCTGAGTAAAACTTTTATTCAAGAGATATTTTAAAACGACAATGGACATTCTAAACCAGTTTAGGCATATCACTTTTAACTCTTGAGAAATTGAGGTTCTTGCTTTGTGCGATTTATCTAACTTGTGACGTCACATTGCAATAGAACGTAAATTATTACGTATATTTACCTATACTTTAATTCACAAGGACAGAGTTTCCTTCATTGTGACGTGGTTAATGGTAAAAAATGCTGCCTTCTAGTATCAACCTAAAGTTGTCAGGAAACTGAAGAGTATTTTAAACATTGTGGGAACTCCATTATGCAACACAACGTCACAAGTTGCATAAATTGGAAATAACAAAAACGTCAATATCACGAGATTGAAAAGAGATATGCATTAACTGTTTCAGAAAGTACAATGTCATTTCAAAAGTTCTAGTCATTTCAAACATAATTTAACTTGCAGAATTTTCGTTTCATAGCCACTTTAACATATTGAGAATAAATTTCCGAACAGCTGTGATACGTATTCTGTTTAACTACACTTTGATCTAAAACAAATGTTTAAATTCCCTAAACATTCTACCATGAAATTTATTAAAATAATAACGACTTTATACTCGTTTAATTCACCAGCCAAAAACTTTTTCTGCTTTCAGATTATCTGACTATTGTACAGCTCTATTTTTGTTAGTTCTGGGGAGTTTTATAGGAGAAATGTGGATCGAATCTATTTTAATCAATTTGCCTATTTTAAATATAGTTCACTAATTGTTTAAGCACTCGACAAAACAGACCATAAAGTTAGAAATGCAAAATCGATGAATTAACTATTTAAATTTATTATTATTCATTGTTAATTTATTCAATAAAATATTTTATCATGGGCAAACCAGTTGCTTCCCATCATGCATTGCTGGTGAGAAAATATATTTTTTTACTAGGATCCGATCTTACTGCACGGCGTCTTGTTTCAGGTAAAGTTAGTCAATCCTTGCACGGCGTCCTGTTTCAGGTAAAGTTAGTCAATCTTTGCACGGCGTCCTGTTTCAGGTAAAGTTAGTCTATCCTTGCACGGCGTCTTGTTTCACCTTAGAGTAGTTTGCTTAAAATATTCACACAGCTACCTCCTCATGAATTTTGTTCATCGTACACTGCCCCGCAAGTACAATTAATGATCTCCTAAAGCTCAAAAATTCGTCAGATCCGATACCCTTTAACCTTCCTCGAGAACCCCCTTCGTCATTTCAAATCTTTGTTGAAATGTCTGAATGCGTATTTGACAGGTCTGGTACTGGTATCTGTATTATGTTTGCTTCATCAATCTTGTCACTCTCTGCAAAACTTCAAGTTTTTGAAATACTTCACTCTTCAACTGGTTCAAACCATTAACTCTGTCTGACTGTCTATCATTTTCATCCCTCAGGGTACTTGCATAATCCTTTAATGTACAACAACGTTCACCTAAGATCATCGTTCATTTAAAGAGTGTTAGTCAATACATGGTTCTCTAAATTTCCTGGAAATCTTCTGCCACAGTTCCGTAAAACATCGAGTTCTGCTTCCATAAAAAAATGTTCTTTATTGTTCATTTCTCGAGAAAAACTTCATTGTCAGTTATTTGTTCGTCTTTTGACACATCATAACTATCTTCATTTTCTTTATTTGGACACTTTAAAAACAATTCAGAGCGATCTGTATTCAATCTTTCGTTGGAAATGGATCTTTGTGAAGGGCTCACAAGAGCGTGAGAAATTTCCTGAACAAAACTAAAATCTTCACATTGTAAAGAAGAAAATTCCAAAACCTGATTGTCTTGATTAGAAGATTAAATATGTGATTGTGAGTGCATCCCTTCATTAGAATCTTCCTCGTCAGATAATGTATTTTTATCCAAGTCTGCCAATTTTGATTCCTCTAAATGTTTCATCAAAACGGCGACGACAATATTGAGGAGGACAAATTGTGTTATAAGAACAAACGAAGAGAAAAAGATAGGAGCAATATTATTGATAATAACACATCCCTCTGTTTCACCAGAATTGCATATTTTTGAGCTCATTGTGTCCTATGGAAAATGAATTTAAAGTGTTCAATAGAATATCATCCTTCACGTGTCTTAAAGATCAAACAATATGCTTTATCGTCAATCTTTCTAAAGGTCGTAAAGAATTACACTTAACAAACACTCTTTATGAAGATCATATAACAGAATGCCTTATTATGAATATTTTTTAAGATACAAGAAAATGTTGACTTGTAGTATTTGCTCACTGTCTATAAGCTCTACACTATTTCTTTAGTTTTTAATAACAACAAAATTTCATCAATCGTACATTATCTCACCTGTAATATTCCAATCCAGTTATCTCCTGTAGCTACACGAAACAAAGTTAGAACAGAGTAGCCAAAATTTCGAAAGTGTGCATGTCTGTCATCTAAACCTATACATTCATTTTTTTGACAAGCTAAAAATAAACAAAAATATGAAATGAATTATTTTTTACTTTTCCAATCATGAGGAGAATCAAAATATTTCTTCTTGCTTACATATACGACCGAACAACTCCATTCCTAAAGCTCCAAAAATGAAAAAAAGAAGGAGAAAAAGAATTCCTAAGTTGGTGACCTAAAAAACAAAAATGTTAAATGCACAAGTTTAAACAAACTTTATGAAAATAGTCTATAAAGTTTCTTCAAAAATTTGTAGACATATATTTTTACTTACCTGTGGTAATGCTTTACCGATGGTATCCAACAAAGAACGGATTCCTTCTGCTGTTTTCAAAAGCTTCAACACTGAGAAAAAAAACAAATATTTATAGTAATCCTAACTAAGGAAACTAAGAAATGATAATGTCACTCACTATATGCGTTAATTGTATAAAAAATCTTGATAACATGCGCTCAATCGTAAATAAAATATTTCAGTTACCTCTAGTTATCCTTAGAACTCTTATAACACGTATGATAGTTGGATTGATCGGTAGATCTGATGTTGCTAACTCATCTAATATAATCCCACCAATTGACAAGATTACAATGAACATATCCAAACAATTCCATCTAATAAAGAGAAGAAAAAATATTTTCTTTTTCTCAAAAGCCATTATTTTTGACTAAGGACTTTTAATTTTCATTCTATAGTACAAATTCAAGTGTATTTACCTGTCTTTAAAATATTTTCTTATTCCAAAAGCGATTAATTTAAGAACTGCTTCCAACACGAACAAGACAGTGAATATATAGTTTGCGTATTGTAAACACAAGGTCAACATCTGAAAGGAGAGAGTATAGTTCAAGAAATATACAACAACAGCCAGCAAAAACCTCAGTCAACCAGCGGCTTTGTAGCCCGCTCACAATTTGTTTCTTCATGCTATATAAATTTCAAATCATTATCACTATTCAATTTTCTGGAAATTTATTGTTTTTGCATTAAGTTAGCTTCAAAATAATCTACACAACAGCATTAAACTTGATTCGACTGTCAAAAAATAATGATAAGAAATCAATTTTGACAGCATGGAGCTTTACAGGAAAATATTCCCGAGCACAATTGCATGGCAAAACTAGTCCCAGTCTATCAGAGAGTTGAAACAAGAGCACAATTGCATGGTAAAACTAGTCCCAGTCTATCAGAGAGTTGAAACAAGAGCACAATTGCATGATAAAACTAGTCCCAGTCTATCAGAGAGTTGAAATATTTATTAGGAGATAAGATAATTCTTACTTTGGGCTGGTTGTAATGCTCCATGGCCATACAAACAACATTGATACCAATAACAATTGCAATCGCTAGATCAAAATACGCATGAGTAACAAATAGAAACAGTTTCTGACGCCATTCAGGAATGCGATGATCAGCGATTTCTGAAACTGAAAAAACTGAGAATATTTCAAAGGTTCTTTTAGTAAAGATTTGATGTTAGATGGATGTGAAATTTATCTTTCTTTAATGATATAAACACAAACGTTGTAACTGATAAAACATACTTGAATTTCTTGGTGAATTTGATCTTCTATTCACTGTCTCAACAGCAGAGATATTTTGTTCTTTTAGCAGCTCATCGCGACATTTTTTAAAGTTTTCAACAACAATGCCAACCAACATGTTCATTACAATGAAACCAGCAATCAGAAGAAATGCAATAAAATACAAAACATTCCACTTGGCGTAATCACGTTTTGGTTGTTTGTCAACATCAACTGCATCAATGCCTGAGTACAATATGGTCGTCCATCCATCACATGTTGAAAACACAAAAAGTGTTAATAAAGCCTGTAAGGAATAGGAAAAAATGTTTGAAAAATTGGATTACTAAAAAGAGAAACGATAAAGCCATCCTTAAGAATAAATTTTAGTTAAGTCAAAGTTTCCAAAAAAAAGTTTGAGTCAAATTGAGTCATCCTGTTGCAACACTAATTACAATTTCCAAAACCATTAAATAACGCAATAACTCAATTTCTTTATTTTTTAAGGCAGTTGTAAAACTTTAAGGGTCAGAGAATACCTTGGTGTGTTTTATGAGTAAATGCAGCAGTTATATCGAGTCAACATTAAATTATGAAAAACTTGGCAATTTCGATGATATTTATTGTACTTACGCGAGCCAAGTTGTCAAAATTGTACACGTTGTTTATCCAGTTTCCATCGTTTGAAATACATTGATCTTTGTTGTTTATATTTACTGATGATTTAGCATCGTGACAGGAATAGAATTTACCTTTAAACAACTAGAAAAAAAGAAAATTTATCATTTTAGGAACAGGGAAGATTTTATGCTGTACAACTAAATTATTCAAACATTCCTACCTGCACACCCAAAATACCAAATATAATGTAAAACGTAGAAGCAATAAGAGCTAAATTTCCAATTGGCTTTAGTGAACTGATCAATGTCTCAACAACAACTTTCAACTCAGGAGCGCGGTTTATAACTCTGATGAAAAAGAACAACTTTTACATTGTATATAGTTTACAATGCAAAGATAAACTATACCAGAAATCATTTCGTTTAACCAAAAAAACAGAGGTAAATAGTCAAGAAACATTTTTCATTGACACTGACAGTCTCGTGGCCAGCTTCAATCATTGATTGTGCTGTGAAAATTTTAGATTATTTGCAATATTGATCAATATAGCTTCAGAAATTGTTGTTTTTAAAGTGAGGAAACATCAAAGTATTTATATAGGAAACTGGCATGCTGGCTACGTTACTGGTCTGGTACTAAGTTATGTCGGCTTTACAAAATGTACTTCTTGTTAATGGTTGTTAAGTGGAAATTTCTCTCCCTCTATAGCGGTTTTACCGTAGAGGCCTTAAAGTACGAAACGCTCGAAATACTCTAAGAATTCCCAGGATTCCGCCGCTGCTGTCAGTTGTCAAGGAAACGATAAGATCAACCAATGAAATAAGTACAAGGATTCCATCGACGATGTTCCAACCAGATTTTAGATATGTATCAGGACCAATAATAAGACCCATAGATATCACCTGACGTTATAAAAACATACATATTGACAACAATAAAGCAGGTTTCACCTTGCTAACAGAGCTGTTATTATAATAACTTTTGGTTCCAATGAAATGAAAAATTATTTCCAATTTAGAAAATGGTTCAAAGTCAAAAAAATATTTTGAAAAATTTGTTTTACCTTGATTGACATCTCAATCGTAAATACTGCTGTGAAAATATACTGCATTATTTGAATAAACTGACCCATCTAAAACAAAATATCAATAGTTTAACGTCAAACCAACAACTCCACACAGATTACAAAACTGGCTTTTTACAACCTCACTGTTCTTGTCCAATCCAGGTTCTTCCATTGCCATAACAATACAATTTATCAAGATAAACAACAATACCACGCGATCAAACCATGGATGCTGATGAATTTTGACGACAAGTCGACGAAATTTATTTTCTGGTGAAAAGACAAAAAGTGACCATTCTTGACGACGCTTTAAACATGACGTGGCATAATTGTCAACTGTTTCGTTTCCATTTTCAACTTGCTCAACACTTTTAAGAACCAAAGACGTACTCTGCATTGGAAAATATTTGTTTTAACATTGCCAAGTTTAAATGTGTTGATCTGTTACCTCACCTCATCTTGAGGAAATTGAAATCGTACTTTGTAATCTTTCTTCGCATCTTTTTCTGTTTCTACTCCATTCAAAGGTAAAATCTGGAAATGTGAAGATGTTTTGTCACGTTTGTATTCGTTCCAAGGCTGGGAGGGTACGGACGAACATCTGATGAGCTGCTGGGAGTGTTTGAGATATTTGGGGTACATTTTGTGGAGGTCTGGGCAAGATAAATATTGTTCTTTTTCTGATATGCACAGATTCAGACCTAATTTTGACGACGCTGGAGACGTTTCCGTTTGCAATTGCTCTTTTTTTAGCAAAAGCTCGTCGTTTTCCTGAAATGAATATAATAATGCTTGATTAATTATAATAATTGAGTGTACGATGAATAGTTCACAACTGTATTCTAAAATCTTAATCATACTCCTGACGATTGTATGTGCACATGTCAAAATCATCGATATTTTCACAATATTTATTGTTTGAAGTATTATAGATTAAATCTTGCCATTGATGGAAAAATGCGTTTGTCATAGATTAGTGGAAGCAAGACTTCTATGTTGCACTCAGTAGCTAAATGGGAATATAAGTGAGTTTTTTGAATACAGGCACAAGTGTATTTTGACACTTACAAAATTAAGGTTTATTGAAACATTTAAAATTTTTTGTTGAGTTAATAACTAACTTACAGCAACGGCGTGATCAATAAAACCTTCGACAATGATAGCAACGAGGAGATTAAATAAAATAAAGTTTCCAATGACCATAATAAATATAAAATAAAGAGAAGACCACGATGAGAGAGAACGGACGCCGTCATACAGAACCACATTCCAGTCTGCTTGAGTCAGAATCTACGAAATTTAATTTATTCTGTTGATAATTCTGAAATGTTGACCAGCGAGAACTATCTCACACATTTTGTTCATTTGAGAAGAATTTTTACTTAACTTAATCAATCAATCGTATAAATACTATCAATAATAATAATCTTAAATAGAAGTCTTTGTGTTACTTTTCTTTACAGAGGTCGAAAAATGTTCATGATTTATTCATGCATTTTGCTACATGATCTTCAACAAAAACTGACGTCAGTATGACGTTTTACCTGAAACACTGTAACAAGCGCCCAAAATAAAGTGTCAAAATTATCCCGCGATGTGACCAGCTGACCATCTTCGCTTGCAAACTGGAATTTCCCTCCAAAAAGATGCATCCCCAAAATACTTGATGTAAATACGAACAAAACAAGTAACGCCAGAAAAGACATGACGTTATCTAAAGTTCGTACCATAACCGCCAACTGACGTTGCAACTCTGGCATGAAACGAACAAGTTTGATTATTCTCAATAGTCGAAATGATCTCATAACAGACAAACCACCCGTACCGCTTTCAGCTAAAATATCTATAAAACTAAATAAAAATAGAAAGATTTTTTGGGAGACCATCGATTGTGTTTATCGTCCATGAACACACGTTGTAAAAGATATTAAATCATCGTTGAGAATTTCTTGAAAATGTATTTAAGTTGAATTAGAAATTTTTTATTTTTAGTGTTTCAAATGAAACAAAACAAAGTTTAAATGATCGCAATTGTAAAAATTTCATACCTTACAATGACAATCGCACCATCAAACAGATTATACGCATCTTTGATATAACCGTAAGGTCCAAGTGCAGCGATTTTTATCAACATTTCTAACGCGAAAATTGACGTAAATATAACGTTGAATATTTCCAAAATATCGGTCAATTTTTTGTGCTGAAAGAGACAAAGCATCAAAGACTTGTGGTATTCAAATATTGCAGACAAACTGACATTTATAATTTGTTAACATTAACATAGTTAGCCTGGAGATTTAGTCTCGCTAAAGAATGATTTAGCTATTGCTGTTCCAGCAAAAGTAGTTTATTCTTGTGAAAATTGGATGCTTTTTGTGGTCAGTTAACTCATTAGCAGGAGTAAAATGTCAAACTATTTGAAGATTTTATACCTGCCCATGATGCTCTATGGCCATACTTATCGTGTTCAGAAATATTGACACCATGATGAACGTCATAAAATGTCGACTTTCAACAAATGCTTTGAGATTGTTACGTATTCTGACCCAACACTTTTTCTTTGTATTTTGGCTATCCACATCGTCGTCGTCGAAAGAATATATAAAATCATTACAAGCATTCTTAATCACGTTAACATTTTCGTCCTCGGAATGCCTTGCTGCACAAGAGCACGCCACCTCCAAAGTCTTTTCAGTTGCCTTTGTTGCAATTGCATTAACTGGGGCAGCGGTTTTACTATGAATAAAACAGAAAAGAAAAGCGATGAAACAGTTTAACACGGAATATCATAACAAGATAATATAGCTTGCAGTTGTTTACAAAACACAAAGTTTCTTTTTTAAGCATCAAAATATCACAATTACATGATAAAATACGTCATCATCACCTGTACGTAATGACGTTTTTTGAACATTCATCACCATCAATATTTATATTTGTTGTTGCTGTGGAAACCATTTTTCCTGATGAGTTGTCTCCAGTATCCTGGTAGAGCGCCGTTGTCGCTTGAGCATTAACATGAATATGCGGATCAATTTTTAAATCGGATGTATCGCATGACATTTGTAATGTATGGTCAATCGACTGGAGGTAAGGATGTCTGGATTGTTCTGTTGATATGTCAGGTGAGTTTGAAGTCTGAGGGAATATGTGATCTCATTTTCACATTGACATGGATGATGATGTACATAATGGTGACAATAGTGGTAATGGTGGTGATGATGATGGATAGATTCTACATTATCCATACGGTTCTTTAGTTGCATAGAAGATGGAACACGTCGACGTTTAGACTCCTTGTCCATTTTGATCTTGGAACAAATGTACTTTTTAAAACGACGGCAAATATGCTCAAGATATTGCAACAACTGTGTATAACATCCTTGCTGCGTCAAACTTGAGGATACCGTGCTGACGCTGGTCCGAGATCGCCGGCGCGATTTTTTCATTAGCTCCTTCTCGCGTTGTTTGGTTTCTTGGAATTGTGACGTTATCACAACAAAAAAGAGATTTGTCATGAAGTAAGAACCAAGCTAAAGGCAAATTGATATAACATTAAACTTAAAAATGGTTTTGTACTGCTATATATTATCATTCCTGTTTACAATTACATTTGCTTTACAAAACATTTCACTTAAATGAAGTTAAATGAAGATATGATCTTCGCACTTTTGCTGGACAAGTTAAGCAATTGTCTCATGAACCTGAATTGTTCATGAGACAATTGCTTAAATTGTCCAGCAAAAGTGCGAAGATCATATCTTCATTTAATTTCAAACACCGCACTGCATATAACAATCTTTCATAAAACATTTCACTTTTAAATAAACATACTATGCAAGCGGTTTCATTTTAATATTCAAACCTTACAAGAACAAGAAACACGAAATAAATCCAATTCCAAAAAGAATGTACATCTTGTATTTTATACATAATGTCTGACCATCCAACGAGAGTGATGATCTAGGAGTAACAATCATAAGAATATTATTCATACGTTCATCATATTATTTAGCGCCCATATTAATTGACTGTGATTCAGCAAAGTTTGTATAAAGAGATAGAGATCTGCCATTTCTCGGTAAAGACCGACCAAATGAAGTTAACGAAAAAATATTAATTATGTGGCTTGAGCATTTGCACTTGAAAAAACGTAGGGCATACATTTTAATACTTTTAGAAATGCTTACATATCAAAAGCGTGATATACAAAATTTGACTCTTGCTCCGAGTGCTTTCCTTCCTCTGTCTCGCATTTATACATGTTACAAAACTTTTTACTTTAGTTTTAATGAATTTTTCACTTTTTCGCAGTCCAAAATGCGAAAGAAAGAAAACGTCAAAAATGTTTTTAGGCCAAGCAAAGAATTTTAATTCAGCATTGATTATCTTTGTAAACTTAAATAAATTAATAAGACATTTATTTCAACTCAACTTACTTGAAATATTACAACTGTTGCCATACCAATGTTATCAAAAGATACTGAACCCCAGTAGAGATTTTCTCCACTTTGCCGACACAACGTATAATATTGGTACCAGTCCACGCAATGTGATGATGACGTGTTCTCGGTCGTAAGGAAACTTTGGTTACACACTTTATTGTTGACCTTGTACGGATTAAAGTTATGAGGATTGCATTTAGATAAGCCGTTATTTTCTGGCAATGAACACACAAAGTATCCATTGAATGATGGACGGTAAAACTCTGCCAAATTATACCTGAACAAATGAAATAGTTTATGAAGTCAGAACGAGAATTCTAGAGTACACTGAGTAATGTGATGAGTATTTGAACAGATGACATAAAAATTTCATAACATTTTATGAGAATTACTTACTGTTTAATGATGCTACTGTTAAGGTCTTGTGGAAAACAGCGAGCACGTAAAAGACCTTGCCAAAGTTGAACAGCAATGATCCCAAATATTGCAAAAATCAAAAAGCAAATTGCCAGAACATTGCCTAGCATTGGCAACGTGTCCAGCAAAAGCATAACTAAAATACGGATGCCTAGGCAAATATGAAAAAAAATTTAATTATTTATTTATTTACAATACAATAAATTACTCAAATTATGGTTGGAATGTAAAAATAATTCGAGATTTGTCTTTGATCTATGTCTTTCATTCTGCAATCGTAAAAAGTTTCTGAAGCAATTCAAATGTTTTTATTTTACGTGGTATGTTTTTGTGTTAATTGTAAGGAATGTGAATATTCATTCCATTAAGCTTTGCTTGACTGATTTCTTTTGAAATAATGATTACCCTACAATCAAAAAAACGACAACACTCTACGAGGTGTCTCGAAAACTGCACATCTTTAAAATCAAACTACGTATAGAATTTGCATCATTCGGCCGTCAATGGTTGCCAAGACCTGTAAACGCAATTGTAATGAATTTTATACCTGGAATTTGCAATGTAAAATAGCCATAATTCGTGCGTATTTTCAACTGCGTTTACAGGTTGATGTAAATTGCAAACATCCGTGAATTTCTAAGATGCGCAGTTTTTTTTAAATACACACCTCGTTGTTCTTTCCCCTGTAACATTTCGTGCATTTAGTTAAAGTTTGATGATGAACTAATCATTTCAAGACTGTTTTAACTTCCAAAACTCGTTTTGTAATTCTTCATAGCTTACTTGGAACTCGATTTATTGCTCTTAATGGTCTCAAGACACGAACTGATCTGACAGCACTCAAATATTTTCCTTCACCGTAGGCAAGTTCAAATGTTCTACAAAAATATACAGAAAAACAGAAATTTACTAAAATTTTGATTGTTGTCTGCGTCGAAAGAAGTTAATCCAGCATTCCTTATACCCTGCAAGAACAATGAAACAATCCAGTTTATTCCAAGAGTCTTTGAAGTATCCTAAATCACCAAAAAATCCCATAGCCATCCATTTTATCAACATCTCCACCACAAAAAAGGCGTAGATAGCAGTCTCTAGAATCTCAAGAATTTGACATTTCTTTGTAGCGCAGGTCTTGTCAAATGGATTGTACATGGCTAACGTTACACAGTTTAATAAAATCACTAAAGTGCTGGTACGCTCAAACCATCTTAGAATGAATTAAGGGAGAATAATTACTTTTGTGCAGAAAAATCAAACAGACAATTTATTCGATATAATTTGCTCAAAATAATTAATTTCACAACATAAGAATTTTTACGATGATTAAGCTATAATTAAAACTTGTACATTGATAATAAAGACAAGACAGGACAAGAAATACACCACATAAGTCAAAAAGATACGGAGAACTGACAAGTTTAATGAACCATCTTCTTGGTCGACTGTCTTGCTTTAGACAACAGAAGGCTACTTTTTCAAACTGATCTAAGTTGACATTTGATTGACGAACTGAGGGTCTTGGTGATGTTGAACCACATGGTCGATTGCGAGGAGATGGCGAAAGAGAAAACGATGTCATCTCTACGGAAGGCTTATGTCTTAAAAGTTTTGGGCATTCGACATTCCTAAATGAAAGCATTAATTATGGACGTCATCGGCTGATATAACGGCGTTTTATGAAGTTTTAATGGTTTTGAACAGGGACGCCGGAAGATTGATAATCGAGGTTCATATTCATATATTCTTACGCTATAATCCCTAATCACTCTTGATTTCAATAGAAACTAATGAAGTAGAACTTACATTGAAGATTACATTACAAATATGCACAACTAAAACTTGTTATTGTTCAATAGTCTGCAGATGTTTAATCAAACTGGCGAAAATTCAAACTCCAACAAAATGGGGCAAAGCTTTTGCAAATTCATGTTGCAAAAAAAATGCGTTATAGTTTATACATAAATAATGTAGGTTACAGGTAGAATTCAGAAATACATTTTTAATAATATTATTCTACAAGAATTCCAAAGTTTCCAGATCATTATTTCAAAACAAGCACAGGCTCTTCATGATTCTTTGACTTTGTCCGAATTGCTATTAAAATATTCTAAAGCCATAAACTTGTAAGAAATAGTTTTTTTCTTTAATCGTTTTTTTTTGCTACTGACAACGAAGGAATTTTAAGTACCACTACCAGCAAATCTTTAATATCGTTGATAAAAATATTTTCTAATGCTTCAGTGATAAAATTTTTTAATGTAGTGAAATTGTCCTTTTATAACTGCGATTTAAAGTTGGCTTTCAATAGATCTTGTCCTTCGTGACATTAAGTCTGCGTCGAGCCTCATTCTGACGTCATTCAAAGTAGGTGGCATAAATGGTTTCTTGAATGACGTCACAAAAATAACTCGTTCCACTCTTTCCTGAGACTGACAAGGTCCATGAAAAAAGGTATTTTCAGTCACTTTTAAACCACAATAAACATGAAAAAATTTGACCATGATGGAAAATTTTTTCCTTGGATATGCTAGAAATTTTGCACCTAGTTTTATGAACTCCTCAAATTCATTCCCAACTTTTGAATTTCTCGCAGCACAACCGAAAGGAATAGGCATCAAATAAGGATACTCATAACAGCTATTTTGAGTACACTTTGAATCTTCTTGCAAATCTCGTGTGATTGCTTCCTCTTCACTTTCGAAATCAGATTTCTTGTCCTAAAGGAAAAACGCTTCTAGTTATTTTTACACATTTTCAACAAAATCATGAACAATTCCCACTAAAATATAACACGTGAGACAACAAGCTTCCAAACTGTATATGAGATACAGCGATATTTCTTTTGAACATATCTTTAGTAGACTCCGTGCTTTTAAGACATTGTTTTTGTATTGGAGCCTCGTCCTCGCTAGAGCTTTTATTGTCGTCAACATGCTTGGAATCATTTGTGTTTCCATTGGTCCATGTTTCCATTGGTCCATGACGCAAACAATGTTGATGAGTTGATGACAAACAGCATGGTAAAAACATATACCGATTATATAGAGTACTTAGCTCGCTCAGTCACAAATTTTCAGATGAATCATCTGCGCATGCACAATCTGCTTCCGCATGCGCATTCGACTCGACCACTGATATGTATATTAGACTGGATAACGCATCTATTGCGAAAATTGAAGCCGGAAGATCGATCATTTGCTACTGGCTTCATGGGGGGTATCGGTCCCACTTTACTATACTTTTGTACTTCAAAATCACAGTTTTTGCGTTTTTATTACTTTAACAAACTTCTGATTAAGGCAAAATTTTTATGACATGTAGAAGAAAACCGATAGATAGTTGATATCAAATTTGGCTTTGGTAAAATTGAGTAATCACGATCGACTTCATTTGAATCCGTTTCTGATGACAATCCTCTCTTTACATTAGTGTATTGTATAGCGCCATCTTTGATTTTATTGTCGTTCAATGCATTATTATCCAGCGTGATGAGGAACAGTTCATTTTGACGGTAACGATGAAGATTTAGTAACAAGCTGAATAAATAATTACACTCTTATTTATTTAGGTTATTTACTTTCGAAAAAGAGAATTTCGTAGAATTTAAATCATTTTTAACCTCTCTTGGGTCAGTGTCAGCTTCGGGACATAGCAAAAGAACCATCTCCATTTGAAATTTCATTACAGTAGATAAAATACTGAGATTTTAAGTACAAAAAGATAAAACAAAAATACCTACACAACAAACTAAAATTTTGCCAAAAGTTTAATTGTAAATATGCTATTTTCAAACCCGCCCGCGCATATTTCAATTATCGTGTAAAAACACACGCGTGTCACTCGACACGCGTGTTGAACACGAGTGAAGAAACTGAGATGACAAGCCTGACAGTAAGCCAAGTAAGCCTAACACATACATAAATAATATTAAACCTTTGTAATCTTTTTCCAAACATTGATCTTGAATATTTTTTGACAAAGATTAGAGCTTTGTTAAGTTCTTTCAAACATTGACCTTGTTTTCTGTAATCAGTCATGGTGAGCCTCAGTCTTTTCCGACTCTATTACAGGAGATAAAGTACTGAGATGTTAATTACAAAAAGATCAACAGAGAAATATTACCATAGAAATTAAATCTTCCCCATTTTTAGAACTCGCACAAATTCATTGTTGGTCGCGCGAGTGTGTGTGTGTTGTGTATCAAACGATAGAAATGTAAAACTAACGAATTAAAAAAATACATATATCTTATTATCAACGTCTTAGTAAAAACTTTAATATTATAATTCATTCGGTGTTTTCAAATTAAGTATTTTACCACGTGCAAACCAAGTGTTTCCCATCGTGCATTGCTGGTGTGTAAGTAAATTTCTCATTTTCTTGAAGGTAAAGGATCCAATCTTACTGCACGTTTTCCAGTTTCAGTTAAAGGTAGCGTGTTTGAAATATTCCCACAGCTACCTCCTAATGAACTTCGTTTATCCTTATTACCCCGCAAGATCCCTAATGATCTCTTAACTTTCAAAAATTCTTCGGATTCAGCACCTCTTATATTCCCTAGAGATCCCCGAACGTTATGAAAATCCTTTGCTGAAAGGTCTGAATACTCGTTTGATAAGTCTGATATTTGTGCTTTGTTTCCTTTATCAGTTATTTCGTTCTTTTTGCAAACATTCGTCGTTTCATCACCTTCCAAATTGGTCAACTCGGTAACTTTGTTTGATTTTCTGACATTTTCATCCCTCAAGGTACTTGCACAATCCTCTAATGTACCGCAAAGTTCATATGAGACGTCATCCATTGTTGGTTTAGTTTCCCCATCACTTTTTGCTGCATTATAATTTGTCTCGAAGGTCTGATTATTTACGTTTTCATCGTTATGTTTGTGGAGATTTTTTGTTCGACGTGTCTCCTGTGTTTGGTGAGTCCCAGTCTTTTCAGCTTGACGTGTCTTCTGTGTATGGTGAGTCCCAGTCTTCTCAGCTTGACGTGTCTCCTGTGTCTGGTGAGTCCCAGTTTTTCAGCTTGACATGTCTCCTGTGTCTGGTGAGTCCCAGTTTTCTCAGCTTGTGTCTGGTGAGTCCCAGTTTTCTCAGCATGACATGTCTCCTGTGTCTGGTGAGTCCCAGTCTTCTCATTTTTGCAATTTCTCACATCCTTCTTAAGCGATTTATTATAAATACTTAATGCATCAACTACGTTGTCATTTTCACTCCTAACCTCTTCTGTTAGAACATCGTTCATTTTGTGAGTATCAGTCAGCTCTTGGTTTTCTGAATTTCGTAGAATTTTTTTATTTCACAGTTCTGTAAAACATTGAGTTCTTCTTTGGTGAAAAATGTTTGTTTTTTGCTTGCTTCACTAGAACGATTTTCATTGTCAGTTATTTGTTCCTCTTTTGACACATCATAACTATCTTCATTTTCTTTATTTGAACACTTTAAAAACAATTCAGAGGGATCTGCATTCGATCTTTCGTTGGCAATAGATGTTTGCGAAGGGCTTACAGGACTGCGAGAAATTTCTTGAACAGGAGTTAAATCTTCACAATGTAAAGAAGGATATTTCAAAACCTGATTGTGTGGATTGTTGAATTCGAGATGTGGTCGGGAATATATCCCTTTATTAGTATAATTCTTGTCAGATAGGGAATTTTTATCTAAGTCTTTAGTGTCTTTTTTATGAACTACAAAGGCATTCACAGTTGATTGGCCAGATTCGTTATCGTGAATTGCTTTGATTTTAATAGTGGTGCCTTTTTTGTCGTTTGATGTTGCGAAATCATGTATTTCTTCATCAGAAAATTCGTTCTCCCAAGACACTTTTCTCTGTCCCAAATTTCTTGTGCTCAAGAGATCCATTTCCTTAAAACAATATTGTGTTTTCATATAATTTCGTCCATTGTTGTTCTCTAATTCTCCCATGCTCATGGATCTCCGCTGACCACGAGAATCGCATTGCCATCGTTTCTTTTTCAAAATGCCATTCTCACTTCTTCGCGATCGTAATGAAGTCTGCGATTGTTTAGAAAAAGTCTGCATACCTTCTGTTTCATGCTTTTCGTGAAATATTGTCGATACTGCTAAGGTTTCATTTTTTACGGATTTTGTTTCTTCCAATTTCGATTCCTCCAAATGTTTCATTAAGACGGCGACGACAACATTGAGGAGGACAAATTGTGTTGTGAGAACAAATGAAGAGAAAAAGATAGGAGCAATATTATTGATGATAACACATCCCTCTGTTTCACCGGACTTGCATATTTTTGAATTCATTGTGTCCTAAAGAAAACAGGTAAAATGTCATTGTTCATGTTTGTGAAGATCCCACAATATAATATCCTTTCATCAATATTCCTTGATGTGTTACAAGATCTTAATTGATCAAGATCTTTCTAAAGATCCAGCAAAATTATGCTTTATCATTAATAATCATAAAAATCCTATAAGAACAAGTTTTATTATCAATCTACAGGAAAATCCAAGAAGTACTTGACGTGTTTCGGAAGATCCCGAGTGGTCAAGAGCATGATCTAGATAGAGTAGTCACTTTATACGCAGTATCATTTTTGCAAGTGATTCAATTTAGTACTACCTAAATTGAATTTACTGTCTAACAGCTGTGGACTTTCTCTTTAGCGAAGAAAAAAATTTCCTAAATAAATCATAATCTTACCTTTAATATCCCATTCCAGTTATCTCCTGTAGACACACGAAACAAGGTTAAGAGAGAGTAGCCAAAATTTCGAAAATGAGCATGTCTGTCCAAACCATTACATTCTATTTCGTCACAAGCTGTAAACAAAACAAAACTGTGAAATTAAATTGTAATTTTCCGATCATCAGAACAATACAAGTGTTTGTTTTCACTCACATATATGGCCAAACAACTCCATTCCTAAAGCTCCAAAAATGAAAAAAAGAAGGAGAAAAAGAATTCCTAAGTTGATGACCTAAAAAACAAAAATGTTAAATGCACAATTTTGAATAAAATTTATGAAAATAGTCTTTAAAGCTTCTTTAGAAATTTGTAGACATATATTTTTACTTACCTGTGGTAATGCTTTACCAATGGTATCCAACAAAGAACGGATTCCTTCTGCTGTTTTCAAAAGCTTCAACACTGATAAAAAAAACAAATATTTATAGTAATCCTAACTAAGGAAACTAAGAAATGACAATGTCACTCACTGTATGCGTTAATTGTATAAAAAATCTTGATAACATGCGCTCAATCGTAAATAAAATATTTCAGTTACCTCTAGTTATCCTTAGAACTCTTATAACACGTATGATAGTTGGATTGATCGGTAGATCAGATGTTGCTAACTCATCTAATATAATCCCACCAATTGACAAGATTACAATGAACATATCCAAACAATTCCATCTAATAAAGTGAAGAAAAAATCTTTCTTTTTCTCAAAAGCCATCGTTAATGCTGCAGGATTTCTATTTTTCAAGTTCTACGAAATCAAATTCATTGAGCTACCTGTCTTTAAAATAATTTCTTATTCCAAAAGCAATTAATTTAAGAACTGCTTCCAACACGAACAAGAAAGTGAATATATAGTTTGCGTATTTTAAACACAACGTCAACATCTGAAAGGAGAAAGATAAATCAGGAAAAACACAAAGACAACCAAAGAAAAAAGTCAGTTTAGTCGTACTATGTAAATTTTAGTTCAGTACCATTACCCATGTCTACAGAAATAAATTGTTATTACAGTAAGGTTAACTACACCACTGCATACAACCAAAAAGTTTTGAAACATTGTTTTTTAAAAGCAGTTTTAACTAGAAGTCTTCAAAAGTCTTTACAAGAAGAAAAAATTTGTTTTATGAATGAAAAAATACAAATCACCAAACACAAAAGAGTTGAAAATTTTCTCTGAAGATAAGGTAGTTCTTACTTTGGGTTGGTTGTAATGCTCCATGGCCATACAAACAACATTAATACCAATAACAATAGCAATCGCTAGATCAAAATAACCATGAGTAACAAATAGAAACAGTTTCTGACGCCATTTAGGAATGCTCTGGTGATCAATTTCTGAAACTGGCAAAAACAGAAAATATTTCAAAATTATTGTAGTAATGATTTGATGTTAAAAAGATGTGAAATTCATATTTCCATTATGTTATAAACACAAACGCTCTAACTCATAGAACATACCTGAATTTCTTGGTGATTTTGATCGTATATTCACTGTCTCTACAGCGCTCGTGTTTTTCTCCTTCAGCAGTTCATCACGACATTTGTGAAAGTTTTCAACAACAATACCAACCAGCATGTTCAAAACAACAAAACCAGCAAGTAGAAGAAATGCAACAAAATATATAACATTCCACTTGGCGTAATCTCGTTTTGGTTGTTTGTCAACATCAACTGCATCAATGCCAGAATACATTATAGCAATCCAACCGTCACGTGTGGCAAAGACAAAGAGGGTTAATAAAGCCTGCATTGGATGAAAAACACAATAAGGAATAGTGACATTTTTGAATGCAAAAACATAGTCAAAAATATTAGTTTATTCATGCAGCTTATGCTATTTTTCTGTTGGTACACTGAAAAGTAAAGTGATACAGTTATAGAAATCCTTAAAAATGATTTTAGTCTGGTCAAAAATTCTCTCTGTGGCAGTAGAGAATGCAATGAGCTTCACTGAATCTCCACGAAGAACAATTGAAAACTGATAAAGCTATCGAGTATAATTGAAAGTAGTTTGAGTCGAAATTGATCCCGTAATACGTAGCAAAAATTGAAATTTGCAAATTTATTAAACTACTGCTATAGCTAACAAATGTCTATATACATCATGTCATATAAAACAATGAACTTAGTTTAGTTATTGTCTTTAGCAGTCGTGAAATCGCACATTGAGAATATCTTTGTGTAAGTGCAGCAGTTTATATCGAGTCAACACTAAGTTATGAGAAACTTTGCAATTTCGATGATATTACATTTACTTACGCGAGCCAAATTGTCAAAATTGTACTCGTTGTTTATCCAGTTTCCATTGTTTGAGATACATTGATCTTTGTTGTTTATTTTTACTGATGATTTAGCATCTTGACAGGAATAGAATTTGCCTTTAAACAACTAGAAAAAACGAAAACTTTGTCATGTCAAGGCGGTACCATTCAATTATTCCAACATTTTTTCTTCCTACCTGTACACCCAAGATACCAAAAATGGTAAAAAACGTAACAGCAATAAGCGCAACATTTCCGATCGGCTTTAGTGAACTGAGCAACGTCTCGACAACCAATTTTAATTCAGGAGCGCGGTTTATAACACTAAAGTAAATGGTTTGAAGTATCGTTATTATCGTTAGTAAGCCAGGAAGTATCGTTACATGTTTGTAAATGTAGATCGTCCAGGTTGGTATAGTCCTGAGAAGGACTGTTTTTGTTGTGGTTGACTGACGTGTCGACAACCTTAGTCGGTCAACGTCAGTCAACAACAACAAAAACAGTCCTTCTCAGGACTATACCAACCTGGACGATTTACATTTACAAACATGTTTATAACACTGTTAAAAAACGACAATGTTTGTAAATAATCCATTTTTGATAAGAACTTATATTGTATAACGTTTCATCCACAGGTAAAACTAAATCATAAATTATTTAACTTAAATAGATAAATGGTAAAACAGTCAAGAAATATTTTTAATTGCCAGAGACAATCTCGTAACCAGCTTTAAGTGTAGTTGCGCCGTCCAAAATTTTAGATTATTAGCAATGCTAATCTATGTACCTTTTAGAAATTGATTGTTTTTACACTGAGTGAGCAACAAAATATTTTTATAGCAAACTTGAGAATTGGCCATGCTACTGACAAAATATTAGTTCTAGCTGATGGTGGGTTTCAATAGAATATTGGCATGTTTTTACGTCGCAATGATTTGAAAAAATTATAAATTCATCTTTTTTACCGTAGAGGTCTTAAGGTTCTAAACGCTCGAAATACTCTTAGAACACTCAAAATTCCGCTACTACTGTCAGTTGTCAAGGAAACGATAAGATCAACCAATGAAATAAGTACAAGGATTCCATCGACGATGTTCCAACCAGATTTTAGATATGTATCAGGACCAATGATAAGACCCATAGATATCACCTGACGTTATAAAAACAAACATATTGACAACAATAAAGAAGGTTTGGCGAATGATTTCTAACTAAGAAAATGTTTCAAAGTCAAAAAGGTATTTTAAAAACTTCAATTTACCTTTAAAGACATCTCAATCGTAAATACTGCTGTGAAAATATACTGCATTATTTGAATAAACTGACCCATCTAAAATAAAATATCAATAGTTTAACATCAAAGTAACAACTCCTCACATATTTAGAAATTAGCTTCTTTACGACCTCACTGTTCTTGTCCAATCCAGGTTCTTCCATTGCCATAACGATACAATTTATCAAGATAAACAGCAATACCACTCGATCAAACCATGGATGCTGATGAATTTTTACGACAAGTTGACGAAATTTATTTTCTGGTGAAAAGACAAAAAGTGACCAATCTTGACGACGCTTTAAACATGACGTGGTATAATTGTCAACGGTTTCGTTTTCATTTTCAACTTGCTCAACACTTCGAAGAACCAGAGACCTGTCCTGAATGGGAAAATATTCTTTTTAATTCAGAGGAGTTTTTTCCAGTGACGTAGCCAGCAGGCAACTTTCATTCTATGTAAATTTTTTGGTGTTTACTCAGTGTAAAAACAATAAATTTCTAAAGAAATGAATGATGCTAATGATGAAAAATTTATACAGCATGAACAAATTTGCAAGCTGGCTACGCGTCATGGCTACATCACATGGCTACGTCACATGACTACGTCACATGGCTACGTCACATGGTTACGTCACAAATGCTTTTATATATTTTACTCAGTAATTTCATGATTTACCAACTATGGCTCTTTACGGTGGTTTCGGAAATCATAGTGCTGACATTTAAGACATAAAATCAAAGACCAATTTTCATGACTAAAAATAAATGGATGAACTTCCTCTTCTTGATGGCATGAATTTAAATATAAATTTATATATTACCCACTGCTTTTGTTCAAAAACCAACGACTACATACTATGTGCATAAAATTTACGCTAAATTTTTCAAAAAATGTGACACCCATACTCCACCCTCTCTGTACGCCCCAAATGTCAACTTTACAGCTCACCTCATCTTGTGGAGATTGACAGCGTGTGACGCCATGTTTTTTTCTATCTTTTTCTGTTTCCAATCCATCCAAAGATAAAACATGAAAATTTGAAGAAGTGTTGTCGCATTTGGGGTCCTTCCTGTGCTTCGAAGGAGCTGAGGAACATCTGATGAGCTGCTGGGAGCGTTGGAGGTATTTGGGGTACATTGTGTGGAGGTCTGGGCAAGAGAAATATGGTTCTTTTTCTGATATACATAGATTCAGACCTAATTTTGACGACCGTGGTGGTGTTTTTGTTTGAAAATTTTTGTTTTGTAACAGAAACTCTTCGTATTCCTGAAATTGATACGATAATGTCTCATTTATTATGAGAAAATCGCGCGGGACGGAACATCACAAACAAAAATTAAAATTGATTTACATTCTAGAGTAACTTACAACATGGTCAGAGAAACCTTCTACGAGGATAGCAACAAGTAGATTAAATAATATATAGTTTCCAATGATCATTAAAAATAAAAAATATAGAGAAGACCATGCTGACAGGGAACGGATACCATCATAGAGAACGACATTCCAATCTTCTTGCGTCAGAACCTATTGAATAAAATTATCGTAACGACTGCTCTTTGTTATTCAGTAAAAACTATCAGACATTGATTCAGTTTATACAGCAAATTATACGACAGGAAAAAGCAGAACTGAGTTGATATTTAAAATACGTGGTTCACAATGTGTTGCATAATTTGGGAAAAGTTTATCCATTACTAAAACATGATCTTCAACAAAAACTGACGTCAGTATGACGTTTTACCTGAAACACTGTAACAAGCGCCCAAAATAAAGTGTCAAAATTAGCCCGCGATGTGACCAGCTGACCATCTTCGTTTGGAAACTGGTATTTCCCTCCAAAAAGATGCATCCCCAAAATACTTGATGTAAATATGAACAAAGCAAGTAACGCCAGAAAAGACATGACGTTATCTAAAGTTCGTACCATAACCGCCAACTGACGTTGCAAAGCTGGCATGAAACGAACAAGTTTGAATATTCTCAATAGTCGAAATGATCTCATAACAGACAAACCACTCGTATCGCTGTCAGCTAAAATATCTATAAAGCTGACAATAAAAGAAAATATTTTGTTGTCTCATATATTAACCACCGCACAACTGTTATGCAAATGGGACTGTGGAACCTGGAGAGCATAGACCCCCGTTTTTTTTTCATGATTAAGCAATTTATTGGATAAAAATAAACGTCGACATGTAGAGTATATTCACATGTTATTCTGCCCTCCCCCCCCGTTCCCTCGTAGACTGATTGTTACAAGTACAAAAGTGTGTTAAAGTTGCATTACTTTGTCATTCACTGTACTTTAATATGATAAACAATGATTCATTTCATACCTTACAATGACAATCACACCATCAAACAGATTATACGCATCTTTAATATAACCGTAAGGTCCAAATGCCGCGATTTTTATCAGCATTTCTAACGCAAAAATTGACGTAAATATGACGTTGAAAATTTCCAAAATGTCGGTCATTTTCTTCGGCTTAAAGAGATACAAAGATTCTTTAAAACACTGTTTCTTCATCCAAAAATGGTAGGCAAAAAATGATTATTGGTGAACAAAAACACAATGAGATTCAGCAATGCTATAAATAGACCTGAAATTTTTACAAATTGATTGTTTTTTTGGTCAGTTAAGATAAAAATATATAATAAACATAAGTAAAATAATCTGGATAATGACTTTGGTAAACCTAAATAGCTTACGTCATCTGGTCAGAATACACATTTATCTTTTAACTTTTGTAAGACTTTAAGTACCTGCCCATGATGCTCTATGGCCATACATATCGTGTTCAGAAATATGGACACCATGATAAACCTCATAAAATGTCGACTTTCAACAAATGCGTTGAGATTATTACGCATCTTGACCCAACATTTTTTCTTTGTATTTTGGAATTCCTCGTCGTCATCGGAAGAATACATAAAATCATTACAAGCATTCGTAAGCACGTTAACGTTTTCGCCCCCAGAATGCCTTGCTGCACAAGAGCACGCCACCTCCAAGGTCTTTTCAGTTGCCTTTGTTGCAATTGCATTAACTGGGGCAGCGGTTTTACTATGAATAAAACAGAAAAGAAAAGCGATGAAACAGTTTTACATGGAATGTCATAACAAGATAATATAGCTTGCAGTTGTTTACAAAATACAAAGTTTCTTTTTTAAGCATCAAAATGTCACAATTACATAATTAAATACGTCATCATCACCTGTACGTAATGACGTTTTCTGAACATTCTTCACCATCAATATTTATATTTGCTGTTGCTGTGGAAACCATTTCTCCTGATGAGTTGTCTCCAGTATCCTGGTAGAGCGCCGTTGTCGCTTGAGCAGTAACTTGAATCTGTGGTATAACGACTACCGTCTTTCCATCTTTGCCAATTTTTGAATCACGTGACATTTTTATGGGATAGTCAACTGACTTGGGGTTAGGATCGCTGGATTGTTCTGTTGATATGGCAGGTGCGTTCGAAGTTAGGTGGGAATCTGTGATCGCATTTCTACATTGACATGGATGATGATGTACATAATGGTGATAATAGTGGTAATGGTGGTGATGATGATGGATAGACTTTGCATTATCCCTGCGGTTCTTTAGTTGTATGCAGGGTCGAACACGTCGACGTTTAGACGCCTTGTCCATCCTCGTCCAGTGGCGCATGCGTTGTTTAAAATGACGGCAAAGATGCTCCAGGTAATGCAAGATCTGCGTATAACATCCTTGCTGCATGAAATTTGAGGATACCGTGCTGACGCTGGTCCGAGATCGCAGGCGCGACTTTTTTAGTAGCTCCGTCTCGCGTTGTTTGGTTTCTTGGAATTGTGACGTTATCACAACCAAACAGAGATTTGTCATGAAGTAAGAACCGAGCTAAAGGCAAATTGATATAAAAATTTAGAAGTTTTTGATGTTTTATTTGAAAATCCTGTTTTATAGTTTTGAGTAAAAATTCATTCAAACCTTACAAGAATTAGAACGACAAAATAAATCCAATTCCAAAAAGAATGTACATCTTGTATTTTATACATAATATCCGTCCATCCTTCAAGAGTTATAATCTAAGTGTAGTATTGATATAATGCTTGTAAACTTAAATAAATAAATAAAACAACTATTTCAACTCAACTTACTTGAAATATTACAACTGTTGCTATACCAATGTTATCAAAAGATACTGAACCCCAGTAGAGATTTTCTCCACTTTGACGACACAACGTATAATATTGGTACCAGTCCACGCAATGTGATGATGACGTGTTCTCGGTCGTAAGGAAACTTTGGTTACACACTTTATTGTTGACGTTGTACGGATTAAAGTTATGAGGATTACATTTAGATAAACCGTTATTTTCTGACAATGAACAGACATAATATTCATTGAATGAAGGACGGTAAAACTCTGCCAAATTATACCTGAAGAAATGAAATATTTTATGAAGTAAGAACAAGAATCAGTCGTCAAACTCTCATTTATATTATTCGATTTTTGTCCAAAGCGCTGTGCGTGTTGTCACTTAAACGCCATGTGAAGAGTATTTGAACATATGACAAAAATTTGATAACGTTTTATAAGAATTACTTACTGTTTAATGATGGTACTGTTAAGGTCCTGTGGAAAACAGCGAGCATGTAAAAGACCTTGCCAAAGTTGAACAGCAATGATCCCAAATATTGCAAAAATCAAAAAGCAAATTGCTAGAACATTGCCTAACATTGGCAACGTGTCCAGCAAAAGCATAACTAAAATACGGATGCCTAGACAATTGAGTAAAAATAGATTAATTATAATGATCTATAAATGTCACCATAGGTTGCATTAACTATGGTCGAATGTCAAAACTTTTAAAATTGGTCATTATATATCTTTCAAGTTTCTAGAGCAGTCGAATTGTTTTTTTTGGCATGTCTAGTAAATTATCAAAGGAAGTTTTAAAATGAACTAATCATTTAAAATCTGTGAAGCTTAAGCTTTTTTGACTTGCACAAGACTGATCTTTGTGATTCTTCATAGCTTACTTGGAACTCGATTTATTGCTCTTAATGGTCTCAGAACACGAACTGATCTAACAGCACTCAAATATTCTCCTTCACCGTAGGCAAGTTCAAATGTTCTACAAAAATATACAGGAAAACTTTTCAACCCAACGCATTACTTATTGAAATGGTAATACTTCAATTAGCTATGTGAAAATTATGATTGTCTTAAAATGAATAACATCTCATTTAAGGCCAGCAGTTAACACAGAAGTTAATCCAGCACTCATTATACCCTGCAAGAACAATGAAACAATCCAGTTTATTCCAAGAGTCTTTGAAGTATCCTAAATCACCAAAAAATCCCATAGCCATCCATTTTATCAACATCTCCATCACAAAAAAGGCGTAGATAGCAGTCTCTAGAATCTCAAGAATTTGACATTTCTTTGTAGCGCAGGTCTTGTCAAATGGATTGTACATTCCTAGAGTTACACAGTTTAATAAAATCACCAAAATACTGGTGCGCTCGAACCATCTTTTAAAAAAATTAAGGGAGAATAGTTACTTTTGTACAGAAAAATCAAACAGGCAATTTATTTCGGTAGTATTTCCTCAAAATAACTGTATTCACAACACATGTTTGCAAGAAGAATTTTTACAATAATTATCAGTTATAATTAAATCTTTTAGATAAACAATCAAGACGAGACAGAACAAGTCAATCAAGTCAAAAGGATACGGAGACCTGACAAGTTTAATAAACCATCTTCTTGGTCGACTTTCTTGCTTTAGACAACAGAAAATTTCTGTTTCAAACTGATCAAAGTTGACGTCTGTTTGACGAACTGAGAGTCTTGATGATGTTGAACTACTTGGTCGATTGCGAGGAGATGGAGAAAGAGGAAAAGATGACATTTCTATCGACGGCTCACGTTTTGATACTTTTGGGACTTCTAACATTCCTAAATTCCCATCGTAAAATATAGATATTATCAACTAGACAACACTGCCTTCATTTAAAGCGGACTTAATTAAAGATTACATTACAACTGAAATACAAAATTTCATCAGATATCCTTAAAGAATTCGCACGTGTTTAACGACAGTAGTTTAATTTCAACCTTCGACGCGGAGGGGGAAGTTTTGTGTTGTAATTGGTTGCCGAATACTTTGATATATGTCACTTCCGGTTCCTGGAGCTCGCAGCAGTCATGAGAACAAGAAGATTGTAAGTAAGGATCACGGGCTCTTTTTACGAGATTTAATTTCAGTGGATTGGAGTTAGCGCACCATGCATGAAGATTATTGATGAAGTCAGAAACATACAATATTTAACAAACTCAAATTAATTCTCGCCTCACCTGTAACAAGCAGATTATAGCCGGCCACATAACCTGTATTTTAGTTAGGAGAATTAAGTTTTAATCAACAAACAGCATCTATAAAACCGCACTTAAAGGATAGGAGAAAGCTGTAACTTTTGTTAAGATGGAACACAGATTAAAGTCGGTTTCCAACAATGGATAAACTTTTCACAAACCATAAAACCGCAATTTTTTATTTTCTTTTCATAACGGAAACGAACGAATCAAACATTCTAACTATAAAGATCGTAAATTCTATAATTTGAAGATATTTGCTCAAAATCCTTTAAGACTTTTGATTAGTTTTAAGTAAACTAACAAATAATACAATAGTTAAACGAAAGAAAAGACTAAACAGAAAAAGTTAATGTATCAGATCACTTTCTATAAGAACTTACCTATTTTATATCAGCCACGGTTATTCGACAAAACACTAAATTAAACTTAACTAGATGAGATTATTACACCCAAAATTACAACACTATTCATACATTCAACATAATTGATTCCCTTTGCTGTATATGACGGCAAAGTCACAGTTGAAATTCAAAAAATGAACAAAATTCTGTAGAATATTTCTGTACATTTGTTGTATACATTGTAGATTTGATTAGAAACACCTTATCAAAATGAGATCTGGTTCACACTTGGTATGTTATAAGACCATCAGTAAACGTTTAACCATTCTCAAACACGAAAGTTCGTCGAAGTATAGAATATGTCAGCGAATTTGGTGAATATATTACGTCTGTCAATCATAAAAACGAGCAGAGAAAATGCAGCAACAGAATCTATTCATGAGTATTACAGCAACTATATTGTTTAACTTTAAAAATTTTATGGAAATCCACGTTCTTCTATTTTGGGATTGAATGTGAAACGTTCTCAGTAGGCAGAAAAACAACTAGACAACAAAAGAGATCGACAAATTGACTATGTTTTAAGAAAAACTTACTGTAGTTCACAAGGCCAAGCCAACTGACTTTCTTTCAACGTCCGAACTTTTTCACGCACACTGCGATATGAGTCGTGTCTAACTTCAGCTTGGCCGGTTTCTTGTTGAAATTTAGCAAATGACGAAAATGAGAAAATGCGATTTCTGTCAACACAAATATCTTAGGTCAATGAAAGTTAATTAGACAGTATTCTTCATCTTAACTCTGTTTTACGTTACAGTATCTGTAAGCCGTTGTTTCTTGAACAAAAGATAATTATTCAATGCGTTTTATAATATGAACACATATTCATTTGGTTTTAGAAGCTTTAAAGCATAATGCTGTGGCAGACACGAATATAAGTCTAACACACATACGAAAATTTTCTTTAATGAACCTTGTCAGAGCACTAACACCTTTCTTTTGTCGGTCCAGTAAACTTAGTAAGTGTTAAATTTAATGAAAGTATTGTTGATTTATCATTGACAAGTATAACAGAATGTAAATCATTCAATAAAGTTAGTTTTCATGCTTTACATTAAAAAATTTTTATCGAATGTGCACGTTTATATTTCTGTGGCATTGACCAGTTTCAATTACGGAAACCGTGTTAATAATGCGATGTCTTTCGCAGAAGAATGCGTTTACTGAAAATATTATTTTATTATGGAAAATAAGCAGGTTTTAATTCGATTTGCGAAGGCGATACTAACCATCCTTTGTCTGAAACTGAATATCTTTCATTCACGAGAGCCTTTTTCAATTAACAAAATTCGTTTTCAAAATCGGCAAGTCGTTCTATTGTTAAACTAATAATACATACTTTGCACTTTCGCCTTAATGGAAGTATAAGCGCTGACTACACCTGCGATGATGCACTGCAGTAAGCGTTTCTTTCGCAATAAATTATAAACATAGAGTCTACTTGGTTTTACTTTGACATCTTCTCAGAGACTTGCATACAATCAAAGATAACCATTGTTTATGGTGAATTTCACAGTTGTGGTTGGGCAAAAGTGTACAGTAAAATGTAAGATGTTTAATATTTAAGTAACCACACGAAATACCAAAGTTTTGCAAGCTTTTCTCAAAAAGGTAAAATTCCCACTCGTAAAACATAAAGAACATAAAAATATCACGCTTTTCTGTAATCAATACGTTTACGTTCTAAAACATATTTTAAACTTTATTTTATAAAGACTTAGCAACAAATACTAACTATGTTTGGCTAAAATTAGTGTGTCACCTGCAAAAATCGCCCCATTAATGTATCTCAGTTAAAACACACAAAAATAAAAAAATGTTTGTCTTGTTCAATCTTTAGGAGAAAATTAAATATGCTGTGATATAAAAGTACTCTAAGAATTCTAGTAAATCGCAGATAAGCAATCATTAGTTTATCCAGTCTGCGTGGCATATTAATATTTCATTTGAAAGTTATATACTGTAGAAAAATTGAAGTAAAATGGACAAACTATAAGATGTTTTTCAGCTGGAGTATTTTTGACTTCCTTAAACTTACATGTGAGTGTAGGTGAAGCGAAAAAGACGGCTTATTTACCGAAAGAAATGAAGACGAAGAATTTAAGCTAATTAAAATTGTCAATACGGTAAATTTTAAAATTACATTAGCAATTGAAAATTGCACATAATTCATTTTCGGCGTCTGTCTTCGATAGAACGTGAAAAACATGAACGCAATTTGATAGTAGCTATAAATTCGCTATCAGTACAAAATGACTTCCAAATGCTAAATCTTCATTATTAAATTTCGACAGAAAGGGCTTTAATTTACAATTCAGCTATAAAACATTTCGAGTCGTACAAATTTATGATTCATACTGGCAAAACGGTTTATCAATTTCAAAAGAACAGCCACATATAGAACGAACGATGCATGCAAAGAGATTAAGATTAGTATAAAAGCTTTATGTTGAAAGGAATAAAGATTCTACTTTTAACATACTAAAAATAATGCTCCCACCTGCTCAATGTATTGAAAATTTTCCATCGAAACAAATCAATAAAGTTGCCGACTTCTTATGGTAAACCGTCTTGCTTTAATTTAAAATCTTTTGCTCGAACCAAACGATATAACAAGCACGGTTTTGTCTTGCTTAATGCATAAAACAGCGCGGCTATAAGACCGCCTTCGTTTCTTCGATAATTTTTGTCTTGTAGTATAATTTCTCTTGATTTTATTGTGTCTAAGTAGATTGATATTTGCATATTTGCAATTAGTAGCACGGGAATAACACGTTCTTTCCTAGCAACAGCATATGTACAGTGCAGACTGAATATTCCTTGATATAAACAGTGTGAACTCGCTCTAAATCAAAATAAATAGTTGTCATTACAGCAATTCTTCAAAGGATGGGAATTTTATCTAAACAGTAACGCGCAAGTTTGATGTATACAATATGTGTACTTTTATCAAAGTACACATTTACAGAAAGATGTTAAAATGACAATGACGTCAAGGTCGGGGGGGAACATTTAATCGAGTGCAAAGGTTCAATGGTTCTCAAATTACTCCGTGTCGCACATCATCTGAACATCAAAGTAGAAAAAAAGCACAAAAAATGCATGTGATGTTTGTGTTGAGGTGAAATTCTTACTTAACATTTACTACGTCGAGTAGAAACAGGAAAAATTATTTCGTAAAGAAATGGAAAATCTTAAAGATGCCGAAATAATCAAGTTTGATGTAATAGAAATATTTGGATTTCCTGTGATCAAAAAATACGAAAAGTCAATGGAAAAAGGCGAGGTAAATAACAACAACGAAACGAAGAATTCAAAATTTGGAGTACGGTCAATTATTAAAACGCTTCCCATGTTAACAATATTATGTTCATGTATGACAACGATTTTGGTTATCGCTATGATTTATCATCCCCCAACCATGATCAGAGAGCTATCAGAGACGTTCCTAATGCGTTTAAGCCAAAACGAAGCACTTGAAGAACAATTTGAAAATGCAAATAGAACTATAAATATCTTATCAGCTGAGGTCAGAGTCATAAAAATGGACGGACTTGCAAATCTAAGCAGAGAAAATCAATTGATTGAAAATTTTCACGCTTTGAAGCAGGAAAAAGCGAATTTAATGTCAAAGCTATCAAACGCAGAGGCATTGATAAAGACTTTAAGTGAAGCCGATATAAGACGAGAAGAAAGCTTGGAAGAGTTAGAACAAAAAATCGACAAATGTTCGAATGAAAAAAATGAAGCCTTAAAGCTTCTTTCGACGTCTATTTTGGAAGAAAACGGGACTAAAATCAGCTTAGAAAAATGTCAGAAAAATGTCGATCTGTTGACGAAGGATATTGAAGGTATAAAAGTGGAGAGAGCAAGGTTATTCAAGGAAAGAGAAGAAGCTGATTTACTTTCAGATGCTCTTGAGCACGAATTACAAAATTGTAAAGATATGTTAGCATCTGAGACTGAATTAAAAGAAAAACATGAAAAAAAAGTGAACGCTTTGGAGAAATATCAATTTGAAACTAACGAATGTCGAAGGTCTTTAGAAGATCTTCAGTCTAACGTATCTTTTTATCAGACCAATTTTGTTAAGTTGGAAGGAAATGTTAAAATTTTACAACAGAAGTTGAATGATTGTATGGATAAATTGAATGAAGACGAAGACAAGTTGAAAACAAAGCGTTCCAAGTTGAAAGAAAGTAAAGATTTGAAAATGGATCATGAAACAAAAAATAACGAATTATAACGACCGAAAGTATATAAAAAATATGAAATGCTTTGAGAATGAGATCGACATACCCGAAATATGACATATTTAGCTGTGATTTCAACAAATGGTGTACTTGTTTTAAGTCTAACGTAACAACAACGTCTATGATATATACACTGGAAAATAATGAAAAAGGTTATCGAACAATAACAGAATTTTTGAAACCACGAAGTTTGGAATATGAAATAAAACACGCACGACAACATGTTTATAATTATATATTTATAAGAGGAAAAACTGTCGAAAGAAAATTTGACAATCTCTCTCGACATTTTTATGTCAGTAGAAGAATAGTGAGAAAAAGATTGTTTTAACAAATAGTTTGAAAACAAAATGTTAGGATCGGGATGCATAGGGCTTAGATTATGTAATTATGCTAACTATTATGCAAAAAGGCCTGTGCATTGAGCACGGTTTGAGCAAAATTCATGTTTCGTGGTGTATTTCTTTGTACGTGGATGTTTATATATTTACTGGCAAAAATACGAGGTAACGATGATTAAAGCTTTAGGCCTCCTTGTCTATTATATGTTTATTACCTATACACTCTGTTGATTAGAACGGTATGTTTGAAATTGTATTTGAATAAAAGATATATGGGTAATAAGTCGCTGTTTACTAGTTGAATGTACGAGTATCTTGCTGGTCACATAAGCCTGAAATTGTTGAAGCTTATAAAAATAATTTTAATTTGACGGCTTACATCTTTTCTTCGCGGGGAAGTAAATTTCGGCTGGATGTTCATATTGTAAAACTAAAATGTTATGAAGGTATAGCCGAAACAAGCAGATAAATAGTTTTATTTTCAATAGCTCTGACTTGCATTTCTGATTGCCATCAATTCGTTGCATTTGAACACATCCAATAAAGTGAACTATTGTGAATCATGCAAGTACTGCGTTTTAAAACTGACACGGAAATATGTACTGTAAGCTGGTAAAAACAGAATTTTGAAGAGTACAACACAAGTTAACCAATAAAAAATCTTTTATGAAAGAATTCATACAATATTTCAATGGGTCTGCGAGATGAAAAAGTTTAAGTTTTCGGTAAACCGTAAGACGACAGAGAATCGTTATCAAAAGAGGTTTGACGCGAAGGGCACGAGAACATTGGCGATAAAAGGTGTTTAACAATTTCATGTTGTATTTGTGACATGATATATTTTCATTTTAGAATGACACTTAAAAGCTCATCAATTTAATCACTTAAATATTTTACAACTATTCCATAGTTTACAAGTACATACTAAAAACAATTATGGATACCATAAAAGCATAAAACACGATAGCAAAGATCGTCATTTGTTACACAAATTGATCATTATTAGTTTTCATTCTAAGCTCAACAGTACCTCAATTTCTCGTTAAACTCCTTATTAAAATTCCTCTCATTTCTTAATCACTAATCAAAACAGCCTTCAATCATTAACCAGTTACAGAGAAATGAAAGTTTTCTCTTCTTATAAAGCGTTTGCTTTTTATGTCACAGCAGCCATTTCGATAATTAATTAAAATAAAAGTTAACGAAATTTTTTCACCAAAATGGCCGCCAAAATAATTAAAAACGAAAAAGCGTGAGAGGACTGGGAGCCAAAGCAAAAAGATGAGAGAGCTAGGAGCTAAAGTAAGAAGCGAGGACTGGAAATACAACTCATCCTTTGTCAAAAAATTGTCATCATTTTCAGCCAAAGTTATAGCCAGCGAGCAAGTCGTGAATCAAACATTTCCAGCTTCGATAGACACAAGAACATTTTCTTCACCATCGTATATAACAATGCTACTTTTTCGAAACTTCCTAAACACATAAAAAGCGACGACCAATTGAAAAAACACCAACTTCAGTTTAAAAATTACCGTATAAAGCGAAAACGCAATTGTAAAGCTCAATATTAAATTATATAAATTTAACTCACCCAAAAGATATAACTCCAGTGTGGACAAGACAAAACAAAAGAAATATCAATATAATACAGACGATAAGTGTGATAGTAACGATTATTATGATACGTTTTCTGTTTGCACTTGCATCATCGGTGTCGAGAGTTTCGATGCCACCTAAAAAATCGACAAAAGATCTTCATGCAAGCTGAATAACATGGCATATTGACAAAATATTCGGAGCTTTCAACTATATGAACAAGAATCATCCGATTACAAAGTTCGAATCGGTATGCACAAGAGATAGAAAAACTAAAATGAATTAAATATTTGTTACATAATAGAAGATGATAATCATTCAGGTCAGTTAAGTTTAGTGAAAAACTGTTGGTGTTTCCATTGAAGATTTCACAACCTTGACCGTAGACATCTTCGGGGTCAAGTGACGTAAAAACGTCACTCAACACCATCATAAAATCGAACATTTTTTATTGATGTAATCAAGAAAATTGACTACCTTCTTTATCAGAAGATGACGTTGATAGTTCTGATGGGGAAAAAGTTTGAAATTCGGTGGATATTTGTCTTGTGCTTAATTCTTTGGTGGTATTTTCTGCAGGAGGAGTAAGGATTGTCGAAGTAACAGAAAACTTGCCCATTGAGGCTGGAAGTGTTGTTGAAGATGTAGTGGTGCTTGGTGATGGTATGGTGCTTGGTGGTGGTATGGTGTTTGTGATGGTATGGTGCTTGGTGATGGTATGGTGCTTTGTGATGGTATGGTGCTTGGTGATGGTATGGTGCTTGGCGATGGTATGGTGTTTGGTGGTGGTATGGTGCTTGGTGATGGTATGGTGCTTGGTGATGGTATGGTGCTTTGTGATGGTATGGTGCTTGGTGATGGTATGGTGCTTGGTGATGGTATGGTGCTTTGTGATGGTATGGTGCTTTGTGATGGTATGGTGCTTGGTGATGGCATGGTGTTTGGTGATGGCATGGTTCTTGGTGATGGTATGGTGCTTGGTGATAGTATGGTGCTTGGTGATGGCATGGTGCTTGGTGATGGTATGGTGCTTGGTGATGGTATGGTGCTTGGTGATGGTATGGTGCTTGATGATGGTATGGTGCTTGGTGATGGTATGGTGCTTGGTGATGGTATGGTGCTTGGTGATGGTTTGTCATTTAAATCTTGAGAGGAGGTTAGATATTGACTTATTGTTGAGAGTCGTTCAGTGGGAAGAGATTGAGTGGAGTGTGGAAAAGATGCAATTGATGACGGAGATGTGGTGGATGACGGATTTTTGGTGGTTGAGGGAGATGCATTGGAAGAGGGAAATGTGGTGGGTAAGGAAGATGTGGAGGATGAAGGATTTGTGATGGATGAGGGATTTTTGGTGGATGTGGAATATGTGGTGGATGAGGGGTAGGTTGTGGATAAGATGGTTATCGTTGACAAGGGAGATGTGGTGGATAAGGGAGATATTAGGATTGATGTTGTAGTGGTCTGAGGAATTCTTGTGGATAATTCTAGACCATGAAACAAACAATGAAGGGTTAGATTTAATTCAATATAATTTATTTCATCATATGCTAATTTATAAACATAATAATTTATGAACAAATCACAAGGATACACGCGAGCTTTATGCAGTTGAATAGAAACAGAGCACTTATTTCCCAACAAAATATATTGAACAAAATCAGATATTTACAAACTCACCACAACCACTAATGTTAACTTCATTGAAGTTTTTTAAAATTCCATCACAAGAAATTAAATCGCCATGAAGACGATTTTTTTGACTTTTACCCCAAACAATAAATTCTGCTATACTGCAGTTGCAGTAAACAGGATTGAGCGTTACTTTTCTAAATAAAAACAATCAAACAAAATTTAGAGAATTAAAAACGATGATTATGCACTACAAACTGCCTACGCTAAGCAGTTATGCAACTCGAGTTATAAGATAATGAGTTGAGAGAGCGACGTGGCAGATCATTTGCCCGACACAAAAACGTGGAATGATTTTATATTTAAAGAACCCGGGAGTATCGTTACATGTTTGTAGATGGAGATCGTCCAGGTTAGTCCCCTACCGCTAAGTTTGTCGAAACGTCAGTCAACAACAACAAAAACAGTCCTTCTCAGCACTATACTAACCTGGACGATTTTATATTTTTTATTAATAAGATTAAATTTTCATTCAGATAATGTCGAAAAGCCATTATATTTCATTGTTTATTTTGTTTTAATGTCTCAATTTTGGAAAAAATCAATTCTAGTTAAAAACACTTCAAGCGACAAACAAATTTGGCAACTGCACGGTTTGGAGTGAGCCATATGGAAAGGCAATTTTTGGTCAGTGAAAATGTTTCAAAGAAACAAATAGACCCCAAGCAACAAATGTACTTGTGCGGTGCCGTGGGCGTCCCTCAAGAAAATGCGAAAACTTTAGGCTAGCTCTAAATTTCAAGAACATGAAGCGCATATTGCTTCGGCCAACAAAAAAACACAGGATCGTCCTGTATAAGAATGATACTTACACTTCTAGAGTATCGTTTTTTAAAATTCTGAAAACATTCATTGGAAGATAATGAAAAAGATTACTTTGAATATGACTGGAAAAGAAATAAAACACAATCAACGGTACTGAACGTTTATTAATTCATAGATCAGTTTTAAGTGACATTTTTTTCCCTACTTACAGCTCATACAAATTTTTCTTCACTGGTTCAAAGGTTTCCACGGAAAGACTGCTCAATTTATTTGCGTCTAGAAACCTAAAAGAAAGGTTTGTTTCAAATTTAGTCCAACCGTAACTGCGAGAATGTGAAAAAAATATCAAAAATATAATTTAAAAAATATAAATTTTTGAGTCAGCTTAAAACTAACAAATGCACGATGTCGTACAAAATATAATCGTTGCTTACACAGATCTAAGATGGACCATAGATTTGTCGAATAAATCATCTGGGATTGAAGATAGTTGATTATCTCTTATGGAGCTAAATTGAAACGATAAAGACTCATTAATGGAGTGCATGATTCAAGCCATAACTAAATCAAACATCATTTGTACTCACAAGACAAGAAGTTTCGGCAGTTGCCTTAAAAAATTTTCAGGTATTTTGGACAGCTTGTTGTCGTCGAGTAATCTGTGTGTTACAAACAGTAATTGAGAAAGGAAAAGAAGTGATTACAAACGCACATTTTCAATGAAAAAAGCAGATGTTAATGAAAATAGCAAATTTCTGTCACTCACATCCTTTGTAAATTCGGGAAATTTGTGAAAAAATTCTCGGGTAAACTCTCCAATCCATTACGATTAAGTTTTCTAGAGGGAAGAATTTTATTTCGTCTTATACATGAGTTTTATTACATCTCATACATACCTATCGATAAAATAACCCAGTAATCTATTCAAAACTATTACTTACATGTATTTAAGAGTATTTTTCACATTAGAACCTTGAAAAACACCATAAGGAAGGCTTTTGATTCTTCTGTTTTTGTCAATATGACTAGCAAAGCAATTGAACAGTAAAAATTAGAACAAAACAACATTGAAATCTTTAGCATTGAATTTCTTACATTTCCACAATATTCGTTAAGTTTTTGAACGAATCCAATGGTATAGACGCCACATTCGTATTTTTCAAAACACTACAAAAAGAAATAGCCACAATTTTCATGTCAATGAAGACATACTTTGCATCGAAACATGGATGTTCAGTCAAACATCCTACAGTCCATTTCTCGTAGCTATTTTTAGACTTAGCTTCCATTCATGTCTAAGATTAATAGAAAATTTCAGAGGCAGATGGTAAAAGGAAAAAATAATTAAGAAAAGTTTATTATATTTGTTATTTCTTTTTTTCTGTAAGTGGGCAGAACGAGTACCGAGCTAAACGCCCCCGTAAAATGTCCCAAACAATATCAGAAACAAATTACTGTCAAACAAACGTGACGGCGAACCTCTTTAACAAACATCAAACAAGTATTCAATGGCAAAAGACTTCGCGCCAACTTTGCTTACTACATGTGGTTTTGAAAAAAATACCCAGTATTATCAACCTATAGCCTACATTAATACAACAACAAACACAGTTTTTATAGCATATAAAATTGCTTTAAATAGTATGATCCTAATTTGTAGGACTGTAGTCGCTGTCAAAGGCGAGGAAAACCAGCAGAAAAATAAAAAGTTATTTTGTAGTCTATACAGTGATAGTATAAATGATCTTATTTGCGATTTTACAACTAAATTCATACAATCAAAAACACCTTTTGAATTAATCGACGAATAAAGAAAGTCGATCATTTCAGTTTAATGAATCCTAACTGACTTTCCCACGAACAAATTTATAGTATTTCTGCATCTTGGGCCATCTACCAATTTTTGTCACAAAAGCCGAGACAAAAACGCACACTTCACTTAAGGCCACTTAAACATGTCCTTAAAATTCAATCAAATTAATATCCACACTGTTTGACCTCTTCTCTAAAATATAAACAAAAGATGAAGTGATAACCACTCCAAATTTGGCGATGACAGCAACGCACGGGCAACACATGGAATGTGTATTGAACTTGACGAAATCTCCTCAATAAAGATCATCTGCACTTTTCACAAAACTTTATTACAAAGAAAAGGTCGCAAAAGCTTTTATAACAATACATGAATAGATAACATGTTTTAATTGTTTCCGCGTAGGCAAAATTTTAAATAAGTAAACTATTTTATTCGTTCGCTTGAAGTATTTTTTCTATAATGACTTGCAATTATCAAACATGTCCAACCAATTCGTTCGAGTAGCTTTGTAAGACTTTGAATGAAATATAGAAGACGCACGACTTTTTGTAGCAGTTACTTGCCCCAGCAGAAAGACAACCAATTCTCTTTCGAATGATAACAATGCATAAAACGCCGATTAAGAGAACCATGAGGTTTGAGCTTAATAATACAAACAGAAAGCAGACAAATGCTGATGAACGAGACAAATTGTCGTTTTCCGCTACTAATGGCTCAAGTTCAGCTTAAGTTAATGTCATTCCGCTAATTTGAGATGAAAAGTAAACGAAATAAAGGCAACAATGTCAATAAGATTTTCAAATCAAAGATACCGTCCTTACATACCGCTCTCGAAGATGCAAAGGCGCTATTCACACGGTCAAACAAATATTTCAAACCTTTGGCTGATTTACTACGAATATAATTCGTCAAAAAACTAATCCTTCGGTTATTTCAGTAATGTATACAAGTACACCATATTTTACATAAAAACCCGACAAGAGAGACCTCAGCTTCTAGTTATCGTTGTAGTGCACATAAATAGCTAAAATCGATTCAAGATATTAAAGGAAAGCGAAATTATATTAAAGAGTTTTCTCAAAAGTACAAAAACATCTCAACGATAGCACACACATTTCCTTATTTTTAGGTAAAGCCACATGTAGCTACACAAAGATAATAACACGGACCATTGAGAAGAAATTAACATTAAATTTACCCCAAGATCTTGAGTATATCAACGATACTTTTAATAAAGAAAATACTTACAAAACGTTAGTATCATTGGGAATATTGTCCGGCATTTCGCTGATTGTAGGTCCCAAGCATACGACTACGTTTTCATATTTATTATTGCATTTACATTTCGCTGGACATTTTGTCGAAGCTGTTGTAGTAAACCAAAAAGAATGTATTCCCAAAAGGAATACAATACAATGGAAATTCATTTGCGATATTTTTCCCCAAACGATCTTGATTGGTATGCTAAACTGCCACAATGCAAACACTATTTGAAGTGTCGGTCGATATGTTTGTATAACAATATAAATGAAATAGTTATGCAAATTTCAAAAAAAACTATTAATGATTAATGCAACTCTTCTTGCGCAATAATAACATCTAAAAAAGGTTCTTTGTTTGGCTGTTGGACGTAAAAACAACTGGAAAAATCTAGTCGAAACGTGCAGTTTTTCTCATAAATAGTCTGGCTTCTTATTCAAGCGTTAAAATTTGTGATTACTTGCTTTTACACAACCCTAAACTTTCGTCACATTCATAGAGATGAGATGGTAGTTTTCAATGAAGTTCGTATACACCCCATTATTTGATATGTTGCTTGATAAACGTTGAAATGAATAAGAACTGCAGAATGTGCGATTTGAGCCAGCTTTTTTATTTAATGTGTTTGCTTGCCTAACAAACCACAAGAAATTAACTGAAATACGGTCTTGAACAGTTTAAACTACTTTCATCTTTTGATATGTCAACTACTATTTTCTTATTCAACATTATATTTGTATTTCATTACTTGATCATAAACAATTATAAATATTTCATCCGTAAGCCAACGCATTGTTACCACAGAATAAACGAAACTATTTATAAGTGTAAAAACGCCCAATCTTCAAGTACTTACCGATATCTTCCTGCAACACAGATAATAATAGTTTGATTCTTTTACCATAAAGAATTCGTGTCACGGACCTGATTTCCGTTTAACTACCCACGACATTATGGACGAATTGTCGCATTCTTGTTTAAATATTTTCATTCAATGTGAGCAATTATCAAATGGTTAAAATATAATTCAACTATGTTTTCCTATCATAAGTTAAAGTAAATTTCATCAGCTAATGTATTCTGTGTAATTTCACGTGTAACTCATTTTTAGTATGACATTTCTCCTAATTTTTTAAAAATATTTGAAATGACTAAATGATTGAAAAATATTGTTTACAATTGAACACAAAAACTTAACGAAATTTTTAATTACTTATTAATTACTTATATTCTTTATACAGTCAAGATTTCGCAATTATTTGAAGAGAGGAAGCTAAAAAGTAAGCAAATGACCATTTTTATGCAGCAGCCAAACAAACAAGTCATAATTGAGTTATTTGATAAAGATGTTGTGCAGTTAGAGCACAGATAGCCCACAGTCCAAGATATCAATCAAATAAGAATTTTTTTTCTTCACGAAGGAAAGAAAAAGATTTCGAATCTCACAAAAAAGAAAACCTGTACAATGAATAAAAAGAGCTGTTGTTCAACGTTAACATCGTCTCAAAACTATTTTTGCGAAGAAAACATAACCAAGTTTTTCAAACGCTTGAAAAAATATATATATTATACAACGGAAACGTCATCCGGGCCTCCGAGCAGCCTGTCCCAGACCTCCACGGTTAAAATGGCGAAATCAAAAAGTGCAATTACCATTAATAAAAATATTAAAAGCAAATACTTTAAAAAAACAAAAAACGACAAGACAACACGAGTTGGCAAAACAGCTAAAATAAGGACCAGGTCTTGGAAAAAACAAACAGTAAAAAGTTTGCCAAATCCTGGTAATTTGGGTACTAGCAATTCAAACAAGTCAATTCTTGTTAATCCCCTCGAGTTTAAGAGATTGAGCTTTGATTTCTTTGACTCTTCAACTGAAAAGTTGGCGATCGACTTGCTGGGTAAAGTTTTGTGCAGAAAAACGAAGCAGGGTGAAATCTTATGTGGAATAATTGTAGAAACAGAAGCTTATTTGGGAATTAATGATGCAGCATGTCACTCATACGGGGGGAGACGAACCTCACGAAATGCTCCAATGTACAAACCCCCCGGAACATCGTATGTGTACTTCATATATGGAATGTATTATTGTTTTAACATCTCGAGTGCTGACGAAGGAGCTTGTGTTTTGATTAGAGCTTTGGAACCATTGTGTGGTAAACTGATTTGATTTCCATAATTTTGCAAACTTCTATTTAATTCTTTAAGTCTTTTTCAATTCAAAATTTTCCAACCACAGAATACCATGTTGCCATTAGAAAAGTACCATGCTTTAACTTCTTGCCCTCAACCACTTAGTGACAGCTGATCTCTTTCCCATGAACATTCCAGGTATTATGGAGCTCCAGTGAAAAGCCATTCCTTTTAAGGCAATGAGACAAACAAGATCTTTTATGGTCACGTTTTTCATGAAGTTTTTTGATGCACCTGTAAACTCCTTTAACTAAGTCTTTTTTAACACTTGCCTCCATTACTGAAGAAATATTTTGTTTTGCCTCAAGGTATGGAACAAATGAAAAACTTTCGAAATGCGAATCGTAAAGGAAAAGCAAAGGTCTTTAAAGACTATGAACTTGCCAACGGTCCATCTAAACTGTGTTCTGCTTTCGATATTACCAAGAATGAGTTAAATAACATTGATATGACGACATCAGAGAATTTTTGGATCGCAAATATGAAAACAAATCAATTGTCAGTGGTCAAGACAACAAGAATTGGTATTGAATCTTATGGCAAAGATGCAGCAGAGAAAAAGTATAGATTTTACATATATGGAAATAAAAATGTCAGTGTAAGGGACAAAGAGATTGAGGCAAATTTACTGGCTATCCACTGCTAAATCTAGAGAAGGTCAAAATACTTTATATTGAATTTTTTCACATCAAAGTACCTAAACAACACTGTTGTTGGTTAAAAACTTCTAAACAATATTTAAGTACTAAAATGTTATAAGTAGGATTAAATGTAAAGTGCTGTGAATTGCAAATATAGTAAAGTAATGTATTCTTATGAATGCTGGATCTTAAACTCATTTATTAATCAATGAAATATGTATAAAGAATGTGAATCATTTTAACTAGTACAATATTCATACTTTTTATTTAAAAAGCGCAAGCATAACTGATTATTATATACTTGAGAATGTTGTGCTGTGACAAAGTTTGGTCAATATTTCATGATACTTTAGGTCAGGAGTGGGCAACATAAGGCCTGCGGGCGGGTCCGGCCCCTGAAGGGATTTTGACTGGCCCGTCGACTGTATCCGACCATTGAATATTATTCATGTAATAATCCGGCCCACCAATAACTTCATTTTCCTAAATCTGGCCCTCCGACTGGAGAAGTTGCCCACCCCTGCATTAGGTAGTTCCTCAAATGTTGTCTGAATGAAATCATCAGTCTGGCTAGCCAAACTTCTATGTTCAATTTTCATTGCATCCAAAAATAATTTACCAATAATGAAGATATGAACTCGACGACTTAACTTAGCTGCAATGCGCTGAGCAAAGATTATATCGTTAGATGAACCAAAGCTTATTACAATAAGGATATTTTTATCGTCAGTATGACAATGCACATTTTCTAAAAATATCTGGAAACAAGATGTTATTAAAAATTGATTTTACGCTATGTAATAAAAGAGAAGGATGACATAGGTTGAACATAACTGTCGCTCAACAAGTTCTAATGCTTTACCAGTAAATCGTCCAGAACCTTGTTGGTGCTGCATAATGTCGATATTATTCAATAACCAATCTTAACCAATCAAAATCATTCACTTATTCCTTACTATTTAAGGGTCGCATGTCTTTTTGTTGTTTTTTTGACTCTGAAGATGACTACCGCTAAGGTTGTCGAAACGTCAGTCAACAACAACAAAAACAGTCCTTCTCAGGACTATACCAACCTGGACGATCTACATTTACAAACATGTAACGATACTCTCGGGTTCAAACCATTTACTTTACTAACAATTCATGTGTTGTTAATGTTAATTTTTTAGCAGCTCAATAACAATACTTTCAACCCGTTTCTTCCCTTTCCACGAAGACACTATTTCTGCTTGATTTACAATAATTTATTGTAACCCATGCTCGATATGAAAGACTAAAACCCATGCTATCATATAGAATATGAATCACTTTAACAAATACAATATTCATATTTTAATTTAAAAAACACAAGCATTTCTTATAATTATCTACCTGACATTACTAATGATATTTCATTATTTTTTCATGAACTATTTTTAAAATATTCATTCTAAAGTTATTTTTAGTCACTAATGCATAATACTAATCTGTCTGTCAACAAACTACAATAAATTAATTGACATATAATAATGCGTACCCTAAAGATGGCGCTAAGTTTTATTATTCGTGAAATATTAACTGCCGTACTTATAACTAAATGATGCGAAATATCTACATATTGATATGAATATAGAGCATCTAAGAACAGTAAATTTATCAACATTATCCAAAATCATCCCATTTAAAATCAATTTTATATCCTAGCAGTTGACTAAATTCATTGTTTTTCACCACCTCAAAACACTTAGAGGTGACCATTTGATTTACAGTCGATAAATTCTACATCCAATTATAGAGTAGGTAGAATGCAGCATAACCAACAATTGCATATTCTAGTGAATGTTTTTATACATCGAAGGATGTGTGTATGTAATAAATTTTCCATTAGTACTCACCAAAATATGTGCAATAATATATACACATAAAACTTGAAGATTATTGGTGAGAATATTCATTATTAACATACGAAAATCCAGCAAATTCCATTTGATTGATGTTAGCAATGAACGATTTATCGCAAGGAGTAAGTCTCGTCGTTTCGTCGGTGAACTCCGAATCAAAATTGTCAAATGAACGTTTTGATTTCTTAAAGAGATATTAAAAGCACATAAAGTTATAACAATATTTCTGTCCTTCAATATATGACGATAAAATTGACAAAAGAAATAGTTGATGATGAACTCACAATTTTTGGTTTAAATGGTGGCTGGATTTCTCGATTTTCCAATTTCCTCCAATCAGTATGACGGAAAAAAGAGTGGTCCTTAATATTTCGTTCCGTGTTTGGACCAGAGCCAAGTCGTCTGTCCGGATGTTTCGTCAAAAACTATAAAATAACAACTTATTTTTGCTGATAATGTTTTATCTCTGTAGCAAAACAAACATGGTCACTACATTTATCCAAATACAACAGAATATACTTTTCTGATATCAGTTTCACGTAAAATATAGATAACGCTTTTTGGCGAGGGAAAGTATTTTTTGACTATTTTGAAAATATCTTTGCAGGTGAAAAGATACTAAATACTTAAACGAGGCAATCAAAAGAATAAAATATTACCACAAAGATGACGAAAACAAATTTTAATAATAGTTCAACAAACGTTTGAAAAAGTCCCCTTTGTTAAAAGCAGTTAAAAGCATTATACAGGCTTAGTGTAGCCAGCCCCTCGCTAACAAAAAGTTTAATGTTCAAACAACAGAAAAAATGTTAAACTAGGATGCATTGAAGCTTCAAACAAACTTTACGTTTGAAACATATGCAATGTGCGTCAGAGACCATCTGAATGGATGAAGTTACAATAAAGATTACAACCAACTCATCAAAAATGCATTCTCTTCATTACGAAATCGAAATGCAAAAATAACAAACAAACCGCTTTAATAATAGACGCTCCTTCTTTCGAAATCGATTTCGGACATGAAACATTGTGTTCTAATATTGAGTTGAAAAGCTCATCTTCATCATCACCATCAAATGGAGGCTATAAATAATACATCATAAAATTGGTATTGTAAGGTAATGAAGCAATTGAACTGTCGTATTGTGTGTTTGGTGGTGTTCATCTTACCTGGCCAACCAGCATTTCAAAGATCAACACTCCCAGTGCCCACCAATCCACAGCAAACGAATAGGCTTGATACGCGATGATCTAAGAAGTAAAGAATAATTTAACTTCCACTTGGATGGTTTTTTACACAAATTATTTTATAACTAGTTTCCGTTCCAGTGGAGAAAGGATTTAATTGGATATTTTACTTTTGTTAACCATTGGCTAACCGTAAAGGACAAGTGATGTATTTTGAAAAAAAGTAAATACATTTCAAAAAGCAAACAGCAAATGCACTTTCTTCAATGCCTTAAGACTTATAATTCACTTTTACAAACATCCATTGCTTGGTCTTTTGGTGTTTACGTAAACACTTGGGTTTGTTAACAATTATCAGTAAATCTTGGCGCATGGTTAATAAAAAGTAAATGATAAATAAACGCGGCAGGACCTTAATTAAACATTATACCATTTATTACATGTTTGTAGATGTAGATCACCGAGGTTGGTATAGTCCTGAGGACTGTTTTTGTTGTTGTTGACTGACGTTTCGACAACCTCAGAGGTAGTCATCTTCAGACTATTTACTTTATTACGATCATTTGGACGACAGAGCGACTGAAGATGACTACCGCTAAGGTTTTCGAAACGTCAGTCAACAACAGCAAAAACAGTCCTTCTCAGGACTATACCAACCTGGACGATCTACATTTACAAACATGTAACGATACTTCCGGGTTCAAACCATTTACTTTAATACCATTTATTAGCTGCAAAAAATCATCATGAATAAAGATTACCTCTGGTGCGATATAATCAGGAGTTCCACAAAATGTCTTTGTTTTATTTGGATGAAACATATCATCTTTACACATTCCAAAATCAGCAATTTTAATATGACCATCACAATCCAACATGACGTTGTCAAGTTTAAGATCTCTACGTATAACGATGAATGATGATAACGTACTTTAGACAGTAAAGCCTGTTTTCCACTAGCCCCGTATCGTAACGCAAAGCAGCGAAACGTAACATTGCGCATGCGTGCTTATGAATTTGATGGTCAATAGCACGCATGCGCCATGTTACGTTCTGCTACGATACGTTACGATACGTGGTCTAGTGGAAAACAGGCTTAAAACCTCAAAATATCGAAGTTGTAGGCAAAAGAATTTATTCCAGTACAATACTTCAGTAGCCATCTTTATAAAATAATCAATTCAACAGCTTCACATAAAATTTTTATTTACGGGTAATTTTGAAGTTCACAAACCTGTAAATTATTCCCCTTCCGTGTAAGTGCAACAAACCAAGAACAATTTCGGCTGCGTAAAAGCTGAAAAATATAAATTAGTTGTCGTTGCACGTGATTAATAAAGAGAGCACACACGTTGCACGTGATTAATAAGGAGCACTCACGCTGCACGTGATATGTAAGGAGAGCACTTACGCAGCACGTGGTTCTTTAAATTTCCCTGATTCTTGAATATGAAACATGAGATCGCCACCATTTATATATTCCATGACAAAGAACAAACGATCCTATAAAGAAGAAAAATTTCTATAAAATTTATAACAAGAGACACAACATAAATTTTCTATATTCTTTTAGTTTAAAAATACACAACCAATAATGTTTTTGTGAAAGTACTTTGAATTTAAAATCAAGCAGCTATATTTTATATTGACTAACACTGCATCCGCTACTGGTACAAAACCCCAGTTCCCCCCTCCCTCCCTATTTTGACTAACACTGGATCTGCTACTGGTACAAAACCCCAGTTCCCCCCTCCCTCCCTATTTTGACTAACACTGGATACGCTACTGGTACAAAACCCCAGCTCCCCCTCCCTCCCTATTTTGACTAACACTGGATCCGCTACTGGTACAAAACCCCAGTTCCCCTCCTCCCTATTTTGACTAACACTGGATCCGCTACTGGTACAAAACCCCAGTTCCCCCTCCTCCCTATTTTGACTAACACTGGATCCGCTACTGGTACAAAACCCCAGTTCCCCCCTCCCTCCCTATTTTGACTAACACTGGATCTGCTACTGGTACAAACCCCCAGCTCCCCTATTTTGACTAACACTGGATCCGCTACTGGTACAAAACCCCAGCTCCCCTTTGGACAAGTCCCACATACAAGGGTACTCTAGTTAAACACTAACCATTGTTTGAAAACAACAAAAAAGATTTGTAAGAAATGGTGGTTTCCTTTCCAATGCTAACACACGTTTCTCAATCAAGGTGCATTCCACATCATTTCCTTGTACAATGACATCTTTTTTTAAAACTTTAATTGCAAATACGTCTTTGGACGTTTTCAGTTCTGCAAGCATCACCTAAACATGATTAATTTTCATATATCCAGATTACATACAAGATTGACATCAGATCAAGATTATCTTAAGGATAAATAGGTTATAATGAGGATTAACAGAAGATCAAGATTAACCACAGGATTAATAATAGATCAATATTATTGCAAGGATTGGCACTTAAAAATAATTTTCAGGTATGAAAATAAATCAAGGTTATCTTGAGAATCAACACTAGATCAAGATTAATAAATCAAGGTTATCTTGAGAATCAACACTAGATCAAGATTATCTTTAGGCTAAATCAAGATTTTGAGTTAATTTATGTCATTATAGATAGTGATTTAGATTGTGGAAATACCAGGAAATACTTTGTGTACTAACCTTACCAAAACTGCCTTTACCCAAAACTTTGAGAAAATTAAAATCGTCCATAGTATAACGTTTATTGATATTGTTGTTGGATTGATTGCTGTTGATTTTCGATGATTGTTCATGATTCTTTTCTTTTTCTTTGTCAGATTTAAACTGTATCAAAAAAAAATGAATCAATAGAAACAGAAATCTTCTCATAAAAGACAAATGATGATCTGAACTAGACGATGACCTTAAAAAATTGATGACTTCATACTTTACTACACTTAATGCCTTAATTAACTCAATTCAGTGTGATGAGTATGAGGATTGTGTACTACATTACTCTCAGAATAAGGCAAGGGGGAGCACACACTTCATACAGCAAGGGGGCCACAAGATAGTCAAATCAATAGATGGCAAGGGAGAGCACAGACTTCATACAGCAAGGGGGCCATAAGATACTCAAATTAATAGATGGCAAGGGGGAGCACACACTTCATACAGCAAGGGGGCCATAAGATACTCAAATTAATAGATGGCAAGGGGAGCACACACTTCATACAGCAAGGGGGCCATAAGATACTCAAATTAATAGATGGCAAGGGGGAGCACACACTTCATACAGGGGCCATAAGATACTCAAATTAATAGATGGCAAGGGGGAGCACACACTTCATACAGCAAGGGGGCCACAAGATAGTCAAATTAATAGATGGCAAGGGGACACACTTCATACAGCAAAGGGCCATAAGATACTCAAATTAATAGATGGCAAGGGGGAGCACACACTTCATACAGCATATAAGATACTCAAATTAATAGATGGCAAGGGGAGCACACTTCATACAGCAAATATAAGATACTCAAATTAATAGATGGCAAGGGGGAGCACACACTTCATACAGCAAGGGATAAGATACTCAAATTAATAGATGGCAAGGGGCACACACTTCATACAGCAAAATACAAATTAATAGATGGCAAGGGGGAGCACAAACATCATACAGCAAGGGGGCCACAAGATACTCAAATTAATAGATGGCAAGGGGGAGCACACACTTCATACAGCAAGGGGAACATAAGATAGTCAAATTAATAGATGGCAAGGGGGAGCACACACTTCATACAGCAAGGGGGCCACAAGATAGTCAAATTAATACATGGCAAGGGGGAGCACACACTTCATACAGCAAGGGGGCCAAAAGATAGTCAAATTAATACATGGCAAGGGGGAGCACACACTTCATACAGCAAGGGGGCCATAAGATACTCAAATTAATAGATGGCAAGGGGGAGCACACACTTCATACAGCAAGGGGAACAAAAGATGTTCGCATTAATATATGGCAGGGGGGGTCAAGAAGAAAATACTCTCATAGCAGTTGCTAAATTAACCTTGTATTTTTTAGAAAGTTCCGCCATTGCTTGGCCAATGTCATCATTTATGGGAATGTTATAAAACTCTCCTTCTTCAGCAGTCAATAACTTGAACCATCCATTTTGAGATTCTTTGAGTAACTCTGAGATACCAAACGACAGTGATCCCATGAAATCATTTCTTGTTGTTCGATCCCAGTCCCAGACCTCAATAGACAACCTCTTGTCATGGTCGCTCTCCTCAATTGTACTGTGGTAAAAAATGTTAGTTATACACTTAAAATTTGGAATGACAACATCATATTGAACCACTGCAGCATGTTGGGGGGATTAAAAATCATAAGTTGGAACAAACAAAAAAATAATGAAGCATACAAAGGAACAGTTATAAAAAATGTAAGATAAAAAGGGACAAATAGGCACAGAAAGAAACAAAACAAAGCATGGAGACAGGAACAGAAAGCAACAAAGCAAGATAAGAAAGGGCAAATAGGAGCAGAAAGGTACAACAGAACATAACATGGGTCAGATATGAACAGAAAACAACAATGTACGATAAAAAGAGACAAAAGCTTGACTATTTAAGACCCAATGTTCTCTGACAATGATAAATACAATTAATCACATACAACTGAAATTTTTCATTGAACATTGGATTTAAGGTTTTTTTCTTTATTTCTGTCTTTCGTTTTGTTGTTGATGCATCTGGAATGAGTTTCAACTTTACATATGGATCAGACAATCCATTTGCATCCATTGGAATTAAATTTTTTGCTTCCAGCACTAAAATAAATTATCAGAAATTAATGAAGAATAAAATTGGTAAATATTTAGTGATGACATTTACAATGTCAAAATATGTGTTTAAAACTGCCAAAAAAATTAAACTTTAATGTTGGTGTTTTAAGTACATTAATGGAAACTATATCTTCATCATTTGTTTTATACAAATGTCTGGGCAGAGAAAAAGACAAAAGGTCTTTAAAATAAGTAAATAATCGCGTTGATACTAACTACTTTATTTATAATGCTTGAGTAATTTCTGGGTATAGTATATTACAATTAAGAAATATTTTTAGACAATTTACAATAAAAATTAATCAATTACAGGTAGCACGTCGAATTATACATTTCAACGTAATTAAATGGCCAAAAATGCAAAATTAGTAGTAAAAAAGTTTCCTTGCTTTAACAGAAAGGTGTTGAAATATGAATAAATTCCGGCTGCTGCCGGTTTCAACCTGTTAAAGGCGTGATGACAGGCACAAACAATTCATAATAAATGAATTTCTTGGCATTGTGGACATAAAACATGTCTGAGATGTTGCAAGGAGAACTGTACTTTCATATAAAATATAATACAAATGTAATATTTACGCAAAATAAAACAAATTTAACGCAAAAACGTCGATAAAAACTGAAAGGATGACGACTCCGTTGACCTCTGCGGTTCCTTTGAAAAAATCCATGTATTGTCGAGCGATGAACGACTAAACGCTTGCTCATAATTTTAACTCTGAAGTACAACAATTTCCGGAGTATGTGACTTTTTAAATGACAAGATAGATTAGCAAAGAACAAATCAAAAGTCACCCACAAATGTGTTCGAACAAATGTTTACGACAACTTTTAACAATGTAAACACAGATATATATTTCGACAAATTTCTACCTTCAACATTTAATAGTCCTCGACCGTCTGAGCCATTGAAAGCGACATTTAAATGAATACGGCCTCGTTTTTCAGTGTGATCCGCACCACAAAGCTTTGGTATAAGATCTGCGCAGCGTTTGTGGACGTTTATTTGACAATCTACCGAACACGAAAGTAAAAACAATATACAAAAAGCTTTCCAAATTTACTTTAAATAAAAGAATAAACAGTCTTACCGACACATTGTAATCCTTGGCGTATAATGCCATACAACAAGGTGCCACATTGATCGCAGAATGTAGGACTTGTGTACGTGTGAACTTTGAAATTATGTGGACTAACAGGTCTCTACATAAAGAACATTTGCGGACGTAACAGATATCTTTTCACAAGAGAAAAGATTAATGCGGTTTTCCATTATGTGGTTCGCAAAGCTGGGTAATTATAAGATAGATGTGATTGAGGGATGTGATTAACATCCAGCCGTGTGTGACATTCGCCGAAAAAACAAGTTGAGTATTTGACATCGGTTTAAAATGGAAACTATACCTCTGTGTTATCAATGTCCGCTCCTGGACAATCAAACGATACAAATTCATGACATCGACGATGGACCACAAACGAACAAACTGTGAAAGATAAATATTAATCTTCAATAAATTCGAAAATGTTCTGGACAAGCGAATGCTCTAAATGCATCATTTACGTCAAAATTTAACAGGAAATAGGGAATTCATAAGGCTACCTTGACATTGAAAACCCTGCTTTCCCAGGAAGCCCCTGAAATTGAAAGAGAACAACTATTGCACGACCAATCTCAAGACGTATTCTTCAAACAAAATCCGTTTTACAATCGTCGGCTTACCAGATAAAATCTTTACAATGAGCACAAAATGAAGGTTGCTTCAAAAAGGTCAGGACAAACTTGTGCCCTTTGACAACAGAAACGAGTTGTTTCTTGATAGCACCTCGTCTATTCATGCGGTTATTGCCAAAATTGTCGTCTGCCATTTTTCTAAGTGCCATGTATAATAAATAAATATATTTATGTATTTATAAATGACAGGGAAGCTGGCGGACCGCCTGTGAAATTTATAACATTTGAATAAATTAAAACAAACCACACATTTCAGGAAGAAACGAAAAGCTAGCGTGGGTGTGCTCTTACAAAGGTTTTCTTTCGGCAAGAAAACCTTAAACCATATAACTTACCCATTGTCAAACCAAGAAGAAATGATCTCTTTGTTACATCGACTGTGAACCATGAAAAAAACAACAATTCATGAGTAAGATGATATTAATTTGCGGTATACAGTTAGAGAAATTAAATACATGTCATAAAAAATGGGGTTTCATAAATATTGCTACGATAAAAACAAAAAGAATTGTGGAACTTTGTCAAGTAAGATATAGTAATCACCTTTTTAATATCTTTTTTGTTTTAACAAACATTGCTTAAAAATCGTCTCTAAAAAAATGGAAAAATTCACAGTTCCCATAATTGTAGCAGGGAAAGCAACTGTCGAAAGTACTACATTTCGCGCATTCGCAGATAAGATAAAAATTTGTATTTTCTTAAGGTTCAAGAATATTTTTTATTTTTGTATTCACTGTTTTTTAGCATATAAATATTAAAGTCCTGTTGTCCTCCCCAGGTCTCGATGCAGCAATATCGCGCATCTTTTACAAAATGGCGGACGCTAATGCTGACGAGAGTATAAATAAATCAGATAAATCACATGAAGTAGGAGATAAAGAACAAGCAGAAAAACCTACAAATGAAGAAAAAAGTACTTCCAAAGAAGTAACAGTTAAAAGTACGTTTTCAAACTTACAAACCATGTTAAAAAATCGAATTCAAATCTATTTTCTTCATATCAACAATCGCCACACTTAACAGCAATGTTTGTATTTAGTCGATGTTTTGCTAAAAGCTGCTGGCGATGCACCGATCATGAAGAAGAAGAAATGGGCAGTCAGTGGAAATAAAACCGTTGCTTTTGTGGTTGAATTTATTAGAAAACGAATAAAATGCTCCCCAGCGGAATCTTTGGTATTTTTAAACATAAACAAAATAGTCAAAACCATACCTCGTTCATGGACATCAAAATTTTATTTTCTTTGTATAGTTTCTCTATGTCAACCAGTGCTTTGTGCCTTACCCAGACCAACTCATCCAGAACCTTTATGAGGTCAGTGTATAGCAGTAAATCACAATCCTGCTTTTTCTATAGTCAAGCTTATTTCTTTATGTTTAGTGTTTCGGTGCTGATGGAAAGTTGGTTCTGTACTACTGCAAGACTCAAGCTTGGGGATGATTAAAAAGATTAATATTTTCAGCTGTTCAATTGCTACTGCGGTTGCCTAGAAACGAAGAGTTGAAACAAAAATCTCAAAAAGAGTAAAAACTCTTTACTGTGTTAGTAAACAATGTATATACTTATCAATTGCACACAAATTTGTAATATAAAAAGCTCTTTAAATTTCTGAAACTTTTCTTGCATTCACATGTAAACATTGGTTCCTTATCAAACATATTGGATTCGTTTTTCAATAATTTCCTTTTATAATTATTGCTGTATAAAGCCATGCCTTCAAAGTAATTATGAACAGGTGAAAAACATCAGCTGACGTCCCTACAATGTCATCTTCAACTTAAAAAAAAGCTAACATCATATAGAAAAGTGAGTTTTTTAGAAAGCAACGTTCAAGAATAAAAATACTCAGCCAAAAATTGACAATGATTTTTACTGGGTTCTTTCAACTAGGTAAAAAATAAAAATAATGGAAGAAAGGCAGCCACGCTGTGTTGGTAGTTAACACCTTTGCTTAAAACCTGGAAATCATAATTAAAGTCGTTTCTATACAAAAATCTGTCATATTTTCGGCTAGACAGTTTGTAACAAAACAGTGTTTACTTATCGTCAGTTTTAGCTTACTTTACAAGGAAATGCTTCAAAGTTCGTACGTCCACATTTAAAAGTTAATGGATTTAACAACGCCTCTTTAAACTAAACATTTCGTCAGCTGTTTTTTTGGAGAAACCAATCAAAGAAATTGTTCACGAAAATATGTTTCTAAATTCAATTATCGAAGTAAGCAACATACTTAAAAATGTTCCAGAGAAAAGTCGTTAAAATTATCAATAAAATGGCGATTATCAACAATCGACAATTGAAACTGTTATCATTTTTCAAAATGGGTATCGCCAGCGAAGAATTGCGCCATCTGTACCAACACTAACAATCCATTGTCGATTTGGACATATTCTTAACCGGGTTATATCGCCACTGTGGCCTTCACCAATATGAGTCACTGATCCCTCTTCATACTTCCAAACCTTAATTTAAAATGACAAATGTACACTAAGAATGAATCATTAATGTAATCCTTGTATAAAGTAATCTCTACATGATGCCAATATAATAACTGCACAAAGTAACTAAACCTTCTTTGTGTTTATTAAGGTAACAAACCTGTTAATTTTATACTGCGTAAATTTCTCAAAAAGTGCATTGATTTCGTCGTAAATAATCATGCTGCTCACTCTTATATCTCAATCAATCACGAATTGTAAGGACATCCCGTTTAGATAACAATGACATCCTACTTCAATCATCAATAATATCTTTAATTATTCTCGTTCTCTGGATCATTTACACTTATCTCTTACATTAAGTATTGATGTTAATGGGTTTTCCATTACACACACAATAGCGAAGAACAATAAATATTCGCTCTTTGGTTTATGATATCTATATAGCGTATATAATTGTAGTTCTTTGTAATTCGAGCCAATCATTACACTGATCATAAAGGGAGATACCGACTCATCTCTTGTAAAGATGAAAGCAAGATCTTTTTAAAACTTCATATTTTTTCCCCAACAGGTGCATTGCTTAGTTTCAAGATTATCCCAGATTATATCAACACTTTATTATCACAGTCTTCCACTATCATCCTCGTACCTTAATAAGTTTATCTGCTCCCCCCGTGACGAGATAGATGCCATCAGATGAAATATCTAAACCTTCTATAGAACCAGATTTTGAACCTTCCAATTCACGTATTTGGCTTCCGTCAAAAGTCTCCCAGTAAGCAATCTAAACAACATACACATCATCAAAATCTTTAGAAAACTTTCGTATCTTTGTAAAGGCCCGTTAACACGATCCGATTTGTCCGATTCGATTGTTTTGGTTCCGACTTTTGATTGCTTTTTCAGACGGTCCGAAAATTTCGTTGATATTTAGATTCGTTTAGATATTTAAAGTCGTGAGAGCAGACATTTGTGTTACCCAGTACATTTATCGATATATTTCGCGTATTTTTGTTGTCGTTTCCAAGCCTTTTTCAAATCTAATGTTTTGCACCAAATGAACTTTGGAAAGTATGGTGTGTGAGTTGTATGGTACGAAAATAGAGCAGGTTCTATTTCCATCTGACTTTTCAGACTGACAGATCCAATTGTCGGGGGCTCACTTTATATGTGTTCACACTATCAGTGTTTTAGATATGAAAAAATCGGATCGCGTGAATGCGCCTTAAAAATAACAAACATGTATAACCTTTCGATCGGTACCAGCTGTGATGATTTGACACTCATCTGGTCTGTAGCATATTGCCTTGAAGAGAGTGTTCGCAAAAATCACCTGGTTTCGTACGAAGCGTCTAAAAATACACGAAGAAAACTCATATTTCATAGTCATTAATGATTGGATAACGGTAATAATATCTTACTGTAAGTCCCAAATTATACAACTGCCGTCTGTACTGGCTGTCACACACTGAAACAAAAGAATTGGGGATGGTTTACATGCATTGTGAGAAAAAGCTACTCCTGAGTTTCACAATTTCACGTTAAAAATATTTACTGTTTTTCGAAACATGAAGAAACTGCTGGAAGACATCTTTCTTTCGTTTGTATGAAAAGAATTTGAGTTAAGTCGTAGATAATATTACCATAATTTCTAATTAGCAGCAATTTTAAAAAACACTTGAGAAAAACGACGATTTTTTTGGTAGAAGTGAGTTCACCACTACAACACTATATTTACTTTATAATAATATTTTTTGTTATAAGTTCTTAATACTTATTTTTCTTTTCCTTTTTTGTAAATATTTTATATTTAGTAACTGAATCATAATCCTATTCATTGTAATTAATTTATTCATATCACGTATCATATTACTTAACACTAACCATTCTGCACTGAAGATGGCATTCTGATAATGTCGAAACATGTTTGCTCTCAAAAAAATCGTCGTTTTTCTCAAGTGTTTTTTAAAAGAATTTGAGCAAGTGAAATATTTTGATGAAGTTTGGTGATCAGGAGACTTACCTCTTGATCATTCTTGCGAACTTTAATGCAAGTCACGGAGCCTGAAAGGATAGAAAAATTGTTAAAAATCATACGATAATCCTACAAAAAGATAATACGCATATATATACTTTAAAATATTTTAAAACACAGCACTACGTTTTCACGTTTCCTGTACTGCGTTGTCAAATAAAAATGATAATGTGGATTGATGACGTTCTGGAGCCGGTTGTACGAAGGCCGAATAGCGCTATCCACGGAATAGCAAATTTTTTTGATCGTTGAAAAAATCTGTAATGAAAGAAAATTATGCGATTTTAACTGTGCAATCATTGAAATAAAATACTGTTTCGAAGATTACAAAATTCTTTTGTCGCAAGAAAAATATAAACACCTTTTTTACAAGTTTGAAAATTTTTGCTATCCAATGGATAACGCTATCCAGGCTTCGTGCTACCTGTCCCTGGAAAATTTAAAATGTCGGTACTTTTTACAATAATTGTCGCGGCGGGAGATTTATTGACAAATAAACATTAAACATTTCAAATCTTCGTTGATTAGAGAGTAACAAAAGAACAACGCAACAACAATCAAAAGCCTCAACATTTTGAGCAACAAATTCATTGACATTACAGAAAATGACATGGATTTCTTGAAAGTTTTAGTCCTGCGAAGTAAATTTCAGAATATTAGCATAATTTATTTTATTTGAAAGTTGATGTTTTTTACAAAGAGTGAAGATAATGAAATTTGCACGGCGCAACCAAATAAGAGAGAGAGAGATGCCTTCTCCGGGATGTAACATGATATTTATGGATAATGAAGATAATGAAATTTTCACAGCACAACTAAATAAGAGAGAGAGAGATGCGTTCTCCGGGATGTAACATGATATCTATGGATAATGAAGGTAATGAATTTTTCACAGCACAACCAAATAAGAGAGAGAGAGATGCGTTCTCCGGGATGTAACATGATATCTATGGATAATGAAGGTAATGAATTTTCACAGCACAACCAAATAAGAGAGAGATGCCTTCTCCGGGATGTAACATGATATTTATGGATAATGAAGATAATGAAATTTTCACAGCACAACCAAATAAGAGAGAGAGAGATGCCTTCTCCGGGATGTAACATGATATTTATGGATAATGAAGATAATGAAATTTTCACAGCACAACCAAATAAGAGAGAGAGAGATGCCTTCTCCGGGATGTAACATGATATTTATGGATAATGAAGATAATGAAATTTTCACAGCACAACCAAATAAGAGAGAGAGAGATGCCTCCGGGATGTAACATGATATTTATGGATAATGAAGATAATGAAATTTTCACAGCACAACCAAATAAGAGAGAGAGAGATGCCTTCTCCAGGATGTAACATGATATTTATGGATAATGAAGATAATGAAATTTTCACAGCACAACCAAATAAGAGAGAGAGAGAGATGCTTTCTCCGGGATGTAACATGATATAGATGGATAATGAAGGTAATGAATTTTTCACAGCACAACCAAATAAGAGAGAGAGAGATGCCTTCTCAGGGATGTAACATGATATAGATGGATAATTTTCATTAACTCACCTTTATGTTCTTTCATTGCTTCCTCCATTTTCTGTATTAATGGAGAGACTATCCACACACGAACCTGACCCTCTCCTCCCCCGCTAATTATATGTTCGCCATCAGACGTTGTTGCTATGGCGGTTACTCCTTTATTGTGAGCATCATTGATTGTATAGATAAGTTTTCCAGTTTGAGGTGAATAAGCACGTATTTTGTTATCACTCCAACCTAAAATTTAACGATTTTTATTCGCAGTTCGAGGATGGCAATCACAGATAAGTAATTTTGTGTGCAATAGCGTAGCCAATCTGAGCACGCTAGTTTTCGTTCTGCTATGTAAATTTTAGAACATTATCATAATTTATTTCAATATTCGTGGTTCTGTTAGTTCTAAACTATTATAGACCAAGTGTTACAACTAATACTGAACAAACCATTCCATCATTTTTAACCAAACACCAGTGCTAATTTATTTCCAATGAGAAATGCAGAATAAATACCGCTGATGATTGATTTGCCGTCCACACTGACAACGACAGCGTTACAATCCATGTTAGAAACAGTAATACGCAAAAGTTCCTTGCTTGTTTTAGTGTTCCAGACACGTATATCGTTCTTAGATGACGTCACAAATACATCTGAATAAGCGCTGCGTAAAAAATATTGAAACAGCATTAACTCTAGATGTACAATGTTGCATAAATTATACTGTCTATTTAAATTATGCTGCATATTTAAATATACAAACAATGTTGTAGCCTACACCTAAATTATGCAGTACACGCGTAAAATATGCTATGTAATGATTATGCTGTACACATGAATTATGCTATGTAATAAATTATGCTTATACTGTGAAGGTAAATTACGCTGCATAGATTAAATGTACTATTTAATTTGGATGTGAATTTTGTTGTGTAGATAAAATATGTGGATTCAGCATTAATTTTAATAATATAAACTTTAAAAGAGTTCAATTTTATATTCGAAATCACAAGTTATTGGTTTTGAATTTCTCAAGCATAAAATTTTACCAAGCGAATTGCATTTTGGATGTTGACTGAACCTAAGTCTGCCAATCCTCGCACTTTTTCCACAACATGACACATTGGTCAACACGCGTAAATGATTTTAAAACTTACTGTGGGAAAACAACATCAAAAACTTTTTCATAATGACATGTATTAATGAGTTCACAGGAGAATTCGCTCAGATTGAAGCGATAAATTTGGGATATTTGTGTTCCAACGTAAAACTAAATGAAAACAAAACTCATTTAGGAGAAAACGCAGTAAAAAATGATTCAATTTCTCACCGCAAACTTGCAAACAACAGACAAATTTTTCCTAAAGTAGCGTAGCTAGCTAAAAGATTTTGTCAAAGTACGTTAATTCCGAAACATTTCCTCACTAACATCATTTGGCTGGCTCTTAAGAAATCTATTTTTTTCACAGTCAGTAAAAATTGAAATATTTATATAAAGGCAGTAAAAGACCCACTAGGCTACTTAAGTGCTTTCTAAAAAATATGTAATACTAATATCATTGATGTAAAAGTGTAGTTTTCTCCTAATGTGATATTATTGACAACGTTGATATTTTCAGGATGACGTTATTAACAACGTTGATATTGTTAGATACAGTTGATGACATCATTAACAAAGTTGATATTGTTAGATACAGTTCATGACGTCATTAACAACGTTGATTTTGTCAGATACAGCTGATGACGTCAATAAGCTATTATCACATGTTATTACCTGATGACCAGCTCCACGTAAAGTTAAGGATGTCACACCACCGTCAACTTTTGTACTTCTAAAAAAAAACGTTGGATTTTAAAGTGAATATTTTACAATCTTCTGAAACCATGAATCAGTCTGATAGTGCAATTTTGTTTGATAGGAGTAGCTGTCAATTTTCTGATGTAGCAACTTCTCTAACTTTAGTACCATGTTTGTAGATGTAGATAGTACATGTTTGTAGAGTCCTGGAGACGACTGTTGGTGTTGATGTTAAGTGACGTTTCTACAACCTTAGCGGTAGTCATTTTCAGACTTTAAACTCTCATTACAAACACAAAAGACGTATTTCCACTACCTACAGAAGACATCATGAAGTTACTGGAGTTTGTCTGACTACAACTTACTTCCTGTAAAAGAATAAACATTACAAACAATTACACAGAACTGAAATTGCCATGCAAACCATGGAGAAAGAGATGTTCACTATCTACGAACAAGCAATACCTTTTTTGTTCCGACACGTTGACGATACAAACACAGCACAAAACGTAGTGGAGATTGGTAGTTGACTCCAAGGGCGGTGGAACATTGATAATTGGCGGGGAGGACTATATTCATACATTCATATGTTATGATCGATAAAAACAATTAATTTCAATAGAAACTAATAAAGCAAAACATGCATAGATGAATAATAGCACTCCCTCCCCCCAATTCTCAATGTTATACTGCCTTTGGTTGACTCTGAAGATGACTGCCGCTAAGGTTGTAGAAACGTCAGTCAACAACAACAACAACAGTCCTTCTCAGGACTATACTAACCTGGACGATCTACATTTACAAAACGTGTAACCATTCACTATTTACTTTATCCTTTCATAAGATTTCTTCTTTAGTAAAGCAACCGTTCCATCTCCAGATCCGATTAACACATCGCCTGTTTTGAGTAGCTGTAAAGCCTCTATACCCAAGCTGAACTTTTCTTTCTGTGGACCGTGATGTCGAAACAATCTTGTCTTCATATTTATCTGTAAAAGAAGAAACTCAATAAAAAAGGCGATAAAACAGGGAATGCGCCATTGCGCAGAAAGCTGTCAGGGAATTTGAACTTGTTTTGTGAAGTTTCAAACACATTTATAAGCAAAATTTTTGTGTAACTAAATGGCGGAACAGGAACAATGGGGAGTCAGGGATAACAGGAACTAAGGGTATGTAGAGGGCTAACAGGAACAACGGGCAGTCAGGGATAACAGGAACTAAGGGTATGTAGAGGGGTAACAGAAGCAACGGGCGAGTAGGGATAACAGGAACTAAGGGTATGTAGAGGGGTAACAGAAGCAACGGGTAAGTAGGGATAACAGGAACCAAGGGGATGTAGAGAAGTAACAGGAGTAACGGAGAGGTAGGGATAACGAGAACCAAGGGGATGTAGAGGGATAACGGGAGCAACAGGCAGGTAGGGATAACGGGAACCAAGGGGATGTAGAGGGGTGACGAGAGGCAATAAAATGTAGGTATAACAGCTGTAAAAATTTACGATACATAAGTTGGCAAAAACGTTCAACAAGTCGACATTCAGTAAGCAATAAAAGTATGAGTTTCAAATGGGTGAAATGAGCCTCCCATCACCACCTTAAAACATTTCTGTAGACAACGTTGCTACTACTGCTAGATAAAGTTATAACCTCAAGAATATCACCACTTGTAGTGCCACAATAAAATGACAAATCATCTTCGGCGACCTACATAAAACACAAAATTACAAAACTAGAAAAAGTAAAATATGTTGATTTCAATAAAATTCCAACGAAAAACCTTTATACATCTAATGATGCGTTTTATCTGACCCATATTACAATCTGTTGGTCTGATTTTTCTATTAGCAAGATCTAGTTCCCAAACACGTAAAGTTTTGCTGAAAAAGACGCATAAAATGAAAGGAGGAATCAGAAGCAGAGATGAAAATTTTGGTAAAAAAATTTGCAAACTAAAAATACATACTTTCCTTCGGTAAAGATTTTGGTAAAAAATACTTACTTTCCTCCTGTAACAAAGAGTTCATCACTGTGGTTTGAAAATGCAATGACGTATGACGTTCCTGAACTGGGTACAGCTGCTGGTGAGCCACAAATTGCTTGCTTTTTTTCAAGATTCCAGATAACAACACTTTAGAAATATATTGACAGTATTGAATAATGATTTCGTTATGAAAACATTCTTTAAAGTAAATGGTTTGAACCCGGGAGTATCGTTACATGTTTGTAATGTAGATCATCCAGGTTGGTATAGTCCTGAGAAGAACTGTTTTTGTTGTTGTTGACTGACGTTTCGACAACCTTAGCGGTGGTCATCTTCAGAGTCAAATGAGGAGTAAACGTCAGGTTAGCCGTATTTGTTATCTGGTTCTTACGTCATTGTACTGTGTGTACGTCAACAACAACAAAAACAGTCCTTCTCAAAACATTCTTTGACAAATATTATTTAACCTGTCCAAAAATCATTAAGTTATTGATTGACAGAAAACATAGTAAGAGAATGAGGGGGGGAAGGGTGGAAGGGGGAGGTAGTGGAGGGGGAATTGGAGAGGGAGAAATGGTCTGGGGATGAATGATGAAAGATGGATAAATCGGAGGATGAATGGATAAATGGAATGGAAGGAGATCAAATGGAGGAAATCCGTGGAATCAGGAAGGAAAAGGAATGGAGATGAATGTGCATGATGGAAGTGTAAAGTATGAAGTGTGTGGTGTAGTATGAGGTAGTGTGGAGGAGAGAGGTTGTGTGGAGGGGGTAGTGTGGTGTAGTATGAGGTAGTGTGGAGGAGAGAGGTGAAGCTACTCATTTATACATCTTTTTGTCATTGACATAGCCAGCTTGTGAGTTATGGTGCTGCTATATAAATTTCACATCATTATCATAATTCATTTCCCAGTAAAAATGTATGATTTTTACAGTGAGTGAGTGAACACACAAAACTCTACATAGCATGAACAGTTTTGCAAGCTGACAACATGGGCACTATACATATCTCATGGAAACTTGTCTTAACACAAAAATTAAAATCAAAAATTGAGCACAAAAAACCTGTTATCATCTTGTCCACCCAGAGAAACAAGATATTTATCATTTGGAGAGAAGGCTAGCGCTTCAACTTTAACTTTATGCAGTGTCAGCAAACAATATTTGGCGCATTTCCCATAATCCCACACAATGATGTCGGCCTTAAAACCCATGTGGGTCACCTGACCCGATGCAATGAATTGTCCACTTTTGGATAGTGTTACACAAGATATATTGTCTGTATGGCCAACAAGGAATCTTTGCTTCTTACTGACAATATTTTCGACAACAATAGTATTTCCAACTGAATAGACCAAATGTTGTTGATCAGGATGAACAATAAGACCACCAGGAACACCTCCTTTTAACGAAGAAAATTCATGTAAAATACTTTTGTTAAGACGATCAAGCCGTTTTAAATTATACAGAAGTACAAAGTAAAATACTTTTGTTAAGACGATCACGCCGTTTTAAATTATACAGAAGTACAAAGTAAAATACTTTTGTTAAGACGATCAAGCCGTTTTAAATTATACAAAAGTACAAAGTAAAATACTTTTGTTAAGACGACCAAGCCGTTTTAAATTATACAAAAGTACAAAGTAAAATACTTTTGTTAAGACGACCAAGGCGTTTTAAATTATACAGAAGTACAAAGTAAAATACTTTTGTTAAGACGATCAAGCCGTTTTAAATTATACAAAAGTTCAAAGTAGAAAAATATAATGAGAAATAACAAAAAGTTTTATCATAACATTTGTATTAATGCAGTTGAACAATGGTTGTATTTCAAACTTTTTATAGGATAATTTCAAATTTCAACGTAAATATTCAGTATCTGCGCTCGTACCTGAGAATCCAATGGTCGAAACCAGCTCTAATTTTTTAATGTCCTCTGCTGTATTGTCCATCATCGATCTTTTCGAAAATTTTCGTGAAAAAATAAATCTTTTTTACAGAAGAAATAAGACAATCTATTTTCAAATTATTTCATCGTTTACAAAATCTCGTCCCCTTGGCAACAAGACACGATAAATTACAACGCATGCGCACATGCATTAATGTTAAAACGCTGACCGGAATATACTGCGGCCGTCACATGATAGAAAGCAAAAAAGTAATGAGGATGAATGAGCTAACATTTCTCTCGTGATCCGTAGAGATAAAATATGATATATTTTGACATACACGCACACTACAAACTTTGATCGAGCAAACTTTAAACGACAGTTATGACGCACATCTGCATTCATGTTTGGCCAACAAATAGCTCGTTCCATGTTTGTAAATGTAGATCGCCAGGTTGGTATAGTCCTGAGAAGGACTATTTTTGTTGTTGTTGACTGACGTTTCGACAACTTTAGCGGCAGTCATCTTCAGAGACAACCTTAGCGGTAGTCATCTTCAGAGTCCTTTTTGACTCTGAAGATGACTACCGCTAAGGTTGTCGAAACGTCAGTCAACAACAACAAAAACAGTCCTTCTCAGGACTATACTAACCTGGACGATGTACATCTACAAACATGTAACGATACTCCCGGGCTCAAACCATTTACTTTAAATAGCTCGTTCGACGATAGTTATAAAAGGCATCCGTCGTAGAAGCCGACAACTGGCAACCACACTAGACTCGCTATTGTGAAATTTATGTTTTACTGTGATTTTCATCATAAAATTCCCTGCCAAAAAATGAGAAAAACACATATACTTTTTTCCTCACTCTTTATTAAGGGGGGAGTGAGAAATTTTAAAATTTTCTGCAAAGCGGTCAATTTCGGTAAATCTCAGCGGAAACAGGTCAATTCCTCCATTTTTTTGGCGTCAGCCGCTAATTAAAGCCGTGTTTTAGATAGCCGCTCCAGTTATTATAGAACTCAATGACTTTACCCAGAACTTAGGGGTGAGAACATATGAGCAATTGTTTACATATTAAATATTACAATGTTCGAGTCAGCAAGGGTGCTCTGCGGTTATATTCTTCATTTGATTTATTGCATTGAAAACCTTGAAGTCACATTTTAAATGCTCGCTTACTAAGATCCATAAAACATAATAAGAAATTTCTCACTTTCTATCAATTTCATTCATTCAGCGAACTTTGAAGTGCATATTTATGTAATGCGTATTTAGAAGCACTGCACAAGAGTATAATATAACATAAAATTGCTCATTTCACTGTAAGCTATTCAACTACAAATACTCTGCTGGAGATTAACGCTCTACAGCTTTAGACCTCCTGGGACTTCCCCTTTCTAACAATAATTTTCTAGGAAGAAGCGTTCTTGGAACCTTCTAGAATGAAACTACATACTATAACACAAAGACTAAACATATGTCACTCTGGATCAATTAATTATATGTTAGAGTTTGTTCAACAAAAAACGTTTATTGTTTTTGTATAATTGATTCGAGCGCAAATTTGGAGGCAAAAATTTGTGCACAGATGGCGGCAAGCTGGAGTAATGGACGTCAGAACGTTACCCGTAAGGCTAGGCTCTCCTAATCGTTTAGCAGAAGTCTTCAACCGTCTGAACCTTTGTAGTTGGTACTGGGGAGCGATGAATAACGCAGAAGCTTCACAAAGATTAAAGAACGAGGCAATTGGGACATTTCTACTGCGTGATAGCACAGACTCAAGATATCTTTTCACACTGTCAGTGAAAACATTGAAAGGAATGTTGAATATACGGGTGATTTATGAGAGAGGACGATTTTCATTGGACAGTATGGATTCAAATAAACCTCATTTTGATTGTGTTCTAAAATTGATCAATTACTTTACAGGAGTAAGCAGAAATATTGATGGTAGAACTGTTTTTGCAATTCTCACTGATAAAAATGAGACGAGCACTAAAGAAATAGGCCTTGTTTTGCAAAAACCTTTATTTCACAAGCCTCCAACATTAATGCATCTTTGCCGACGAATCATTAACAGAACTTACAGTGTAGAACAGGTTTTTGAGTTGCATCTTCCAGAAGCAATTGAAAGTTATATGATTAAATACCCTTATTCAATTTAGGGCGATGTTTCTAACAATAATAAAAAACTAATGTTTGTTTTGCATCTTGGGAAAATAATCAATCAACTGAGAAATTTACTTCAAGACCGTTTTGGACTTGTTTTAAAAGAAAGTTTATATTGAATAAAGAATTTTAGTGGTTTGACTATCGGACATTGCAAAATCATAAAGGAATTAATTTTTCATAGCGCAATAATAAACATACGATTTACACACGAAAATCTTTATTTCGTCAATAATAAATTTATGTCACATGTTTTAAAGCGTCATGCTGATGAAGTCTCCATCAACGCTTGTAGTCGTTAAAATACAGTCAAAAATCCCGCCATTTATGAGAAATTATAATATTTGTCGTCGAGTTCATTTTCATAAATCTCTCTGAAAAAATCAGATTCAACAATCGCCAACAGTTTCTCCATTTGGCGTTCGATTTTTAACAAATAATACTCTACGTTTCTAGACTTTTCCTTGATTCGAAGTCGCTTTTGTTTTTTGTTAACGGTCTGTTTTCCCTCATTTTTAAGTGCGTGCAAACGCCGTATGCCTAGAAAATCGCGTAGGACATTCCATGTGAAGTCGAGAAGTTCAAAAGTATTTTTGTCATGTTTGTTCTTTTCTCGTGCGCGGGAAAAACCATCATTTAAAATGGCGACAAAAACATTCAAGAAGACGAACTTCATCAAACACATGTAGAAGAAAAGGACGACGCTTTCGAGAACTGGGAACTGATGATGTGTCACAAGCACGTCAGATTTGCCTAGCAACACGCGTAGCAATGTTTGTACGGTCGCAATAATGTTGACGAAGTTTAAATTGTAAGCGTGTAGCATGAGGTTGTAAAGCATTGAAAAAGCGGTTAAAATAACGGAAAATACGACTATGTAACTAAATAAATCAGACGCTGTGGAAGATAACGTTAGAGAAAGTAGAAACATACGTCGATTGAATTGAAATATTCTCAAAAATTTCAACGAGACCATGAAGACCAGTGCCGCAGTCATATATTCCAAAAACATCTGCCACGAAGCACCATAATGAAAGCTAACGTATTTCGTGGGATCTTCGCGAAACTCGTGTAGCACACGTTGTCGATAATTGACAGCGACAAAGTAAACGGCCACAGCAACCCAAGAAATGATAACGATAATGAAGTCGTACACAGACCATACGCGGACGAAAAATTTACATTTATCTTGAACGATGCTCTTTATTGATGTAAACGTATAGAAGCACAGAAAAACCAGGAAAATTAATTGACATATAACAACAAAAATTCGAAAATTCCCAACGTAATTGTAGAGACGTATGGATAGGAAATTACTCTCCGGGTTGAAAGACCCACTTGACGAAACCTCGAAGGCGAGAGTTACTATTGAAAACAAGTTGACGTTAGGGTTATATAGAGAGAATTCGACAAAGACGACTCTCGTGTACTTGTCAATCCATTGATGTATGGCCAAATCCTTTGAGCGATTTAGAGAAGTACGGAAATTCTGTGAAAAATCCTGATTATATCCTCCTCTCGCATACGTCTCAAGTTGACCAACATAAGGTGCATTAATTTTGTCCGTTGGTCGTTCAAAGCACCAATCGTTACCGCTGCTACAGTATTTTGTTTCACCGTAAGGTTTCATCCAAGATCCATTATAGGCCTTTTGGTCTTCATTACTCCATGCATAATTACCAGAACAATTTTGAATCATTGTTTCAAATAATGGAAGAACTTTGCAAATATCTGAAGAAATGAGAAAGTAAATAGTCACGTTTAAATGTAGAATATTAGCTTGAAATATTTGCAACGAAGTTTAGGCCTCGACCTTTCGCAAGTTAAACAACGTCATTGGACTTCAACCCACGATGCATTGCAACCTTATACAATTGTCTTGCGGTAAAAAAACAAAAAGATACTTATAAGTACAAAAGATACCTTTCTTTAATCTTTTCTGTCGCAATCTTGCCGCTCCAATAATAAATCCTCCAAAGTTCGACGTAAAATCGGACCATTCTGAGGTATAGTTATACCATTCCGTGTTGGAAATTCCAGGAAATAAAACCTTTCCACACCACAACCAAAAATCTTTTACATTAGCAACCTTAATGTTAAGCAAGAAAAAAATACGAAATTATAAATATATCATGATTTCCCACGAAAAAAAGTTAATAAAAGATTCAGTATCGATAATATATCTTCAGAAAAAGTTTGGATAATCTTTTCGTGATAAGCTTAAATCGGATGAGCTTTATGTAAACAGGATAGCGCTGTATTTTCTTAACTGTTCTTTCTAAAGATCCGGCAAAATTATCCCTTATTCACTTTACCGTAGTTACTCCTTCAACCGCAAGTAAAGTAACAATCTGGATAGCGCTGTTATCTTTAAATTGTTTATTTTATATATCAAGAGAAAATATTCTCGTTGATTTAGTGTTACCATACAATGAAATCTAAACTGAACTAACTTTTTCATACTGATATATAAATACTATCTTAGTCGGAATTGATGTCGTCTATTAAATTACCTGTCGAAATAAGTAACTTTGTCCTCGCAGAGATGTTTCTTTAAAGGTTTGATGTACAAATGTATTCTCCTGTGTATTTGTCATATAATATCCATAGGTATCCCTTTGACCGTAAGCCGTCATAAGAACAAGTAAAGTAAAACACAAATGAGAAAATATACTTTTCAACAGACCGTACATGTATTTTTCTTTCGTTCGTTTCTCTCTGGCAATTTTCAAAAAATCTTCAGCAGTACAGAGACTGGCATCTGGAGCCTTCATTTCAATGGTCTCGTTCGCTGAGCTGCTAAATACGTCATGTTGTATAACATCGTTGACATGATAATGCTCCTTGAGAGGTCTCTTGAAAATGTACGCTAACACAATAGTAACAAAAAGAACTTTGGACGGTTGAGCTACAAAAACATCGTTTACTAACGATATAGTTATTGATAACAACCATTTCTGAGTCTTCTTTTCACCAAATTGAACTGCGTACAAAAACGTAATGGACGTTGATACGATACAAGTTACAATGACACCGACCCAAGCGACATAGCGACACCAGTGGGGCAAGAGTTTTTCGCCATTCTTTGGAAAAACACGTGATGCAACCACGTGATTACAAGTCAATGACATTCTGTTTATCTCTGCAGTTTGTGGTTTAATGACAATGTCAGCGCATCTCACGGTGCTGTCACATGACTTCGAGTGACTCGTGTTTTCATTGAAGCTGTTTGTAGAAGATGTGAAATTAACAACCCGATCGCTGATATTGAATGTAGGAGACTGGGCCGAGGTAATAGATTTCGCGTTCTTTACTCGACAATGTCGAAATAATTGAACAAGAAAAAGATTCACAGGAAACACAATAAGATTACAGCATATTCCAATAAACACAATATCCCATGAGAACGTAAACAAACCAAGATCGACTTCGGCCGCATTTCCATTCCCCCCCGTATCGTACCAGATTGCACTCGCCATCATTGATGTTAACAGCAATGTTAAACAACATGACACGCGTTGTGCACGTGTGAAAGGACTGGAGAGAGGTCGAAAGGCAACTGAAAACCACAAGTGAGCATCGGTAAGTTCTTTTGTTGCCCTTGAAAGGAAAAGATGACCAAAACGTTTTAAATCTTCAGGATCAGCAATCTGTAGCAATCGTTGAATCTGGCCGTCGCCCTCGTCAACTGCAAGCCAGCGGTAACACAGAAAATTTGCAGCTTTACCAGTCTCCAAGTCGATGACAACAATACGGTTTAAGAACCACGATGGATTACTACCGGTGTTATCATGCCATATATGGAGATAATCTATAGGACCCAGTCTCTCGGCCGTAGTGACCAGAAATGTATCTACACCACCACAATTTAAAAGATCGCGTTTTGAGCTCCTCAGAAAACATTTGCGGCTATTCCCAAGCCTGCCCAAAAGAGTAAGACCAACGTTTGCAGTCGTTCCAGAGTGTCGTCTTAATCCCGTGTAAACAACAACTTGATATTGATGAGAGTCTGTCACGTGATTTGTACAACACCATGAAATAACATTCTATATTGGCAAAAATAGAATCACACAGGGGTAGCAGTGGATGTAGTAGTACATTTAGGTACAATGTAAACACCAGTCGTGGATGTATATTTACATAAGGGGTGTATTATCAAGAGACGTAGAACTATCTTTAGATTAGAACCATAATTGTGCATTTACTTGTTAGATTTTTTCATTTTACTTTGTGACAACAGTAGACAATTTGTTAATAAATTTTTACTATAGTGATAAACAGATCACTTAAAGCAATAGCGACAAAAATTTACCTTTCTCTCATCTTTCATATCGCGACGTCGGGCCCAGATTAAAACCAGACAAAACAAGAGAAATACTGCGCACATCACGCTTAAGATTGTCACATAATTAGCAGGATTTTGAACGAGTTTTGATACTTGATTGAAGTTGATTGCATTTGGTTTTACAAGAATATATTGACGACCAAACCAAGTAAGATGATTGCATTCGCATCGTGTTAAAGACATCGTACTTTGGACACCAACCTTGGGAAGAATAAATAAAAATTACTGTCATATAATTAAGTACTAACATATTATATACCACGTTGCATTGGATAGTATAAAAACGTAATTGATATAATCAGCACAACAAACTAAAAAGCAAAATTCATATAATTTAAAGCTGGTTACAGCATTTATGTAAATTGAGCTTCTGCTTATCTGGCTAAATGGTGAAATTTTATTTAAATTTGTATAAATTTCTTTATTTATAAATACATCTTTTCATTCCTGTACCAAAAATTAAACGTGGATACCTTGCATCCCTTATGATCCCATTCAGTTCCTGAAGTATCCCAGTAATAACACCCAAGTTCCCTGAAGGAAACCGTGTATTTTATAGCGTTTCTTCTACGTCCCTTGCGAAACGAAAAGCTCTCGTAATGAACGCTGACAAAATAGTTTCCAGGCTCGGCAGGTCCGCGCCAAGTAAAGGAGACTGGTAAAGAAGAAGTTGACATAACGAAAAACTCTTTTCCTGTGTGATCAGAGTCTTTTTCAAGATGAAAACGCAAACGCAGTCGCCCTTTGCTATCACCAGATATCTCTAAAATACTAGCCATGATTGCTGATTCGGTGTTGGTTGTGTTTACTTCATAGAGGTCTGGTAACGAGCCCTCGGTTAGCCATGACGAGTGCTCGGATTGGTTGGATTTGGAAGTGGCTGCTAATGATTCTTGGGTACTCGTGGGGGTTTTAAAAGTGATGATAAATGGTTCTAGCAAGTCATGAACTTTGATTTCACTACCTTGATGATCGAGGAAGACTAGTGACGAAACACCCGTGTTGGGTGATGGGACTGATTGAGAGATATTGCTTTGCAATAATGTATTATGAGACATGAATGTCATCTAAAGAAATATAACTTATTTAAGGTGGAAATTTTTTACTAAAGAGTAACGAAACAAAAAACACACAAACCTTGGTACTAACAAATGGTTCGGAAAGAAATCTCAATTCCGTGGGTACAACAAAATCTGTATTCTCATCAGGTACGGTGATACGTTTTCCCGACAATTTCTCAGGTTCATGTTTCTGCACTGATATTGTAAACCTTGATGTGGTAAGAACAACCGCTGGATGATATGGTTGAGCCTCCTTTAGAAGAACATCACCTAAACTTTCGATTGATTTCAATAAAGCTTCGTTGATGATTCCCAGCTATAAGAAAGTAATAATTCGATTGTTATTATTTTCATCCACTTAACACCACCATATTTTTATTACACAAAGTACTATCAGTTCGCAAGTAATACCTGTTTAATGTCTTTGTTAAGTAAGGATGCTGCAGTTATCATTAAAGACAAACCGTTTGCAACAACTTTGGCGCCAGTAAGAATTTCATCTTTTCTTGACAACAAAGTGAGATTATCGATAATATTACGAATGACGTTGGACATATGAAACTGAAACAACAAAAAAACTGTTCCATTACATTCCTCCAGTACAAGTAGAGAAACCTCCAGCCCTCCTCCAGTACAGGTAGAGAAACGCCTTTCCTCCTCCAGTACAGGTAGAGAACCCCCTTTCCTCCTCCAGTACGGGTAGAGAACCCCCTTTCCTCCTTCAGTACAGGTAGAGAAACCCCTTTCCTCCTCCAGTACAGGTAGAGAACCCCTTTCCTCCTCCAGTACAGGTAGAGAACCCCCTTTCCTCCTCCAGTACAGGTAGAGAACCCCCTTTCCTCCTCCAGTACAAGTAAAGAACCCCCTTTTTCCCTCCAGTACAAGTAGAGAACCCCTTTCTCCCTCCAGTACAAGTAGAGAACCCCCTTTCTCCCTCCAGTTCAGGTAGAGAAACCCCTTTCCTCCTCCAGTACAGGTAGAAAACCCCTTTCCTCCTCCAGTACAAGTAGAGAACCCCTTTCTCCCTCCAGTACAAGTAGAGAACCCCCTTTCTCCCTCCAGTACAGGTAGAGAACCCTTTTCCTCCTCCAGTACAAGTAGAGAAACCTTCATCTCTCCCCTCCAATACTGGAAGAGAACCCCCTTTCCCCCTCCAATACTGGCAGAGAAACCTATATCTCCCCCTCAATACAGACAGAGAGCTTAAACTTTGAAATGACATCACCTGTGCTTTCACAGTTAGTTCAGAAGGAGGCTTGCTCGCTGATATTATGACGTCAATTGTTTCTTTCAAGACGACGTCATCTTGAAAGTGGACTCGCTCGAGACTACCAGCAATAAGTTCGCGCATCTGAAAATTACAAATAAAGCATCATGAAAAAAATTTTTGGGGGGAATGCAAAAAAATTTTTCAATAAAGTACCTTCAAGCGTTCTTCTCTATAATTACTTTGATTTGACGTTTTGTCGAGAACAACGAGAATCACTCCCAAATACTGCAAAGCAGCTTGTGTATTTCCCTCTTGCAACATCTTTTTAATTTGTACATCAACATCTTCGGATGAGTTCAGAAGAGTTGAAACTTCATCATCAGAAAGTGGAGGACTCTAAAAAATAATTTCTCCGTAAATATTTATTTAGAATATATTCCCACACGACGTTCAAATACCACAAACAGCCGACAATTTAAAGAAATATAATATAAAACAAATTCCGAAGAAACAAGACATCTTGAGATTGCAAAATATGCATCAAAACAAGACGAGAAGTGAGCTGTAAATTTTCGACTTTATTTCAAAGTCATCCTTGATTCTGTCTGAGGATGACTTTGAAATAAAGTCGAAAATTTACAGTTCACTTCTCGTCTTGTCTTCATGCATATTTTGCAATCTCAAGATGTCTTGCTTCTTCGGAATTTGTTTTATACTACGTTCATATACGACACTTGAAATTACCTTGACATGTAAAATCATAGATGTCGATTCTTCCAAAGCATCCCTAATGAATATCCTTACACGGATAATGAAGTTTTCTTTCTGTAAACCTTGTTTAAAATAAGTCGTTCCCGAGCTTGAATTCTTACCAGAGTAGAACAAAGAATAATGTGAGCCGTCGGTAGAATACCAGAATTCGTAGGTCAGCGGTTGATTTCTATCATACCATGCGTAACATGTAATATCGAAAGCATTCAAAGAAATAGATCCCTTAAATTTCTTAATATCACAGTAACCATTTGAAGGTAGATCGTTCGTCATGAATTCATAGCTAGAAATCTCTTCAATGCTTCTACTTGGAGCGCTAACATTTAGCTGTATTTCATATAAAGTATTAGTTGTCAGCGTTCCCGCAGGAATAATCAATTTGCTTGTGTTAACAGAAACATTTCGTAACACAGTCCGCTCGTGTGTTGTGTTTCTCTTCACAACTTTCCATGAAAATATTGTGAGATGAACGGATAAACATTTGGCACAATATGAAAGAAACATCGCATCTTTTGTTACTGGAACTGCTTTCCAATTTTCACGATTTCTAGAAAAAGAACGACAAAAGATAACGTCAAAAATGTTCTAAGCGAGCTGGTTTTTAATTGCACGACGGATGTTAATTGTAAGTTGTACAAAATTGAGACAGAATCATTTCCTTGGCTTGAACCTTGTATTTAGGCCAAGAGAGTTTACAAATTCTTTCTTTGATTCCCTTACATTCCTGAAGGTTTAATTGTACAACAAGGGAAGTTGAACTTTCCATCAGAAAAACAGTGAATAATTTTGTTATTTTCATCGACAGTTTTCAAAGGAAAAGTTCACTAACAGAGAGACGGAGCCATCGAAGCTTCATAAATCTAGTCTACAATTTAACAAGTCTATATTTCTCACTTTCAACAAAAATTCCTCAAAACAAATGTTTTAGCAAGAAAAGCTTCAACAAACCTTAGACAAACACCAAGAGTTTCATTATAAGAAAACCTTCAACAAACCTTAGACAAACACCAAGAGTTTCATTATAAGAAAACCTTCAACAAACCTTAGACAAACACCAAGAGTTTCATTATAAGAAAACCTTCAACAAACCTTAGACAAACACCAAGAGTTTCATTATAAGCAACGAACGTCACTTTCTGCGTCGCTGAACCTTTCCTTTCGCCATCAGTAACGATTACGAAAAAATCATACGAATCACCAACAGCAAAGTAGCCACTTGGAAACCAAAGGCGGGACAAATTTCTGTAAATATGATTTCTAAAACACGTGATGTTCAATAGCGTGTCACAAAACCACTCAAAGATCAGATCTTTGGAATCCTCAGTCAGGTTAACATTGATAATCAGCGGTTCTTTAATCGAGATCATGCGCGTTGTACCACAATCAAGGGCTAAATTTATAAGATTGGATATTTTACGAAAATAGCCCGATCGTAAAACGACAGTCCCACGATCGCTGGGATTACCAACCGTGACTTGTACCTCATAAAAACCATCGTTTAAAATGTTTGTCGGAATATGAAAAGTTGATTTGTTGGTGGTGACGTTTAAATTCAGAGGAACAGCTTTTGAAACACCAGCGACCATTTGATGTGTCAAAATCTTCCAAGCGTATTTAAGTTCAACGACAATATTGCACGATAAAGTTGTCTTTAAAACCACGGATAATGTGTCTTCTTTCAAGAATTTTGTTGGTTCTTTCATGTTTCCAGAAACACCGAACAGTTTTACTGATTCCAGACCACAAGTATTATTTATAAAGATTTCATAATATTTTGTAGCGTTAGGTCCAGCTTCGTTTAAAACAGACACGCTCTTGGAAAAATCCATGAAAGAAGATGTTGGTTTTAGTTGGGCACTTCCGCTAAACAGACGAGTTGTTGCTTGATGTAACTCCATGGTGAATTCAGGCGTCTTCACAATGGATTGAGGAAGCAGTGTATTGGTTTCATTAGCAGTTGATTTAGACACCACGGTCACATTGCATGTGAGCCTTTCAAAAGATACCTCATTCATAGCTTCAACAGAAATCGTAAAAACTCCTTCAAAAACGAACACATACTCGAGAATATTCGACTCCAGATTTGTTATACTGTTGTTAACTTTCCAAATGTAAGTAATGTCGCTGCCAATACTTTCAGCAATAAATTTACAACTTAGACCAGTTGCACAAGTTCTAGGACAGCTGTAAAAACGCAGGTCAGTTACTCGATCCAGTACCACGACCTTAGCAACCCGATTCAATTCACGATGATGGACAGCCTCGACGTGGATTGTGAAAGTCTTCCGGGTTGAGCCCACGTTGTTAAATGCATGAGTCAGCTGTTCTCCATTAGATATATTTTCAAACACAAGTTTGTTAATTGCAACATTGAAGGAAGGACGGTCGATGAATTTTTTTAAATCACTAGTAATATTAATGTCGTGATGTAAGTAGAAGACTAAGCCGTTGGGGAATGGGAACCAATTTAAAATAGGAATTATTTGTATGTCCTCATTTGAAGGAATCCTCAATGATGACATTTGAACTGTTAACGGATTTTCCAAAACGTCAACAGATAGGTTCATGTCTTTCCTTGAAACAACATTATCGGCATAAACGTACACCAAGTTTTTCCTTCTTGAAATTCCACCCGTGTTGAATTTCATTTGGATCTTTGTTCCACTGTATCGTTTGTTCCCTATAGTCCACTTATATCCAACGTGATCCCCAGTGGCCAATGCTTTCAAGCAAGTGTTAGCATCAGTGTACGCAAACACTGCAAAGCATAAAGAAGCTTCAAGATTCGATATCTTACGACGGACGCTTATCGTGACATTATCGGAAAGTGTCGATACTTTATTGGAGCAATTGACGAGAAACGTCATGTCATCTGAAATATTGTGGTTGTATAAAAATGACATTTCCAATTTATTCTGTTGCGATGAAATCTTGAAATTTTTTTGGCTTATGTTTACAACACTTCCGATAAGGGACCAATCACAGCTAACATTAGTACCACGTGACAGGCTAAAACTAATGGCACGTGTAGTGTTCAGAATAACAATGGGTGTATAATTGAATTGTAGATCAGAGATTGGATGCTGAATCATTGCAAACGTTTTATATTCTTTCACAATTCTTCCTTTGTCGCGCAGCAACATCCTCAGGGGCAAAACTCCGGGATTAACAAAGCGTAAGGAGATCCTTGTCTCGTAGGGTACGTAACCGTACATAGTACATGCCTTTATAGAATCACAATTTGATGTTTGATAGTTTGGCATTGCATTAGCAGTTTGCATGTTCTTTGATTGGTCAATTCGATAGCCAATAATATCTTCAGGATAAGTCACGAGGGCATCTTTATCGAGCAAAGTTAGGTAATTGCGACCTTTACTGACATTGACAGCAACAATATGTTTCACTATATAATCAACGTCTTCCAAACACTCATCACAAACAGTTATAAAAGTTTGAAAGCACATACTGACGTTGTGACCAGACAAATTTTCGGACGCACAAGAAAGGTTGCTCGCGGGCTCAGACTTAAGCTTAGGAAACGCGGATGGTCTTAATATCTACAATGATATAAAAATTTGAGAAAATTTTTTACCTTTAATTTTTTTTCTGGTCGCTTTTCTGCTTCTTGGCGACATTTTACAAAACTCTGTAACGCTAAGTAGGTTATGGCGACATTTTACTAAACTCTGTAACACTAAGTTATCGCGACATTTTACAAAACTCTGTAACACTAAGTAAGTTATGGCGACATTTTACAAAACTCTGTTACACTAAGTAAGTTATGGCGACATTTCACAAAACTCTGTAACACTAAGTAAGTTATAGCGACATTTTACAAAACTCTGTAACACTAAGTAAGTTATGGCGACATTTTACAAAACTCTGTAACACTAAGTAAGTTATGGCGACATTTTACAAAACTCTGTAACATTAAGTAAGTTATGGCGACATTTTACAAAACTCTGTAACACTAAGTAAGTTATGGCGACATTTTACAAAACTCCGTAACACTAAGTAAGTTATGGCGACATTTTACAAAACTCTGTAACACTAAGTAAGTTATGGCGACATTTTACAAAACTCCGTAACACTAAGTAAGTTATGGCGACATTTTACAAAACTCTGTAACACTAAGTAAGTTATGGCGACATTTTACAAAACTCTGTAACACTAAGTAAGTTATGGCGACATTTTACAAAACTCTGTAACACAAAGTAAGTTATGGCGACATTTTACAAAACTCTGTAACACTAAGTAAGTTATGGCGACACTTTACAAAACTCTGTAACACTAAGTAAGTTATGGCGACATTTTACAAAACTCTGTAACACTAAGTAAGTTATGGCGACATTTTACAAAACTCTGTAACATTAAGTAAGTTATGGCGACATTTTACAAAACTCTGCAACACTAAGTAAGTTAAGGCGACATTTTACAAAACTCTGTAACACTAAGTAAGTTATGGCGACATTTTACAAAACTCTGTAACACTAAGTAAGTTATGGCGACATTTTACAAAACTCTGTAACACTAAGTAAGTTATGGCGACACTTTACAAAACTCTGTAACACTAAGTAAGTTATGGCGACATTTTACAAAACTCTGTAACACTAAGTAGGTTATGGCGACATTTTACAAAACTCTGTAACACTAAGTAAGTTATGGCGACATTTTACAAAACTCTGTAACAATAAGTAAGTTATGGCGACATTTTACAAAACTCCGTAACACTAAGTAAGTTATGGCGACATTTTACAAAACTCTGTAACACTAAGTAAGTTATGGCGACATTTTACAAAACTCTGTAAAACTAAGTAAGTTATGGCGACATTTTACAAAACTCTGTAACACTAAGTAAGTTATGGCGACATTTTACAAAACTCTGTAACACTAAGTAAGTTATGGCGACATTTTACAAAACTCTGTAACACTAAGTAAGTTATGGCGACATTTTACAAAACTCTGTAACACTAAGTAAGTTATGGCGACAATCCATAACACACGGTATCATAAAGTAACACAATATAACAGTCATTAACATTTCTAACCTCCAAGTTTATTGTAGCATCAAGATTTGATTCAAATTCAACAGATCTTAAGAAAAAAGTCTTGTTTACGGTCAATAATGGAACGAAAGATCTTAAACTCGTCGCGTTCTTTGAGCAGTTGGATAGAACTGAGTATTTTGCAACAGAGGTAACTAAAAACGAAAGAAAAGACAAATTATCTGATAGTGAGTAAAAAGAGATTAAATAAAAACGTCCAGTTGGGGTTGTTAAATAATAAAATACTACAAATTTTAGTATCTCTTTAAAAGCTAACTATAAAAAGTCGATAACGTTCAAACGATTAGTGATTTGTTTCCAAGACGCAACCCCAAAACAACCCATGTAGGTAAAACATTTCAAATTCACGTTTAGCAAGTAAATCAAACGTAAAAATACAATATTTTTGTTCACTTTTTTTTCAGTTCAATTCACCATTGTTCAGTCAGTGAAACATTTAAGCAAACATTAATAAACGTGGTTTTGTCTTTACAAATACAAACAAACCTGGCAAAGAGTATTCCATATTCAAATCATTTTCAACGCCAACCACCAGACTCAAATTTTTTCCACCTTGATAAACATTTACTTGACAGTAATAGCTGACGTTTGTGCTATACACTTTAGGACATCCGATAATGTCATGAATGAAAGGAATTCCAATATCCAATCGTTTTGACACGTTCAAAATTCGATAAGTTTCGCTTGAATGGCAATATATACGAGGTAGAACCGTCCCCAGGATGATAAATTGATGAAAAAAAGACACCATTGACAATGAAGTTACCTCGAAAGAGATTACAGGAGTTCCGTCCCCCGGATTAAAAACACAAGTCATCGATATATTTCCAGGTTTGTCTATCCAGGTCGAAAACCTTACTACGGTCAACGCGTTTAGTGATAGCTTGTCGAATTTTTCAGTTTTGTACGCTTGAATTAAGTGTGTTGTGTTTAGTCGCGTCGTATTAAATGTTGAAGAAAAAGAAATGCGTGAACTTGACTGGCTGGCATCGTAAAATGATGACATTTCGAAGGAAATTGACTTAACAAACAATGGTTGCAGAGAGTTGATGTTAGTTAAGTTAGATGACAGTGATCCATTTAAGTTACTAATTGATGAAGTAACCAACAATGGTTGCAGAGAATTGATGTTACTTAAGGTAGATGACAGTGATCCATTTAAGTTACTAATTGATGAAGTAACAAACAATGGTTGCAGAGAATTGATGTTACTTAAGGTAGATGACAGTGATCCATTTAAGTTACTAACTGATGAAGTACCAAACGATGGTTGGGGAGAATTGATGTTACTTAAGGTAGATGACAGTGATCCATTTAAGTTACTAACTGATGAAGTAACAAACGATGGTTGGGGAGAATTGATGTTACTTAAGGTAGATGACAGTGATCCATTTAAGTTACTATCTGATGAAGTAACAAAAGATGGTTGGGGAGAATTGATGTTACTTAAGGTAGATGACAGTGATCCATTTAAGTTACTAACTGATGAAGTACCAAACGATGGTTGGGGAGAATTGATGTTAATTAAGGTAGATGACAGTGATCCATTTAAGTTACTAACTGATGAAGTAACAAACGATGGTTGGGGAGATTTGATGTTACTTAAGGTAGATGACAGTGATCCATTTAAGTCACTAAATGATGAAGTAACAAACGATGGTTGGGGAGAATTGATGTTAATTAAGGTAGATGACAGTGATCCATTTAAGTTACTAACTGATGAAGTACCAAACGATGGTTGGGGAGAATTGATGTTACTTAAGGTAGATGACAGTGATCCATTTAAGTTACTAACTGATGAAGTAACAAAAGATGGTTGCAAAGAGTTGATGTTAGTTAAGTTAGATGACAGTGATCCATTTAAGTTACTAACTGATGAAGTAACAAAAGATGGTTGAGGAAAATTGATGTTACTTAAGGTAGATGACAGTGATCCATTTAAGTTACTATCTGATGAAGTAACAAAAGATGGTTGAGGAAAATTGATGGTACTTAAGGTAGATGACAGTGATCCATTTAAGTTACTATCTGATGAAGTAACAAACGATGGTTGGGGAGAGTTGGTGCTATTTATATCAGACGTCAGTGAGCCATTTGAAGGATGAGATAACGTAGTTATAGATGAAGGTTGCAGAGAGTTGGTGCTATTTATATCAGACGTCAGTGAGCCATTTGAAGGATGAGATAACGTAGTTATAGATGAAGGTTGCAGAGAGTTGGTGCTATTTATATAAGACGTCAGTGAGCCATTTGAAGGATGAGATAACGTAGTTATAGATGAAGGTTGCAGAGAGTTGGTGCTATTTATATCAGACGTCAGTGAGCCATTTGAAGGATGAGATAGCGTAGTTATAGATGAAGGTTGCAGAGAGTTGGTGCTATTTATATAAGACGCCAGTGAGCCATTTGAGGGATGAGATACAAATGAAGGTGTTCTACCAACATTCCAAGATGATTTTTCTGTCTCAAGCGACTGATCATCAAAGAAAGACCAAAATTTTACAGTTTTACTGAGTGTTACGACTTCCTGATTTTCCCCAACTAAAGAATGTTTTTCGATAGTTGTTTCGACTAAACGTTTTGATTTTCTTGATACCATAGAAGAAAGAGACGATGTATCATCTGAAGCATTATTCTGGGTGGATGTCAAGTTTTCCCAAGTGGTTAACAATAAACCACAGCCTAATACTCTATTATTCTGAACAAACAACAATGGCCATCCATTATCTGCACACACTTGTAAAGATTCTACAATATTTCCATGGGAAGGGAGATGGAATGTGATGTTTACGTTCGATCGTTGGAAGTCTCCGAGAAACTGAGACGCTATAGAAAGCAATATGCATATATACATATATTATTACACTTTGTATATTACGCTCGCTGCGTTTGCGCAGTTTGAGCGCTCTCGGATTGTGTAGAGAGTCTCGTAAAGAGACGTTCACCGCTTTCGCTTTGCGCAAAGCTCACCTTTATAGGTTTGAGCGCTCTGGTGACTCTACAATACAATCCATACAATGTGTAACCGTACGTTCTATGTCCCAAGTGCAGGAGTCACCATTTTACTATGGTGATAGCCGGGAGGGCACATTGTATATACACTTTGTACATATATTATTATGTATTGTGTTAGAACATCACCTTATATAAAGCATTTTGTAAATCCACTGTAAAACGTCGACATGAATCTTACTCTCGTTCTACAGACACTTTGCCGTTTGGTCTCCAACACAAATGTTCAATTTCTTATGCTAGAACTGAAACCCTGCACCCAGGACATATTTTTCGCAGAACAATATGTAAATGTCGAGTGTTTTATAATTAAAGTTCGGCTTCCTTTCACGACTTTAATAGTCTTTTACGGCAAAAATATGTGTTTGTGAATTCAAACATGGTTTGAAAGAAAACTCCCTACGGTACAAACCTTTATCAACCATTGTAACATTGACAATGCCTGCATCCATAGGAAATATTGTTTGGCAATACAAAATCTTAAAACAAAATAAACTGTAATATAGATAACGTAGGTGATAAACATCTATTGTGATTAAAATGATAATTTCATTTAAAGATGTAAAAACTCACAAGAAGATACAAATAGACGCAATAAATAAAACGCGCTTTCATTTTTCTGCGTAAAAAAGAAGAAAAAACACAAGAAAATGTAAAGAGAACGACTTATTTTTAGAGCATGATTTTAACACATACTTCAAGAATTCTTCAATTTGCCTCTGTGCTTATTCCGTATATTTCGAACATTGGCTGGTCATTGATCTAAAATCCAAAATAGAAACCTTCCTAAAACACCATCATCAGGTTTTTCTTTACTAAATATCAACACCAAGATCAAAAAACAGGACTTCATAGGATATTCCAATTTAATTTGCGTGCATGCGAAAGGTGGAATCTTCAAGAAATGGGTTTTTCATGATAAAAGCTTCAACTACAAAAATACATTCAAGTGCTTCCTCATAAAAATAATTAATCTCACAACCTGCCTGCATGTACGACGTTTGAGTAAGTAAAATTTTGATCAAAAAATACTTTCCGATCAAACGCAACTATTTGTGGTTTACCTTTAGTAAATATGCTTCAATAATTCTTTTTTACTCTCTAATTTCTAAAAGATATTTCCCATCTAAGCTACTTAAGATAAAGCAAAGATAATTCCAAATTAAGATTCTATCTTCGTACTTGAAATGTAAAATGGGAAATCAAGAATGGCAAAAAGAAAACAAACTCGTCAACTTCACTTACCTTGAAGACGAACATCGACAAAGTTGATGTTGCATGTGAAAAAATCGTTTTTTAAATCATATTTCAACTAGCAGGTGATTTTGATGGGTTAATCAGCTTTGACTTGAATGGCAAACCGTGTAATTGACGGGTCTTCCCATTTCCATCGCCAATTATCTGCAATAGAATAATTTATATATCTATTTAGCAATAAAATCACCTATGTCTATGTTCATACCGACTGTCAATATAACTTAAATCTGAATGACAATTGCGTCTGATTAAGGCATTCTTTAGAAAATTAACAGCTAAGGAATTAATTCATAAATATTTTAAACGTCTCATGCAAGAACGAAACCGCGAACTGAGATAGGAAAGAACTGATTTTTAATAATCCTTTTTGACATTGCATCTCTTACGAGAAAGCTTTGATGCAAAATGTGTAAACCTTTCACTCCGTTAAAAGCAAGGGACGTTATTTATACTAACATGATATTACCGAATTAATTGAATACATTCAATAGACAAAACAGTCATTTTCAAACTAATCCTAAAATTTGTTTTCCATACTAATGTATAGTCACAGAATAAGAAAATACAGAAGAGTCACTCGTGTCGGAACCTTTGATGTTTTTATCCTCGCGCATGTCGTGCCGCGCATGGTGGACGCCATTATTCCAGCCAGATGATTAGGGTTTTTGACTTTTTCCAAACCTTTAAAATGATCCGAAGTCACTTCTTAAGTCAAAATATACATGAATTCATTATTAAGTATTGACGTCATGTAATTTTAATGGTTGGAAACAAGTGAGAAATCCTAATCATCTGGCTGGAATAATGGCCGACATGAGGACACGTTGTACACCTGAGTGACCTTTCTGTATAATCATTATTGTGTGGTATAGATACCTAGCGTTACGTAAGAAAAACAAAAAAATAACATTACAAAACAGCTAGTTATCTATATAATTTTAGTATCGTATACAGTAAACAGACACCTAAATACCCCACCACCACCCACCCAACCACCACCACCCCACCATTACCACCCCACAACCACCCAACCACTACCACCCCACCACTACCACCCCATTACCACCCAACCACTATCACCCCATTACCACCCAACCACCACCCAACCACTACCACACCCCCACGATCCAACATCACACCTTCCAAACATCCGTAGCATACGTAAGTCCTTTCGTAAGTTTTAGTGCATGCTATGTAAATTGTAGATCGTTATCATTATTTACTTCTTTAGAAATTTATTGCTTCTGCATTAAGTGAACACAGAAAATTTTACATAACAAGACTAAAATGCATTACCTTCCCTAGCCCCTAAATAAGCTCCCCCCCCCACACACACATACTACCGTAGTAATCCAATAAGAAAAGGGGGCTTACAAACTTATACAAGCCCGGGGTTTTAGAGATTTACATTATCTTCCATAAGTCAACATAACAAGCTTTAATATTTATTTGCCATTAGCAGAAAAAGACCAAACAGTGCTTAATACTATACTATACGTACATGAAGTACTTCAGTGTTGCTTGTTCAACGTAAGCATGCCTGGCATATACCTTTTCAAATTTTCAATCCAAATTTATCCCTGAATGTACTACTAAAAAAAACGATACAATTTTATATCAACGGGAAAAAATTTGAATGAAATTACAGGAGAAACAAATTTCGTTTTGATGATCAACAGAAATATAAATATTGCAGTATTATGAATGTGCACGTAAGAAAAGCACAAATTTTTTCAATTTTTCAAATAGAACAAAGAGATAAGAAACTTTTCGAAATACGAAAAAAGTTAACGACATTAGTTAATAGCTTCTCAACACTTCATCACATTTTTTAAACAAAACGTAACTGCTCAAAAATAAAACAAGTTTCCTCGTACACACTTTTAAAATTCATTTCTATGTAACTGACATTCCTACTTATGTTTCTTATTAACATTTTGCAGGCGTATAAAAGCATTCAATTCACTACAATGAAACAATTAAACAAACTGCAAGCATTCATTAAAATTGATAATATATTACACCTCCAGCGTAATAAATGGTCTTAACAAGTTTAACGCCATAGAAACGAGAAAAATATACATCAACTATGTAATTTTTTAACTTTTCCTGACGTTTAAGACGTGTTTCAAACGTCAAATTTTACATGCACCAAACGCACTAAAGAGAAAAGAAAATGAGATAAAATTCCTCGTCATCTTTTGTTATAAATGCATTCGGCTCATGTAAAATGCGACGTTTGAAACAGGCCTAAAGAAGCTTCTTGTACGAAAATACTGTAAATTATCTTTTGTGGAAATTTTAAATCTGCTAACTTCTCCACAGTATAAATTAATAATCTATTTAACCGTATTAGCGATGCAAAAAAATTGCAAAATCAAACAAAAAAACAGAGAAGACGACGCCGCAAGAAAAATTGTTGACTTGCGACAAAAATACATTAATCTTGCGAACAAACAAAATGGTATGTTTGAGCAACATAACTTTCACAATTTTGTTTTTCAATGATCTCAAAGAAAGTTTATCTAAAAGTTTTTAAAACATTGTTCATTTAAAAAAAAACTTCGATTAAACCTTCTTGCGGGTATTTGCAGGAATTTAAAATCATTTGAATAACAATTGAATAACGAATTGAAAGGTTTCTATGGCAGTATTCCTGTATGAAGGACTAAAGCGTGTAGACGTCCGTACTCTGTAACTCATTGTAAGTTAAACCGGTTGTAATTGGTTTTGTATGAAACGAAACTTTCAAATATGTTAATGTTGGAAGTCGATAAAGAATTTATTAACATTTTTTAATTGAGCAAATACAGTAAAATTTACTTTGAAACAATACTCTGAAGAAAAGAGAATTTTCTAAAGTTCTTAAGATTTTCAATTAAAAAACTTCAAATAACAAACATATTTATAGTTCCTTGGAAATTCTTCAGAAAAATAATTCTGTTCATGGTTTTCCAGTGAATAAACAACAAAAAGGTTTATACAATAGGAGTAAAAAAAGTGGCTGGTTTTTTTGGTTTTGCTTGCAGACATTTCCACATTGCTTAGACAATACTAGGTCATTTTTACATTTTAAAAAGTCATAGCTTTAATGTAATAATTCAATAATTTAACATTAAAGCAAATAAATTGAACATTGTACACCTTGCCCTTGGCTCATTCAGTCTGGCGGCTTCTTTTCATTTCATACATATAACAAAATGCAACTACACAAATGGTTAAACAAAAAATCCTTTGCTGTTTGATTGTAATTTTCATTTTTAATTTCATATTTATTACATATTTCATGAATAAAATACACCTAGGTATACAAGAGCTATAATTTCAGCAAGGGGGCATAAATGTTGTCACCAAATCACAATGAAAAACAAGATTTCATGACTTCAAATTATACATCATAATTTCTTACGAAGGGAAATTTGTCTGACTTTTCAATCTTCAAACTTTCTTGGGTGGGCAGCTGCTTGCACCACCCACCACCCCTGCACACATGAACCTTCTGCCCCCACTCTCCCATAAACACGAACCCACTGTCACAACTGGTCACAACAATGATTGGGACTAGAAGTCTAGTTCCCAGGTTTCCTCTCGACCTGTGGACACCGACGGTGGACAAATTTCTCGCCATTTTCGACACTAAAACAGTTCATTTTGTGACGAGTCCGCCATGCTACATGAGCTAACATCGTATTTTTAAATTTTATCATCCCTTCTCTCCCTGCTTTAATCTTCTTTAAGGAAAATAAGCTGTTTATCATACCATAAAATTCTTCAGTCAGTTCTCTTCTGCACGCGACACTTGGCATCTTAAAAATTTGAAAAACTAGCAGCATGATGCGTTGAGGAAACTCGAGGTATCCCGATAGCTTTTGCCTTTTGTAGTAAAAAGCAAATCTGTGAAATATATCTCGTAAAAACCACTGCAAACGGTTTCAATTAGCGTAATTTATCAGTTGATTTGCGTAAATCTTGTGTATTATGAAAACATTGTATTATCATGCTTTTGTTTTAACCAATCACACGGGTGGAGGAAGTTATGTGATTGCATGCTATATTCTCCCAACCTCAACCACCCTTCGCCTTCTTGCTTCTAGTGGGTGTGGAAATGACTGAACTGGAGTTTTGAACAAAATTTATGTGCTTTTAAATCATGGTATTTGACTGTTGTCTCGACGATGAGGCGAAGCGAGCAAAGCAGACATCCAAAGACATAGATAAAAAGCTCAGTCGCGAAAAGGAGCGCTTTCGGCGACAAGTCAAGATCTTACTTCTTGGCGCCGGGGAATCGGGCAAAAGCACCTTTCTGAAACAGATGCGAATTATCCATGGCGAAGACTACGATGTTAGTGCCTTGTCTGAATTCAGACCTATTGTCTATAGCAATATTTTAAAAGGAATGAAGGTTCTTGCGGATGCTAGAAGAAAACTTGGTATTGACTGGGGAGACCCTAATAATCAGCGATACGCTCGCACGATTCTCGATTTCCAAGCACCCCAAAAAATTGAGACGAATTTGTTTCTGCAATATGTCGACGCTGTTAGCAAATTATGGCAAGATGAAGGAATTCAAATTGCTTATGATCGTCGGAGAGAATTTCAATTGGTATGTGTCTGCCTTATATATTCTGTGTCTTAAATATGGCGTTGTTTAAATAACTACCTCATTACAATGCAAGTGCAGTGTTATCCCGTAAACATCAAGTTCTTTTATTATATTTTACATGATTGTTTTGAAATGTTTTATGTGCTGTGTTTTAATTGTTTCGCTTATAAGCGGTTGGCTAAAGTGATTTTTCAACAAGAATTATTAACACGCTGAGAAATTTGATCTTTTGAAGGACTTGAGCTTGATGAAGTGAACTAACTACGTTGCATGATGTCTGGAGAATAAAATTTGCGAGAGATAAATACTTTTTCTCATCATTCATTAAAAATAAAATGATGTCTAATTGTCACAACAAATATCTGCAAAGAGTAGCAATTAAGTTGCTACAAATGTGCGTTTTAAAGAAAAACGTTTGTTTTTCTATTTCTCAAATGCAAGTACGTGTGTTCGCATTGTTTATGATGCTATTTTCAAATCTCCATTTTAGGGGGACTCAACGAAGTATTTTCTTGATCAATTGCACAGAATTGGATTGCCAGTAAGTTTAAAAGAACGCTTTTAAATAGATAATTGCGACCATATTGCCCTTGAGAATATTTGACAACATTTCCAAATACTTTTCGACACTGTTAATGTACTCGAAGAATTTAGTCAATTTTTCCTTGCGGTCGCTTATATTACATGAAATGGATAATTTGGGGTATAGGTGGTGCAGCCTTGTCAGAATTAAAAATAACAGTTGTGATTTGAACTGCTTCATTCGAATGTTGTTGATGGTGAAAACTTTTTTAATACTCATGCAATGATCTTTATTGAAAATAACTAATTACTTTAAGAGTCCAGGGAGGCTACAATATTACTGATATTACAATGGTTTAGTTCCTTTCCATTTTATATAAACATTTTGGAACAGCTTGCATTGAATTTAAAATTTTTTGTCGAAGTAACACTACAATTTTTGTTAGTGTATTTAGTATCTTAGCTTGTTCTTAGAAGAAGTTTTTGTCTTCAAATACTGTGCTTATGCCAATTTGATTGAATTAACTGTTGAGTCACTTTATATTTAAATGTTGTTGAATATTATTAAACTTTGCTTTGTATAAAATGAAGGAAATTGTGTTGAAATATTAAATTTGACACACATTTCATTACTACCAAATTGTTCCTAAATAATTCCTCAAATTTATGTTTAATTAATAATCATACACAATTATTTCATAGAAATGTTTTAATTCACTTAATTATGCTTGTCTAACCCAAATTCTCTTGATAAATGATGAATATTTAGCATCCATAAATATTTTAGTTAATGAAATACTTCAAATGTTAGTTGTCTACCGCAAAGTCATAATTGATACTGTTGGCTGCTTAAAGACAGCTATCATAATTTGTAGCACAAATATTCCTGCTGTCATTGGTTGCCTTTCTCGTTGTTATTCTCAATTCACTAACAATTTATACATATTGAGCAATTTTATCAATGAATTTCATCATAGTTGACCATAGTTGTGTGTTTGTGTTGCAGGATTACCTGCCTTCGAAACAAGATGCATTGCACGCGAGAAAGGCAACCAAGGGCATAGTGGAACATGAATTTGACATCAAAGGCATACCATTTAAAATGGTAGATGTTGGAGGACAGCGATCCCAGCGTGCAAAATGGTTTCAGTGCTTCGAAGAAGTTACGTCAATTCTATTTCTTGTGTCGTCAAGTGCATTCGATCAAGTGTTGATGGAGGACAGGACGACCAATCGACTTGTGGAGTCGTGCAATATATTTGAAACAATTGTGAATAATAAGTTCTTTAGTAATGTCTCGATAATACTTTTCCTCAATAAGACGGACCTCCTTGAGATTAAAGTCCAGACAACAAACATCAAAGATTTCTTTCCCCAATATGATGGCAATCCACATAAGCTCAGTGATGTACAGACATTTATACTACAGATGTTCAACAGCAAGCGACGAGAACAATCGAAAGCTCTTTTTCACCATTACACGACAGCCATTGACACTGAAAACATTAAATTTGTATTTCATGCTGTCAAGGACACCATACTGCAGTTCAACCTTAAAGCTTTAATGTTGCAATAACAATTTTATCAAAAGCAACAGTATCGGATCATTTTTACCATCTTGTGAAGACACTTCTCCAAGAATGAAGTTGACTATATATTGGACTAGTTGAAGCATTCCTTGGCTCTCAAAGATTCATCAACTTTGCTCTCCCATACCTTTCAGAGATTGCTTGTTTTTTGTAACAAATAATTGAAAAATCTATTTTTAGTACCACATGTTGGCAATCCCAGTTATATATAGATAGTAGCTGTTCAATGAAACAATAAATGATGATTGATGAATATATGATAAACAATACATATGACATTATTTTTCTACTGTTAAAACATGTAGTTAATTTATAGTTAATATTGTAAAATTATTTGCGCTTTGACATTTCATTACTGTTCTAAAGTAATTCTGCACTTTTTGTATGAATTTCGTGGTACTAAGAAACATTTGTCTTTATTTAAATCTCGTTTTCTATTGTATTTTATTTCGTGTATAAATGTCGATTAAAGTTCCGATTGCTTGCGCAATTTATGCTAATTACTCTTGGACTTTTTAGGATTATCTTCCGTCGAAGCAGGACGCACTACACGCCAGGAAAGCGACTAAAGGCATTGTGGAGCATGACTTTGATATAAAAGGTGTTCCATTCCGAATGGTCGACGTTGGCGGCCAGAGATCGCAAAGAGCAAAATGGTTTCAATGCTTTGATAAAGTCACAGCAATTTTGTTTCTCGTGTCGTCTAGCGCATTTGATCAAGTGCTGATGGAGGACAGGACGACGAATAGGCTCATTGAATCGTGTGATATCTTTGAAACGATAGTGAACAATAGATTCTTTGTCAACGTTTCTGTGATTTTGTTCCTTAACAAAACGGATTTGTTGGAACAGAAAATCACGCATACCTCAATCAAAACATATTTCCCGAACTTCGAAGGTGACCCGTACAATTTAGGTAATGTTCAAGACTTCTTGTTGCAAATGTTTGATAGTCGTCGACGAGACAGAAGAAAGGCTTTATTTCATCATTTTACAACGGCTACAGACACGGAAAATATTCGCTTCGTATTTCATGCTGTCAAAGATATTATTCTTGGACAGAATTTGGAAGCACTTATGTTGCAGTAGGGTACAAATGGACATGTAGCAACACTTAGGAGTATTTCAGTTAGCACTCTTGCAAATTTGTAATGTGTTGCAAGGTTTAATGTTTGATTTCCTGAGTTCTAAGGATTCAGTTCAGAATAGATTCCACTGGCGAAATTTCTCAGAGAAATTCGAAAGAAAGAAAAAATCGCTTTTCTTGATACTTAAAGCTCTTTCTAACGACTGAAAAACGTATAAAATGAGTCAAAGTCAATAGAATAACTCAGGTGTAACAGAGTGTTGCCCCTATGTCATTTCTCGAGAAAAGTTTCTCTTGCGGAATCATAGCTTTAGTTATGTAGCTAGTTACCGTTATCTTCGTATACTGTATGCATTTATTAAATAATTAATTACTTATTTACATTGCTTTCAAACAGTATTACTCGAGAATGCATTCATATGTACAGTTTTGCTCATTGCTTAATGCAAGTGTTTCTTTCAAAGTTTTTATAGTTTTAAATGATGTTGCGCGCGCGTGTGTGTTTGTGTATGAAATTCCTAAACTGGTGGTATTTTTAACCATTCAGCCCAGTTATTAACCACATTTTTCACCGCCCAAACTACAATCGACATGCCCAATGCAACTATCCCTGCGCTGAACAAAACCATGAACAACAGCAGCAAACCAAATACAAGGAAGGTACCCTCGAGAAGTAGAAATACCATCGCGAAGAAGAGAAACGAACTCAGAGCAAACACGATGAATACGCACAATGGTGTGAAGGAAATGATTGCAAATAATACGGCGAACGTTATCGTCCGTGGACGGCGTTGACCGACGTTTGTCAGATACTGCCAACAGTTTATGATCAATTTTTCATGTTGGAAAAACGAAGGAAGTGTTTCTTCGACAGATTCTTTCTCCATCTATAAGGAAGCTTGAGTTCAAACAGCGTACAACGAACTACTATATAAAAAGTACCGTACTTTATGCGAAGATTGCTTCCTCCTTTGATTTCTACCTTCTATCCTCTTCCATCAATAAAAACGAACAAAAAATTCTTTTGTCATCCGGTAAAACAAAAACGAGACTTTAATTGAGTTAAGTATTAACTTACCACTAAACCGACGTTAATTTTTTAATTTTCCTTCAATCGTATCAACATCGACAGCGTGCGGTATCGGCCGTTACCGTTTTAATCCGAGAAGAAATCTCTCCCATTTCAAACATTTATATTTAAGGAGGATTTGAGGCACTTTTAGTCAGAAAACTCAAGAGGAATGAATGATGTAGTTGATTTAAAGGGGTATTCTAAGGGTAGAATTTACAAATGATCAAAAGACCATTTATCGCCTGCATTTTACAAAATGAAATTAAAGTATTTTTCCTCGTTACTTCTCGGAAGTCATCGTCATTATTCGGCCCATGGTAATATTTGCATAAGACACAGACATTCTCTTTAACAACATTTCGATAATGGAAATGTAAAGCTATTCACTTTTCCTACTTTTTTTTGAGTAAGGGTAATACCTTTCCTACAGCATAATTTCAAAGAAGTTATAATACATAAATTACGGTTAAAATTATCCTAAAGCAAAAGTCAAGATTGCATTATACCATTGTTCCTAAAGAACATAGATACTTTATTTACAATCTTTTCAGTGCCCTCTTTTTATCTTTTTTCTTCTTGTCGATTGTTTTCTCATTAAGTCCACGTTTTTTGCCACAAAAATTCGAATCACTAATGTCCGAGGTGGTACTACAACCATTGTTCTGGGACGATGACTTTGCATGAACATCGGTCATCATCTTCGCTCTTCTTGAATAATCCTCATATTCTTCAAGTAATAACTTACCAGCTTCTTCGTTCAATGCTGATTCAGGATTTGGAACAATGAGCAGGCATTTAATGGTCTAAATAACAAAAAAATCACTTTGAAAAAATTGTTGTAAGAAACGACTGTAAACATCAGGAAACATATTTTCTTACCAAAAGAATATGCTTGATGCCAAGATCTGCTTTCCAGTCTTTCTTCAGCGTGTTAACACAAATTTCTCCATTGCTTGCAACATTTGGATGAAAGATTTTCGTCGTAAAAAAGCCTAGATACAAAATGTAACAGCACTATGAAAAATTTGTGGCATTGAGTGTACATAACATGCTGAAAATGGACCTTTAGGTGGGCTGGATGGGAAATCTCGTTGAAGAACAAGTTTGACTTTAAAGATGCCACTTTCGTACGGTGTTCCAGCTGAAAAATGGATAAACAAGGGTCATTACTAGGAGTAAACAGGGATCACTGTTAGGAGTAAACAGGGATCATTGTTAGGAATAAAGAAGGACCATTGTTAGGAGTAAACAGAGATCATTGTTAGGAGAAAACAGGGTTTATAGTTAGGAGTAAACAGGGATCATAGTTAGGAGTAAACAGGGATATAGTTAGGAGTAAACAGGGATCATAGTTAGGAGTAAACAGGGATTATAGTAACCATTGTTGACATCAAAGGAAACTGCAACTTAAAATGATTAAAATGTTTCAACCTGGCCCATCTATCGTGGCTTGTATATTTGTGATGTCATCATCAGATGTAAACACCTTGATTCCTTCAGGAGGATTTGATGATAGTTCTTGCAGCTCTTTGGCTACTCTTTTGATGATTTGGGGAGAAAAATTTTCCACATTATTAGACAACTAAAAGGGAAGCATGATTTAAAAATCAATCAACGCGAACATATTCAGCTATGCTTAAAAAAAAATTTCTCTGTAACACAAACAGTACGCTTTTAAATATGCACACGTAGCTACAGTAGTACATAAAAATATTGCTATGATAAAAGTCTACACACTTACTCACTAAAATTCTAAATATTCCAGTTTGAATTTGCCTTCAGAAAACACATATATATATCATTTAATACTTACAGATGCCATTTCGTAGTAAATATCCGTATTTTCACAGGTAAAAATTAAAAAGAACGAAAATATTTTCGCTTTAACAAACTAAACGACATTAATCAAGTCAAGAAGAAAACAACTCCTAATTTGCATGAAAACTCCTATTTGTTTTGTCACCAATAAGAACGAGAGAATAATTTGAATCAACCAATGAACTAGCCTTATTTACTAACGAATTAAATATGCACACATTACCAGGCTTCTGCATGAAACGCGAATAATAAGAAGTACCATAGAGGATACATATGATCATATTTGTGACTAAGTCAATGACGTACCTCTATGTCCCCCACTCCCTATTTGCATGAAAGATAAACAATTTGTAGTAATTGTTTCATTGTTCATTTTTTTGTCAAACAGCGAAAGAAAGAGATCTTTGTAATCGCATTCATTTACTATAAAATACCACTGGAAGAAACGTGAATCCTGAATACAGTAAACAGAAACTGCAAAGCAATTGTTTGTTTGTGTTTAAAACAATGAACAGCTGTGTTCTGTGGTGTTTAGTGATTTGTTGAGCTATCGTTGACAGGTATCTTTAATATATTCGTTGCTTTTGTTTTTAATGCACATCTTAAACTCGTACCTGGAGATAAAACGGAGTTGAAGCTATGAAAAACCAGCGCAATGGGTGTGCATGATGATGAAATTTTGCAAAAGAAATTCGTTTCTAAAAGGAACGAAGCGTTAGTTGAACTGCTGGAAGACAATACGAACCGAATAAGAAGCGGACGTCTTCAAAATGAAGAATTAAAAAGCAATATATCGCTGGCTGTTTGGATTATAAATCAATTCCAACAGTGGACTGTTCTTTTAAGTTTTAATGAATGTTCTAATAATATGCCTTTGCCAAAAGATGTCTCTCATGACAAGAAGAATTGGATTTTGTTGAAGGTTGATGACGAAGGGGCTTTTTTGAACCAGACGAAAGGCAGTACGAAGTCTTCAGGCTGTGTTTATGACTCATCGGAACTACAATTGTCGGGCGATTTTCAAAAACAATCTTTGATGTTGAAATCATCAAAATCACTCGCGGAACTCTCCATGATCGATTGTAAGCCTGCAAAAAGTATTTTAAAAAGTTCTTCGTCCAAAGGAAATCTGGTAAGTTGTTTAAATTTATTATTTTTTTCTATTGAACTGTGATAAATTGTTGAAAATTGCTTTTGCCGAAAAATACGTGAAAATTCTGTTATGTCAAACTAATGACGTCATAGAATTTGATGACGTCATGACGTCATGCTAAGTTGACGTAATCAAGCGGACGTTATGACGTCGTTGCAAACAATGACATAATTAACAATGACTGGACTGCTTTTATTATTATCTTTGTAGAAGAAGTATGTCCATTTTCCAGCAGATTTTCGTCACATTCAAACTATCCATAAATACTCAAATATTGATGAAGTATTTTCTGAAGATGACATTGATGAAACGTGAATCTATCATTTCTTCACCACACATCAAACATTTTTACCATAAATGATTTCATATTTTTGTGATTATACAACACAAGTATAAACTATTTAGTTTGGACAAAATATTGCTCTAAAGTCATTTGTTTGTATATTTTTTAGATTTGTGTTTGTTTATTACTGCATTGTTTTTAAAGCACTTTTTACTGCATTGCTGTTGTATTATGTTACTCCCTGTTAGTAAAATATCACATGATAAGTTACCAAAATCCATCAAGATTCCACATATCGATGAACTAAAGCTTGAGCCCGCTTTTCAATATGAGTTTTTTTGTCTAAAAAGTATCCCAATTCAAAATTTTTTCAAGGCCATCATAAAGAAAAATAAAAAGACCCAAATTGAGTTCTCCTTATGAAACAGGACAACTGCAATATTTCATTTTGTCTGTTGTTGGTTTTGAAATAAAACGAAAGTATTACACTTTTAATTGTCTTGTTTGATAACATGAAATTAAATTTACAAGATGCCTTTTTTTGGATTTTGTTTTATTTTATATCTTATGAAATTGTCGTCTGGTCAAGGATTGAGTTCGCCTTATTCAGCGCTTGTTCATTCTACCCTTTTTCAAGTTCGGCACTAAATTTACTTTTCAAAACTGTCTTACCACCAATCTTCTAATGTTCTTTTATCTTCCTAGAAAAATCCCTCCCCATATCCAAGATTATTGCAAAGAAAAAAGGACCTAAACTAACACCAAACTCTTCTGACATCCAAGGTTCACATGATCTGATTGCAGTATTTTCATCCTTCCATTTTTTTCTCAATGTTCGTTTCATTTCTGCATTCTGCTCGGAAATGGCCGCTACGAACGCTGAGCAATACATTTTGCTCGTGGGCTCAATAGACATAAAATTTGCTGGGATGACTAAAGGAGTATCGTGGTGTTGGAGTGCGTGATTTTGTCGTTTTAAAAATGCTTTCCCAAGCTCAATTACTTGACGAATTAATGGGCAGAGATAGAAATCTAGCCCCACAAGACAAGAAATCCAGTTTGCACTGGTCGGATCCTGGGTTAGCGTTGAATTTCTATTTAATGTTGATGCTTTTGAAGAAAAAAGGAAATCAAATATGGCGCGGATTGGAGCAACGTGTGTCAATTTTAATTTTGCATATTTTAGGTTTGCAAAATGTTCCTGGCAGGATTTTGTCCTCACGATCTTTTTACTAACACGCGTTCAGATCTGGGTAAGTTAAATTACGAATAATTTTAAAGATCAAAATTGAGAGATGTTATAACATTGTTTACAGTTGAGGTACAAATTACCTTGGCGCTTGCCATCACTCGCATGAGTTTTCAAAAAATTCACTTAGTCACGTCGACTTATGTTGATACAAGCATTAATTAGAAACACTTTTGCTTAAAACATTTAGAATGGTTGAATTAAATGGCAAAAATCCTTTAATAACTGGCACAATGGGGCAGTTTACTCATTTTCCCTTATCTCAGTAAAATGAACTCAATTGCATTTCTCACAGAAAAGCAGAATCACTTTTATTGACAGGAGCAAAGTCATAGTTATTGAGGGGATTAATTTGTTTGCTACAATATCATTATTTTTTGTTACAATAGGATACTGTGAAAAAATCCATGATGACAAATTGAGAGAAGAGTAAGTTCATAATGAACATGAAAAGCTTCATATGATACATGCCCTGAACCATCCTGAATCACCCTGAACGTCCCTACTGTTCCTTAGATGTGAATCCTTATAAATCTTACTAACTAGATATAAAACATCACGAAGATTTGGGACAATGAATTATGAAGAAGATTTTCTACGTTATCTGCAGTCACTTCTGTCTGATGTTGATCGAAGAATACGTCGTGGTCATTCACGGCTGTTAACTTCTCAAGAACTCATGAAGGTAGCTAACGCTAGGTTGCTAAGTGTATCCGTACCGGCGTGTAAACATTTCCTGAACTGATCTTTTAGGAAAAACAATTGGGAAAATTGAATAATGAAGGTGATAGAGAGAAGGAAGCCCAGTTAACGGAGAAAGTCAACTCTCTGGTCGAGCAGGTATGTTGCATGATGGGAAAATGAATAAATTGCAGATAGAACATGGGTGAATTGAATGATGGGAAAATATGTAAATTAGTAATGGAAACATGGATGAATTGCATGATGGGAAAATATGTAAACTGCCAATGGAAACATAGGTGAATTTCACTATGAGAAAAGGAAAAAAATTCAAATGGCAATTGCATGATGGGAAAATATGTAAACGCCAATGGAAACATAGGTGAATTTCACTATGAGAAAAGGAAAATTCAAATGGCAACACAGGTGAATTGCATGATGGGAAAATATGTAAACTGCCAATGGAAACATAGGTGAATTTCACTATGAGAAAAGGAAAAAAATTCAAATGGCAACACAGGTGAATTGCATGATGGGAAAATATGTAAACTGCCAATGGAAACATAGGTGAATTTCACTATGAGAAAAGGAAAAAAAATTTCTAATGGCAACACGGGTGAATTTCATGATGGGAAAAGGAATAAAATGCTAATGAATCATAGGTGAATTTCATCATGATAAAAACAAGTAAACTGCATATGGAAACAGAGGGGTGAATATTAAAATGTTACAATAGGCCGAGAAACTTGGATGCGAGGGAAAGGTTGAAGAAGCGCAAGGTATGATGAAGCTTGTTGAACAATTAAAAGAAGAACGTGATTTACTTACATCAAAGGTAAGGCTTTCTCTTGCAGTTGATTTGGTAACGAACTTACGTGTTAAAGTAAATGGTTTGAACCCGGGAGTATCGTTCCATGTTTGTAAATGTAGATCGTCCAGGTTGGTATAGTCCTGAGAAGGACTGTTTTTGTTGTTGTTGACTGACGTTTTGACAGATGTTGAGAAAGGGTTACTCTGAAGATGACTACCGCTAAGGTTGTCGAAACGTCATTGAACAACAACAAAAACAGTCCTTCTCTGGACTATACCAACCTGGACGATCTACATTTACAAACATGTAACTTACGTGTGCTATATGTATTCTCTCTGGACATTGTTTACTCCAGGTAAAGGATCCAAGTTTTAACGGTCAGGAAAAACTGATGGAAGTCTGTGATGTCTGTGGTGCATTTCTCATCATTGGCGATGCTCAGATAAGAGTAGATGATCATTTACAAGGGAAGCAGCACAAAGGATACGCGCAAATTAAAGCTGCAGTTGAAGAAATGAAGGCACGTTGTCGCACTAGAAATGTGCTGTCTTTTATTTAAGTATCTCTGCTGTTGTTGTTTTCTTATATCTCACTGAACCGTACATAAATTCACCAGAGTCGACCTTGGTTGAAGAAATCAACGAACAACGAAACCGATAGGAAATCTGAAGACAAAGAAAGAAACTCTGATAAAGATCGTGGTCGCCGAAGGGAGAGCGATGGAGATAGAAATTACCATCGAGACCGTTATCGTGACCGAAGTAGTCGTGACAGGGATAGAAGGGATCGTGACAGGGATAGAAGGGATCGTGATAGGGATAGGAGGGATCGTGACAGGGATAGAAGGGATCGTCGAAGAGATCGTAGCAGGAGCCGAGACCGTGACAGAAGTCGTGATCGTAGACGTAGTAGACGTGATGATCGCAGTCGTAGCAGAAATCGTGATGAGCCACGTGATCGGCATGATGAACCACGTGATCGGCATGACGACAGAGCTGGCAAACGTGATGAGAAGATTGAAGGTAACGAAATACAGGGAAGTGAAGTGAGCTCGTCAAAGGATGACAAAATGGCGGAGAAAGGTAGTCAAGGTACAAGAGGGTAAGTTTTGCATATGATAATATCTCACAAAGAGTCTCAGGGCAAATATTATCATCGATGTGATGGCATTGAGTCAGGTATAAATCCAACATATTGCTCAAAATATTCACTTTAGATGAAAATGCTTTAGTTTTTCATTGAGTAGTTGCCTTTCTTACATCGTCGACATGATAGATTTCAGTCTTGTTGTTGTTGTAAACGATTTGCTGTAACTAATTTCGTATCAAACAGCATTCTATAAATTGAAGAATTATTTAATCAAGTCGGTGGAAATTACAGGTATAAAACTTGTAAAGGTTTACACATAAAACCTCAATTCAATATGTAGTTGCTCTTGTGGTTAGAATGATTTAGTTTGTGTTTGCTTTTAAATCCTACAGCAACTAATTTTTTTGATATTTACCCTAACGTGGTCAATTATCTATTTCTTTAGAGTTGAAGACTAACTACTGGAGGATCACATCATCTTGATTCTAGTTTTCCTGTACTTCATACAGTGGACATTTTACATATGATTATGAAGTTCGCCGGTTTTCGTAGTATTTTGTTTGTTGTGCTTCATATCGAGGTGGATCGTAATTCTGTAAATAGAGCTATTTCTTTGACTTTGATTGTATATTGTATTAAAAATGCCTATGGACAATGTGAATTGTTTAAATGAAAATGTTTTAATATTTCTATCGTCAAAGACTGCCACTAACTTGATAACTCATTTGTATACACCATGCAGTTGTGCTTACCGTGATGTAATCAAGCGAAATTAAGTGAGTTAAAAAGAATTCCGACGTCTGTAAAGAAGGGAAAAGTTCTCTCGGCGAGCAAGCTACGTCATAGCCGCCATGTTGGATGATTTTCCTTATTTACAATGCAAATGTCATCGAACGGGGCGAGCATTCCGTTGTTCTCTCACTCCCAAGGGAAGGGTTTCACAAAACCTTTTGAGAAATGAAGGCCCCGTTTACACTATACCAGATTACTATCGCAGCAGGTTAAATTTCCTTTCTACTAAAAGGCAGGGAATTTGTTCAACGTCAGAAACACAATCGAATGGACTAAATCTGTCAACTGAATAAGCCTCTATTCCGAACATTTACCCCTTTAAAGCAAATGAAGATGTCGTGATGAACGAATCCGGTATAGTGTAAACGCAACCAAAATGGCGTTAGGTTGTCGTTTCCTTGAAGGATCTCAAAATAGAAATAATTTGCATTCACAGTTTGATTGGATTGTAAAAATATGTTAAATGTTTTCAAATTAAGTTAATAAAACAAAGCAGCAAGCGCTTTAGATTTACTATACCTGTAACGTATTGTTCTTCGTTTTACTTTGAGCCAATCATGAACTCTGATTATGTTGGTGAAGAGAAATAAATACTTTTCAACAAGTTGCCTGCATGCTATTTTCTAATTGATATTGATCGAGCGAAGATGTCGAAGATCTCTTGACGAAAAGTTTGGAAATTTCTTGTTGAGGTTAAGGCAAATGATACAGGCGCGATGTATTTTGAAGAAATTGGTTGTTGTAGATGTTATTCCGTACTTTCTTATTTGGTAGAAGAGAAAAGACGTTCCGTGTCAATGCCAAAAGAAGATGGATAGTGATTATTGGTGGTCGTTCCAAAGATCTTGGTATGGGGGCATCGATTCTTGGCAGGAATATCTAAATTACGATCATGAAGATGTCGTGGCAAGGTTTACGAGGAATGGAAGAAACGAAATCGTTTTAATAAAAGTAGGTATTTGTAAAGTAATTAAGTCTGTAATGCCTAATAGTCTACAATTAAAACTGGGCTCATTGATGCCAGCTTTCCATTATTAAAATAATCATGAGTGAGAAACCTCACGTTTTTTATTCTCGTGAGACTCAAAAGTTAATAAAAACGGAATTTTCTTTTGTTCATAATTCGGCTTATTGTCTTCCAAGCTATGCTTATTGTCTGAGTTTAATACTTTATCGTCACTTTGATATTGTCTTATTTCAATTGGTGAACTTAGGCCTTTAGAAACGTCAAACTTTACATGAGCCGAACTCTTTTAAAAGAATTTAAAACAAAAGATAATGAGGAAGTTTCTCACATTTTCTTTCGCCTTTAATGCGTTCGGTGCATGTAAAGTTGACGTTTGTTCATACAGTTATACTGTGGTATTACTATAAGTGTTTTCTAAATGGGTCAGGCAAAGGACTATGTGTAATCTTGTGCAACTTTGGTTCTATGCATGAAAACTGCTCGGATACACATCGAAATCATGTTTTGAGTGTCCATGCTTTTAACTACAACCATCAGCTGAGAAATTCAGTTTCAAACCAAATAGATTGAGAATCGGAGGAGATAAAGAGAAAAGGATGGCAGTGAAGTGAATGATATCATAACAACTTTTAAAATAACTTACATAAGAACGGATGAACAAAACAAAGACCATGACGCTTAGAATACATAATAAAATATTGATGAAAACGCCTAACAAGAAATATTTATGGGAAATACAGACGATAAATGCTTTAATAGCGGTTAACTCAATGATATCGCCATTATTTTATAAATCTAGATTAAAAAGGACTTGTCAAGATGTTGCAAATGGAAGAAACAGATTATCCTTCAACGCAAAGCATCCTTCTTCAACCTCGATATCAATTCTTCCTCACTGGCCAGCAGAGAATTATACCTATATGAAAAAATGCTTTCGTTTCATATTTCAAAGTCTATTTGTATGTCTTGCAGAGGATGTTAGCAATAATTGAGAGATGTGGGATCAAAGGGAGGTGTTGCCAAATGATTTAACATGCTTCTTGATATGTTATATGGTGATGCTTCTTGTTAATATGTAAATATTCGGATGCGGCATTTAACATTGAAATAAAATCTAATATATATTAAAGTTACAAAAGGAAATTGCAATACGCAGGCAGAGTATTGCAAATTCTTTCAATTAGATTTGGTCTATTTGAACTTAAAATGATTATCCTATCAGACAAACTAGCTGTCGACGTTAAATATTTATTAGTCGCTTTGTTGTGTCAATTAATGGCACTGTCATAACATTGAGGGATGTTACAACAGTGCCATTGTAGAAATAGCTGTTAAAACATAGCGAAAATAATTGTTTTTTAATAAAGTATAGATAAAGTAATTTCATGTTAACGTCGAAAAAAGCCTTTCCTGCAAATGTTTGCAGTTTACAGCTGTCTTCTGAAAATCTGTCCTAAAGTACGAACTTCGGAAGAAAGTTTAACAGATCATCTGCAAACACTGGTTTGACGAAATTTGCCAACAATTTTTGATGATTGTATTTCGTAATTATTCTTACAGTTAGTCTTACGTGGCAACAGTTACAGATTCAAACTGCGGTATGCGTTTGTTTTTGTTTGTTTGTTTGTTTGTTTGTTTGTTTGTTTTGTCGTACCACTAACTTGTTGTTTAGTATTTTTAGATGCGGAGGAGGAGAAGATGAAAGAAGTGGAAGTCAGGGTTGTAAGTGTTTCTATCGTTTATCAAATTTAACAATTTTGTTGCTTGTGTCTTTTTAGAACAACGTAGCATACAATGGTCGATTCACTTTTCCTGCGGTAAGTTGAAACAATTATTTTTACTCGTTTTTAAACTAAGTAAACTCGTTTTTAAAGCATTTTAGAAAGAAAAAATCTTTGATTTCAAATCTTCGATTAGTGTTTGCAGATGATCAATTGAATATTTTGAGAATACCAAAAGCATAAATATCTTGAGTGAAACCACATATAAACACAAAAACATGCAAATATTCTAACTAAACAAAAGAGTTCCCTCGCTCTCTTATTTAGGAAGGAAGTTTTGCAAAAATTTGATGTATTCCAAAATAGACTTCTGCCATCTATTTTGGATTAGTTTTGCACAAAATATCACACAGCGTACTCGATTAACTTAGTAACTTTTCTGTGTTTAAAATCATATCCTACATATATAATATAAACTGTGCTTGAGTTGAGTCAGGATTGCATTGAAATGAGAACCAAGTATTTGAACATTCATGATGTTTCTCTTATTGATATAAACTTGAGCACGACTGGTTCGTTCTTGGATGGAGAACGATAGTAGGGGGGTATTAAATTTTATGGAAATGGTTGTTTTGATACGGAATCAATTTCGGTCGGTTTCAGTCAGTTATTTTCATTATGAAAATGAAATTGAGGTTGCCACTCAGTGTACTGTTTATGAAGAAGCATCACCCTTAAAGTTCGTAGTTTTGTAGGGCAAACCTGAGTATAACATGCAAGTGTTATATACGCCAGACTATTAACTTGTACGCACTGCGTCGTGCCAATTTTTTGTTCTGTTTTTATTGTTCTCTCGTACAGCCGAACACCAAAACTCATACGTTATAACAACGGTATCGTTCAAAAGTTTTTTCCATCAGATAACATCTCTCAATGTGTGTGTTCACATATAATGTGTGAAAAATTGTGTAGACATATATAGCATATATGTACGATAAAAATATGTAAAATTATACGGTTGACATTTTGTAGAAGCATTACTTTTTTTATTAATAGTCGAAAAATATGACGAATTTGTTCTTTTTTTATGATAATAAATAACAGAATCTTCTCTTCTAAAAATGTTAAATGTATATTCCCTTATATTTTGTTAAAACAAATTAATAAAAAGTTTGGAGGATGCGGGCATCGATCCCGCTACCTCGCGCATGCAAAGCGCGCGCTCTACCATTTGAGCTAATCCCCCATCTTGATTTGACAATTAAAACGGTTTTTTCTTAACCAAGGACAGTTGTATAAGAGGTTCATTGGGTACATGGTACATTCGGGGTACACAAAAAAAGTAGACCCAAGTGGGTCAAGGGGGAACCGGGGGAACACAAAAAATATTTTTGATTGTTCATAGTCAATGTTCTTAGTCAATGATTCATGAGAGACATTCCATACTGCCACGAATTAAATTGTTTCTGTAGCAACTATTCATTATGAAGAACACTAGTTACCTTGAAAGCAATGTACAACAAGATTTCCAATCTTAAAAACCCAGCTGAGCTTCCAATATCTTTGGAAAACAAACTGCGACGGTTGACAATGGAAAAAAAGGCAAAGATTGGTCTTATGTTTGGCATTTTAGCATGCACTTTGTTTTATGTTGCTTATTCCCTACATACCCGCGGAGTAAAGCTTGTTGTAGTTGATAGTCCTTCTTCAAACAATTTTGAACGCTCTTGTCCTTTAACGAAGCCTGTGAAAACAGAGACTGGTGCGCTTTCATATCGCATAGGCATTGTTACAGACATGGATGAGAATTCAAAGCATCCTACCAAATCATTCACTTGGATAAGTTATTTTAAACGTGGAAATTTAATATTAAGTAAAATGGCTGGAAAGGATGGTAGAAAAGTTAGTATTAAGTGGAATGATGAAAACATATTGAAATCATCGCTTGCTCAAGGTGGTCGAGGAATGGAGCTATCAGAACTTATATGTTTTGATGGGAAAATTTTGTCTAATGATGACAGAACAGGAGTGGTTTATCAGATAATTGATCAGCATGTTACACCTTGGGCTATTATGGCTGATGGTGATGGTAGAGAGGTGAAAGGTTTTAAAGGTGAATGGGCAACTGTCAAAGATGGTCAGTTGTATGTAGGAGGACTTGGCAAAGAATGGACCACATCCATGGGAAAGCTTTTAAACTTCAATCCTCAATATGTTAAGATCATCAGCTCTAGCGGGTCCGTGATGCATGTTAATTGGGTGGAAAATTATAGAAAATTATTGAAAGCTGCGGGAATTGAACCTCCTGGTTATCTTATACACGAATCTGCTGCATGGAGCAAGGTGAATAAGAAATGGTACTTTTTACCTCGCAGAGCAAGCAAAGAACGATATGATGACAAAAAGACGAAAGGAAAGGTACCAATATGTTATTATCATGTAAAGAGGACTTCAGTGAATGTACAAGGACATTTATTGGACCTTTAAATGTTACCCATGGTTTTTCATCATTTAAGTTCATTCCTGGTACGAATGAGCAATATGTTGTAGCATTGAAGACACAAGAGGTTGAAGGGAGAATTGCATCATTTATAATGGCATTTGATTTAAATGGTAAAATTTTGATGGCCGAGCAAAAAATTCCCGGTAACTACAAGTTTGAAGGAATTGAATTTTTATGATGACATTGAACAGGATAGCTCAGAATCATTTCCACATGTGGAATGTAGTAAAACTTTGCTATCAAATGGCGTATTTTTTTATTTTTTTCTCAAACAGTATAAACACATTAATGTTTATATACATGAAATAAATTTGCACATTGTTCTTGAATATTGCATTTACTTGACTTTATTTAATGTCTTCTTCAGGAAAACAAATGGAAGATTGAATGCTTCATTTAAACGTTTTGCCTGAAAGACATAAAGTAAAGTTAGAAAACAACGTAAAATTAGGAATTTAATATTCCTCTCAAAAATTCTCACCTTTTGATGACCAAATCCAGGACATAGTTCGATCTCATTTTCAGTCGCAGAAACAATATTTTCAAAAGACTAAAATTCACAACATTAATTAATCAAAAATAATAATCTATAAGGAACTAAACATTATTTTACCTCAAATGTTGACAACAATGTGATAGTGTCTGTCTTGTTAACAGATTTTACTGTACCGAGACATTCTGTCAACTGTAAATAAAGAAAAACACAACATGCATGTTGTCAATGAACTTAAACTGACTTTTATAACAAAAAATACATACTTTAGACAAATAATCTGGATCAGATTGTCCTTGCAATGCATCTGCTGGTTTATTCTCATATATTTTATAAGTTTCTATGTATCGGGCAGCTTCCTGTGCACTATAAATAACATCATTTAAGGCTCCATATATTAAGATGTAAAATAACAGATATGTAAAATGACAGATGTTTGAAATGAAAGATGTGTACAATGAAAGATACATAAAATCACAGACATGTAAAATCACAGACATGTAAAATCACAGACATGTAAAATCACAGACAACAACATGTAAAATTACAGACATGTAAAATTACAGACATGTAAAATCACAGACATGTAAAATCACAGACATGTAAAATTACAGACATGTAGAATCACAGACATGTAAAATCACAGACATGTAAAATCACAGACATGTAAAATCACAGATACGTAAAATCACAGACATGTAAAATCACAGATACGTAAAATCACAGACATGTAAAATCACAGACATGTAAAATCACGGCATGTAAAATAATGGACATGTAAAATCACAAACATGTAAAATCACGGACATGTAAAGTCACAGACATGTAAAATCACAGACATGTAAAATTACAGACATGTAAAATTATAGACATGTAAAATTACAGACATGTAAAATAACTAAAGCGAACCTCCATGCTAACATTAAGGTGCAATCAGCAAGTATGGAGATTTTTGTCAAATCTTTTAATGTTGTATGTGGATCTTTCTAATAAGATAAGAAATTTGACATTTAATGACAGGCAAATTTTCATCAATTTTTGACAACAAAGTACAAAGAAGTTTTTATCAATCATTATCCACACTTACCACATCAACTTGAACAAGTAAAATACGAACTTCAAAGGACTTTCCTAGAGTCTTGAGTCTCTCATGAATATAGTTGGGATTGAACAAATGATAACGAATACTAAATGACAATAAACAAGTTGTTAATTTATGTTGATGTCAATAGAACCATTATCAATTATTTTAACCATAGACAATAGAACTAACCATAGACAATGGAACTAACCATAGACAATGGAACTAACCATAGACAATGGAACTAACCATAGACAATGGTACTAACCATATGTAATGGTACTAACCATAGACAATGTTACTAACTATAGACAATGGTACTAACCATAGACAATGGTACTAACCATAGACAATGTTACTAACCATAGACAATGGTACTAACCATAGACAATGTTACTAACTATAGACAATGGTACTAACCATAGACAATGTTACTAACCATAGACAATGTTACTAACCATAGACAATGGTACTAACCATAGACAATGGTACTAACCATAGACAATGTTACTAACTATAGACAATGTTACTAACCATAGACAATGGTACTAACCATAGACAATGTTACTAACTATAGACAATGGTACTAACCATAGACAATGGTACTAACCATAGACAATGGTACTAACCATAGACAATGTTACTAACTATAGACAATGGTACTAACCATAGACAATGTTACTAACCATAGACAATGTTACTAACCATAGACAATGGTACTAACCATAGACAATGTTACTAACTATAGACAATGGTACTAACCATAGACAATGTTACTAACCATAGACAATGGTACTAACCATAGACAATGTTACTAACCATAGACAACGGTACTAACTATAGACAATGGTACTAACCATAGACAATGTTACTAACCATAGACAATGTTACTAACCATAGACAATGGTACTAACCATAGACAATGTTACTAACCATAGACAATGTTACTAACTATAGACAATGGTACTAACCATAGACAATGTTACTAACCATAGACAATGTTACTAACCATAGACAATGTTACTAACCATAGACAATGTTACTAACTATAGACAATGGTACAAACCATAGACAATGTTACTAACCATAGACAATGGTACTAATCATAGACAATGTTACTAACAATAGACAATGGTACAAACCATAGACAATGTTACTAACCATAGACAATGGTACTAACCATAGACAATGGTACTAACTATAGACAATGGTACTAAACATAGTCCACAGAACAAACCATAGACAATGGTACTATCCATAGACAATGGTACTATCCATGGAGATTGGAATTTTCCATAGACAATGGAACTAACCATAGACAATGGTACTAACCACAAATAATGGTACTAACCACAGACAATGGAACCAACCATAGACAATGACACAGACCATTGAGATAAGAACTAGGTACTAATGGCTTTATTGTCATCTCTACAAAACTTACCTTAAAAATAAAGCACATATTCTCTGACCCATAACATAATCTGGAGTGATATTACTGAACTCCCATGGAATATAATGAAAGAATTTTAACAATGGATTACCTTTCTAAGAAAGGAAGGATTATTACAAAATAAATTATGCTTGTGTTGGCCCACTCCTGATATTTAATCATTAACCAGGTATTTGAGGTAAACTAAGAATTTTTTTGTGACATGTTTAGACTTAACATTTAGTCATCTTCAGTGCAAAGAAACTTCAGTTGAACTTCCACTTATAAAAACTTTCCATAAACAGACATCAGGTCAAAGTCCCAATGGTTCTGATTACAAGGTGTTCAACTGTACAAAATTTTTATTTTATCTTCAACTAGTGGCATTGCTTAAGAGCTTAAGAGTCAACACTCCAATGGGGCGGGCAGGAGGGGGGGGGGTGACTTCAGTGGCACAAAATTAAGGCAGTTGTAAAGATTCAACCCCTGGTAAATCTTATTCTGTTAAGATGATAATTATGGAGTTTTAAACATTACCTGTCTTTGATTAACTAACACTGAAGATGATGAATAATTTCGTGTTGCAGAGTGTTTGCTTTTTGATCCCATATTACTGCAAAACAAAATTAATTTTTTCAGAAGCATGTTAGCAGTTAACATGTAATCAATAACTTTTATAACGTGCATTCTTTTGTGTTTTTCTCATCTAAATTACAACGATTCATTTGAGCTGTAGGACCTACGTACTCCCTTTCAAGAGATTCTGAATCAAAATATTTCGTATTTTCAATGAATGCAAATGTCTCCTTAAAGTTTTTTCCAACTTGTATATCTTTTGGTTGATTTTCATCTGCAGTATCCTTACAAGATGGTGAACCTATTTCAATTATGTCATTGCTAGAATTGTCCATTATCAATTGTTTTTCATTCAATTGAGTTATCTGGCTTGACTCAGTGTCTTTAGCTTTTGAAATGTTTGCATCTTGTTGCTCCGCTATTGTTGATTTAGATTGTTGTTTAAAGACAGGCGTGACTTCAACTAAATCGACGCTGTCGTTCATTTCACTGGTATTTAAATATTTTTCGTTGATGTTCTTGTGGGCGGCCATTTTATATTGTCCGCGCACATTAAACTTTTCTTGTGGCCTGAAACGAGGAACTTTGCTATTGAGTCGACAGAAAACTGCAGAAAACGTTATATTTTATAGCCCTTTTGGACGTTTTTTTATCGATTTTTTGTAAAAATACTCAGTTACGTGTGTAAGTTGATAAAAATATCTTGTGAAGGAAAGCAAAAAAATGCCTTGCCGACTCCCGGGATTGTTCAGAACTCAATACGAGCTCTCCGGATTTGAACCAGGGACCTTTAGATCTTCAGTCTAACGCTCTCCCAACTGAGCTAAGTCGGCTTAGCTGGAGGTGGAGGTAAAATTAACATATATAAACCTTCTTTGCGATTTATTGTAATTGTTGCTATCTGTGAAGGGAAGAATGCGAATGACATGTAAATTTGATTTCTCTTAACTGTCGACAATGATTTTTTTGCGTTTAATTCTCTTCTGTTCAGGTATATTTCAATTATTTTACTTTGGACGACATTCAAGTACAGCTGATAATATACTTGCACACAATTGCCTTTAATATATAGCTTATAGCGCTGTTTGTTGTACAAAGAAATCTGTAAAGATTGTTGAAGAACCAGCAAATATGGGAGGATTGTGAGTATCATATACAAAATTCGTGAAAAATAAAGATATGTGTTTGTGCCTTAGCTACATGTAAGAAATTACACATGTTAATCATGTTAGCGATTAATCTTTCTGTGTTTTTGAAGGCAATCACTGCAATTAACCTCAAGACCGAACACAATAGTATGTCGGCTTCTCGTTACATTTGCTAAATCACTCAATCTTTGTTGTTTTGCACCAGATTCTCACCTGTAGCATAAGTTGTCACAATATAGTTTCATTATGCGCTATTGTTGCGAAATGTGAACTATATCTGAGCTTATATCACGCTGTGTTTAGACAGGCTTAAATGTAGACCAAGGAGACCTTTGAGAGAACTTGAAAGCAGATCATTGACAGCCAAGAGCAAAGCTTGAATGTTTACATCTGTTGAAGGGTTCTCACAAATGTCAATGAGGTTTGCATAAGCCGCTTATGTCGTTAGAAGGTGACACATCTGCTTTGACAATTCATTAATAAATAATCTACATAAAGTTCGATTCATTTAAATAAGTTGAAGATATTATTTATTGTTTATATAGTCAGCTCTAGTTCCCTTCAGAGAACCAACAAATATTACAGGTCTATAAACTTCACATTTTCTCAATATTTTTAACAATGTACATTTAACAAAGATATTAATAATCGTGCAAATTATATTTTACTAGGACCAAGCCATTTTCTTACATTACTTGGAAAATGTTTTAATCTTATTGAAAATGCGTAAGTAATTACATCATTAGGCAGTACCAGGTATAAGTAAGGAACATTACATAGTATCAGGTGTTAATAAGGAACATTACATAGTATCAGGTGTTGGTAGGGAACATTGCATAGTATCAGGTGTTGGTAGGGAACATTACATAGTATCAGGTGTTGGTAAGGAACATTGCATAGTATCAGGTGTTGGTAGGAACATTGCATAGTATCAGGTGTTGGTAAGGAACATTACATAGTATCAGGTGTTGGTAGGGAACATTGCATAGTATCAGGTGTTGGTAGGAACATTACATAGTATCAGGTGTTGGTAGGGAACATTGTATAGTATCAGGTGTTGGTAAGGAACATTGCATAGTATCAGGTGTTGGTAAGGAACATTACATAGTATTAGGTGTTGGTAGGGAACATTGCATAGTATCAGGTGTTGGTAAGGAACATTACATAGCATCAGGTGTTGGTAGTGAACATTGCATAGTATCAGGTGTTGGTAAGGAACATTACATAGTATCAGGTCTTGGTAGGAAATATTACATAGTATCAGGTGTTGGTAGGGAACATTGCATAGTATCAGGTGTTGGTAGGAATATTACATAGTATCAGGTGTTGGTAGGGAACATTGCATAGTATCAGGTGTTAGCAGGGAACATTACATAGTATCAGGTGTTGGTAGAGAAGATTACATAGTATCAGGTGTTGGTAGGGAACATTGCATAGTATCAGGTGTTGGTAGGGAACATTGTATAGTATCAGGTGTTGGTAGGGAACATTGCATAGTATCAGGTGTTGGTAGGGAACATTACATAGTATCATGTGTTGGTAGAGAACTTTGCATAGCATCAGGTGTTGGTAGTGAACATTGCATAGTATCAGGTGTTGGTAAGGAACATTACATAGTATCAGGTGCTGGTAGTGAACATTGCATAGTATCAGGTGTTGGTAAGGAACATTACATAGTATCAGGTGCTGGTAGTGAACATTGCATAGTATCAGGTGTTGGTAAGGAACATTACATAGTATCAGGTGTTGGTAGGAAATATTACATAGTATCAGGTGTTGGTAGGAACATTGCATAGTATCAGGTGTTGGTAGTGAACATTGCATAGTATCAGGTGTTGGTAAGGAACATTACATAGTATCAGGTGCTGGTAGTGAACATTGCATAATATCAGGTGTTGGTAAGGAACATTACATAGCATCAGGTGTTGGTAGTGAACATTGTATCAGGTGTTGGTAGGAACATTGCATAGTATCAGGTGTTGGTAGGGAATATTACATAGTATCAGGTGTTGGTAGGAACATTGCATAGTATCAGGTGTTAGCAGGGAACATTACATAGTATCAGGTGTTGGTAGAGAAGATTACATAGTATCAGGTGTTGGTAGGGAACATTGCATAGTATCAGGTGTTAGTAGGGAACATTGCATAATATCAAGTGTTTGTAGGAAATTTATTATTTTAATATTTCGATCTCCTAGATGTTAATACATTATGAATTATTACTCGACAGATATTTGTATCAATTGTGTCCATTTTTTAACATCACTCAACATGAGCAGACATGGAGATGGAATGCCTTTGAAGGGATATTGGGGTAAGTTAGGGATCATCAGAGATTCTGCATGATTTGTGTGTTTATAAGTACCAGTAAGAATTGTATGTATAAGATCTATTTAAAATTAACTGCTAGGGTTGTTGGGGATCAATAGGGGACATTATAGTAGATTGTCTTTAAAGAGTACACATCAGTATTCACTATGAACATGATATTTATTCTTTAACAGTGTTTGGAAACATTGGTCTATAGTTAACAATACATACATTGCCATGATTATGAATGATGGTGATCTGTGTCCTGGTGGTGTTCGTAGACAAACTAAGGTCCGCTGTACAAAATGATGTCACACCGTCACTTTTGCTACTTGCAGTTAATATTTTTTCGTTTCTTATGTAGGTGTATTTTTCATGTGCCTTTGAGGAGAAGTTAGTGAGTGTGAGAGAACCAAGTACTTGTCAATATGAAGCTGAATTAAAGACTCCTCTTGCTTGTCCAGTTGATTCATTCCTTGGTAAAAACATTTTAAATACTCCCCCCACACGCACACACACATATATATATACATACTCTTTATTACATCACCAGAGGACGGCAAAGATTCCCTGTCTACTTTCTACAATAATTCCAAGTGATAAAAATTTTATGTATTATTTCAGTGTATCCTTCGTTGTCTGTTGAACATCAAGCAAGTTGGCAGGAAATAGAGAGAAGTCTTTATTATGAAGAGATTACTGAACAAGGATATTATAAACTTCGTCATAAGTTATTTGTTCGTGCTGGTTTGATGGTGAATGATGTAGAAAACAGCCATCACGTGAATGTCAAAACAAAAATTTCTGTAAATGAATCTATTTTCATATCATTACTAGAATGTTCAAAGGTAAACTGAAAATTTATATTTTAAAGACTCGTATAGGGTCATATTTGATAATCCCTAAGAATGCAATAAGTGGTCCTGATAATTTTCTATTTATTCTCTTCTATTTTCATATTTCTATCCTAATACATTCCTCAAAATCCCCATGACCATTTTAATAGTTCTATCCTAATATATTCCTCACAATCCTCATGACAATTTTCATATTTCTATCCTAATACATTCCTCACAATCCTCATGACAATTTTCATATCGCTATCCAAATACATTCCTAACAATCCTCATCTACTCTCACCATTTTCTTTTGTCAGGCCTTCAATGATCTCTATAAAAAATGCCAGCACAAAGACCAGCCGGTTGAAAGATCAGAAACAATGTCAATGGCTACATCCCCATATTTAGAGATCAGCACCAAGCCTTCTCATAATTCAAATAGTCCACGTAGTGATCATTCTACAATCACGTGATTGTATTTCCATGGTAACTTGCGGAAGATTACCGCTTCCCGGAGATCTCGAGGGCTATTCTAATGGCTGTAATTGGTGGTTGGAAAACCATGGTAATAACTACCAAAAGATTGGGAACATTGGAAGTGAGGAAAAACCTGGGAACTAGTTTCCATGCTTTGCCATTGTCACCGACGGCGATGGTCTTAACTAGGGACGGGTTGGGCGAGGCTTATCCAGTGCGCTTTAACTTTTTGTTTATTTTAGTTTGGCAAAAGGTACAAGTGGACTTTATGATTCTAATATCTTCAATTTTTGCCACGCTGAAAGTTTACAATGACATTAGTAAGTGTTCGTGTCACTTTTGATTCAAGATCAAACGTTTTTTGTCAAATTAAACATAAAGATTTTTTTGTAAATCATCATCGCTTTCATTGTTTTGGGCTCGAAATAAATGAGGCATATTATTTGAGTTTCGTCAGGTTTGGCTGACAATGCTGCAGTTAATTCCATTCACAATTATGGAAGGCCATAGTGGACAAAAGTAGTCGAGAATTTTTTTTCCATCGAGATTATTTTTTACTGTTGAGAATACAGGTTTTATAGTCCAGCTAGATAACTTTTTTATAGTAGAGAATTTTTTTGGAGTCGAGAATATTTTTGGCAGTCGAGAATTTTTTTTGCAATTGAAAATCAGAAACTAAGTTTGATTATAAACTAAGAGAAAGATAGCGAAACCTTTTCATTTCATTAGAAATGTCAAACGTCTCAAGAGCTGTCGACGAAGATTTAGAAAATCTGTTATTATCGACACAAGACTGTATAGAACGTATAGATAGGAACGAATTTCTTGGTAACTTCAATTTTTTAAAACATTTATGTGATCGCCTTGAAGGACATATTCGAATAATAATGGCCATCTCCTTAGTCCTTAGCAATCAACAACATCCCATATTGCTGAAAATTTTGTTGAAGCATTTCTTTAAAATGAATATATTATTTCTATAATATGAAACATTTCTGTTGTCGAAGAACAGTCTGTTTGCTATAAATGCTACTGTTTGTAGTATTTTATACAGCATATGAGTCTGATCCAATCTTTAATTAAGAAAAGAGTTAAATATATGGGTTGAGGAATGACACAACTTCTGTATGTGCTTATTGATCATACAGGGGTGTGTTGGAGGGAGCTCAGCCCTGTTTGTTCAAATTGTATGCCTTGTATTACCAGTGAAATATATATATCAAAAAGCTAGCAGCACTTTAATATACATCAGAAAGGCAGCAATATTTTAATATCAGAAAGGCAGCAACAGTTTTTATATACATTAAAGAACCCAAATAGCTGAAATTATGGAGATATGCCCCTGTGATCTTATAAACCAAAACCTACAATTAAAATATCATCGACAAGTCTAGAAGAGAAGTAATGTTCTACTTTGAGCTACAGAAGTAGGGTACATTTGTACAATTCATTACCAAAAATATATTGTACTCGGCTGTTTCAGTGAATATCCTAATTATAATTAATTCATTTTTAAATGATGAACTAAAAATACAAAATACAACATGGAAAATCATAAGAGCTTATGTGATTTGGTGTAGTTGTTTGTTTAAGTGTGGAAGTGGCTGACAATTGAGAGGTTTGTAAATTGACCCATTTCTGAACATAATGAGAAATCGTCTTCGATTAAAAAACAAGCTTTGGAGTAAGAAAACTATTGAAACTGCGTTAGCACGAACTTTGCAATGTTATTTGGCCCAAAAATGTTTCTCTACTTGAGTCAGTTAATTGAACCTTATATCAAAAGCAGTTCAGTACAACAATCACCATACGCAATCAAATTTCGTAAGTTCGACCTAAAGGCATTTCTTTCATTTTTTTCGTAATCCTCGAGTCTGGCGATATGTAATGAAATTTAGTAGCCGTCAACAATCAGTTATTACACACTTATCCATAAAAAAAACGCAATATTATCTCAAAATACTGCATTACTAGCAGCAATTGCTATATAAACACTTGCTCAAATTTCAAAACTAGGAACCAAAATGGCGGAAATTGGTCAGGTGATCAATATTGCCCAATCAACGTAAGCTAAACGGACAACAATAGATGTCCCAACTCTTACAAATAGAGGGCTCTGGTCCAAACGTCTTTTCTTACTTCATTCTCAACCGAATCGTGAACTTCAACACTAGCATAGTTATTGGAAGATGCCCCGGTACTTGCCAAGGCATCCGACAATTCTTCGATACGGTTAAATATTTGCGAAAGTATCTCTTTTGCACCATTGAGTTCTATAATAACTGGAGCGGATAAGTGGACTGGGACTTGACGCCAAAAAAATGGCAGCCAATGGACCTATTTCCACTGAAATGAACACTTTGCGGAAAAATTATATTCTCGACCTCCCCCTGATGTCTATAGCTAATTATACAGCATTTTCAAAACAAACAAGATATCTTTCTTTGGCATTTCTTTTATTGTCGATTTCAGTTAACTTTTCAAATGGTGGTTGCCAAGTTACTTTCTAATGTTGCCAGTTACATTTCCAAATATGGAATATTCGATATGAACTTGTGAACTTGAGTTGACAAGTTGTGTACTTGAGTACTGAAGTTGTGTACTTCAGTACTGAAGTTGTGTACTTGAGTACTGAAGTTGTGAACTAAAGTTGCGAAGTACTAATAAAAGCGAAAGGTATTTGTACCCTGTAGACATTTGGCAATGAATCCGTTTAGTAAGCGAAGAAAAGCTTTACCAATAGAAGTAAGAAATGAAATACTTGAAATGTAGTTAAATAACGAGCGTTTGACAAACATTTCGAAACAACTAAATCTACCGTATAAGACTATATCAAATATAATAGATCTATGGGTAGACACTGGTTCTATTGCACCTCGCCAGAACGAACGTGATGTTCGAACCACGCGTACAGATGACGTTATTGTATACACTGAATATCTAAAAATTAATAAACCATCTATTTACGCAAAAGAGATTCAGCAACACCTAGAAAATAACAAAGTTTTACCTTCCAGCAAACATACCTAGCAGGTCATCCATAAGTAGAATTTTGAATAAAGACCTTGATTACTCTTACAAAATAATAAGTCAAATTCCTCGAGAGACAGAACGGCCGGACGTTATGGAGAAGTTAGAAGCTTACGTAGCAAATATTTCATTGATTGATTGCAACCGTATGCATTTCTTTGATGAGTCGTCTGTAGTTGTTACGAGTGGCAACAGACGTCGAGGGCACAGTATGCAGGGTACTCCTGCATTTAAAATCCAACGATACGCTTCTAGTGCCACATTTACTGTAAATTTATTACATAATGTAAACGGCGTATCGCATTATAACACTCTTAGAGGGCCGTCAAACGGATTAGAATTGCTTAAGCTTTTCCTTGCTTACTGAACGGATTCATTGCCAAATGCCTACAGGGTACAAAGACATTTCGCGTTTGCTAGTACTTCGCAACTTAAGTTCACAACTTCAGTACTCAAGTACACAACTTCAGCACTCAAGTACACAACTTCAACACTCAAGTACACAACTTCAGTACTCAAGTACACAACTTCAACACTCAAGTACACATCTTCAGTACTCAAGTACACAACTTCAACACTCAAGTACACAACTTCAGTACTCAAGTACACAACTTCAGCACTCAATTACACAACTTGTTAACTTAAGTTGACAAGTTCATATCGAATATTCCATATTTGGAATTGTAACTGGGAACATTAGAAAGTAACTTGGCAACCGCCATTTGAAAAGTTAACTGAAATCGACAATAAAATGCCAACACTTCAATCATTCAATTGTTGAATATTGTAATGTCCACAAAGTCGCTTTCACAGGTGAGATATTTGTTTTGCTTGTAATTGAAAAGCAATTGAACTTGAAGCCTGAGAGATAAAATCCGACTGATGTTTTCCTATTTATGTTTTTAAATATCAACATACGTTTCCACTTATTTGTTAATGTGTGAAACCGTAAATCTGTTTGCAAAATAGTTTCCCTAACGCGAAAAGTTTCTGCTCTTTTTACTCAGTGGGCAGATACGATGAAGAAACGATCACTTCAAAGAGTACACATAATGTAGAGCAGAGTTAGTTCTGATCAATTTGCTGACAACATGAAGAGATGATCGGATAGCAAAATGTTTCTGTAACATGCTGCAGTACCACTATTTCTTTGATCACTATATTAAGATAATTGGAAGATGCTATTGACCAGACAGAGTCTAACTGCAAAATGCTAAGGCTGAATACAAACAAAGGTAAATGATTCACAGACTTCCTTGTCCAACAGTTATTTGAACTTGCACTAATTCTATGGATGGAGATAATGCATTTAATAAAGATGCCTTGAATGCTTTGAAAGTTAAGGTCAAGTACCAAATAAAGATAACAAGGTTATGTGTGTTTTGATGCTTGATGAAATGTCGTGTAAAAAGGTCATAAGCTTTGTGCTTATGTCAATATTAATACTGAGATTGATGATGACTTACTGCAACTGTACAATCCATGCAGTGTGTATTGTATGACTAAATTGTAAAATCATGTCACATCTTTATTGAATTGTTTTAGTAGACTGTTGTTTGAATGTTACTTATATGTAATGCATGCCACATTGAAGCATTAAAGATTCAGTAATGAAAACCTCAGTGCTATATATTTCTTCTTAATTTCAGTTTTAGCTGAAAAATTATTTTGAGTTTATTTACCTAATAAAGTTCAGAACAACATTTGCCATTTGCTTTATTTTCTGCTTTATTAAACCAGGGAAATGTTTTGACTCTTCCAAGTTTTTCTTCAATCTTTTGCTTCTTAATTCATTTCATAATATGAATGAAATACAGGTAGTGCAGTTTAATGACTCTATAATTTTTGAAAAGCTGTTAAGCTTCTAGCATTAAAGAACACAAAATGTGTTTAATTCATTTGGTTTTATTGCCTTGTTTTTACATGTGTACATGCACTTCATCATTCTTGTATAAACAACACCAGATGTTGCATACTTAGAGGGAAAAATCCCATAGCAACTGGTATTAAATATGGGTATGAAATTTGTTATTGAGGTGAAAGCTGTATTAGTCAATCAAATTCTGAATTCACATGGCCAGTAGGAAACACATAAAAAAGAGAAAAAGAAGAAAAATGTCAAATACACAATTGTGTATTCATGTATTCATGTATTCAAGTATTATGAACACTATTGTAATTTAAGTGTTTAAATTATTTGCATTTTTGCCATTTCGCAATCATTACAACGAGATGAAATATGCTACAACTTGACAAGTATTTGATGCAATTCTCGACTGTAAAAAATCTCGACTCCAAAAATTCTCGACTGTAAAAAAAAATCTCGACTCCAAAAAAATTCTCGACTGTAAAAAAAATCTCGACTCCAAAAAAAATTCTCGAGTGCCAAAAAAATTCTCGACTCTGTATTCTCAAGAGTAAAAAGTAATCTCGATAGAAAAAAACCCATCTCAACCAAACAAAGAAATTCTCGAACAGAAAAAATTCTCGACTACTTTTCTCCATTATGGTTTTCCATATTGCTCAATCCACTTTTTATTAAAATACTTTCAGTGAAATAGAAAATTTGAATGTTAAATCATTACAAAACCCAGAGAATAAGTTTTTCTTCGTGTTATGTTTTCCTGTTGCTCAATAAACTTGTAGATGTAGAATACAGTATTTACAGCAGTGTAACTTTAAAGTAAGAATGTTGGCGCTCCTTCAAGAACTATACGCAAAACAGCTGGCCAACAATTACTCTTTAACCCTTGGATGTTTTGCGATTTCAATTGCATCAAAAAATAACCTTTGTTATGGTAATTATACATTTCCCTTACATAAAAAATCTTCACGCTGCAATTATTCATTGTCACTGTAAACATCTCACAAATCACAACAAGCTCAAGTGCGCAATCTTTGCAGAAATTATGAAAGTATTTTGGTGTAGAGTTTTGATATTTATCGTTTATCTTTTCTTGGTTTTTTCAAAAATCATCAAAGAACATCGACGGTATTGCGTGATAGGTGCTGGACCAGGAGGTTTGTGAGAATTCTTTTTTTTTCGTGTTTATGTGTTTGTCTTTTGAAAGTCATGTTTGAAAAAGATGTGTCTTTGATTGGGCTGAACTGTTTGTAATTAATTTAATCTGTTTGCTAGAAAGAGAAAACTCAAATTGATTGTGTTTACATTTGTCGTTGTTCAACTGGGCTTTTTTTCAATTTCACGTTTATGTCAACAATATAAATTTATGTTTGAATGGAAGAATCGTAAATTCAGTTTCCAAATCGAATGATAATTTGTATGTTTTATGTATTTGCAACACAGAATTAACAAATACAAAATATTTGCGTTGGTCTCGTAAGATTTTTTATCTGTCTAACCGAAATTGATATTGTCAATTGGGAAAAAAAGGTTGTTTACCCATCGTTAGTTTTGCGTGTTATTTTCTAGGTCTTCAAATTTCATATTTTCTACAAAAGTCAAATCGGGATTACGTTGTGTTCGAGAGAAATGCTAAAGCTGGTAGGTTTTAATTCACACGATCCTATTTGTCGGATCCGATTTTTTTGGTTCCGACTTTGGTTTCTTGTTCAGACGGTCCGATAATTTTGTTGATATTTAGTCGTTTACATATTTATAGTTGTGTGAAGAGCCATTTGTGTGATCCAGTACATTTATCGATATATTTTTCGTATTTTTGTTCTTCTTTCCAAGTCTTTTTCAAATCTACGTAATTTGACTAGTCGGCTTCCTCTGATCTTTTTTAATGAAAATAGAGCAAGTTCTATTTCCGTCAGATTTTTTAGATTGACGAATCCGACTGTCTGAAGCTAACTTTGTATATGTTCACGCAATCCATTTTTTTGGATCCAAAAAATCAGATCCGACAAATCGGATCGTGTGAACACGCCTTAAAGAAACCGTTGGCAAAAGAACCTGTGCCATTGTGTTTTTTTCCTGTTTTTCCGAACTAGATACCGTTTTGTCAAACATTACGTATAATTCAGTGATTCAATTTTTCTACATCAATAAACAATGATTCCGCTGTTTCTACAGAAAATATGAATAAGCAAGGTGTTAACTGGATATCTTTATCACAGCTCATTATTAATATTCATTTTCTGCTTTCTCAAACTCGTTCGCCGTTCTCACAGCAATAAACCTGAATTATTTTATGTTTTGAAATTATATTTTATTTTATTTTCAGTATCTTTGTCTGTTCTGCATAGATCTCTTGTAAATAGTTCTCTATCATCATCATCTAACCATTAGAATTGTTTCATTATTCCTAGTGACCATGAAATATAATTTTTATTGACTCATTGCCTCAAGGCCCACAACAAATAAGCAAATATATTTATATAAAGTAATAGCTACAGGTGTATAACTCTAAAATATACCATACCGTGCTAGCTGTATAATTCTAATTTTAAACAGAAATTTTATTTTTAGCATTTTAAAAGTGCAAAAAAAACAGCTACCTGTTGACAAAAATCTTTCGTCACGCTGATTCTAAATTTAGGAAATAATTTCTTTTTAAAACTGATTTAAAAAACCACTGTGTTTTCATACTTATTAAATGTAGTAGTGAGAGGCAGCATGACCTTTTCTTCTTGAACTGTATGTTTTTACCTTAAATAGATGTTCATAGTTTGAGAGCCTGCTGCTTTTTCGTTAAGTCTTTATGAACAAAAATTAACTTTCGTGTTACTTTTAAAATAGCATGCTTGATTTGTTTACAAAATAAGATATGGTGACAATATTTAAAGCGTTGCTTTTCGGTAATGTTGCAACTGTTCGTTGTTGTTGAATTGTTGCTCTTATCGATATTTCTGTAGTTGTAAATGTTGATGAATGTTGTTTGTTGTGGAAAGCTAGCGTACAGTAACAACAACATATGGTTACAACAATGTACAGAAACAACGGCTTTTGTTTTTTATTTTAAAGGTTCCTTTTATGATTACTTCCCCCGCCATCGAGGATTGATATCTATCAACAAACGACATACAGGTTCAATATTCTCTTCGTGTGTGAAAGATGTGTTTCTTGTCGTCTTGAAAATTAGCATCAGTTCATACGAATTTTCTCATTATTTTTGATACATTTTTAATGTTCATCTTTTAGAAGATTCTAACTGAGTTAATGCTTTATATTTATACCAAAGTCAAAGTTACAATGGAAATTCTTTAATATTATTATAGGTCGAACTAATAAAGAGTTCAACATGAGACATGATTGGAATTCGTTATTATCTGAAGATGAATCACTGCGCATGACCAAGTATAGCAAGCGTCTTTACCCTAAGGCAGATGTCTTAGTAAGGAAATCTGTGATATGACCTTGCTTTAATAGTATTTATTAGCGCATGCCCAGTGTTATTTGTTGACTTTCTGTAATTTGATTGGTTGCGGCAGTGGGCGTGTTCGAAAGTGCTATTTTTTTGTAACAAATTTGTTTTAACAAGTGCTGTTTGAATTTCAAAATCGATTTAAAAGCCATATAAATTGTTCAAGGAGAAAGAAAAATGTATTCAAATGGTAGTTGTCATAACGAGAGTGAATTTTATCATCCAGACGAAGTAAACTTTGTAGGAAACATTCTAATTTCAGTCTCAATAAGCCAAATCTACTTGTCCGTACTGAAAATAACCATGCAATATTCTTTCATTTTGCATCTCTTAGGTCCGTTATCTCAATGACTTCGCCAGAAAATCAAGACTCAACATTGTTTACAATACAGAAATTAAGGAAATTTCTAGAAACACTAAGGAAGAATTGTTCATATTGAAAGACCAAAATGAAAACTTTTACAGTTGTAAAGATCTTATTGTTAGGTAATTTTTAATGCTCTACGAAAGGGGGTTTTGCAAAATAGGTTTTTTGGCATCCTGCTCACGAAAAATTAATTCGTGTGTTTTGAGAAGTTAACAAAAAATTCACAAATCTTTGAACTCTGTTCACAAATTTGCAAAAATGGTTTAATTTGCTTCAGTACTGGTTTGCCTGTTGAAAATATCCCTGAATTCAAAGGAGCTGAACATACAGAGGTACAGGATTCATTAGAAATATTTTATTAAATCAAACAAGGCTGCGAATGTAATTCAAAGTATTTAATTATCTAGAGTTATGGCAAAATGTCAATTGATCGCGATGATTACGAAGGAAAATCTGTGCTGATCTTAGGAGGAGGTATACAGTTGACCCTAAGTGACTATAGTTGACCTTAGTTGACACTAGTTGATCCTGGTTCACATTAGTTCACCCTTACTGATACTCGTAGTTTACACTGAGTTGACATCTGAAGAGGAAGTATATAGCTGACTTCTACGTCATCATGAATATATGTCTTTCTTCATTGGCTAATCCAAAATCCTTTTTTTAATCTGCTTATTTGAAATCCGCCGTGGTTATCTGTCAATCCAAAATCCGCCGTTTTATTTCTTAATCCAAAATTTTCTTATAAATATAATTTATGCTTATTCCCCATTAAGTTCATTCCGACCATAATTTGTGAATATTTTTCATTCCTCACAATTTTCCTCGCTCACAGGAAATGCTGCATTTGAGACCGCTGACCGTATTATGGAGTCCACAAATCTTGTTCACGTGATGGGAAGGTGAGCCCATAATATCCATGGCGATACATTAAAATCCATTGTGATAGATTTATTTCTCATTTCGTTTGCAGATCTAGGGTACGTCTAGCGTGGTCAACGCATTATGTTGGTGACGTAAGGTATGAAAAAGAGAATTATTGTTATTTCTAATTACTTCATGTAATAATGATTGTATAAATCGGTCGTTTTAATAGAGCCATTAACAATCGCCTTCTTGATAATTATCAACTAAAATCTTTAGATGGATTCTTAGGTTTGTATTTATTCTTACTATTTAATCTTTCATTAAAACTTTAACTCATTCCTCTACTATCAACACCGTAGAGAAATCTTTCTCCCAGCTAAGTATCGTGAAGCATGCTGGGAAACTATACGTGGATTTTTATGACTCGAATGGAAAGATTTTGAACAAAACTGGAGTTGCTCGTAAGAAATCTTTCGCATTTCTCTTACGTTTTTAAATCAAACTTTATAGTTATATAAATTGTAATAAATTATAATATTTTCAGCGGATAACTACTCTTTACGTGACCCGTATGATAAGGTCCTTAGATGCATTGGTTTTCAAGTAAGTGTTTTCCTTATATATTAAATGAAGCCGTCTCACATCACTCACATCACAACTTCCTTATTCATCTATAGTTTGATTTCTCCATATTTAATTCAACCGTTATGCCCGAAAAAGGCCTGGGTAAGAAACACAAGTACCCACGCATCACTCCAGATTTTCAAAGTCAGAACATTCCAAGGTTATGGTTTGCTGGAGCGTCAGCACATTCTTTGGATTGGAAGAAGTCTGCTGGTGGGTTCATTCATGGATACAGATATACAGGTGAGGATTTACTCTACATTATCATAAATCTACCAGGAGTCATTCATGGCGGGAAAAAATACTCTCAAGGCATTTGGAATATGCTTTTCTCTGTTTATAAAGTATGATATATTGACATCACTTTTGTTCTTTACGTGATAGCAAAATAGGTAAATATCGTTCCGCAGTTTTAAGGGACCATGCCTTCCTGTTGATATAATTTTCATTATACGGTTCATATCTTTTGCTGTCCTTCCAACTCTCTTCTCTCTACCTTTAGCTAGAGCTCTTCATCGTATCTTGGAATGGAAGAATCATGCAATAAAATGGAAGCACCACGTGATTTCCCAAAGCCAAATAATGAACTATATAATAAAACGTGTAAACGAGGCATCGGTAAGTTCAACTCGAACCCAATCTCCTATTTCTACATCGCAACCACTAAACATGTACTGCGATGTTCTATATTCTAGGGTATATATCAAATGTTCGAGTTTCTGGTTGATGTAATCATTTATGGTTGGTTAGCTATCTAGACTTTGATAAGTTTATTCTATATGAGTATTTCAAAAGCTGTTTTTTTAAATATAATCATCGCTTTTCTAGTAAATGAGGAAGAAACTATTTACGTCGAGGAATTTCCATGCATGTTGCTTGATCGATTTACACGTACGTGACGTCGAATTTATATGAAAAAGCGATAATCGTGGCAGCGGTATAAAGTTCTTTGTTCTGAGCTCTTGTTGTTTGACTGGATTGATATCTGTTTTCAGAGTATACCGGTTTACCTAATGGACCAATGCTTGTAATTAACATGGAGTATGGGGAAACATTTTCCGGCCCTGGCCAAGACACTTTTCATGAAGATAGATCAACACTGGATCCATCGCGGGCTCATATCTCCAACTTCTTACATCCCGTTTTGTATTTCTATCCTCAACCATTGAGAGGTATCACGGGATACATAGGATCGTTTGCGGATAATATTCTACATGGCTTCTTTTCTCTTTTTAACATCAATTATATTTTTACGTTTTCAGCCTTGGGAAAAAATTATTCTTTACCTAAACCGCATAGAATACATCATATTGTAGAAGATTTTCTTACAAAATGGTGAATATGTTTTCAATGTGAAAAGAAATATCTGATTTTAATGCATCGTGTAATCCTTATTTATCCTGTGGTTTAGGACGGGATTATCCAGTCATCTGGTTCCTTTGAGAAGATTTTTGGAGCAAGTGCAGGGAGAGGATTTGAGAAATTTCTTTTCACAAAGTTGTTTTAAAGTATGATGAAATTAGTGTTTTTATTTTTTAAATTTTTACTTCAATTTACGCGTTTAGTTTTGTATCAAAATTTGCTTTTATTTACGTCTTCTTCTGACTTATCAAACATCGTTGTTCTTTTACAGCTGGCGATGACAAATGTTCGTTTGCCAAGAAGATGCCGCGATTACTTCATTAAAAGTAAGTCTAACACATCAATCCCTAACGTTACATAATAAAATAAAAGCAATCAAACGCATGCGCTGATCGGTCTATAGCTGAGTTTGAACGCATGCGCTGATTGGTCTATAGCTGAGTTTGCATTAACCAATGCAAACCGATCTGAGCTCAATCAATCAATCAATCAATCAATCAATCAATCAATCAATCAATCGATCAATCAATCAATCAATCAAACAATCAATTAATCAATCAAGGAGAATTTGCAAATCAATCCTGAATAGATGTTTTAAATTTGTCTGTTTCCCGTCATTGCTATGTTATAAAAGAAATAAAAAATGTTTTTCGTGTTTGCACTGATATGCTCTCCAGTTCTCTCATAGGTCTCCTCGGTTTGCATAAGCCTTTGGAAACATAGTAAACATCTTTTATTTCTTAAACCAATTTGAATTTATTTAGGTTCTTCTCTCCCTGCCGTATCTAATTTACACGTCGTTCTGAAAGAGTGAACCAACCTATTAATGATGTGTTTTGAAGGATTTGACCTCGACTCGATACGTTAACTAAAACTGCTTGTCTGACCATCAACGAGAGAAGGAATTTGTAGGGATAGTAGAGTAAAATAGATGTCGGCTACTGTACTGTAGTACAGTAGCCGACATATATAGTGTTATATATATTGTTCAGGAGATATTTTGGAAATTATTGATAAATAAAAGAGCAGATTCTAAATAAAAACGAAACAAGTGATAACGATATTTTGTGAAACATTATAACTCAATCCATACATCTTTAGATCTTCTTGTCTCTTATTTTTTCTCATCTGACAATGAAACGAATATCATCCATTTACAGTTTTCAGTTGGGTAAATTACATCGTATGAAGTTTTAGTCTCTTGCTTTGCAAACTACTAATATAATCATATAATATTTCCAAAGTCTGCCTGTGAAAACAAATTCATGCCAGCCTTTTAATGCAAAACATCTTATTCATTATTAATACTATTTTTGTTTAATAAAAAACATGCACATGTTGCTTTAACACGTATGAGTTTTGTCTGTATATTTTCTGGATTCTCGTTATATGGAGGTTATCTAAGTCTGTGTGCTTATTTCACCTATTGTATGTATTTGTATTTTGTTATTGTAACTGATGCATCTCCTGTGACAGTTTATAATGAAAAATTCATAAAATGAAATTAAAATAAAAAAATATATATTGGTTCTTCTATCAATTTCAATGATGATTCACAGCTAGTCCCAGTTCACGCGCAGTCAGAACTAAAATGGCATCAGAAAATGGAGCAAAATTGAATAATATCATTCATGTCGACGATGTTGTCACTCTATTAAACGATAAAGATGGTTCTAAAGAAATTGGAGTAGTTATAAGAAGTGGCAACGATAGTTCTGAATCGGAAGATGATTCCGATTGCTCGGACACTGTTAAACTGAACGAGATTGAAGTATGTTGGTATCCCAGTGGTCGTGAGGAGATTGTCGGTTTAGAAAAGGTAGGTTTGCTTTGTGTATAAAAATTAAATTTTGTCAAAAAAAAACAACGAAAAATAAAATAATCTCGATTTAAATGCTTCATTATTTTGTGTTATTTACAAGAATTCCTCTCATCTTTCGTTCGCGTTGTTTATTTCTGTTTTCGTGGTTAGTTTAATATTAAAACGTTTTGTATTGTAGGAGTTTTTTGACTAATTTTTTGAATTCCTTTTTCTTAAAAAACAGGTTAAGATAGTTGATCGTAGTTTTCAACCAAGTGACGTTGTGCAACATGCGACTCAGCCAAATCGAAAGGGATATATCAAAGATTTAAGTATTGATTGTGATATAAGGATTCTAGGAACAGACATAATTATTAAAAATGTCAACAGTAAGAAGTATCTTTCACCCATTGAGGTACATTTTAGCTTTATTGATTACATCTCTATAGACAACATCTCTATAGACAACATTTCTATAGACAACATCTCTATAGACAACATCTCTATAGACAACATCTCTATAGACAACATCTCTATAGACAACATCTCTATAGAGAACCTCTCTATTGACAACATCTCTATAGACAACATCTCTATAGACAACATCTCTATAGACAACATCTCTATAGACAACATCTCTATAGACAACATCTCTATAGACAACATCTCTATAGACAACATCTCTATAGACAATAGACAACATCTCTATAGACAACATCTCTATAGACAACATCTCTATAGACAACATCTCTATAGACAACATCTCTATAGACAACATCTCTATAGATAGACAACATCTCTATAGACATCTATAGATCTATAGACAACATCTCTATAGACAACATCTCTATAGACAACATCTCTATAGACAACATCTCTATAGACAACATCTTTATAGACAACATCTCTATAGACAACATCTCTATAGACAACATCTTTATAGACAACATCTCTATAGACAACATCTCTATAGACAACATCTTTATAGACAACATCTCTATAGACAACATCTCTATAGACAACATCTCTATAGACAACATCTCTATAGACAACATCTCTATGGACAACATCTCTATAGACAACATCTCTATAGACTACATCTCTATGGACAACATCTCTATATAGAACATCTCTATAGACAGCATTTCTATCTACAACAACAAATACATAAAAGATAAAAGTTTCTCTGGATTTTGAATGATTTTTATTGAGCTTTCGACTCGTTGCTTCGAGCCTTCATCAGAATGAGGATATTATTTATTTACACAAAGCAACGAGCCGAAAGCTCAATAAAAATCATTTAAAATCCGGAGAAACTTTTATCTTTTATGTATTAAATGCCTGGATTACCAATTTTCAAACTTAACAACAAATGCATATATATATTAACAGCATTTCTTAATGTAAGACTTATGTATCACATTTCTAGTGTTGTTTATGGTATTATATTTTTGTTTCAGCCATATTTTGACTCAGAATATGTTTCTCTTGGGCCCTGGGTTGGACACATACGTGAAACTTATACACGAATTATTTTTGTTTTGAAGAATGGTGCAAGGTTTGTTCATAATCAATAAGTAATTTTATTTCTTATTTCTTTATTTTACAATATTTAAATAGTAGCATCCAATCACATGCCACGAGACCTTGTAAAACCATTACAATATTCCGTTCATGACATTACATGATCAATGAAATCTGATGATAAAAATAAAAATTAATGTTGTGCTCAATTAGCACAAGTTATGGTTCTGCTATGTAAATTTTGCAACATTATCATTAATAATTTTTCTATTGTTTTTGCCGTAAGTAAACACAGAAAAATTCACACAGCAGAACTAAATTTGCAGCCTGGCCACGCCATTGATTGCAATTCAACAGTATTTTCTTGCAGATGTTCAGTTGAAGGAGAGGATCTGGAGATGTTTAAAGATGCGGTAGATAAACGAGACGAGGGCTGTTTGTATCGTGGAAACCGTTTCTATCCAAGTCAGTCTGTGATTGGTCCAGCCAACGCTTTACGAAATGCAAAATGGTTGACAAAAATAAAAGCTATAGTAGGGGAACGTAAGAAAGTCAAGGCGATTGTTGAAGAGGTTCCTATAATTGCATCAAATTATTTTGTGTTGTTGTTTGTTTGTAAAAATGATTTCAACACTCTAATTTAGGTGAAAACAGTTGGAATAGAAGTCAAATGGGATGTGTGGTTTCTACCTTCCTGGCTTCTTCAAGGAAGATGATTATAAGACTCCTCCAGATATGGTTGTCACTGAGGAAGATTTTCACAAGTATGACAATATATGACTAAGAAAATGGTTTGAACCTGGAGTATTGTTACATGTTTGTGGATGTAGATTGTTCAGGTTGGTATAGTACTGAGAAAGACTGTTGTTGTTGTTGTTGACTGACGTTTCGACAACCTTAGCGGTAGTCATCTTCAGAGTCAAAAAATTCTTAATTTTTTTTTTGACTCTGAAGATGAGTACCGCTAAGTTTGTAGAAACGTCAGTCAACATCAACAAAAACAGTCCTTCTCAGGACTTTACTAACCTAGACGATCTACATTTACAAACATGTTATGACAATATGTGACTAAGAAAATACAGTTTATTTCATTCAAAAATCACCTACAGTCCATCTCCATTACGTTATGGATATATTTGGATATATGGAGGTGTATATGAGTGTGAATATGGAGTATATGTGGGTGTATATATATATATTGGAGTAGGAAGTTTATAAGTGATGATTCTCCGTATAAAACAGTGCTCGATGCCCGAGAGCAGAGCGTAAAATTATGTAGTGATGTTGAAAAAATCACGAAAACTACAGATTTATCCCGACAAGCATGTTTCGTGATTTCTCACTCTTCAGGGATTTAAATCCGTGATTTTTTTCAACGTCACTACATATATATTGGAGTATGTATATACAAGTGTGGATAAGGTACATGTATGTATATAATGGATGCTGATGTACTTTTGGGAGTATAAGTATGTTTTATTTTTGAAAGATTCTAATGTGAAAAATATTTTTTTCACAGGTTAATTGTATATAATGAACATTCCCAGCAACTTCAACTTGGTGATAAATGTTTTTACTTTATAACACAAGAGGATATCGTGTCTGATGAAAGTATGAAAACACAGGTCAAAGACAATAATAATGACAGACCACCCTCTTCTCCTGTTGGTGACAAATCGCACGAAACAGTGGCCATAAATGAAGAATTGACATCAACATCAAAGCACTCTCGTAAATATATATAATATTCTATCACAAAGTGTATAACAATGTGCCCTCCCGGCTATCACCATAGTACAATGGTGACTCCTGCACTTGGGACACAGGATGTACGGTTACACATTGTATGGATTGTATTGTAGAGTCACCACAGTGCTCAAACCTATAAAGGCGAGCTTTGCTTAAAGCGAATGCGGTGAACGTCTCATTATGAGACTCTCTACACAATCCGAGAGCGCTCAAACTGCGCAAGCGCAGCGAGCGTAATATACAAAGTGTATAACAATGTGCCCTCCCGGCTATCACCCTATTAAAATGGTGACTCCTGCACTTGGGACACAGGATGTAGGGTTGAATGTACGGGTATAATATTCTATCATCTATAAACGATTGGGCACGCTGTTATTAATATTGTGTTGTTTTGTAGAACTATCCAATTCAACCGCTGATGATGATAACAATAAGGAGCTTGGTAACGACTCTTCTAATAGTGAGGATGAGTTAGAGACCGGTGGCCAGTCATGTAACGCCCGGAGGCGTCGTAAAAAAGCAAAAATACAACAGTTACGTAAGAACCACGTGACTGATATGAAAGCATTTCGACCAGGTGATCGAGTTTGCGTCGAAATAACGAGGACCAAAACTCGTGTTGACGTCATATGGCAAGATGGGAGTCTGGAAACGAATGTAGATACTCTCTCCTTGGCATCGATGCATCATTTTGATGATAATTTATTTCTACCCGGATATATTGTGAATGATAAACGAAGTGAGAATGACAAAATTCTGTACGGGGAGGAGTGCTCTAGTTTGGATAAGATTTTAATGGCTACTTCGTGTTTTGCTGTGTCATGTCCGATATTTTATGTTGAATTTTATCACACTTATGCCATCATTGAGAACGGGGAGATTGTATTTTATCAAACACATATCGCTGTATTCCTTATTATTGCATTTACACTTCCTGCATGTTTTAAGCCAAGATAACCCCCCACAGTTAATACATGCCTCCCCACACACAGTACATACATGTACGATATGAAAGTCTTTGATTATCAAACATTTGTGTTTTTTTATTGCAGATCGTTCCTCGGCTTCGGAAAAGTCCGCCAAATACGGTATTGTACGAACTTTTTCTGACGTCGACCGAACTTGTTGTGTAAGATGGTTTTCGATCAACGGGGAGGATCTGGGCCCTGAAGATGACGTCAGTGTCTACGATCTAGTGGCCCATGAGAACATGGATTTTAGCCCTGGAGAACTCGTCATTGCTATTAATTTAGAGATTCGTCCACCGAATTATAGTGCTGCTGGCAAGGTAGACCTAGGATCTGTCTTGATTTGAGATCTTCGTCTCTATTCTTTTATTATTTTAGGTAGCATTTGTAGATCCAGAGGGGTATGTGGGGGTAACATGGTGGCGCAATGGGACTTCCGACGAACAACGGCACCGTCCTAACGAATTATATAAGCTGCAAATAGAAGATAGCCAATCAGTGGACAGCACTGATAAAGATGCTTCGAGTGGGTCCGGGAGTGACAATTGGGAAACGGCTAGCGAGGATGAATTGTCTGGGACACATGAGGATAACAATGATTTGTCTGGGACACATGAGGATAGTAATGATGTTCGCGATCGTTCATTGATGACCTCTGTCGAAAACATTGATTTTGAAGAATTGAAAAATGCGGACAATCTCATTCATGATCAGCGGTTAAATAACGATGATATAAAGGAAGGTAATTTTCAACATACCTTACTTCATGTAGGCTGTGTGAGACCATACGAAAAACATTAGTCTCGATGAGTCAATGGTGTCACCAAGGTTGTGCGAATGGAAAGGGGCGGGAAGGGTTGGCACAAGCTGTGTAAATTTTTTGAATTGTCAATCATTACATGTATATAATATGCCTCATGTATCATAGTGAACATGTGACATAATGTCTAATGTATCAAAATTACTACCATGATATTTCACAATTATCATTGTGGGATTTATTTGCACTTGGCAAACTCACAATTATCCAACAAATTCACATTTCCTTCAAAAAATGGCATTGTAAAATCTCCCGTATCTCATGCACCGCCTCATAAGGCTCGAAATTCAAATAGATGGGGGTCCGTAATTTTTTTCCAGGGGCACGTACAGCCTAGGGCTGTTCTTGGCGATGCCACTGACTCATTAAAGTTGTTCTTTATGTTAAAATTATTCTTTTATTACTTTTATTCACTGTTTTTCCAGTGATTGGCATGTGAATATATTCATAGTAGGCGTAACAATTGGTCTGGTTTAGCCACTCGCTTCAGTACAGAACAAAAATCGCAATAGTTTTGCCCGAGTCTTGTATGTCTAAGATAGAAAAGGAATTTGGCGAGTTCGGACGAATTCATTTGTATATTTATATTGTAGAAGAATCATTTTTAATGCGTGCGGAAGTACACGAATGTCATCATTTCTATGAAGATCATTTTGTGAAAACTTTCACACCAGATAATCCACGAAAGTTCATGTCCACACTTCGCAAAGAAATGATGTTGTTGAAGACTTCGTTACCGCGTGGGATCTGGATCCGAGGATATGAAAACGCGTTGGTTAGTTGCTTGAAATTTTGAGAAATTGTAGCAATCTGTGCAACTTGATCTTTATGATTTGGTGGATGTGAGGGACATCTGTGAATTTATTGATGATCACGTGACCTTAATGTTCTGTTTTGATGACGTTTGCATCTCTCATCATCAACAGTTTCCGTGATTTTCATTTAAGTTTTTGAATTTCGTATGGTAATCAATCAATCATTAGAGATACCTTTCTTTCTTGGTGGCCACACCCTTGACGTCATATCTATAAACCAACCCCCCTAAACTACCTAACGACACCAGTTCTGACCAACCCCTCCTAGACCCCATGAAATGAAAGTATTAAATGGTAGTTTGATGTCTACCCACCCCTTTCCCCTTGGCAGCCACGTCTCCCCTAACGTCATATATATGGACCAACCCCCCTAGACCACCTGAAATGAGAATATGAAATGGTAGTTTGTTATGTACACACCCTTTTCCCCTTGGCAGCCATGCCCTCCTAACGTCATATTTACGGACCAACCCCCTAGACCACCTGAAATGAGAATATGAAATGGTAGTTTGTTATGTACACACCCTTTTCCCTTGGTGGCTATGCCCTCCTGACGTCATATTTACGGACCAACCCCCCTGGACCCTCTGAAATGAGAATATGAAATGGTAGTTTGTTATGTACACACCCTTTTCCCCTTGGTGGCTATGCCCTCCTGACGTCATATTTACGGACCAACCCCCCTAGACCCCTGAAATGAGAATATGAAATGGTAGTTTGTTATGTACCCACCCTTTTCCCCTTGGCAGCCATGCCCTCCTGATGTCATATTTACGGACCAACCCCCCTAGACCACCTGAAATGAGAATATGAAATGGTAGTTTGTTATGTACACACCCTTTTCCCCTTGGTGGCATATGGACCAACCCCTAGACCACCTGAAATGAGAATATGAAATGGTAGTTTGTTATGTACACAAGCCATGCCCTCCTGATGTCACCAACCCCTAGACTGAAATGAGAATATGAAATGGTAGTTTGTTATGTACCCACCCTTTTCCCCTTGGCAGCCATGCCCACCTGACATCATATTTATGGACCAACCCCCCTGGACCCTCTGAAACGTGATTATGAAATGCTACATTATGCAGATTCAATGAAAAAATTATCCTAATATAACAATTGGTGGTTAATTTTCTGTGTTATACAGTCAACAATATACATATTTTTTAGGGATTGTTCTCTGTGTTGATAACTGGACCAAAGATACTCCATATGAAGGCGGAGCCTTTCTCTTTGACGTGAAACTACCCTCTGATTATCCTGTTTCACCGCCGTTGGTTTTTTACATTTCCTTGATTAAGGATATTATAAATCCTAACCTATATGTTGATGGTACTGTTTGTACAAGTCTTCTTGGAACTTGGTCTGGAAAGGATTGTGAAAAATGGACAGAAAAATCTAACCTGTTACAAGTATTGTTGTCTATTCAAGGTAAATATATTTCAATGTAACCATTGCCTGTCTTGCTTATAGATTATGTTACATGATGACTTATGCATCATTTGTATGACTACATGTTTCTAAATGTAGATCGTCCATGTTGGTATAGTCCTGAGGACTGTTTTTGTTGTCGTTGACTGACGTTTCGACAACCTTACATTGTTGACTCTGAAGATGACTACCGCTAAGGTTGTCGAAACGTCAGTCAACAACAACAAAAACAGTCCTTCTCAGGACTATACCAACCTGGACGATCAACATTTACAAACATGTGACAATACTCCCGGGTTCAAACCATTTACTTTATTTGTATGACTATTAGATATTTTCTCTGGTACAGAATCACCTAGAATACCAAATAAACTAGTGTTGTGTACATACTAAAGCAATACTTCTGTTGCCTGTACTGCCTGTACTAGCTCTTATACTATGCAAGGAACCATACTACAATGAGGCTGGCTATGACAAGTTGAGAGGCACAACCAAGGGAGCTGCAAATGCTCGTGTTTATAACGAAATGGCTATACTTCATGTAATAACATCGATGACAGCTACAGTCAAATTGAGACATCCTGCGTTTAAAGAAAATATCATTAATTTCTTTAAAAATGAAGGTCCAAGGTGAGATATATTGCATTCGAACCAATTTAATACTTCATATTGCTTGAAACAAACTGAGTTTAAATGTTTCTACTTTTTTACAAACCCAAATATGGCAACGCTTTTCACCATTTTTGATGCATTCATGAATTTTTAGAATTAGATGTTTTTCCCTTAGGTGAGTTTAATTTCCCTTTTTATAGTTTGTCATGTCTAAAGATTGTATAAAAAATGAACTTAGTTTAATTTTAAAGTATTTTATATGGAATTTGTCTTATCTTTAGAACAGTACAGAGGTGTAAAAAGTGGATGGAATTATCACAAATAAATAACATAAAGAAAACATCTAAGATGCACAATGATGTCACAAATAAGGAACTGCCACAGTTTCCTTTATTCCCAGTGTCTAAGGGTTTTTGTAAATGTTTACAGCGAAATGTTGATGAATTTCATAAAGCTTTAATGGAAGAAAGCATAACTACCAATGTGGAATGACGTAGATTTATAAGATAATCATTGTAAATACAGCATCTTTGTGATTGGAATCATTCAGGTATTGTTGAGAATACCGTTATTTAATAATTTTAAGTTAAACTGTTGGTTGTAATCATGAATAAATAATGTGTACTGCAATTTGTGTTTATTTATTGTGAAACTTAGGGTAACCTTGGTTTATTTTCAATTTGATTTGCTAACCAATCTAAACCTTCGGTCAAACCTTCTCCCTTGGTAGCACAAGTTCCTTGCACAAACCATGATCGTCTTGCCAAAGCACTTAAATTTAGTTTCTCGCGTATTTCTGTCAAACTCATAGCATTCTCCACATCTTGCTTGTTTGCAAATATCAACAAATGAACATTTTCGAGTTGGTCTTCATTGAGTAAGCGTTGTAATTCAGTTTTAGCCTGGTCAAGTCTTTCTTTGTCGGAGCTATCTATCACAAATATTATTCCTAGTGAGCCCGGGAAATATACTCTCCACAAATTTCGTATTTTATCTTGTCCTCCTATATCCCAAACTGTGAACGAAATGTTCTTGTATTTGACTGTTTCTACGTTAAAACCGATAGTTGGAACACTTGAAATGACTTGGCCAAACTTTAGTTGATATAAAATTGTGGTTTTCCCAGCATTATCCAGGCCTACCATTAATATTCTCACGTCTCCACGTCCCAATAATCGAGTCCATACACTTGAAAGCAAATTTCCCATAATATAGAAATTATTTTTTATAAAAATCAATTTCACATGAAGAAAGCAACAGCTTGACACGAAGACAAAACAAACATGAATACGACATTGCCAATTTGCAAATTTCAATGTCAGTGTCCTTGTAGAGACTGGTACCTAGTGAATATAGAGAGAAAATCTATCTTGATCAGATACTATCCTGTTGCTGTCTATCCTATATATTTTCGAGGTTACGAACCCATCCTTCTTCTGACCGTTTCATACTGTTTGGTCGAACTCTGCTGCTGACGCCATATAAAAAGGGACTTTCCTTGCGCCCGCGTCGTGAGGCCAGTGGATGATACGTATCTAAAGCAAAGTTAAATGATGTTGCTGCGGGCGATCCGTATACGTTCTTTATTAACGAGTCTCTACGAACACGAGCCGACTGAACGGTCGCTCTTCTAGATGATTTTGAAGAATCCGTCTTCTTCGTATCAATCTCGGAATTTGTTCCACCGGGAATGTCTTCGTCGTTTGTGACGTCATCTGCGAGCTGTGAGTTGTCATAGCATTTTCTGTTTGAAAGCCACATCCTGACCATATCATCGTCATCTCTGTTTCTAGGCAACGCCAGGTGGTGACCCTGGCTGACCGTCCTATTTGATGACGTAACGCTTGACAAGTACAACTCATGTTGTACATTGCGACATGGCTGTCCTATACGACGGTTTGTATTCCTATTGCTTTGTGATTGGTTGCTTTGTGATTGGTTGCTAGGTGATTGTGATCTTGACGTGGAAAGTGATTTCGGTGATATGAGAGGAAAAGTGCTCTTGTATTGAGATTTTTCATCACAGTTGATCTTATGTCGTTCGCTGGCTGTCTTTTTCATCTCGTTCTTTGATCCGTTATCATTGTGTCGTTCTTTAGCTGGCGGTAGTTTGATGTTTTCATTTACTTTCATTGCCTTAGCTTGGGTTACCTCTGTATGTCTACTTATTTCTTCATTTGTCTTAAAGCTTTTCCTTTTACTCAAGTGTCCCTTTAAGTGTCTCTGTAAAACAAGTGCAGCCTTTTTCTTACGACGCAGTAATGCAATGCGCTCCCAGTTATGACGTAACTCAACTATCTTATCCTTCTCGTTGCTTGCCTCGAGGACGCTATCGGGAGCACGTGATAAGCTCTCGAGATTTGATTGGGCGATGTTTGAACTACGTTTGGTGCTGCTACTGGATGACAAAAAGCCGTGACTTTTAGAAGGTTTTCGTGAGTGAAATGTCTTGGTTTTTCTGCCATTTTTCCTTTGAAATTCCCTTCGTCTTGTTTTCAGCCATTTGCGAAATGTTCTTTGAATAATTCGCGCCGCCCGATCAAGCATTCCACTTGGTTGTAAACCATCTTCAATCATCCACTTGATGACGTCATGCTGACGTGAGAGAATAGCACAATCCAATGGAGTAGGAGGGGATTGCTGGAGTTTATTGTGGATAGAAGACTGAGCACTTACCAACATTTTAACGACTTCAAGATGTCCCATAGCTGCTGCAAAATGTAGAGGAATTTTCCCTTCCTTGTCTGTCTGCAATAAAACGTCTTTATTGTATTGTAACAATAACGCCACCATCTTTACATCGCCTTCAATTGCAGCGAGGTGTAATGGAGTTTTTCCTCGTTTATCGTGTAGTTCACATTTAGCTCCTTTCTCACAAAGATATTCGCATATTTCATAATGTGACCGGCTTGTAGCAAGGTGCAAACCGGTACAGTCATTTTTTACAGAAACATTGACGTTAACTCCATCATCTAGGAATGTTTTTACCTCGAATAAATTACCACAGTCACAAGCTTTAAGGAATAATGCAGTCTTTTCAATATTATCCATTTCTTCGTCATGTTTTGAAAAGGCGGAATCATTTCCCGCCTTTTTGTCTACTTTATACAAAATCTCTGCTTTGATTTTTCCCTTATCACTTGATTCAAATACGTCATTTTCTTTGACGATGTCGTCATACTTATCGATTTTCTTGCCCGTGATTACGTCATCATGATAAACAGCATGTCTACTGTTGCATTGGTTCTTACTAAAGATTTCGCTCCTATCACTGCAACCGATAACAGTTTCGATAATTTGGTTGAGTTGCTTCGTGTTTTCATCTTTTGTCGTTTTTGTGTTCTTAACACTTGATAGCTTTCGACAACATTCTTCTTGTTTTTGCAGCTCTTCGTGTTTTGCTATTAGTGGTAAAATGACTGCTTCTCGTCGCTTTACGGCAAGCTGTCGTACAAACTTCTTTATTTTATCCGCAGCGATGTCCTGGAGCCAAGCAATTGTGAGTCCTCCATTATCCATGAGGAATTGTGTAACATCTTGATGGTCAGCGGCAATTGCAAAATCGAGTGGTGTCCAATCTAGTTTCTTGACACGGTAGTTAAGTACGGCGTGATATGGTTTTTGGACTAGCAATTTCACTGCTTCCAGCTGACCAGTACTGGCAGCGTGATGTAGAACAGAATAACCATCCAGATCACGGTCATTGGCTAAACTTTCATTACACAATAAGATATGTTTCATGCATTCAGTATGACCGTTATAAGCCGCCCAGTGGAGTGCAGTGCGACCTTTTATATCCTTCTTGGCTGGGTTTACCCCCTGACTTAGTAACCACTCACATACTGACACGTGACCAGCATGAGCTGCAAAATGAAGAGGAGTACAGCCTTCTTCATCCACCAACTTATCAATCCCAGGAAGTATTTTCATTGAATTTTTCATTCTTTCAGAGTCCAACATTTTATTCACGATTTCTGATGTGTCTTGTGAATTTTCCGTGTCAATTATCATTTGGAAATGTCCTTCATCTATTGAAGTCTCCGTGACTTCAGTCGTCCATTCAGAATTGTCTAAAAAATCTTTGGACATTTGAGATTCTTCTTCAATGGAAAACAGAAGGTTTCGTTTCGTCTCTAATTTATTTTTTGTAGCCCTTTGTCTACTAATTACACCTTTTGAGTCATTGTCCACAAGACCATGGTCTGAGCAAGCACTATCACCTTTCGTTGATTGGTATTCTTCATTGTACATGAGGATATCGATGATCTCTCTCTCTCCGTGTTGACAAGCTTTAAACAAAGCAGTTCGTCCTAACTTATCCCGTTGTAAAGTGTCTGCTAAATTATCGACAAGCAGCTTAACACATTCTTTATGACCAGCAAGGCAAGCAAAATGTAACGCTGTCTGTCCATCGTTGTCACTGGCATGAATATTGAAGCATTCGACGTGTTGCAGCATAAATTGAAGAACATTTCTCGATCCCTGACTTGCAGCCCAAATGAGTGCGGTCCTTCCTTGAAAATCAGGCATATCTTCGAGATTTTTGTATTTTGTAAAAAGGCATTTCACTACTTTTAAATTGTCATTTTTTGAGGCATAGTGTAGAACCGTAGCTCCTGTATCGTCTTGGTGATGGGGTAGCACACCCAGAGATATTAACATATGTATTTGCTCAATGTCATCCTTCAACACTGCATAATGTAATACACTTCTTGAATGGCAGTCCAGGTCATTTATAGCGCTTCCTTCTGTTGCTTCTATACAGCATAACTCTCGAGCGAGATTATTACAACCGTTGGCAACAGCGAGATGAAGAGAAGTGCGTTTGTTGCAGTCAATGTGTCTTAAATAATGCCGATTTAGTTTCACCAAAATACGTACAATACGCATGGAGTCATGGTTGGGGTTGAGAACTGCTAAGTGAAGTAGACATCGTCCCTTTCCATCCCGCTTTGTTGTGTCTGCACCTTGTTTTAAAAGGACTTTGATATTTTCTAAACGATTGTAAAATACGCTCCATTGTAAAGCTGTCATTTGTTCTTTATCGGTTGAATTTATTATCTTTCGGTCGACATTACAACGTAAGAAACTGCGAAGACATCTCGAATCGGGCTGCATTGCAGCATAGTGTAAAGGCGTTCTGCCATCTTTGTCCAATGACTGACATTGGCTTCTAGCATTTGCAGGGTTGAGAAATAATTTAATGAATTTTGTTCTTCCCAAATAAGCCGCCCAATGAAGTAGCGTGCGGTTGTCGCTGTCTGTTAACGAAGTATCTGCTTCATGTCGCAGTAATATCTTTGCGCATTCAAAACAGTCACCATAAACAGTGTAGAACAAAGCGGTACGACCATATCGGTCCCCATTGTTTAACTTATCGAGATATCTTTGATCTTTTAAAAGTTTTTGAAGCGATATTTTATCTCCATTTACAGAGGCTGTGTGTAGTTTGGTACCTGTGTGAAATGATGCTAAACATAACTCCTCCATGTCAAAATGTGCTGATTAACTTCAATGTATCGGATTTTGGTCAAAATCCTGCAAAGAGCGCACACTTGAGGATTAATGAGTATAATTTCCGTCAAAACATAACAAAACAAGCCGTTGCTTGTTAGCAACACACTTTATGCAACGATGTTTTGACGCAGATAAATCTCGTTTTATGGATGTCTTAGTTGAAATAATAGAACGACTGTCGACAGTTTGCTGTTTTTGATAAGCTTCCATCTTTTTTATAATTTTACGGGAATATTTAGTTACCTGTTAGGTATCTGTTGACGTAATAGAATTTCGGATTAATCTAATTTTCTCATGTATGTTTTGAGTTATGAGAAAGCTCTTTTGCGAGCCGACGGGCTTTACAATTCTTGCGCTAAACGACTTGCGCAATTTTTGAATTAATTGCGCTGTTTACACGCGTGTTGTCCACGCTTGCTCCGACAGTTGCAAGGCATCGCGCGCGTAGGATAAATCGAACAGAAAAGAACATGGCGAATTTCAGTGACGTACAACGGGGAAATTTTGGCAAAGAATTGTTCACGAAAATAGAGAGCTCTAAGGTTTTAGTTGTAGGTGCCGGTGGTATCGGCTGTGAGCTGCTTAAAACATTGGTATTGACTGGTTTTAACGACATTGAAGTGATTGATTTGGACACCATAGATGTGAGTAATTTGAACAGACAGTTCTTGTTTCAAAAGCAACATGTAGGGAAGTCCAAAGCAAGCGTAGCTCGAGAAAGTGCTATCGAGTTTAATCCAGAAGTAAAGATTAAAGCTTACCATGACAGCATTATTAGTTCCGATTACAACCTTCGTTTTTTTAAGAGATTTACTATCGTATTGAACGCTTTGGATAACAGAACTGCTCGCAATCACGTGAACAGAATGTGTTTGGCTGCTGATATACCATTGGTTGAGAGTGGTACAGCTGGTTACCTCGGACAAGTAACATTGATTAAAAAGGGTGTAACTGAATGTTATGAATGTCAACCGAAACCACATCAAAAATCATTTCCTGGCTGTACCATTAGGAATACACCATCCGCACCAATACATTGCATTGTGTGGGCAAAACATTTGTTCAACCAGCTTTTTGGTGAGGCTGATGTTGATGAAGAGGTGTCACCAGATGCTGCTGACCCAGAAGCAATAGGTAATGCAGGAATGGCTGCCACAAATTCATCCAGTATGGAAATAAACAGGATTTCAACTCAAGATTGGGCAAAATCTATAAACTATGAACCTGCAAAACTTATTGAGAAGTTTTTTATTGAGGATATTAAATATTTGCTCTCCATGGATAAGCTATGGAAAGAACGAAAGCCGCCCGTTCCATTGAACTTAGCAAATCTTGATGAGAAATCATCGGCAATATGTCAAGATGGTTTGCTCGATCAGAAAATTTGGACAGTTAAAGAATGTGTTGAATATTTTTCAAGGAGTATCAGACTTTTGCAGAAAGAATTGACAAGTAAAGATGATTATTTGATTTGGGATAAAGATAGTGATGCATCGTTAGATTTTGTTGTCTCTGCAAGCAATATTCGAGCACACATCTTTGATATTACTAAAAAAGTCGGTTTGATGTTAAATCAATGGCAGGAAACATTATTCCTGCCATAGCTACCACTAACGCAGCTATAGCTGGACTTATTGTACTTGAAGCTTTAAAAGCTATTGAAAATAAAATTGAACAATGTTGTACTGTTTATTTAAACAAGAAACCATCCGTACGCAAGAAACTACTTCAACCGTCTCCTTTGGTGGCACCCAATCCAAAGTGTTATGTTTGTGCTAGCAAACCTGAAGCAAAAGTGATGTTGGATTGTGATAGGATGACAGTGAAAAGTTTTGAGGAGAAGGTTTTAAAGCAAACATTTGGTGTCATTGCGCCTGATGTTGAAATTGATAATGGTAAGGGGACTATTTTGATTTCCAGTGAAGAAGGGGAAACGGTTCAAAATAACAGCAAGGTTTTGTCAGACTTTGGTATCAGTGATTGTTCTCGACTGCGTATTGACGACTTTCTCCAAGATTATGAACTCGTTTTGAACATTGTGAATTCTTCTAGTATGTCCGATGATGATCACTTCAAAATACTTGAAGATGTTGAAAAAGATGAAGAGAAAAGTGTCACAAAAATTAATACTGAAGAAATAGATACTTCAACTGTTTTACCATCAATGGATGTGTCTAATAAAGAATCAAACTTTGACCAAGCCAGTAGAAAACGAAAGGCTGACGATTCTCCCCAAACGGAGAACAATGATGGTAGAAAACATGCTCGTATAGATTTAACGAATGATGATGAAATTGTGTCTTTGATTCATTCTAATGGAAGTTTTATGGACGAAGAAGAAAGAGTTGATACGCTAGAAGTGATTGATGTTGATGCACTTCAACAAAATGATGCACCTGTAGTGATGGTTCTTGATCATGAGGATAGTGTTCAACCTCGTGATTTGGTCACTCCTGTTGAGAAAAATGGTGAAAGATCAAAGCCTGATGTTGTTGTTCTTGATGATTGATGTATTGAAACGTTATATGATGGTTTAACTCCTTTTAACAGTATTTTTTTCACCTTTTTATAGTAGGTCTTGTTGTATTGATGTGAATGATGTTCAACATTAAAAAAAATTAACTTGAGTATGTCTTAAAAAGAGGATTTTTGTGTTTGACGTTGCTGGGTTATCAATACAATGGATGAAGAAATGAAAGTTTGTATAATTTACAAATAATTTTAACATTTCGACCTGTATGTATTCCAATTATCCTATGTGACAATTTTTGCACTATTCTCTATTCCACTGATATTAGACTTTGTATAATCAACTTTCGTTGTCTGGAAAAAAGTTAGAAATAATTTTATGAAAATTGTAACGCGTAGGGAAAAAAGCGAATTTTGTCTTTTTTAAACGATTTTTGAGAGATGGAAACGTGTGAAGTTATCGTCGGATCGGATGATGAATACAAAATGTCGATGATTTATGGTAAGTTTTTTTCATTTCAATAATTTCCAAGAAATATTGCTGAATTACTTCTCGTAGTGTTCAAAAGGCAACGCTTCTTCAGCAGATTTTATTTTATGTAACAGGTACAATTCCTTGTTACTATCGAGAGGTGTATCAGCTCTTGAGTTCAGATGGGTCAACGAAAATTGACAAGGATGTCTTAATGAAAGTTTTAACTAAATCTGGTTTGCCTGCGACCTCTCTTGCACTGGTTTGTAAAGAAACGATTACTGTACTAATGAGTGATGATTTTGAAAGGTTTTGTTGTAATTAGATCAACAAAATGAATTCAGTATGTAAATTTTTGCATACAAAGAGTATCTTACATGTGCGATCATTTAGCTGGGCAATTTAATAGTCGTATTTTAACAAGCGGCAGAAAATGGCTCGTAGTTAGTAAGATCTTAAATATTGCAGAAAGGATTGAAGAGTATCGTCAGGCTTTTTTGTATACTATACTTATCAAGCCTTTAATGATAAGTGATTGAATTTCTTTTTGAAAGTTGGAAATTCAACTTCTCCACTAAACTTTGTTCTAGCTCATCGCGTCGTCTCTGTGTTGGTTAACCCTCTATTTGTATTGTAGATTTACGAAAGTGCAGATGCAAGTCATGAAGGTTCAGTGGGTCGAGATGGTCTTTACAAAGTCCTTGCTTTGACAGCTCTGGTACAACAGGGAAAACCTGTGAATGAAAAACTCTTGGAGGGATATATTGGAATGGGTGAGGATTTGATGGATTTATTCATCAGTTACCTAAGAAATTTAATATGAGTGGTTAGGTTTTGAGATCTTGGGTAGTCACACAATCTACAAGTGACAAAAACTCACTGCAAACCATCATCATAGGACCTTATGCAAACATAACTTTGCAAAAAATGGACTAAATTTCAATGAAAGATTGTTTGATATAAAAAGACAAGCACACACTGATAATTACCAAATTTCCAGAGCTACCAAAACCAGATTTGGGGGAGATTGATGATATGAAAGCTAGCAAGATTGAAGTTACAAGAAAAAAGAATCCTGCCATTCTTGGACTTAAGTATGAGCAATTGTTGGCATTGGATGCGATTTCTGTGGAACTCGTTCCAGAGAAAAAAGGCATTCTTCTTAAGCATAATGAATATAGTATTCATAGTCAGGTTGGTTAATTTGATTGTCAAATATAAATATATTATTATAAATATAAATATAATATATAAATATATTATTTGATTTTATATTGATTGTTGACAATATCTTCTTTCCAGAGACATAATACAACAGTTCATAGACGTTACAAGGATTTTGAAGCGCTGTTTGATCTATTGCTTGCTCGTTTTCCCTACCGTATGGTACCCAAACTTCCGCCAAAAAAGGCTGTTGGAGGTAGTTTTTGTGAAAAGATTGGAAAGTTGAAGTTCTCTGTTTCAGTATATTAAAGGAAAATCTTTCGTTTTACAATATATCAGCCACTAAAGAGTTCATTGAGTCAAGAAGAAGAGCTTTAAAGCGATTTCTAAATATCATGGCTCGACATCCTGTCATTGGTGAAGACAGGATATTTGTTTCATTTTTGACTACCAAAGGATCAGTAAGGACCATCTTAAGCAGCATGGCACTATGAATTTTTATTCAATACTATTGCTCAAAATTATAGAAATTGATTGTTTTATAGTTTATGACAGCTAAATGTTGGCAAGTCAAGATTTAAAGTCATGCTGACTTGTTTTTTTCATGCGTAGGATATCGGAGTTAAGTTGAAAGAACAGTTCAAAGGAGTTCCCGACGAGTTCATGACAAGTTCAACTGTCGGTAACATCAAGGTAAGGATAGCCTTTAAATAATAATTTTATATCATAATTATTCATATTTTTTTCTTTCTTGTCAAGGATCTTGTGTCCAAGGATGCGCAACAGCATTTTAGCCATGCAAGACTACATTTGTTCAAAGTTCATGATTGTTGTTTTGTTATCAAGGAGATGATGGACCGTCAAGGGACACGCACACTAAGTATGATGCATTAAGGACATTTATTTCATTAGACAATGTGAAGTTTATTTTTGTTATGGTTTTCTTAGATTATGCATCTGATATGCTCGACATTGCTAAGCAACTAAAGTAAGTGTGGTTATGAACAAATCATGAGTCATCATCTTTGATTGTTTATTCAATACTATTGTATTTTCTTTAGTACTTTATGTAGTGACAAAACATCAACATCATCTTTGATTGTTTATTCAATACTATTGTATTTTCTTTAGTACTTTATGTAGTGACAAAACATCAACATCATCTTTGACTGTTTATTCAATACTGGTGTATTTTCTTTAGTACTTTATGTAGTGACAAAACATCAACATCATCTTTGATTGTTTATTCAAGACTAGTGTATTTTCTCTAGTACTTTATGTAGTGATAAAACATCAACATCATCTTTGATTGTTTATTCAATACTAGTGTATTTTCTTTAGTACTTTATGTAGTGACAAAACATCAACATCATCTTTAACTGTTTATTCAATACTGGTGTATTTTCTTTAGCACTTTATGTAGTGACAAAACATCAACATCATCTTTGACTGTTTATTCAATGCTAGTGTATTTTCTTTAGTACTTTATGTAGTGACAAAACATCAACATCATCTTTGACTGTTTATTCAATACTAGTGTATTTTCTTTAGTACTTTATGTAGTGACAAAACATCAACATCATCTTTGACTGTTTATTCAATACTAGTGTATTTTCTTTAGTACTTTATGTAGTGATAAAACAAAAACATCATCTTGGGCTTGTGGTATGAGCACGTACTGGTCAAAGATGAAAGATGGATTAAAAGACTTCTCTCTTCAATTTGAAAAAGCATCTGAGGTGGCAGCAAAACAGGTCCAAAAAAATCTTTTCATTTCTTAAATAGAACAGTTGAAACATAGAATATGTTGGTTTGGGGGAGAATTCTCTAACATCAAATAGAAGTGTGAAACTTAGTTAATATGAACAGTTCTACCCAACTGCACCATGCTTGGACAAATAAAGATTATTAATCTTCAGTGTGAAATTTGGAAGTTTTGTGTAATTATTTGTAATTTATAGGATTACATTTTTTAGATGACAGAAAATTTGTTTTTGCGGATAACCACATGTTTCGTTACACTTGGTAATTAAATTTTCATTCACAGCCTAGGTCTCTTAGAACACACGATCCCATGCACACATAATTGGCCATTTTAACCAGCATTTCATTTTACAATTTTGCTTTGTGGGCCCTAGCAGGTTTTTTTGGAGTACATAACTTCATTTGAACACCATCATAGACAACTTTCAATGAGTAACTTTGTGCGAATCTTGGTGAAGTGTTTTCCCCAAATATGTGTGTACTTATTTGTTTTTTCATCATTATTCATAGTATTTGCGTGATGGCGAAGGTGCAGCTGAACATTTGGCTTACTTTCTAGAAGTGACTTCTGCTTATAAGGTATGACTAAATAAAATAGCATTTTACTGTGACATGGAACAGTCCACAAATGAACTAAAGGATCCTCATGAAGCAACATGAGGCAGTCCACAAACATGAACTGCAGTATCCTCATGAAGCAACACAAGGCAGTCCACATATGAACTGCAGTATCCTCATGAAGCAACATGAGTCAATACACATATGAACTGCAGTATCCTCATGAAGCAACATGAGTCAATACACATATGAACTGCAGTATCCTCATGAAGCAACATGAGTCAATACACATATGAACTGCAGTATCCTCATGAAGCAACATGAGGCAGTAAATGTACATTTTGTTTTAGGAGCTGTGTAAAAGACTAGAGAGTGGAGTTTTAAAGGACCATCAACATGCTTTACAGAAAATGCAACAAATCAAAAAACGTCAAATACATGCTCAAGCCAGAGGTCAGGAGTATTCCGCTATTGATGAACTTGAATCAAAAATTATACAACAAGAGAATGAAATATTGAATATGGAGACTCGTAATTTATTTTCCCTACATTGTACTCAATTGGAAACTCAACTAGTTCATGCCAATCTAAATATTCTACACATTGCTTTGAAAAGTTGGGTAATAATGCAAGTAGCCGAACACGAACAGGTAAACTTTTTTATAAGCATTTAAAGAAAACAGGAAATCCGTTTTTTCTTATTTGTTTTTATTGTGTAATAATTTCTAGCTGGCGAGTGTTTGGCAAGCCATGTTGCCTTCCACAGAGAATTTATCCGATACTGATGAACCTGCGTCGCCTCCCGCTTCTCCTGTATACTTTTAAATTTTATTATTCATATTTTATGAATGCTAATATTTTGAGATCCAAATTAAATCATATCATAAAAATAGCCACAAAAGGCAACGCTGAATTTTAAAAAACGGAGTCCGCGTCGTGCTGGCGTGAAATTTTGTTTTTTTCTTCTCTACGTTTGCTGGTTTGCCCTGTTGGTTTTTTTCACAAAAAAAAATCCTTTTTCATTGATGAAAAAGATGTATGCTGGCTTTTCATTTCCAGTGATTTCTGCCAAATACGTCTTTCAAAGTGTAAATACAAAAATGGAAATATGAAAGTGAAATAATATGCTATTTCCGTTTTCAAACAAAACTTTCGCGGTTCATTTCTTGCTGTAACAGAAAGACAAAGCCAAGGAAGAACAATGCTTCGCTCGAGTTGTATAGTCTAAAATTATGTATTTTATAACATGAGTGTTTTGAAATTTGTATGTAGAGTATGGAATTACAAACGTCTTAACTATTTTTTCAAACTAAGTAATGCCAAAAAAAATTAATGTATTTATTATGACAGGAAAAACCCAGTAAAACAAATACGAACACCCTAGGGGTCGTCTGCATTTTATTCAATGAATTTTTTAGAAAAGTTAACTATTTACCGTGAAAACAAGGAATGAGAAAGAACCAAATTTTCGTTCTTGAAGAGAAAACTATGAAGTATGAAGAGTCTCTGAATTGTATGTTTTAGGGTTTCTTTTAATTAGGAAGGTATTCAACCAGATTATTTTAATTATAAATTTCAAATGAATGTCTCGACTCTCATCAAGTGTCCTGTCATTGCTCCTGTAACAAACAGATTAATTTTTAAGTCTAGTGGTTTGATTTTGATACTTAAGTCATGAACATGAACAACTTTGCAGAAAAAAGCCTTACTTGATAGTCAGTAGAGGCATCTGTAAAGAACGGATACTCTTTGCATTCAAAGACGAATATGATTCAATTACGCCTTTATGGCTGCTTGCCTTTAGAGTAGCCAAGAGCAAATATCAGTGCATTTTGCAACTTCCGAATGTCACAATGGGTTTCCTGTTTAAAGTTGACCATGCAGTAAGTTGAAAACACAAATGAGATTCCTAAATTCCTACGAGAAAGCAGGATGGATAAAGATTTTATATATCAATTAGGCGGTAAAGTATAGCCTTCTCCGCACAAGAATTGACGATGCACACAAGAAGATAGATAATTCAAATTGCGAACAGATGATTCAAATTTCGAGGCGGTCCATTCTATATCCCTCGCATAGCTTTAGTTACAAGTTTACACAATGTTTCAGAATAACATGGCTACAATGTTTATCATTAAAAGACTAAGAAACATTACAGTTTTAATCAGCTGAAACTATCTCAGAGTTTAACACGCTGTATATAGCCTAACACTGTTGTTGATATTTTCAAAACCTTTTACTTTCGCTCCGGTCGACCACCATCCCGATCTTGAAATGCAGTTCTTCAAAGCGATATCAAATTTTATAAGCACGTGCAAACGTCGCGATACAATGGTTCTATATGTTGCCTACAAGAGCACTGTTTACATACTGCGTCGATTTCAATTTTCATAACAATTCTTATCTTTACATAAGTTTCATGTTCAAAGACAGTAGTCGATCGATCATCTATATTAGAAATTACTTAAAAACGCTGGTAACGTTTTAATACATCAACGATGATATTCCGCCAAGATTTACCGGCCTGCGACAATCCTTGAGTAGAAGCTATTTTACAAAAGAAAGCGTGGTCATCGAATTATCATCTCACGACTTGTTCGCTGTTCTTGGAATTGTTTTCGGAGGCCGACAATCTTTGAAAAGACAAAAGCGCTTCGGGAAAGTTTGGTGGTGTAGCCGGAGTATTCGCAGGAGTTACAAGCTGTACAAAAAAAAAACAAAGACAATCCTTCGTCAGATAATGAAAGCACGAGAGCTTCCTCGCAACAAATGTTTGTGTAAAATCACAGGGATCTGAATCCGCTCAAGTTCACGTACCGAATGCTGTGAATGACAAGGAATCGATACTTCTTGAAAGAATATACTCAAGGCAGCCTATAAGAAGATATAGAAATAGTAAATAAATGAACGTAAATTATACGAGTAACGACGCAACGCAGGCAATGACTATCTCTTATCAAAACAAACATAAACCCTACTTCAAATTGCCAATTTCCAGCCTGTAAAAGCTTCTTTGCTTGATCGACAGCACAGCCAGCGACATTAACGAACTGGTTTATCATAGCTTGTTGTCGAAGAGCGTCCATTTTCGTTAAAACGTGTAAAAATAAAGCTATTTAGGCCACAAAGTTTACAACCGTCGATTCACCGCGACACAGAGCACGCTGCTTCAACAATTACAATGACGTAAATGTTTTTTATTACTTGGCAAACGCCTGACCAAAACAAACGCTCTGATTGGTCAGCTTGAATTTAAACGAGTCAAAGGTAAAAATTTTGACCAATTGGATGACGAGAAACTGTAAATAATGATAATTTATTCAAAGTGCGCGAAAATGGAGATTTCACAACAAAGAAAATGTACCCGTAACACGTAGTAATTATTGTGTAAGGATATACTACGGCTCATTGACGAAAATAGCGCACAGTTCTTACAAGAAAATGTTGAAATTTAAAGTCTCAGATGCTTGAGCAATAAATTTTTCAAATTGAACCATTAAAAAGCAGTAAAGACTCATTCAAAAACCAACGATTCACAGTTTATAGCCATGACGCAGTCGAAATTCCAAGTATTCGAAACATTAATATTCAAAAACCCGCGTGTTTCACGCGCGTTGAAGTATATTTGGCGGGAAATGTTCATTCTACACCTGTTTCATAAACACTTGCCAACGTTCCGGATTGTCTGATTTATAATGAAGTCTAAGGGACGAAAACATCCGAAATACAAAACTTATTATAATTATAAGCTGCGTTTTATGGAAGAACGCTTTCCCTTCTTGAATGTACAGCAACTTAGAGCAAAGATAATATCATCTTGGGAGAGTCTTTCCTTGTTGAAGAAGAACGAGTGGTCACCTCAAAAATGCAGCCAAAAAAATGGTATGAACATCATACTTCTAAGCTTATCATGTTTTATGTTTAGTGTTGTTAGCTTTGCATTTCAGGCAATGCATATAGTCACCGTCTTTTTCCCCACCGACAGTTAAAAATAAATATTTTTGTTGTGTGTTGTGCAAGTCTACATCATTATTGATTATTTTATGTAAGGCAATTGTAAAAACACGAGGATGCCGAGCTCTAGAAAAAGCAAAGAGCATATGATCAAAAAGAGATCTTTGATGATGAAGAAAACCACGGAAAATGTACCGAAGGGACGACAAAATAACAAATGTCTCATGAAAACTATCGCTGTTTCACCAGGAATTTCAAATCGCGAGACTGAAAACGACGAAGCTAAAAATGAAGATCAATTTTTCAAAGGTTTGATATCTTTGCAGCGTAAACAGTATTTTAAAAGCACAAGGCAATGGTCGTTGCTAAAGTTACGGATACAGCATTTGATACTGCTTTCCCTCCATCTCAAGTGGCCTGAAGGCGATTTGAAAAATATTCACAAAGCGGAAATGAGTATAATTAAGTCAAACAAACCAAGTTTTGGCTACCCGCTACTCATATTTTTTAGTGTGTTTTTGAAATCATACTTCAAAATTCAATTATAGTCAGGAAGGACATCTCTTTTTTTGGCATTCTTTCTATTCGTTCCATTTTAACAAAACAGCGATGTTTTTTTAAAATGGGGTCTTTCAATTAAATCTTATGATTATTTTGTAATCAAGACAACTCTGCGTTGCTATTTAGAGAAAGATTTGCTGATGAAGAAACAAGATGAGGGTCTGAGCGATTCTTGTAAAAACATTAACAGCTTCGGTCAATGGCAATCTCTGTTCGAAGATGGTGCTATGATAAAAAGCTGTGATCATTTCCAAAATAGCTCTAGGGTGAGAACAAGATAATAATATAATAGTATGGTATTAAAACTACATACTTCTCTTTCAAAAGTCAAATATTACATCCCATTCAAGTGTACTCTTATCAGGAATCTACATTTCGTATTAGATTTCTGTGTGTGAACGGTCTGTATAGCTGAGTATTCAACTTAAGCCTGGTTCTCATTAAGTCGCTTGAGTCATCCGAGTCGTTCCGAGTCGTTCCGAGTTGTTCCGCGTTGTTCCGTTGTTTTTCAAAACGTCAGGGACGATTCAAGCTATGTGATTCAGCTTAATTAGTTTTTTCGCGAAACATTTAAAAATGGCAGCTGCTGTTTATCAAAGACAAAATCTTTTGGCTGGTTATTTGCTTCTTAAAATCGTTTTGCGCCATAAAAAGGTCGCTTGCATTTCTCAACGGTCGTTTCGGTCGTCCGGATAGAGCAAAGTTCTATCCAAGCGACACTGGTCGTGTGAGTCATTTGAGGTCATCCCGGTCGCCTCTGAAATGTTCTCCTACAGTCACACGGGTCGTCTGTGAAATTTTGACACGACTGAAACGACTCTGACGACTATATGAGAACCAGGCTTAATGAAAGACTACTTTGCCTTCTTAACAACGTCGGAATTTCGGCAATTTTGGAATTTCGCTTTCTTATCAACGTAGGAATCCGTAGAATGATAGTGATAGGTAACTTAAGCCAAGCAAAACAAAATGCCAGAATGTATTGTTTTTAATAGGTCGACATGTTTAATCCCGCTTAAATCTAGAAAGAATACACACAATTATTAAATCAAAAATGGAAAATTTATTATTTAATAATTTCCTTCAATATCACACGCTATTTTACCAGAGAAAGTCATTGTTATCATTCTTTCATTTCTTTGAAGAGTCAGCCTCTGTGTGGCTTATTTGAGAATGCACAACGACAAAGTTTTTCTCATCAAAGGTATTTGAACGAACTTTTCCAAAAATTTCTTTTAAAAAGCCTTGCGTTTTTTTCATAGAAAACACTCACAAACCGCCATACCTCTTTTCTAGATTCCTAGGGGCGTTGAATACAACAGAAAATTGTGAGATACGAGATATATTTACAGCGAGCGAGGACGATATATTTATGTAGTTTCTGCTTTGTATATTGTAATGGTTTGAGTTTAAATTTATTTTCGCACTATATTGTGCTATTTGTTTGATACTGTTGACTTGCTTTTCGTTGGCTCGCATTCCACGTTTTTTTCACCGCGCATCATCCAATAAAATTGCAAAGTCTGTAGCAAAGTCCATTTTCATTGGTTAATAGTATACATATAAACTTGAACAGCATCTGAATGAAAGATCTCGATGGAATTGTGACCAAACAAAACTCATAGTTTCGTGGGCTCAGATTATTAAGGTCAGCGGCTATAAATACTAAAAAGCCAAAAGCGATATAAGAAAAGGTAATTTGCATTAAAACAGTCGATCTGTCATTTGCTCGATGTTATCGTTAAATACTATACACCATTGAATTATAATACATCTATTCTAATTTAATTTTAATGTTTCATACCACTGCGTCTTAGTAACAGGTGTCTTTGCATATTTTACGTATTATTTTGCATTATTTTGTGAATGAGCATGGCAGTGCATGGTAATATTTTGCTGTAAATCCTTCCATGATTGATGGTACAGAAAATCTTGTTCACGAACTTGTTGTGTTCTTGTGCGTACCTATTTTTCTACATTCATCCCCAGTTCTCTGTTATTTCGTCTTCTCAATGTCCACGTGGTCACTGCGGCTGACGAACGAAATCAATAATTGTCTGTTTGGATTTATTAGAGGGAAGTGAAATTTTGTGCGTTTTTTTATTTATATTCAGCTTTAGAACTGAATATTTTCATTGTGAGCTATAAATAGTTGTATCGTTTTGTACCTGTGGTAAAAGATTGTTAAAAAGCATCAGTAAATATGGGAAAATGTTTTAAAACTTCATCACCTTTCCTGGTTTCGACTTTGTTTTGTATTGCATAATTCAGTGACGAAGTGGTTGTGTTTGTGCGAAGCTTGAATTTTGGCTTTCTTGCTTTGATTTATCGATGATGTCGGCGCTTGGCATATCAGTTGACTCCAAAGAGTTGTGGAAAAGCTCGGATTTAATTGAAAAGAAACTAGGCTCTGTCCTAGATCGCAAAGTTGCTTCGTCAACGAAACAGGTTTTATTGGACAGGATCAAATTCAAAGAAGCGTCAAATCCAGATCCGTTTTATCAAGAGTTGAAGAAGAAGTATACACCTTTGAATAGATCATCAACGAAGCTTCAAAATAACGGTCCTTTATTAAAAAATCACTCCACTAGCAATGTGAAACCTGAATTGAACAACACAAAATTTGAGAAAGATGAGCTTCCACCGCCGAAGTTTATGTTATTTGAAAAGAATAAAGTCCAATTACAATGGAAGACTGTTCGCAATGTTGGTCCAGGATTGTACAATCTTGGAAATACCTGTTTTTTAAACTCCGTCATACAAGTTTTAACATACACACCGCCATTAGTAAATTATCTGGCGACGCAAGAACACACAAGTCAATGTAAGTGTTCTTTTTAAGTGTTGCGATTTGGGCTGTTTTGATACACTTTCATTTGTTTAGAAATTAGAATATTTTGTTTAATTTACTGATAGAAATTCTGGATATTTTTTTCAACTTTCAGTTATGACCAGAAAGTTGTACTAAACGACAAGACAACTGTAGGTGTATGTACAATATGTTCAAGATTTTTACATGACTTTGTTGCAGGTGTTAAAGTTGGATTTTGCATGTTGTGTGAACTGCAGCGACATGTTTTAAGAACGTTTTCACACCAACAAAGTGAAGCCATTAAACCTTTGGCAATCCTACACAAATTAAAATGTAAGTATAGTATTTTTATGATAGAAATTCGTGGGATTTTAAATGAGGTTTGCTTATGTGAAGTGTAAACCTGCCTTAGGCTCAGTGCCCAGGTCAGAACACATTACTGAAAATATATTTCCATTTGAAATTCTTTGGAGAGAATCCTATTTGGAGTATTTTACTCTTAAATATTCTTTGAAACTTTTTAACCAACAGCGTTTTCAAAAAAGTCCTTTGAATTTAAAATGAGCTTCTATAATTTATTTTGACCTCCCCTAGATCTGCTATTGCATAGGCTGATAAATTTAATTGTTTTATTAAGTCATAGCCAAGCATCTAAGATTTGGTCAACAAGAAGACTCTCATGAATTTCTTCGTTATGTTGTTGATGGCATGACGAAGAGTTGTTTGGTTGGAATATCTGACAAGTATGTTTAGAGTTTGGAAAATATCTAATGGCAACCGTCATGTTGTTTGTGTGATATAGCAGAGTGGTTCATCTAGCGAATGCCTGCTGTATAAACAAGAGGAATTAATTTATTGTTTTCTTTTAAGGTTAGATCTTTATACAAAATCCACAACAGTCGTGCATCAAATATTTGGTGGATACTATCGAAGTCAAGGTTCGACTTAAATATTCTGTACTTGTCATTTTCAAATGTAGCCGGAAATTGTAATATTTTTTTCTAGTGACATGTGAAAGATGTCAGCATACATCAAATAAGTTTGATCCTTTGATGGAAGTACTATTGGATATTAAGGCAAGTAGAAATATTGTTGGTTTGTTCACTTGTGAACTTAGTGATCATTTCATTCCTGTTCTTTATCGCGGCATCACAATGGTGTGTCATGCTCAGAATCTTTTTTCCCTGCTATGGTTTAAAAATAAATATTTTTTGCACATGTTTAAAGCCAAATATTTGTTAAAGTTCAAAAATTTTCACACCAATCATTTTGATATCATTTGAAATGTCTTGTCATGGTTCATCTTTGGTATAAAATGCTTAATGTATCAACCATCTACCGCCTAGAATGTTTATTCGGTGTACAACGCTCTTCAGAAATTGATCTCTGTTGAATTACTTAACGGTGATAATATGTATCTATGTCCAAGGTAAGATTATTGTAGCATGAAAACAATATATAGATTATTGTACAGTGTGCGAATTAATGGTGTGCAATGTGCAATTTGCACATCGTTTAGCTAAAATGAAAACAATTGCACATCACTTTTTCAAACGATATGCAAAAATCAGCGGTTTTAATGAAAAACACTGACGTAAATCATATGAATTTGTTCATGTTTAGAAATATTAATTTAGCAATTATCGCTATATAAAATTAACGTAATATCGATTTGCTTATGCCTCTAAAGAAACACTTTCGTCAAAAAAATTGCACATCGTTTTGTCTGAACTAATTTGCACACTGATTGTACATTCTTTAACAATATAGTTTACAATTTTGCTTTAGATGTAAGCTCAAAGTTCCAGCAAAAAAGCGCATTCAAATTCATGAACCACCAAATGTGCTGACAATGTGTTTGAAGAGGTATTATACACTTTATACATATATATGTGTGTTCAATGTTAGATCTTGATTCATTGATTTATAATATATATGTTATATTTAAAATTGAATATTTTTATCTTCAGTATTCTTTCTATACTCAATATAAAATTAGAGCCCAACAAATAATTTTAAACATAGTCATAAACAATTAGGTTTTATGAAATTTATTAAAAGAGTGACGTTTCGTCTTTACTCAAGACATCTTCAGACTAATTAGGAAGTTAACAAGAATATAGATATATATAGAGCTATTTACATAGTTTGAGTTATCAGATTACTGTGAATGTGTAGGTGTGATGTGATATATTGTGTGATGTTAGTGTGATGTAAATGTGATGTATTGTTAGGCTGAGGTGTTGAGATTAGAAAAGCTAAGAGGGATGGAGCTGCCTTGGGTGTTAAGTGAAGGTTTTAGTTTGGAGATGAGGAGGCTTTTGTGGATCACGAGGTCGAATGTGTCGGAGCAGTATGAGATGTTTTTTCTATACTCTGATCTTTCTATACTCTTCTTAGATTTGATTGTCATTCTCTGTTTGCGTCAAAGATCAACAAAGATATCAGTTATCCTGAAACATTAAATCTAAGACCATTTCTAAGTATAAAGCAAGGCTGTGCAATCAACTTCAAGTTGTTTGCTGTACTTGTTCATGCTGGATATTCTTGTAACTCTGGACATTATTATTGTTTTGTGAAAGCCGCCAATGGATCATGGTATCAAATGAACGATGCTTCTGTAAGTAATGAATTCAACAGTTTCTTTCTTCGAATGGAATGGTCATAAAACAACAAGAACTTTGTTCGTTTGCTTTTAAGGTTCGGCAAGTGAGTTTAAAGACTGTCTTGGGTCAGCAAGCATATCTTCTGTTTTATATAAAGGATGAAGTGACAAAACAGGTTTGTTTGTAATTGATTGTATTTTTACATATGTGGACATGCAGTACAGTTTTATGACTTTACATGGCAAGGTTTGCTGTGTAGCAATAATTTCTAATACATGGCAAGGTTTGGCATGGTTTGGCATCTTTACATGGCAAGGTTTACTGTGTAGCAATAATTTCTAATACATCAGCAATGTTTGTTAGTTTTAACAGTAAAAATTTTATGAAATGGAAGTTTTTGTCTTTGTTTTGAACAAAATTGTTGCTTTGAAAAATTATGTATGGAGCTTTTTGCACCTGGCTCTGAAGCTCTGTGCAACTTGCTTCAAGTATTTGTGTCCTGTAGCAGTATGGGAAGGTGGTTGGTGTTAACTGTCATAAAATATAAAACGCATGCACGGATTGTTCTATATCTGAGTGAGCTCAATCAATAAAAGAGAATTTGCAAATCAATCATGAATACATGTTAAAGGAGAGATTAAAACATTGTGTTATTTTATTCAAAAGAAGTAAAAGATGTTTTTTGTGCTCTTTGGTTTGCATAAGCCTGTGCAAACACAGAAAACATCTTTTATTTCTGAATTGAAGATTATGTTTTTAGAAAAATGGTTCTTCGATCCCGTCATCAATCAAAAGTCCACAAGTCAATGGTCACCATGGTAACAAATCCAAAACATTGAACTCGAAACAGTTTTTTCCAAAAATTATCAGTGAACCAACTGTGAAGAGTGAGTTGCATTTATGATTCCATTCAAAAATAAAGATATGTGGGAGGGGGGGTATTTGGGGTTATATGAGGATGTGTGAAGAGATATTCCAGGATGTGTGGGTATATTGATATTGTGAATACAATATTACGTGTTATGTGAACTGTTTCTCTCTGACATCGATTTTTTAATTTTTCAGCACATCCTTTGGCAAAACCATTTGCAAATGCTACGTCGAAAACTACAACGAGTGCATGTGTCTCATTTTTACCACGGCCAACAAGTATTCCGAAAGAACGAGACAAAATCGCGTTTACATTGAATCAGAATTCGTTGGTGAAAATTGATCACGTTTCACCTTCCCGGGAGGAAATTGAATCTGTTTCGAGGAATTTTTGTGATGACGTTTCAGAGCAGATGCAAACGGCATCACAACCACAACAGTTCAAGGAAAGTGACACGAACATTGGTATTGAAAATGTTGGAAATTCTACGGATTGTAAAGATGATCAAGTGAACGACATTAGCAGTTCCACTGATGGCAAAGTTGAGCCAATTTTGAAGAAGACGAACAAAGAAAAAGACACATTAGGTTTGTGTTGTAAATTTCTGAAAAAATGCGCGCAGTTTTTACTAGCTTTTATGCTGTCGGTTTGAGAAAAATCCACGAAGTATCCTGTTACTTTAGCTGTGCTTCAAGCCAAAATATTGTTTCAGAAATTATGGTGTCTTCGCTGTAATCTGCGACAATCTTTGAAATGTGAATTGAATAATTTCTACCATTTACTGATTTGTTGAATAAAAAATGAACGAAGAAGGATTTCGGCAGATTGCAAAAATATTTAAATACATAAACTTCATTCATTATATGAGAAGAATTTTCAAATAACTGTAAAGATGTATTAATTATAAACAGTCATAATGATGTGGGAAATAATTTTGATAGAAAATGTACGCACAACGTATTTGCTTGAAAGCCTTAAGTCATATCACATATTTTATTGCATGTATGATATTTCAGTTGAGACTAAAGAATCTGAGAAAAATCCAAGAGAGATTCACGCCACTACAAAATGGATTATTTCAAACCACGAAGACCTCGTTCTTGGATCGACAGCTGCTGAAGTAAGGGAAAGAACGCCATCTTTGTCTTCCGAAATCAGTAATGGCGGAAGTATTGCAAGTAAAACTGGAGAATGGTCCGTTAGTGATCGTGGAATTACCCAAGAATTCGGTCCCAGGCTTCCTGAGAGACAACATGCTGGATGGAAAGTGTCCTCGAGCGAAACTGTAGGAAAAGGAGATGATAACGAGGGGTATGTAAGGATATTTTATAATTCATGATTTCAAATTAGTAAGAAGTTGATTCAATAGTGGATTGAGGTTACGCCAAGATAAATTACTGCAGCTAAGTGCAGCTAATTTTTTGATATATTTAAATTTCGAATACCACAAAGGCAACTTGATTGGTACAATTTAATTCATTTGACTCTGAAGATGACTACCTTTGAGGTTGTCGAAACGTCAGTCAACAACAACAAAAACAGTCCTTCTCAGGACTATACTAACCTGGACGATCTACATCTACAAACAATTTTATTCATTAAAAATGCATAAACAGTTTTGTTCTGATGTTATTTTGTTTGTAAAATTGAGAAACTACAATTTATTTTGACAAACACTGGATCCACTACTGCATTGACTTGTGTTTTTGTGGATGACCGTAGATCCACCGTATGAAGAAATTATTGAAAGTACATTAAATGACAGTTTGTTTTCTTTCTTGTAGCTACAGGAAATTAGCCACGATACCTCTAGAAAAAACTTTACGTCAAAAACATCGAAAGAAACGAAATTTTTCGAAAAACGATGATGAGGAAACAAGACTGATTTCACCAATGGATCACGAGGGGTCAAGGGAGGATAGAAAGAAGGAAAGACTCACTTCAGATATGGATCGTGAAGGGTCAAGGGAGGATAGGAAAAAGGAAAGACTTACTTCAGATATGGATCGTGAGGGGTCAAGGGAGGATAGGAAAAAGGAAAGACTTACTTCAGATATGGATCGTGAGGGGTCAAGGGAGGATAGGAAAAAGGAAAGACTTATTTGGATCGTGAGGGGTCAAGGGAGGATAGAAAAAGGGAAAAGATAAAGAGATTGAAAAAACTGAAACGAGGCAGAGACAGACCGAGCGACGGGGAAGTCTTGAGCGATGACATTGAATTGCGGGAAAAAAGGAAAAAAGACAAGAAAAACAAAAGAAAAAAACGGAAACACAGAAAGGAGAAATTGTCCGATGAAGATACGAAAGAAACGGATGAAGTCATCAATACAAGCAAAGATAGGTTGTTGTCGCGTAATAAAGACGATTCCGGATATTCGAGCTCAAAGAAAGATTTTGATAAAACGAAAAGGGATTCAAAACGATCTCTTTGCGAGAATAAAGAGAAAAGAATTAAAGGCGTCGGAAATAGAGTTTTTACAAAGACGATGAAAGAAAGAAGGAACATTGAAACAGATAATTGTGGTAGAAATGATCTGAATCCTGAACATTTCACATCAAATACTGACACGAAGAAAGAGGATAAGTTTACGGCAAAAAAGTTCATTAACTTGAGTCAAAATGCTATAGACAATGCACGAAGTTTAGTCGTCAAAGGTAGAGATTTCCTAGGAAAGGTTTCTGAATGTAGAAATCGAAATGGAAGTGACAAGATAAGGTTGGTGCAGTATTCTGACGATTCTTCCAACGAATCTGAAAACGTTGTACTCAATGGATCTGCGAATGATCGTGTTACATCTGTGAATGATCGTGTTACATCTGTGAATGATCGTGTTACATCTGTGAATGATCGTGTTACATCTGTGAATGATCGTGTTACATCTGTGAATGATCGTGTTACATCTGCGAATGATCGTGTTACATCTGTGAATGGTAAATGTGAATCATCAGGGAATAATGGAAGAAAAGGTAGAAAATATTTATTCTCGTTTAATTTTAACGTTCTTGTATTGTGTGCTCGTTAGCATAGCATGGGCTCGGCTCGTTCCCGACTATTCCCGTAGCCTGCGATGAGGTATCAATGAGCATGCGCACTTGAAAATTGCTTCTTAGGGCCTCTTTACATGAAGGTGGGGTTATGCTAGCAAGCGAGTTAGTCTTAGTCACAATGTTTTATAAGTAGCGTTTACATGTGCGCTAGGGTAACCCCGGGGAAAGGGTTTCCTATCAAATTAAAGGGCTTACCCTAGCTAGCAGTGGGGTTATGTTTTTGTGTATTCTACATAAGCCATGTAAATGTGTTAGACAAGGATTATCCTGTCAATAGAGCTGTGTTTACATCTCATTTTCTGAGCATATTTATATATGCTTAGCAATATCGGCGAAAATTTAATTGCCTGCGAAGCCTTTAATTATTACCCTACTTGCAGGTAAACAGGCCCTTAGTATTTGCTTGCTTCTCTGTGATAACTTTCATATTCAAATGTTCGTCTCAACTGTTGACTAAAGTCAACTTTGTTTGGTTAACGGTGGAAGCACTAGTCAAGAAACATTGCTTTTATTTTGGGAAGTTTTTCACACTGATATTTATTGTTATTATTGACTAATTTGTTGTTATTTGTTTTGTTCTATGAACTAGACAACTTGAGAAGTTATGATGAACGAAAGAATATCGTGGACGTTTTGTTGGAGAATTCAAAAGTATCGTCGAACTACGGTGGCAAAGGTTTGATTATTGATCAAAATTCAACAATTTTCCCAGTTAGTTAGACTTAATGAGACTGAAATTGTATATTATTAATATTAGTAAATAACTTCATTTTCCGTATGGACAATTATTCATCCAGTGCTTTAGACAGATCACTTTCTCTATGTTGTGGCATATTCTCAATATTCTCATTTGTCCATATGTAATTTTAATTTTGCCTTGATTGCTCCTTGCGTTGTTGTCGTCTAGTTTGAGTAATGTTTGCGATAAATTTACTCCGCTGAATGAGTAAAAACCAGATCAGGCTTTTTGTAGTTTGTATATAACTGTGGATTTTGTGGATTTTGTTTTTTGCTCTTACCTTACAAAATGTTTGTGTTAAGTGAGGATTTTGTTTTTTGCTCTTACCTTACAAAATGTTTGTGTTTGTGTCAGTTGAAAGATGGGATGGACAGAAGGAGGATAACGCCGTTAAAGAAGATAGGACAAAGAGGAGACGAGATTTCTGGGATGAGGAATACGACAAAGGAAAGGTTCGTGATCTGTTTTTTGTCTTAAAACGTCGACAGTCTAAATTGGGGATCTATATATAAAGTATTTTATGCGTTTTGTAGTTGGTATTCAGCGTTTATAATGTTAAGGCAAACAATTTCTTTCTTAAACGTGGCTATTTTTCACTTATTTAGCAAATGAAGCGAAGAAAAAATTCAAACAAAACCAGCAGTTACTCTTCACGCGGAAGGAATTCGTTTCAAAAGGAATACGATCGCAGAAGAATGAAAGTAAATACAAAAGGCTCTTTTCCACTCATCGCAAAACGTACCCGCAAGCTTGCCGGCGAGTGCCTGCGAGTTACTCGCAGCTAGCTTACCATGACTTGCAGCATAGTTAAATTAATTGAACAAAATTTTTTGATCGCGCGAACAGACTCGCAAGCTTGCAGCGAGAGCATTTAGCGATGAGTGGAAAAGAGCCCAAACACGAATTGGTGTTTATAAGTTTAGCGCGAAAAATCCTCAACTTTTAATGTTTCTTTCTTCATTGTTATTAGAGTAACGGTTGCCATTCGTCTTCTTCAAATGGTTGGTATAAGAGAGGTTTTGAAAGACATTCATGGCGTGATCGTAGATGATTAATTACGCGTAAAAGATATTGATTTATTATCGATGGACTGAGGAAAGATTATGCAAGCAGCGACTTGAATGTTTAGCTGCAGTTTATCAACTATATTCTTGCTTGTAATACAACAGCATTTGGAACTTGATGGGTCGTACAAAGTTTCTTTGCAAAAAAAACCTTTGAGAAACGAATATGTCTGTTGTGAACTTGTCAAAGTCAATTTTGATGTAATGAAAAGTTTAATAAAATATTCGCAAAGTGTGTTTTATTTTATTTAGGGTTTAGTTCTATACGGGATTTTTTACTAAACGCTTATGACGAAATGAGTTAGTCACTCTCAGAGCAGCGCTAGGAGATCCAGTTGATTGGTATGAACTCTTAGTTTGTTGAGTAGACTGTGCAAGAATTCAGTCATATTGGCATGTTGTCTGTTTTCTGCTTGTTTTAACAAATGCGTTTTTAAACTCGTTACCTCAGACCTTTATCGGCTTGGCCTTCCTCCACCATGATTAAAATCAAACTAGCGAATACAGTCAATACACAGCTATAATCATTAGAACGTGTACAAAAAGAACGGTGCTTACTAAACTGTGAACAACAAGACTACAAGTGGTTATTTAGGCCATAGCATTTGATGAGTTTTATTAAAAATGTTTTCATATGCCAAGAAGTCAAAATGAATGTCCGCTTTATGATAGGCGAAATGAAATAGCATCTATCGTTGGTTCAAATTACGAGTCAAAAGGTAGTGTTTGTAACTTTTCTCTATTCTTGGAACCATTATTTTACCAGAGGCAAAAGTAAGGTGTGAGTTCTTTTACACTCTATTGTACACATGGCGTACCTATTCTAAAGTAATTAAAATTAATTTAAATTAAAGTGATTTTAAAGTGAAGAAGTAAATTATTTATACTGAGTTTTTTTTAGGATTTTCACTGAGATGAACGTTAAATTTCTGTTGTCCATTTATTACTTATGTATATCTTCATGGTCTTGTTTTGTTAAATCGTCTGCCGTGAACGAGGAACATCCATTTCGGATGCGAAAGGTGAGCGTACTTTGGGAAAAAGCAAAACGTATTGGACTGAGTCAAGAGAAAATGAACAACTTGTACGTAGAGTTGGAAAGACAGGATCGAGACGAGAGAAAATGGAAACATCAGAAACATAACGGAAAAGACAAGTATGGCGAAATGGAGGCGATCTTAAGAAGTAATCTTGTAAATATTATGACAAAATACGGTTTGGTTGTTGAGAAAAAAGATAAAGGTAGCGAGCCAACTGGAGATCATATTCACACAAACAGGGTGCAAGATGGAGCGTTTGTGAAAGATAATAGACTTGAGAAGTTGTGGGAGTATGCCAAAAGCAACGGTGAGTAAATTTAATCCTTGTCGGAAAAATATGAACGCGATATTGTGGGACAGCATCTATTCAAAATATAAATTACGCATTGTTCTAGTTTCTGGGACCTCTGAACGACTGATTTAGTGTCTTTGTTCGATAGAAAAAGCCCACAAATTTTCTATATCTGTTTATGGGCCAACTTTTAAAAAATATTTCACAAAGAATAGTTAGGCGCTCGTACACACTCGAATGTGCACGTCGGAGTATAGGGAACTTAGGAACAAACAGTTTTGCCCCTCTAGTAGGTAAAACAAATCAATTGCATTTTCTGACTGATGGAAACACCGAGCTGACTAACTGTAGCCAGTAATTTAATTTAAATATACAATATTGTTAAAGGGATATAAGGGACTCACTATCAATGTCCAAGTACAAGTAGTGGTAATGATATATATTACTGGATATATAGTGGCATGCATCTGATTTAAATGATGGCTGTAGGTGGCTTCACTAAGCAAGAGCTTGAAGATTTACGCATCGAGCTGGGTCATCATCACGATAAATGGAAGCAATTCAAGGATTTGGTTAATTTAGTGTCATCATATGAAGATAATGAGAATGTGGTCGACAATAGTCTGCCCGATTATAAAGATATTGCAAAATTAAGAGACGAGATGGATGTAAAACAGAGACAAGTTGAAAATAGTTATCGCCGTTTAAAAGTGAAGGTGTTACAAGGAGCTGTGGACGAGGAATATCATGATTATCGTGTTCGAGATTTGTGGAAAAGAGCTAAAGCTCAAGGACTGTCTGGTGATGAACTTGATATCATTAAGGTCTGTTAAAGTATCTTTAAATGTGGCTTTTTCACAAGGTGTACTTACTCAACTGCACTTATGAAAAGTTAAGCTTGTTCAGAGATTGATAGAGGACAAAAAAACATCAATCCATTCAAAATTATTTGCTTTTCTATGAAATACAAACTCTACAAAAGTCGGAGGCTGGATGTAGAATAACCATCAATGTTTTAGGGGATGTGTGTCCTTTAATTCACAGTTATTTTGTTATGCGTTTGTGTTTTTGAACTGTGTCATGAGTTAGTAGTTAGAGATTGTCATATTTTAGGAGGAACTCCGTCATTTTGACAACAAGATAGTCAAACATGATGATCTTCAAGAACAACTTGACTTTGCACAAGATTTATTGGACAAAGGACATGATCACCTGAAAGGAAAACATGAAAAACTAACGGCAAAGGTTCAAGAACATAGGAGATATGTAAGTTTATAAAAAGATATTGAATTATATTCATGGTTAGGGAGATACAACATGTGCATTTCATTGAATTTTGTCCACATTTAGATAAAGAAACTTTATGCCACATATGACAGCAAAATTGGACCACATAATGAACTGTGATGATGGAAGAACAGTTATGTGTTGGTCAGTTTTTGGACAATTCCAAAATGTTTGGTTACTTTGGTATCAAAATCCCAAACTTCGGATTTCATAGTGTGAAGTTATAGATCAGTTTGAAATAGTTTTTTGCACTCCCTCCTCGGTTAAAGGCTTTATAAAGATAAATACATATTACAATATTAGTTCATGTACGGGGGGCGTGCACTAAGTTTCTTGGCGGCTTCTTTTAAACACGAGCAACGCTTTGTTAATCAAAAGGATTGCTTTAGTTATTGAATTTGATTGTTTGTCAGTACAATTATAAATGTCCATGTTTGAAGCTTTCATTTTCTAAGTATCACTTTCACTTTGATGCATAGAAGTATTTTCTATAAATTAATGCGAAAATATTGAAATGAAAGTATAGAAAATAGATATAACGACACATTTCGTGTTGAAATATGGCGTCCACAAAGCCCGACTTCGTTATTTTTGCTTTAAATTCAAACAAGGATTTGGCAGAGAAAATTGCAAGGTACTAAAAGAGCATTTTTTTCGTGAAATTTCGTAACCTTTGGCATATAGCAACAGAGTAACTGTCGAAATAAGTTTCGTTTTTAGAAAAGTTTGTCTCTGCACATTAAATACAGCTGTATAAGCGTGGTTTATTGAATTTGTTGAACTTAAAAAAGATAACACAAGCAATTCATAAAACATTGAAAAATTTTAGTCGTTTAGAAATGCCATTATCAGACATAGAAATTGGAAAACAATCCGGCAACGAAGGTAATTATTTACTAAAATTTATACAAATTTTATGTACATAAAAGCTTTCTATCTAATGATCTTTATTCATAGACTTGTAGACTATCTTGCTATAACTGGTCATGTTCATTGAATGGACTGTCTCTAACCAGTAATAATCAGTCAATGAACTTTCCTCAGCCATGATTAGTCACATGTATTCAATAGACAACTGTAATGTTTGTGAATGTAGATCGTCCAGGTTGGTATAGTCCTGAGAAGGACTGTTTTTGTTGTTGTTGACTGATCCTGTTGTTGTTGTTGTGGACAAGCCTGGACGATCTACATTTACAAACATGTAACGATACTCCCGGGTTCAAACCATTTACTTTAAGACAACTCTAATCATGACTAGTTATAGTGATCTTATCATTCAAGGATGAGGTCTATCTAGTCATGTACATCAGATGAAAACCAGTCTCTATTTATTCCAGAAACAAAAGTCAACATGAGCATTTCTGTTCGAGGAAAAGATGTGTTTATTCTACAATCTGGATCTGCGTAAGTAATAATTGATAATTTATGTAATATAAGATGAAATGTTCAATTTTGAAGTGACTGGTTTTTGAACAAAATTTCCTCCAGTGAAAATATCAACGTGAACGATGCCTTGATGGAGTTATTGATAACTTGTTATGCATGCAAGACATCCTCAGCCAAGAAAATTATTGCTGTTGTTCCATATTTACCCTACTCTAAACAAAGCAAAATGAGAAATCGTGGCTCCATTCCTTCAAGACTTGTTGCAGATCTACTTTGTGTTGCTGGTGTGTTGTGCTTATTTGTGAAACATCAATTCCGTACTGATTATCCGTAAACATTTATTTGCTTTCTGTATTGAAGGTTTGTCTGGTTTGATTACCATGGATCTTCATTCCAAAGAAATACAGGGATTCTTTAAATGTCCCGTTGATAATCTTAGAGCTTCTCCATTCATTGTACAATACATTCAGGAGGTATGTCTTTATCTTGTGTGTAGACTGCTCATAACATTGTTTTTACTGTAAAAAATTGTTATCTTCCATACAGATGTGAGTCCATTGTAGCCTATGTCAAAATACTTCACTGAAAATAAATATCCATTTTAAAGTACTTAAGAACAAGTCCTTTTGGAAGTGTTTATCCTTGAAGATTCTTTAGAAGTTTCTGACCAATGGCATTTTAATAAAAGTATTCTGAATTGAAAATGAGCCTCTATAATTTACTTTGACCTAGCCTAAATTTGCCATTGACCATTCTTACCAACATAATTTTTTTGTTTTTTCCAAAGATTCCAGATTATCGGAATGCAGTGATTGTATCAAAAAATCCTCAAGCTGCTTCAAGGTAAGTTGTAAAATATTTAATATTTCTCAAGAAATGTTAGTTCGACATTTAGATCAACTTGAGTTGACAGATCATCATGTAACTTTTCCTATTCTCATTATCTCCTAAAAATATCATGTCATAGGTATTTTTGTTTTACTGTATAAGTTATATAAAACGTTTTTTCAAAGTCTTTTTAATAAATAAGCAATATTATCTTTTTTGCATTAAACTTTATCTATTCAAATTATTTCAGGGTGGGGTGGAAAGGTGGTGTCTATTTTATTTCATATTTTATCGTATAGAATTGTTTCCCCGAGGGGGGAGGGGTAATTTCATTTTTCTCTCTTGTCAAGGGTTAAATTCTGTGTATTTTCAATAGAAAGTGGCATCCACTATCTTTCATTGAAGAGGGGGGGGGGATAGTTTGACTTTTTTATCTGCATGTTATTCTCTTCTTGCCCAGTGTTGCTTTTCCTAATATTTTTAGCGAGTGGACGCGTGGTAATATTTATTGTTGTGTAATTTAATTCTTTCAGAGCGACCTCTTTTGCTGAACGTCTTCATCTTGGCTTAGCAGTTATTCATGGTGTTCGTCAAGAAGCTGAAAGCGAAGCCTGTGATGGTAGAACATCTCCGCCTCCTCAAAAGAAAACTTTCACATATCCTTTACCTGGGAATATGAGTCATTTAGGCTTATTGCCAAAGGAAAAACCACCTATGAATGTTGTTGGAGATGTGAGCGGAAAGATTGCCATTATTATAGTGAGTTGTATTTTGAATTGTTTTAATAATAATGTTTGTAGTGTTTTATTTTGGTGAATACAGTAGTGGCTTACCCAGAAGGCTAAGTAAGCTTAAGGCTACTGGTTTGAGAACGCTGTGCTTTCTAGACATAATGAGTTTTTAGTTTTCGCTTTTCCGGACTGTTAAATGTAATGCTAAAACGCAAAGAAATTTATTTTTACGTGCTGCTCAATGGAGGTCGTCCAGTTTAGTGGAGTTCTGAGAAGGACTGTTGGACTTAATAGACATTTGAAATCTTTATTCCTTGTGCGAGAGATCTACATCTACAAAAATGTCACAATATTTGCGCGTTAAAACCATTCACTTTCATGTTTATGTCGATTTTGACACAAGTTATTTAGAATGTATTATTTTCCACTACTGGGGAACGAAAAAGGCGGGAAATATTTTCACACACCCTTGGGAGCCCGATTGTGAATCTGTGTGGCGGGTGATGTAGGGTTACATGTTTGTAGATGTAGATCGTCCAGGTTGGTATAGTCCTGAGAAGGACTGTTTTTGTTGTTGTTGACTGACGTTTCGACAACCTTAGCGGTAGTCATCTTCAGAGACTCCCGGGTTCAAACCATTTACTTTATTACGATCATTTGGACGACGGTGTAGGTTATATTAAGCACATTTTGTTGTTGCATCGGCAGAGCTTGACGAGAGTAACACCCGCCCACCCAGATGGAACACTAAAGACATATGTATATTGGTAACTAAGACTGTTGAGTTTAGGGTCGCTTAGCCGATGTAATGGTAGCTGTATTAACTGTTTTTATGAATGTAACAAATGTCAAGCTTGCGGCGGATTTGCTTCAGCAACTCTCAGTTGTGTGTAAGAAGACATGTTTTATATCAATGTAACACGTCATTAACATCATCTTTCTTGTGTTATTCAGGATGACATGATTGATACAGTTGAACCATTCTCTGATGCCGCTAGTTTACTCAAAGAACGTGGTGCGTACAAAGTTTATGTCATGGTAACACACGGTATTTTATCTGGGGACTGTGTCCGACTTATCGAGGAATCAAATATTGACGAGGTTAGTCTGTAGTTACTGATTGGTCGACTACTATAATGGAGAATCCGCCTTTCCGACAGTATACACACGTGTCAAAAATACGAGATCAAATTACAAAATTCGGACAAACAAATGGTCGGACATTGTATTGTTTATGTAGAATATTGGCAATAAAATGGTTAGGAGATGCTTTTGAATTTTGGGGGTTTTGTAAATCTGAAATTTTGAAAACAAAAAATATCGTTTTCGGTCCATTCCCTCGATCCCCGAGATAGTTGAGCACTAGAGCGTCGCATGTTAATTAAGGGAACCAGATAATCCTTGTTTGCCATGAAGCCCATGGACGGTTTGCTCGTGGTATATGAGCAACAGCAAATAAGAGAGTTAAATCAGACAGATATAAACCAATAAAAATTGTATAAAACATGTTTAAGGTTATCTTAAATTATAAGTGTCACAAAAAGGCACAGTGTGAGAAGAAGTTTATTGTATAGGTTCATTTTATGAGAACTCTTGTAAAAAAAAAGAGATAAAATTCGAAAGCAAAAAACCCCGTTTTCGGTCCATGCTTCCCGATACCTTCTTAAGCGCAAGGCACTAGAACGCCGCATGTTAACGTTTCGGTAGGAGATTCCGGCCCCTCCACGCTATCCTACTTGGGAGATGCAATAGCAAGCTTCCGCCCATCAGACCCGAGATCACCTGCGATAGGCTTTGCTCGGGGTACGCAGGGAGAGTGCGGTCGCCACCGAAGTGTGGGCCCCTAAGCGACTGCATACTACATCGCACCCAGCTTCCACTGCTAGTTGACATCTACTATACCTAGTATTGGCTTTATATATATATACAAAAATTCAGAGGCTTACGAAAGTTGTGGTATTAATAATGTCACTACTGCGCATGCCCAGATGATTTCTTTAATAATTTGCGACTAAGTGAGGTAATTGCCACGAAAGTAGTGCAAGTGTATCTAGTTAGGTGTTGCCATGACTATGAACAATTCTTCGAGTGGACTGCGCATGCGCTTGAGCATGCGCAGATGCTTTCTCTATTAAATTGTTACTAAGCATGCTATTTACTTCAAAATCAGTGCTAGTAGATGCAGTTGGTCGTTGCCATGACCATGAACTTGAGCATCAGATCAAGTTGACTGCGCATGCGCAGGATGATTTATCTGAAAATTTGTGACAGAGCAAGCTAATTACTCCATAATTGGTACTAATACATACAGTTGGTCGTTGCCATGACCATGAACTTGGAGAGTTGGTGGAGTTGACTACGCATGCTCAGATTAATTCTCAATTAATTTGTGAGAGTTAAACTTCATATAAACATATCTTCAGAGTGAAGGATGACTACCGCTAAGGTTGTCAAAACGTCAGTCAACAACAACAAAAACAGTCCTTCTCAGGACTATACCAACCTGGACGATCTACATTTACAAACATGTAACGATACTCCCGGGTTCAAACCATTTACTTTAGCGCTTTCATAACAAATGCTTAGCATCACGACAATTCTCACTGTGCTTTCTTAAGCTTGTCACAAGATCGATGTTTTTATCGTAGAAACAAAAAATGTTTTTAGTTATTATCTTAGAGGGCTTTTTTTACATGTTTAGGTTGTCGTTACGAACACCGTTGAACATCAATCAAAAAAACTTCAATGCACTAAGATCAAAACTATCGATGTTAGTGTACTTCTCGCAGAAGCTGTGAGGCGTATACACAATGGCGAGTCGATGTCTTACTTATTTCGAAATGTTCCTTTACAGGATTGATGCTTTGTTTATAAGGTAGGAATTAAGGCTGTTCAATTGAGAGCAATGGTGCATTACTAATTACGACGTCCGTGTACGCTGAGACAAAGTAACTGATATCTTTTTCCTCCACTAAGTTCAGTCTCTTGACGATGTTTGTGTTCTTCACGCTCATTTGCTTTTGTATTTCCTGTCTTGTGTTTACAACGTATAGCGTAAACAATCGAGAAAAATGTAAAGTTCGAAAGGTCTTTTAAAACTCTGTTCTCAAGGAAACAGGGAAAACGCACTACTTTACGTGCAACGCGCATTCAAACTGCACATAGTACGAAAGCCCTTTTTTTTCTCAATATTTATTCGCACCTCGTACGGTTTTTAAAAGCATAAATGGTGTAAAATAGGCACATTTATTTTAGCTGGTCTGGAATAGTTTAAAGTAATTATGTCTCGATATCACGTGTTTTTTGAAAGCCCCGTCCTATTGGCTGAAAGGATGGCTTAAAGGTTGGCTTAAAGGTTGGCTTAAAGGTTGGCTTAAAGATTGGCTTAAAGGTTGGCTTAAAGGAGGCTTCAGGGTCATGCTTTGCGCGCTTGGTTGGCCATTTTAAGGAGCCCGAAAATGGCGGCTGTAATATGTTTGATTTAAGTACATAAGTACAGCATATAAATACTGCATGAATACCGTAGCCGCAGTCAAACTATCAACCGTAAATGCTTCCTGTAAATAAATATCATCACATAAGTCAATAAACGAAACAAAACCTCCACTGAATACGCTTCGGATTGCTTATCACACTAAAGTGCACGAAAGTTCCCGTGTATGAAAACATAGACATTAAGCGCGCAAAGCACGACACTGATACTAATTCTTTAAGCTTACTCAACCCACAGAATAATCCGCTACTGACTGATAGTGATTTAGGATCAAGATTAAATCAACACTATTGATGCTGGATCAACACCAAACTAAATGTATTTATCCCAGGATGGTGATCAATCGAAAACTATTGATCTCTAAAATTAAGAGCGTATTATCACTATTCAAGATCGAGATCAAAGTAGGACTATTGTTGAAAAATAACTTTTTATGTTTCGTGTTTTTGTGTTCAAACTGTGTGAATGAAAATATCTTTAAACATGTTGATACAGTTTTTATTTAAAACATTCTTACGTTATTTGTAATCATATAATCCTGTCTTAAGTTTCAATTATCTGGAGTCACTAGAAAGTCTACTGTTCAGTAAAAGCCTTAGCCATTTTTTTAGAAGTCTTAACATGGCCAAAGAAGATTTGTCTTCACTTGTTACGGTGATTTTTTTAACTTCTTCGGAAACTTTCTTCTTCGGAGTGTTCATCATGCTTTTGATCCATTCTGTGAAGACTTGTACCTGTGTTTAAATGAGGATATGCGAGTGGGTAGTTAGGGTATTTAGAAACATAATGTTTAAACATGTACCTGTGTTTAAATGAGGATATGTGAGTGGGTAGTTAGAGGTATTTAGGAACATAATGTTTAAACATGTACATTGTGTTCAAATGAGGATATGTGAGTGGGTAGTTAGAGGTATTTAGGAACATAATGTTTAAACATGTACATTGTGTCCATATGAGGATATGTGAGTGGGTAGTTAGGGTATTTAGGAACATAATGTTTAAACATGTACATTGTGTCCAAATGAGGATATGTGAGTGGGTAGTTAGGGTATTTAGGAACATAATGTTTAAACATGTACATTGTGTTCAAATGAGGGTGCGTGAATAGGTACTTTTTTGGGTTTTTTTGTAACTTTGTTTACCCAGGGTAACCTCATCAATTTTATAGCTGTTCTCCCGAGGATCCTGCTTTCTATATTTATCCAGACCTTGTCAACTTTTCCCGTAAGTCCCAACTTTTCCCGTAAGTCCCAATTTTGCCCGTAAGTTCCGAACTTTTCTCGTAAGTCCCGAACTTTTCCCGTAAGTCCCAACTTCCCGTAAGTCCCAATTTTGCCCGTAAGTTCCGAACTTTTCTCGTAAGTCCCGAACTTTTCCCGTAAGTCCCAACTTTTCACGTAAGTCCCAACTTTTCACGTAAGTCCCAACTTTTCCCGTAAGTCCCAACTTTTCACGTAAGTCCCAACTTTTCCCGTAAGTCCCAACTTTTCCCGTAAGTCCCAACTTTTCACGTAAGTCCCAACTTTTCCCGTAAGTCCCAACTTTTCCCGTAAGTCCCAACTTTTCACGTAAGTCCCAACTTTTCCCGTAAGTCCCAACTTTTCACGTAAGTCCCAACTTTTCCCGTAAGTCCCAACTTTTCCCGTAAGTCCCAACTTTTCACGTAAGTCCCAACTTTTCCCGTAAGTCCCAACTTTTCCCGTAAGTCCCAACTTGTCACGTAAGTCCCAACTTTTCACGTAAGTCCCAACTTTTCACGTAAGTCCCAACTTTTCCGTAAGTCCCAACTTTTCGTAAGTCCCAACTTTTCCGTAAGTCCCAACTTTTCCCGTAAGTCCCAACTTTTCACGTAAGTCCCAACTTTTCCGTAAGTCCCAACTTTTCCGTAAGTCCCAACTTTTCACGTAAGTCCCAACTTTTCCCGTAAGTCCCAACTTTTCCCGTAAGTCCCAACTTGTCACGTAAGTCCCAACTTTTCACGTAAGTCCCAACTTTTCACGTAAGTCCCAACTTTTCCCGTAAGTCACAACTTTTCACGTAAGTCACAACTTTTCACGTAAGTCACAACTTTTCCCGCAAGTCCCAACTTTTCCCGTAAGTCACAACTTTTCCCGTAAGTCACAACTTTTCCCGTAAGTCCCAACTTTCACGTAAGTCCCAACTTTTCCCGTAAGTCCCAACTTTTCCCGTAAGTCCCAACTTTTCACGTAAGTCCCAACTTTTCATGTAAGTCACAACTTTTCCGTAAGTCGCAACTTTTCCCGTAGCACCCGTAGAAAACCCGCCAGTTTCAATTATAACTTTTTACTGTATAAGTATTGAGAAATTCATCCCACACAAGCTGCACCTGGTCGCAGGCCAATTTACCTTGACCAGGGAACAAGAACTTACAACTCAGCGATGGAGGGCGTAGAGTTTGAACTCTGCGCCCATGAGACATAATGCTTTAACCTGTACCTTGTGTTCACAGAAGGATACATGAGTAGATCATGAGTGATATTTAGGGATAGATACTGTATCCTATACAGAACCTACTATTTATTTCTAAACATATACAATACCTTTGTAAAAACGCTGTATCTGTCACTGACTCTACATCTTCTGGATCCCCAACTTGTAATCCCTTGTAACACCCAGTATCCCTGGGGATTCCTGCAGACATATGGACCACCGCTATCACCCATACATGTGCTAGCCCCGTTATTGTCATCACCTCCACATAACATTTCATGAGTTATATATTGAGCATCTATAAAATATGGTTATAATGTTAGCGTAGGTTTATAACGTGTGTGAAAATTATCCATATATATCCTTACACCATCCATATCTGTACCAAGGGTTTGCTCTTCTTCTGCATGTATGTTTTGTCACTAATGGAACGTGTGCTTGTTGGAGCAAGCGTGAATATGTGTTACTTCTTTCTGTCTTTCCCCAACCTAGGTGATGTTGTTTACGATTAACGCAAGTTATTTTGTTTTAGTCTTGTTTCACCAACAAGTTGCATAACACACACCATCCAGTAACACAACTCATACCAACCAGTTATATAACACACACCATCCAGTAACACAACTCATACCAACCAGTTATATAACACACACCATCCAGTAACACAACTCATACCAACCAGTTATATAACACACACCATCCAGTAACACAACTCATACCATCCAGTTGTATAACACATATCAACCAGTTACATAACACACGCCATCCAGATATATAACATATACCAACCAGTTATATAACACACGCCATCGAGATACGTAACATATATCAACCAGTTACATAACACACACCATCCAGTTAAATATACCAACCAGTAGCATAACATCGTAAATCTTTATGCAGATAGTCGTCTGCTGTTGGTAAACAAACAGTTCCAACCCACTGGTTTAGGATTGCTGGTTTTGAGAGCTTTATAAGTGCAAGATCATTGTTTCTAATCACTGGTATGTCGTGTTGTGGGTGTGTAATCACTTTCTCAACACCTATCGTCTGCTCTCGACCTTCGTATCGCGATCTGTCAAAATCTCCCAAACGTATTTTATACATGGTTGGCGATCTATAAGATTTAACAATTTAAGTCAGATTTCCTCCTTTTGTGAAACATTATAAAGTTATCTTCATTGCATATTTAGTAAGAACAATTATTCGAGGTTATGTGTAAATGGTTCATTAGCATGCAATAATAGTATAATAATGTAATAATAAACCGATTATACACAATTAGAACACTTTTACTACCATATATAGTAATACTTTTTTGGAAGTGTAGTCTGTCCGCAAGTCTTAGTCCTACTGCGTACAGAACATCGTCATTATTCATTTCTTTTGAAATCTATGGTATTTATAGTGAGTGAACAGACAAAAATGAACACACTAGGATTAAAGAACTTGACGGGCTACGTCATGGGGAGTTTTAAAGATTTTAAATGTTTTTTTTTCTTTTTCGTACGTGCTTCGAACGCAGTGTGCTGCCGTTAGTACCCAGGACGGATGAATGAGTGCTCCGGAACAGATAAACCGTTTTCTATAGCCATATAACAAGATTGCCTAAGAAGACAAACAATCATCTATTACTGATCTTCAATAATGGTGAGTTTTAGACGTTGGGTAGTATAAACTTTAAGTATTGTTTTTATTTCGATAAGTTTTTCTTGTGTTATTATCTATGACTTTAATTCGAGTTAATATCTTATAAATACATCGGACTGTATAATTTATTCTTTACTATACAATCGCAACCTTAAATTTAATGTTCGATTGTAAGTTATAATTCATGACGGTAATGCGTCCAGCGTTCCATCTGCGTACTTGAAGTAAGACAAATCTTTATCCTGACATTAACACTGCAGCTAATAAGATTGATTGCTGTAGTTTACACATTGTAATCATGTTGAAAAGTTCTTTATTAAAGATGCTTACTGTGTTTGCACAGGATTGTACAAACCGGGGAGACCTTTGGGAGAACTCGAGAGTAGATCAGTGCAAACTCGAGATTCGAGGGTTTCACCTGCGTGAGAGCTCTCACAAACGTCTATTAAAGATCGCATAAGCCTGTGCAAACACGAAAATCTTTATTTCTTTTATAACAATAATACGAAGCAGATAAATTTAGAACAAATGTTTTAATTTTTCCTCAAACATGTATTCATGATTGATTTGCAAATTCTCTGATTGATTTCAATGATTGAGCTAAGATCGGAGTTGGCACCATTGAACTATAATACATGGAACGCTACCTGTAATACAAAACCTAATAATTTTTTGAAGACGTGATTTTACCCCAGACACGCGAGATTTTACCCCAGACACGCGTGTGTAGTCAATTATTACTACCCGCGAGAGAATCTCGAAACACTAGACACGCGTGTCTGTGTGTAATATCGCGTAATATCCAGACGGATGTAAGATTTGGCTTCAGATAGCGTTCCAGATGTAGTTTAGTTCAATGGTTTGCACTGGATGATGCAAACTCGGCTATGAACCAATCAGCGCTCGCGTTTTTTAGCTCGCATTTTATAATCTACTGTATTTTTACGATTTCTATACAATGCACCTGCCAAGGCCAAGCACCAGGCAATGCTGTATGTCCAGCTACAACTCTTCGTCTAACGCCGCTTGGATTTGATTTTCCACATTGATATGGTGCTGTAGACAGTAAATAAGATCAATGGGAGGTTATTGTTGGCAATGGGGGGTTATTATTGGCAATGGGGGTTATTATTGGCAATGGGGGTTATTATTGGCAATGGGGGTTATTATTGGCAATGGGGCTATTGTTGGCAATGGGGGGTTATTATTGGCAATGGGAGATCATTTTCGTCTATGGAAGGTTGTTAGTGTCCGTTGGAGGATTAGTAACGTTAACAGGAAATTATAAAATGTCTGTAGATGAGTCTGGAAGTTTATTTGCGTCTTTTGGGGGGGACTATTGATGTCAGTAGGGGTTTAATAACGTCAATGAGGAATGATTAATGACAAAGAGGGATTGTTTGTTCGATTTTTTTTTCTACTCAGTGCGTTGAAAATTGCTCATCGAAGTACAGCGTATGTCGTAATCCAATAAAATCAATAAAATTTAGCTAACTACTGGAGCTGCTGTTATTTAGTCAAGGCTATAATTGGACTTATACAAAGCGTTCTTAGGGCTGTTCACATGAGCCCGCGGTAACTGGGATTCAGCGAGGCGTGAAATGATTTTGAGTCATTGAAAGGAGCAAAAACTTGAAGCGCAAAAGTTACGAACCTTTCTTAAGCGTCATTAGTCATTTTACTTGTAATTTTCAAATCAGGCAAAATAATTTGTTTTCTTTTTTAAAGATTTTGTGAATTTGCAAAGTCAGAGCATAGAAAAATTGCTCAAATAAGTTTTTGTTGTGAAGTATTCAATCTTTTCCATTTGCACAAATGTTTTAACGCCTCGCTGAATCCCGGCTACCCGGGCTCATGTGAACAGTCCCTTAATCCAAATGCCAACAGAAGTTGTCAGCATCAGTAGAGTTCGTAATCCGTTTATTTTTTCCTGCTATGCTAATCTTGTATTCAATCACCGTATGAACAATAAATTTTTAAAGATGTGAATGTGATAATGTCGCGTGATATAATGACGTTTGTTCAAATGAAAAATGAACCCGGAGGATTTTTGAGATCTATTTATAACTTGATTAATTATAAATCTAAATGAATTCATTCAACACAAACGCCTTTCTCAACTGCGCTAGCATTCGCGTCGACTAACATGACGTAACAACGACAACATAATCATGATGCAAGCTTATAACGACTATAATAAATATGAAAACTTTACAAATGGTTTTAATACTGTTACACGTTGCTATGCATTGTATTTTTGCATTAACCTTGCGAACGCACGGTCTCAACATTAAAGTACTTTGTATGAATGAGTTAAACGTGTCTTTGTGTGTAGATATTAAAACGCTGTGGGTATAATTTCATACTGTGATCTTTATTAGCAATGACACGAACATCTAACCTGAACCACTCGATGTTTTATTGGAATCCACATCAACTGCAGTTATAGTTTGTTGTATCAAAAAGAAGACGATACTTAGCACTATGATGCTGTACATTTTTGGAAACCTTTCAACCATTTTCGAGTATCGAAACTACGTCGTCTTTCCTTTTTTTTGTTCCTTTCTTTTGTTGAAAAACAGCGTAGCGGGACACCTTTATAAAGAAAGGAAAAAGCTGTGGATAACTCGGTTAAATTTATTAGAACGTCTTTGTTTTCCTTGTTCCTTTTGAAGCATATGTATGGTACCGATTCTCTTAAGAACACTTTGAGAATTCCTGTCATATCTTGTTCAAATTACACCAACGACATTTTTGAAAGTATTACCTTTTTAAAACCTTTGCCTTCTCTTTTGTGTACGATTAAAAAATAATGCGTAGAACGCTCTCTGCCTTTGTACCAAGTATCCTTGTGAGGCGCGCGCTTGTTGCAAATATACCGGTTGAACCCTTTGCGCACTTTATGCTAATGACCTTCGTATGTAACCTTGAGACAGTGTATTTGCAATGTAAACCACATTATGTCAACATAGGGGAGATTCTAGACAGTACATCAGAATTTTTGAAAAACAAGATGGAATGATTTGCTTCGTCAATTACGATGATTGATGTCGACAATAAAAACCTTATATCTATTTTGTTAATAAATTTTTATTAACTGTTGAAATGTTTTATCATAAAACGAAGGCAGTCAATGCTGGAAATCAATGAATAACTTGGCTTGATTGTTTATTTGACGTATTTGCGACTAAATACCTTTTTTCTTTGATTTACCGTCGCATTAATCTAATTGATATTTGAGATTTCTGACATTTTCGAATGATTTCCGATGGTTTACCGATTGTTTTCGGATGGGCACCGATTGTTGTCCGATGGTGTATCGATTGTTTTCGATGGGTTACCGATCGTTGTCCGATGGTGTACCGATTGTTTTCCGATGGTGTACCGATTGTTTTCCGATAGTTTACCGGTTGTTTTCCGATGGGTTATCTTTCATATCAACGACAATAACACCAGTTTGAAGTTTTTCCTTTTTATTTTTCATTTATTGGATGATTGAATGATTTAAATTATTTTACAAATGACGTTTTAAAGTACGATATTTTTAATTTTGACACTAGAAATAAATAAGTGAAAAGAATTTGGAAAAGCTAACTACGAAATACAATGCTTTCATTAAATACACAACTTTCTTCATTCTTTAACCCAGTTGCTCTATAAACTATCATTCTTCAACTGTTGAACACGTCTTTTTTATACCATATTTTGATAAATAAAACTCCCTAAGCTATAAACAAGTTCCCGAGCACCGTAGCCTTTGATGAAATTCATAAATTCTTTCCAGAAATTGTTATTATTCGAAAGCGAGCCTAAATTATTAAATAACTGGTCATTTGACACTCAATTAAACCTAGGTTAAGTAAAAAGCTAATTATTCAATAACAGAGCACAGTTAAAAACTTATAAAAAAGGATCTTCGCAGATGGTTTCGCTGTTTCTTGTTTGTTTTTCTCGCTTGAAAAACACATCGTGTTCTACAGCATTTACTTGGCAAACATGTAAAACTTGAATAATTTCATTTTAGTATAGTTTGATGGTGGGGTTTTTTGAACATGACTTTTTTATCCCTTTTCATCTGTTTGACTACACATATATATGTGCTGAACTTTGACAATGATGTCCGTGAACTTTCCTTCGTATTAACTGTCGATTTTATGACCAATACAAGGGTTCAATGCCAGCACTAAATATGTCCATATTTGTTTGTCAACTTTAAATTAACTTTATTGCGTATTGCGAAAAAGCCTTCCCACAAGGCTCTCTAACGTTGTGCAGTTCAGGAGTCTGGACTCGAATTTAAGTATTTGTCGATCCATTTACGGAATTTGCTAACTTGGGCAAAGACGGTAAAACGCTGTTTCGACGAGCAGATAGGCGATCCCCAGCTGATCACACCTTGTACCTCCCAGTATCCCTGAGTATTTCTACATACGTAAGGACCACCACTATCCCCCTGACAGGCGCTTGCTCCTGTCTGATCATCACCACCACATATCATATGTTTCGTAATTTTACGATTGGATCCTCCTGCAATTAAAAGAAACTTTTGCTTGAGTTCAGGTGAATGGACTGAAGTTAAGGTTAAGAAGGATAGACTAACGTTAAAGTTAAGGTGGATGGACTGGAGTTAAGCTTAAGAAGGATAGACTAACGTTAAAGTTAAGGTGGATAGACTGAAGTTAAGGTTAAGAAGGATAGACTAACGTTAAAGTTAAGGTGGATGGACTGAAGTTAAGGTTAAGAAGGATAGACTAACGTTAAAGTTAAGGTGGATGGACTGAAGTTAAGCTTAAGAAGGATAGACTAGCGTTAAAGTTAAGGTGGATGGACTGAAGTTAAGGTTAAGAAGGATAGACTAACATTAAGGTTAAGGTGGATGGACTGAAGTTAAGGTTAAGAAGGATAGACTAACGTTAAAGTTAAGGCGGATGGACTGAAGTTAAGCTTAAGAAGGATAGACTAACGTTAAGGTTAAGGTGGATGGACTGAAGTTAAGCTTAAGAAGGATAGACTAACGTTAAAGTTAAGGTGGATGGACTGAAGTTAAGGTTAAGAAGGATAGACTAACGTTAAAGTTAAGGTGGATGGACTGAAGTTAAGCTTAGAAGGATAGACTAACGTTAAAGTTAAGGTGGATGGACTGAAGTTAAGGTTAAGAAGGATAGACTAACGTTAAGGTTAAGGTGGATGGACTGAAGTTAAGGTTAAGAAGGATAGACTAACGTTAAAGTTAAGGCGGATGGACTGAAGTTAAGCTTAAGAAGGATAGACTAACGTTAAGGTTAAGGTGGATGGACTGAAGTTAAGCTTAAGAAGGATAGACTAACGTTAAAGTTAAGGTGGATGGACTGAAGTTAAGGTTAAGAAGGATAGACTAACGTTAAAGTTAAGGTGGATGGACTGAAGTTAAGGTTAAGAAGGATAGACTAACGTTAAGGTTAAGGTGGATGGACTGAAGTTAAGGTTAAGAAGGATAGACTAACGTTAAGGTTAAGAAGGATAGACTAACGTTAAAGTTAAGGTGGATGGACTGAAGTTAAGGTTAAGAAGGATAGACTAACGTTAAGGTTAAGGTGGATGGACTAAAGTTAAGGTTAAGAGGGATAGACTAACGTTAAAGTTAAGGTGGATGGACTGAAGTTAAGCTTAAGAAGGATAGACTAACGTTAAAGTTAAGGCGGATGGACTGAAGTTAAAGTTAACAACGATAAAGTAAGGTTAAGGTGGATGGACTGAAGTTAAGGTTAAGAAGGATAGACTAACGTTAAAGTTAAGGTGGATGGACTGAAGTTAAAGTGAATTTCTTGCCAAGAAAGTTGGATAAAAATTTATTTATTTTGAATTATTGAATGAAAAGGGAGTAAAATTCCTAAATAATGTCTGTACCTGGTGACTTTGCCAATCTCACGGCACATTTTCTTCTATCGGCTGGTGGTATTTCAACTTGTCTCAACATCTGCGACATATATCCTCTGTGTTTTATTTTACCCCAACCTGAAGACAGAGATATAATCTGTGAGGAACAATACAGTTTAAACGAGACATTTCATTTAGAGAAAATATTTTGAGTCATGTATTGTTTTGTATTTTCCACGGATCATTTAATGTTTTTACCCTGTTACAATCACCACAATCAACATAAACAATTGTTTGAATAACAGAAATAAACTAACCACAGCATGAAGAAGATCATTGTTCACTTATTTCTTATATCAAGGGTGTTAATATTTGGTAGAAAAGATGCTGTTTATACAATTTATTTGGTCTATATCAACCTTCATATTCTTTCTACACGTCGTCTTATATTTGTCGGGTGTTGAACATTTCTTACACCAAACTCAACACAAGTATATCTTACCTGTTATATAACATCTGGTATTGGGATCACCAATTGGAACCTCATAATTAACTTCCGGTAGACACGCCACGCCCACTCTTTTGTTCAACTTTGCTGGTTTCTCTAACTCCAATAATGCGATATCGTTGTTCAGCGGATACGGCGAAAAGTACAGCGGATGACGTATGACCCTTTTTACCAGTATATCTTGTTCGTGTGTTTCGTTTATCATGCGGTCAAAGTCTCCCAGACGAATGGTATAATAATGCTTTTTCCTGTTGCAGTAAATAGCTATGGTTAATGACTCTGGAATAGGTGCTCTTAATGCTACGTTTTTGCATTGTGCGAATACAATGGGCAGCGGTTAACACCCATTTCGGAATAACAATGACGTGCTCTTAATGTTACGTATTTACCTGCTGCGAATACAATGGGCAGCGGTTAACACCCATTTCGGAATAAAATTGAGGTGCTCTTAATGTTACGTATTTACCTGCTGCGAATACAATGGGCAGCGGTTAACACCCATTTCGGAATAAAATTGAGGTGCTCTTAATGTTACGTATTTACCTGCTGCGAATACAATGGGCAGCGGTTAACACCATTTCGGAATAAAATTGAGGTACTCTTAATGTTACGTATTTACCTGCTGCGAATACAATGGGCAGCGGTTAACACCCATTTCGGAATAAAATTGACGTGCTCTTAATGTTACGTATTTACCTGCTGCGAATACAATGGGCAGCGGTTAACACCCATTTCGGGTGAATAAGTGTACCACCACATATAAATCGTTTGTTGGTGTAGCCCTTTAACATCAAAGCTTGCCAAGGCCATTTTCCGGGGACGCTTATTCTTCCTTCAACAACTCTTGCTCTTACTTGTATTGATTTTGATATTCCGCATTTCGGCTTGGAGGTGACTTCTTCTTCAGCCATTAACACTGAAAATGGAGAATTGAGGATCTTTAGTTCTAGAAATGAGTGCAGCGAGTTTTTTTGGATTTCAGTATGTAAGAGTTACATATAGAGCTGTAAGTTCCCATACAAGACTCACATCTTACCACCTTAAATCACAGAAACCTGTCAAATGGTTACTATGCTACTGTCGTACTTCGTAATCACTTTATAAAATAAACACAACGAAACGCGTGCGCTGATTGGTCTAGAGCCGTGTTTGCATTAGCCAGTGCAAAACAGTCTGAGCTCGACCAATCAAAACAATTAATTAGTCAACGACAATTTGCAAATCGATCACGAATACATTTTAGCGAGAAAATTTAAACGTTTGTTTTAAAAAGAAAGAAAAGATGTTTTTCGTGTTTGCACTGGCTTTGCAAACCTTGGAGACGTTTGTGAGAACTCTCGAGCATGTGCAACACTCGACCTTCGGTCTGGGGTTTGCACTGATCTGCTCTCGAGTTCTTCCAAAGGTCTCCTCGTTTTGCATAAGCTTGTGCAAACACAGTAAACATCTTTTATTTCTTAAGTAGTTAGTCCCCTGTTACCAAACCGGCCGCCCTGGCTGAAAACTAGAAATTTAATAAAATTTTAGTTGTTATGTCGTCTTTTTTCACAATTAATGTCGATTTTGCCCCCCGTATCCTTTGGCGAGCTACGGCCAGCATTTTGCAATTTTGACTTTGAGATCGTTTCAAAAATGTCAACGTAGCGGTTTCAAAATTTCTGTGTTGAAAATATCGTCCTTAAATCAAAAGCAAAACACAAAATTTAATAAAAAACATCGCACAATGATACAATTAAAATAAAAATAGGTTGTCGACAGCGCTTAAAACATTCGTAAAAATTGGCAATCATGGATGAAAGTTTGCAAAAGGTAGAAACACAGTTTGTCTAGGATTATTAGCGTTAGATTTTAAGCAACTTTATTGACAAATTCACTAACCGTTGTTTGAGCGTTCTACGCCATGAATGCACGTGTAAACCACGTGAAGATATTTGATTACACCGGGACAAGCATCTTCAAATCTTCCTTCCTTCGCATCAATATGGCAAACTCTTTTTCCATCACAGATTTCTTTCACTTTCGCCGTTGTCGAAGACTTTGTTGTACAATTTTTTACATTACCATGACCACACAAAATTGATGTTTTCTTCCGTAGTCTGCTTGAGTTATGTTCAAAATCCATCCATGTGGACAATGTAAGTTCTTATTCTGATTTGGACATAAAACTTGTCCGTGGAGTCTTTGTGAGTCTGTTTCTGTTGTGACTTGCGATGTCTTAACAAGTGATGAAATTTTCTCCACGACCTCATAGGGAGCTCCTGTTTATAACATTTTCACAGAAATTATTTTTAGTTTCTAAGATATTCGTGTTCTCTGTTTCCTAAGATGTTCATAATTCATTTCAAGTTCTCTGTTGTTTATAACGCAAATTTTGTCTACTTCATGGAAGGAAGATAGAAAACATTATTCTGTTGATGGAAATACTTCATGTAAGGAAGATAAAAACATCAATCTGTTGATGGAAATCGTCATGTTTAATGATGTTTGTAGACAGATATGATCTAACACAAGGTCATGTGGAAGCAGCAAAGCTGATAAGTGTTTACTTCCGCTTTCAATATCTTTTGCCGCATCTTAGGCGCAATTTTCTTACCGGAATAAGAAACTAATAAAATACCAAATCATACGAACTGCGAAAGTTCACAGGATTGAAATAAAATTTATTTATTTTATTTCATAATTACTATTTCTGCTTTGGGGTCTTATGAAACAAAACATTGTCATGTTTTCACGAACACTTGACGATACTGAGCATGCGTGCGCGACAACTATTACTTTTCTGTAATTCTAAATTCTACCACATCCGTTAGAGTGAGTCGTTTTTATCATCACTATGTTTTTGCCTAACGTCATTTTTTGTAAAAGCAATTTTTCCCAAATTAGCCATGTCCTTTTCTCTCTGAAGTCACAATTTAAATAACAGTTTTAATATTTCGCAGTCAAAGTTCATGAATCATGATAAGGTAGTTTTTGTGATTGTTTAACATTTCTCAATGATGATATTTTGTCAGAATAATAAACTACGCTTTAGGGTATCTTCCGTTCTTCAATCCGTTTTACAAACATCTTGGATTGTTTAAAATATGTTTTGTAAAAAAAAGTTGAACGTTTACAGCTGTTTTTACTCTTCAATTGGTAATATTTATGCTTCAAACAAAACTGGTGGGATAGGTCGTTAGAAACAGCGTTTTTATAATTGGTTTTCACCTAATTATCTTAAAAAAGATACATATTTTAACGGGTACCAGATGCTAACTTTTCGTAATTGTCAAACGCAGTTTAAGCACACAATATTAAGACGATAAACGCGTCATAAATATTAGTTTTTATAGCTTTAAAGAAGATGTAGCTATTGATATATTTGTAAAATATTGATGTAGAGAATCGAGGTACTTTTCAACACACATTCGTTTGACAGATACGGGAACGTGTTGGCATTTTACGCATCGTATGCTAATTTTGCGCATTTAGAAATTGCTCGTCCATTGTCATGTGATCTTCGCATTTGTTCTCGAAGACGAATTTAATCTGTTAAGTGTCTTTGCGTATTGTGGGAATATTTGGCTCTTGGCTTCAAAAAGGTCGCATAAAGAGAATCGAAGGTCAACAACAGCTTATTTTTTTTCAATGTCCGAGTAAAATAAAAAATAATCTACATCGGACAAAATGCGCATAAAATTACTACTGCTGGTTCAAACACCCTCCGTAATGCAAGTCGAATTTATATAATTACTGGGGTGAATAATTTTTTACCTTTTACTGAGCAAAAATGCATAGCGACGCATGTGATGATTAATTTGATTGGCGAAACAGCAATCTTCAAGCACATCCTTGTGGTATGTTGTACAAGATCAATACTTTATATGTTTGTACAATGGCTTTGGAAACCGTTATCGAACACTTCTTCCAATGAATTTCCAACTTCTTGCTGTTCCTGTAACCGCTCCGTTCGCCTTTGTGATGCTGTGTGCTTTGCATCAACTAATGATCCTTTTATTCTATCGTTCAAGTTTGACGATTTCCTCCGCAAAAAAAAACAAAATCAGTTTGGTTTGTTTATTTTAGCATACCCGCTGTTAAAACTCTGTTGCCGGCTTCCACTATAAATTTAGTGACTCACTCAAAAATATAGCTGCAACTTCTATTTTTGATAACCAAATGTTTTTTACGATCGTACGCTGTGCATTATACGGAATGAATACAGCGATCTCTCAATTGATCTTTTAAAGTCGCTCATACTGTATTGACGGAAAGAAACATTATAGCATGTATAAAGTGTTGACAACTTTAGCGAGGGATGTTGAAGGTCAGACGTGGCGGGAAGTACTTGTGAAACGGTGTTAAACAATCTTGCAGCAAAACAATGCCTGACAATGAAAAATAATACGACGTCAATTCCTTTTTGACGTAAATCAACTGGAAATACACCCAATGTACCTTTAACGTAGGAAATGTAATTTAATCAAATTCAAAGGACGCATGCATGCAGTTTCATTTTTCTGTATTCTTTTCGTGGTGTATTAAAAATTTCAACGCTGTAAAATGAGAAATCAATAAGAAATCGCCAATTAAATATTTGGCAACTTTTCCCTGAAACGTGATCGCATGTGCCATTTATAGTTTTTTTACTCAGGCGATAAAATTTCTAATTAAATTTATAAATCATTTTGATGAATAACCCTTTGATACTGACACATAAAATCACCCTTTGTCCTTTGTTTCGAAACCAATTGTTAAACTTGAAAAAAAAAACCTTGGCGCCATCTGGGAATCATTGTAATGTTTTTTTTCTGTTGAAGTTTTCATTACGATATCATTGCATAAAGCAAACATGCTTTCTTATATTTGACAATATAGAACCCGTAAAAGAAATTAGCATAAAACGCGCTTTCCCGCGCAAAATCAAAATGTTTATGATTGTTAGGATCATTAGAGGATAGCATTTCAATGCATTTCAATGCGAATGAAAACATATCGCATCTTATAACACCTTAAAACTTTCAGTCAACGTGAAAACGATGTTTAATTTTAAGTCTTGTGAGTGATTGATGCGTTGAATGTAAAAAAAATGAATGTTAACCGGAATACATTTACACCGCTGTTAAATTTATATCAGTTCGTTTTGCTTGTCTCAAAGCAGAGCTGTAGTACTATCGACATTGCGGAGCGGAGGCTGTTTCATATTCATATATGCATGTTATAAACCGATATCTTTGAAAGAACTAAACATGGCATTGCTGAACACAAAACAGTTATTTTTAACTCGTAATATTCAAATGATAAGATTTGTTTCCATTCAATAGTAATACTGAATTGTTTTAATTTAACTGACGTCATTGTGCTGACAATGTAGTGAATATTTATAGTTTGTAAGGGCAAGTCTTTTTTAATACGTAAGATGTGCCGAGTACCGTTCCTTTGTACGGAAATGACTCTAAATTACGTTAAAGAAATGATAATTTAACCATCAAGTTATAACGTCATCAATGGGAACGATAGTTATCTTGTTTTTCATGTCCGCGTTTTTCAAATATTTTTAAGTGTTTTCAAGTTAACCAAACTGATTCCCTACTGTCACTGTTCTTGCGTTGACGTTTGTATTTCAGAGTATTTTAAGACTATCCAAACAAACATATTGTTGACCATGTATGTGCTAGAAAAATCTCTTTGTTGAATGCCAGTGTTTTCTATTTAACCAAACTGATTCCCTGCCGTTGTTAATATCAATGTTTAAGTGATCGTGTGTTTGTGTCAGTATTTTCTAGTTAACCTAACCGATTCCCTCTTGTTGTTCATATTAGTGTTTATGCTGATATTTTACAGTCAACTAAACAAACGTGTCACATACAATATTTCGACATACTATACTCTGGGGCAGCAAAAAGATCTTTAGAAATTGGTCAATTTCAATGCGTGATCTCTTTGCTAATTCCGTGAGTACAATATTGTGCAGGTTTTGCCGTTAGCAGTTATTGATGTTTAATTCTCGGGAACAGAAAAGCTTGCGTTCTAGTAACAAAGATATGTAATACACACAAGCACGGAGCTGAAAAGATTTGAAGCAACGACGGTATGATCGTAATGAAGACATTGATAATGCAGCAATAGGTCTATTTCAAAAGGTCTTTTTGTTCACGCAGTCATTATAGTTTTGTACTTATCTCAGTTTGTCAGAAATTTTTTAGACAAATCTCCACTGTTAGTTAGGAAGCACGTTTCACTCGCAAGTTTCCCCCTGATAATGTTAATTAAGTTAATTATTCGTGCATCACTCACGGGAAACGAGTCAAGGAAATAAGATATTAACAGGAAAGACTTGCCTTTGTGAAAGATTCACGCTGTTAGAAAACGCGTCAGTGTAAAAACGTCATACTTTTGTGATGAAAATTGATGAAACGAAACATGTACAATTGTATTTTTTGTAAATATCTCGTGTGCAAAAGCAATTTAAACATACATACAACATTCGTGTTTCTATTAAAGTTTTACTGTAAATCAACAATATGACAGTCTTCATTTACACAAGTAAATTGCTAGCGACGGCGTTCTCTACTACGGCTGCGCCCGCGATCACGACTAGAACTACGCCTGCGATCACGACTATGACTGCGCCTGCGGTCACGACTACGACTACGCCTGCGGTCACGACTACGACTGCGCCTGCGATCCCTACAAAAGCAATAAGAAGCACAACAAATAGAGTTGTCATGTAAAACTTGATGAAATGAGTATGTCAGGTACCAACCTCCTTGAGCGATCACGGTCTTTACGATCGTCACTATCTCGGTATCTTTCGCGATCGCGTCGGTAATCTCTGACAATAAAACAGCAAATCATTAAAACAGAAAGGAATTTGTCCTTTTTCTTTTATTTTCAAAGATATTCACTCACCTTTCGCCATTTCGTTCTTTTTGTCGTTTGTCTTCTTTATTTCGTTCATCTCTTCTTTTTGCTCGTTCCAGCTCTCTCTCTTCACGTTTCCTAGCAACAGCATCCTGTATAAAAGCACACAGAAAAGAGGTTTCAAACAACTTTAAGAGTTCACAGTAAGACATAATCCTTATTTCTATAAAAAACCTCGAGTTCTTTAATTCTTTCGCGAATCTTTATGAAACCCATATGAAGTTTCCCGCCAAAATGATCTGCTAATCTACAATCAAATTATTTTAAACTAATATCTTCAACTTTACAGCATACTGCTTACACTCTCAAAGGTATGTTTGATACTGGTTGCTAAATCTGTAACAATATAAACGGAATGCAAAACTAAATGTAATCCTATGAAGCCTGACACGGAGTTTTCTCTTGAATAGACATACTATAAACTCAGTTGGTGATTGGCCTCAAAAATTAGTGGAAAAAGCTTTGTACAAATCGTTTAAACGCTTTCACAACTCAAACTCCGTCGGTTTGAATTGCTAATAAAATGTTCTACGACTGCATATATCACGTGATTTTACCTACGATCGTTGTCATAGAGACTAAGATGTGCTGCATATATCACGTGATCTTACCTACGATCGTTGTCATAGAGACTAAGATATGCCGCACAAACTTCACAGACTCTGAGTTTTTGTTGTTGAAGAGAGGAGGATGGCAGTGTGTTTCGATACACATCCTTTCATGATGGAAAAAATAATTCTTTGGTTTCCAAAACAATACATAAATCTCATGAGTTATCTAAATATATAACTGATGTCACCTCGGCGATCCTTTTTTGTTCCTTAAGTTCATCAACTTCGTTCATAGCTTTCAAAGATTCGTCAACATTTCCTTCAGCACCTGTATAAGCAGGGTAATATTTACTATAATAATCCACCACTTAAGAAATAAAAGATGTTTGTGGTGTTTGCACGGACAAACTGAGGAGATCTTTGGGAGAACTTGAGAGCAGATCAGTGCAAGTCTGAGATCGAAGGATAAGGGTTGCACCTGCCTGAGAGCTCTCAAACATCTCCGAGGTTTGCATACGCCTTTGCAAACTTGAAGAACAAATTTGATTTCTTCCAAAAGATGATAACAATGCGAAAAGGTAAATATAAAATAAACGTTTAATTTTTCCTTTAACATGTATTCATGATTCAAGTCTCTTTAATTTATTGATTTAATTGATTGAGCTCAGATTGGTTTGCACAGGCTAATGGAAACAAAGCTATTGACCAATTAGCACAGAAATTTTATTGTTTTTATTTTATATTTTGTAATGCAAGACATCACACAGACCTAAAGCTTCTGCTTCAGCCAATTTTTTCCCAATTTTTTCTCCTAAAGCATGTACAGCCTGCGCCTAAAGAATAATATTTGAATTCAGTTCTTTTTTTCACAAGTAATTGTCTATTACAGGTCAATTTCTATGAATGGCAGTCAGTGCTCATACTTCATGTATGCATGAATAATCAACACCAAGCAAACTTTATTCATATTACACCAAGTAACATATAGCACAGCTTGGGTCTAACCTCAGGTGTGTTGCCAAAATCATCTTGTGTCTCAGACAGACGTTTCTTGGCATGAACAATCTTTCTGTCGCATTCTTTTATAAATGCCTGAAGATGCTCCATTTGCTATGTTTGTAGACATAATACTACTAAGTTACAAAGTATATTACAATGTGCCCTCCCCGCTATCACCATAGCGCAATGGTGATTGTGCACTTATAATACAGGACCAACGGTAAGATTACTAAGTTATTTATGAATCACAGACATGGCTAAATTATAGTTTAACTTAAATCACCTACATCAAGTTCATAACCGTAATTTCTTGTTTTTGATGCTGCTTCATAATCAGCTTTCAGGGCAGCTGAATGGACCTTCTTACAATCACCAATATCCATTTTCTAATTACGGTAATTTAAAGATTATTGTCATCATTCCTGCACGGGACTCAAATTTTCTTCAACACATTTTATTAATACGTGGATTGTTCATTCTTACTGTATTGTTAAACAAAGCATGAGGACAAAGACCCATGATGAAACTCTTACAAACTTTTTCATCTGAAAATTTGATGTCATCTGCGGGAGGCTCACCTAATTGGAAAACCAACAAACGTAAGAAGACAATGAACCACTTTAAAGGTAAATACGTGACTGCACATAAGAGCATGTTCAGATCATGAAAGTGATAGCTCAAGAATAAGTAGTTGTTGCAATCTCTGAGCATCATTAACATCATTTCTGCAAATAAGAAACTCACCCATAGAACTTTTATAGAACTACACGTCTTCTTCAACATATGTTAAACACCTTAACCAGTTGTTGTACTACAGTGTATTTTTTCAAAGCCGTATGTAGAAAATGCAATATGATAACAAACAAACGTCGGTGATAACATATAATGATAAATGCTACTTACATACACCTACTTACGCGTCCTGTAGCGTCAATGAGAAATACAACATAGTTTTACAATCAAGTGGACATTTCTGTATTTCTTCATAAAAGCATCAAACATTACACATTAAAAAATGCCTCGTGATAAATGAGAACATGCTTCATCATTCTTAGCTCTTAGAAAGATCTACGATCACCGTATTTGAAGACTTCCAAAGAAGAGGCGATGATTGAGAAAAAAAATTTCCATATTATTCATAAGGCGTTTTCTGTAACTTACCATCGCGGCTAGTTCCCATCAGCTCATCCAAGATTTTCCTCATCTGTTCTTGGGCTGTCATTTTGCTAATGGGAGCGATAAAATTTGACAAAAATTCAGTTAAAAACACAAAATTATTTGTTCTTTGGCAGTTCTTCGATACGAACAATCGAAAAGGTAAAAAACAGCCGCTCAATTAAACTCCGTGTCATGTTCGGAATGGTCCGTGACCACCCGTAGAAATATACATACAATAAAATATGAAATAAATAGACTTTTTCCACCAAAATTGGCCATATCTACTGCTATGTTGATCTTTTTTAGCGTGATTTCTCCATAAATTTTTTGAAATTATTAGTTTTTAATCATTCATAGTTACAGTAACGAGAAAAAAAGAAATTTTTTCACTGTGTCCTAAATTATTCCGATTATTTTCCGGACAATTGCGTATTCATGGTGTTTGTTTTTCATCAATCCTTAATACAAAGAATTTAGAAAATAATTATATATATAACTTGTCAGTGACTACGGAATTTTGATGCGTAAAAAAGGAATTGACAAATTTCGTCAGATTTCCTAAACATGGCGACTTAAGGTAGGTAAACTTCCTAAGGTTGGCGAAGTTTTTTGTTCCTTTCCCTCGAAATGGACGGACAGGAAAGGTTATCCAACACTGAAAGCTGGGAGGAAGAATGTGAAGATGCTGCCGAGCGCGAATTAAACGCTTTGGAAGAAAAACTAGCAGCGGAAAGGGAAGAGAACTCGCAAAGAATTTGGCTGTCGTTTCAAAACGCGGCGAACGCAGTGGCTCAGTTGTTCAGAGGTGAATCTGTCCGTGGAACTGAACTTTTACGCTCTTACTTCTTTTATGCGGATTTTAAAAAAGATTTATTTAGTTTTTTGATTCGTTTATGTGAGTTTTGATTAGATATTGATCATTTTAGAGCGGGGAGAAAATTTGAACGGATCGACACTTTGGACACCATTTCAAGAAACAGCAAATTTGGTCACGATACTTTACAAAGGTAAATGATTTCTTTAAACGATGAACTCTTTCCTGTAGTGGAAGCAAAATGAAAGAAACAGACAAATGTTGATAGTTTTTTTGTCCAACGTTGGCCATACAATATTTGGTGAAATAGACATGTACATTTGACGATTTTGCATTAAATTATAAATCGTGATCAGGACTGGACAGATTTTGTATGATTTCTCAGATTTGTATCAATCTTCCTTCATTTTCATTTATTTTCTGTGTGTTTAATGGATTATTTTCTCATTCAGATGACTTTCATAAACACTGTTATGGATGTTTAAAATCAACAACATGTTGACTGGTAAGCAAATTTCTTTTTGTATTCAACAGAGGGAATCGATACCAGCAAAAGACATTTTGATGCTGGTTACCAACTAGGACATAAAAAGAGAAATCGCGAAGTTATTGCTTGGGCGAAGAAGAAAAAAAGGTCGATTAGACGAGATGAACTTTTGTCATATCTTAGTGGAAAATCGCCTCCCCGTTACCAGAGGGCCGACTCAATTGATGGGAAATCATCTGAGGATATGCAATGTCCTAATTCCTTATTGCAACCTGTTATATCTAATGTAGGATTTACTGGTTGGAGTAAAAGACGAGGGTCTCGAATGGATGGTTTTGACGACGAGTTGGATGATAGAGAAATATTACGTGAATCACGTAAAAGGTCCCTTAGCAACCAGGATGTTGTTATGGAAGCAACAATGCACAAAAAATGTAAATTTTTCTAGCAATTTAATGTGATGTTTTATGGATGTATTATTGTTATCATAAAGGCATAACTGAGAAAGAATTAGTGAAATGTATTATAAAATATAATCTAGTACTTTTCAACAACTTAGGCAGATAGTAGTCATGTAAATTTGCAGTACGAACGGCTCGTTTATTTTGTGTGCAAAGTGAAATTGAAGTCTGTCATGCTCTTTCATAGTTCTGTTGTGTTTTTCGAAAGTAAGGTTTGTATCAATGAGATAATAAATGATTTTATATAATAAAATTTTGATGATTTCAAGCAACATGTTTTGGTTTTCTCGCGAGAAAGGTAGCCACTGTTTTGGGAGTTTCAACATGTGTTATGTTTATGTAACAAATGTGAGTATTTACTCTACAACAACAGTCCCTCCAATTGCTTCCAATTGTTTCTTAAGTTTATCAGCATCTTCTTTGCTAATGTTTTCTTTCACAACTTGAGGTACGCCTTCAACAAATTTCTTTGCCTAAAATTTGATAAACACGATAATCAAAATCTGCAAGAGTTATTTTTTAGCAAATTTTATGTAAAGTGTACCTCAACAAGATTAAGACCCTCAACAATATTTTTTATTTCTTTTATTAGTTTAACTTTTCCATCAGCACTAAATGCAGTAAGTTTAACAGTGAACTCAGTTTGTTCTTCTTGCTCTTCGGCAGCCTCAATCTACATAAAGAGACAATCCATCAAAGCACTATGCAAATTGAAATTTATTTTTATCACTATTTTCTTCAACAAAGAATACCTTATCAGCTGATGGAGCCATCGACGTAGCACCCATTGCCATCATTGGTGCATCTGGGATCTTCAATTTGACCTGAAAAGTTTTTATTTTTCATCACTTTACATGTAGGAGAATGAAGACACAGAATAAAACAAACGACATTTGGAAGTAGAGCAGCTTCATGTTTTTTCCCTCCATTCCCTGGCATTTAAACTGTGTGTGCCACGATAAGAAGAAATTGACAAGCAAACACACACTTAATAACTTTCCAAAAATTTTCATGCATAATCATCCACCAGGGAGAAGTGTTGTATCTTACTCGGTAGACTTACTAAGAACATGCTGACTGATAATTTCCATTATGCAATAGCTGTTCCTTTGTTTTACACTGTGATGAAGAGCTAAGGGGGGGTGTCTGAGGAAAGGCAAGGGGCAAAACATTGCTAAAATATCATTGGCTGGCAACAGGTCACTTAGCTTAAGTGACCATTTATAATTTGTGGTTTAACCATCAAGTGGTAAACCTGGCTTACAAATTTGAGTGCCAACATTCACAAATGCATGTCTACTAAATTCTGTAGAAATCAAAAGTTTTCAACAAATTACAACATGCCTATATTGGTGGTTTCATTATAAGTCAAAACCACCATTTTGGTTGTATTTAACAATGAATTTTTTGTTTACAATTCAAATTTCAATCAACATGGCGAATATCTCTTTGTTCTTTGGCTTCTTGGGAATGGTAGCTATCCACCTTTATACGAGTAACGCCACCCACCCACCCCTCCCTCCCGGGCAATTATGAACGGCTTTAAATCTAGCTACGTCACAGCAGCTACCTTTAAAAGTTCGTTAAGTTCAGCTGTTTCAACAAGGGTCAATTGTGAAATCTGTTCAACAATGTTGACGATGTGTGGTGGGTAGTGCTTTTCGTTCTCGCCTTCATTATATTCAACCTCCTTTTGTATTTGAATGGCGCTGAGATTTCGCGAAGGAAGATAAGCGGCAAACAGATTTTTGGAGATTCTTAAGAGTGTATAGAAGTAATTAGCGTTTTACAGTAAAAAAATTCTTTAAAAAAGAGAAAAATTGCAGCTGTTACCTGGAAATATTCACTCTACGTATGGCTGCCATCTTGAAATCGTAATCTCGTCAGCATTACTTTTTCTCTCCCCCCCTTATACGATTCATAATAAATATTATAATCAGGGGGGGAATACTATAAATGTTCGTTTGTAATTAATGGTCATTAACAAGGAAACATGACTATCATCACCTCGTGATTTTTATAGCTCTTGTGTGGTTCTGTTCCTTGTATTGTCTTACTTCCCTGAAGGAGTGTAAGCAACTGTATGATTACTATGGTTTCTCATGTCTGTTAATAATGACAGAATGCTAAACGACATGACTAGCGAAAAGACATCGTTATTACGTTCTGCAAGAGAGGTAAGTGGTGATTTTTGACTTTACAGTACCGTTGAAGATCACATTGTGTTCGGTCAGTTTACAATTATATGAATGAATATCTTACTTGTATTTTGTTTTTATTTAGCGTAAATGTAATAGACGTCTGTAGATGTTGATAGTGCAGGTTTTGAAGTCCGGAAAAGAAACTGTGGTGTTTGTTTTAAATGCAGTTTTGACAACCTTAACTGTCCTCATCTTCAGAGTTAAAATTAAAATAGTGCTTGGCTGATCATTGACACAAATTGTTTTATTCATCCTTCATTTACTGATAAACGTACACATTGACCAAGACCAAGCAATTATTGTTTTTTTAAAAGAAAATTCGACCATTTATTTAGGTTTCCTCATACTCAGGTTCATTGGGGTCATCAAATTTGAGCAATGCACGGCAAAGGATCAAGCCTGGCAGATTACAAACAGTATTTTCAAAATATGAGGTTTGAGACACGATGTGATGAATGACAACATGTATAGATTGAGCTATACCACTGATCTACATATACAATATACCTGTATTAACTTTCTTACTTGAACTTTGATTTTTCAGAGTCTTGATTATGAAGTGCCAGAAAATGAGCTGTACATCGAAGAGTATAGGGCTAGCACATCAAGTGTAATATAGCGATGATTATGTGCAAGATTTATAACACACAATGACATCTGGCTTAATTTTAATGTTATATTATTTAGCAACACATCTATATTGGTATGTCAAGATGGGTCGTTATGTTTCTTGTTGGAATCATGACAGCTCTTGTTGCTGTTTTTATTGATGTCTGTATCGAGGAGCTGTCTACTTTGAAGTATAACTATATATACCAATGTATCCTTGAGAAGATTTTTGTTTAAAAGGTGGAATTTTTTACTTCCATAAACCTTGTCAATTTCTATGCAAATGCCATCTATTAAGCTTGTATGTTGAACACTCAGTAAATGCAATTTATGCTGGTAAAGTGGATATGTACTTGTTAGATCTTGATTATACATGCAATATGCAATAGACTTTTTGTTGTATAGCTTTTAACTTTTATTTGTAGAAGAATTTCCAGTGAATTGGAAACTTTTGCCTGCAAGATATGATGGCATAAGCTCTTTTTTCATGTTGAAATCTTTAACTATGAACATTAAGATTTTACAAAATATATTGACCAAAGACAAAAGACCATAATCCCTTTTTTTCTTTGGATTGCTATTGATGTGCTTATGGTTGGTTTTGCATCAGTTCTAGTATCTTATTTTGAGGTGAGTTATATACAGTACCTCTCTCTTCCTTCATAGTTCTGTTATTCTTGTCCTCTACCGTGAAGTAGTGAGTTATATATAGTATCTCTCTCTTCCTTCACAGTTTTGCTATTCTTGCCCTCTACTGTGAAGTAGTGAGTTATATATAGTATTTCTCTCTTCCTTCATAGTTCTGCTATTCTTGTCCTCTACTGTGAAGTAGTGAGCTATATATAGTATTTCTCTCTTCCTTCATAGTTCTGCTATTCTTGTCCTCTACTGTGAAGTAGTGAGCTATATATAGTATTTCTCTCCTTCATAGTTCTGCTATTCTTGTCCTCTGTGAGTAGTGAGCTATATATAGCATCTCTCTCTTCCTTCATAGTTCTGCTATTCTTGTCCTCTACTGTGAGTAGTGAGCTATATATAGTATTTCTCTCTTCCTTCATAGTTCTGCTATTCTTGTCCTCTACTGTGAAGTAGTGAGCTATATATAGTATTTCTCTCTTCCTTCATAGTTCTGCTATTCTTGTCCTCTACTGTGAGTAGTGAGCTATATATAGTATTTCTCTCTTCCTTCATAGTTCTGCTATTCTTGTCCTCTACTGTGAAGTAGTGAGCTATATATAGTATTTCTCTCTTCCTTCATAGTTCTGCTATTCTTGTCCTCTACTGTGAGTAGTGAGTTATATATAGTATTTCTCTCTTCCTTCATAGTTCTGCTATTCTTGTCCTCTACTGTGAGTAGTGAGCTATATATAGTATTTCTCTCTTCCTTCATAGTTCTGCTATTCTTGTCCTCTACTGTGAAGTAGTGAGCTATATATAGTATCTCTCTCTTCCTTCATAGTTCTGCTATTCTTGTCCTCTACTGTGAAGTAGTGAGCTATATATAGTATTTCTCTCTTCCTTCATAGTTCTGCTATTCTTGTCCTCTACTGTGAAGTAGTGAGCTATATATAGTATTTCTCTCTTCTTTCATAGTTCTGCTATTCTTGTCCTCTACTGTGAAGTAGTGAGCTATATATAGTATTTCTCTCTTCCTTCATAGTTCTGCTATTCTTGTCCTCTACTGTGAAGTAGTGAGCTATATATAGTATTTCTCTCTTCCTTCATAGTTCTGCTATTCTTGTCCTCTACTGTGAGTAGTGAGCTATATATAGTATTTCTCTCTTCCTTCATAGTTTGCTATTCTTGTCCTCTACTGTGAAGTAGTGAGCTATATATAGTATTTCTCTCTTCCTTCATAGTTCTGCTATTCTTGTCCTCTACTGTGAAGTAGTGAGCTATATATAGTATTTCTCTCTTCCTTCATAGTTCTGCTATTCTTGTCCTCTACTGTGAAGTAGTGAGCTATATAGTATTTCTCTCTTCCTTCATAGTTCTGCTATTCTTGTCCTCTACTGTGAGTAGTGAGCTATATATAGTATCTCTCTCTTCCTTCATAGTTCTGCTATTCTTGTCCTCTACTGTGAAGTAGTGAGCTATATATAGTATCTCTCTCTTCCTTCATAGTTCTGCTATTCTTGTCCTCTACTGTGAAGTAGTGAGCTATATATAGTATCTCTCTCTTCCTTCATAGTTCTGCTATTCTTGTCCTCTACTGTGAAGTAGTGAGCTATATATAGTATCTCTCTTCCTTCATAGTTCTGCTATTCTTGTCCTCTACTGTGAAGTAGTGAGCTATATATAGTATCTCTCTCCTTCATAGTTCTGCTATTCTTGTCCTCTACTGTGAAGTAGTGAGCTATATATAGTATCTCTCTCTTCCTTCATAGTTTTGCTATTCTTGTCCTCTACTGTGAAGTAGTGAGCTATAAATAGTATTTCTCTCTTCTCTATAGTAATTTAAGATTATCACATGTTTTATATCAATACAAAACTTCCACAGAGTCTCATTCTCACTGATTATCTTCTTTTCTCTCTTCATAAAGACCTTAATAGTTCAAGACATTCATTAAAATCTTTTAAAATGACTGTGTTAATGACTTTTTCATTATTTTTGTGTAAATTATTTTAGCCTGTTGCAGCTGGTAGTGGTATACCTGTTATCAAATGCTTCCTAAATGGTGTAAAGATTCCTCATGTTGTTCGACTTAAGGTGAGCATCTACTTATGGACTTCTCTTTGGCGGCAAGGTGGGGGTTGCTGCCATGTCAAAAGTCATTCATCATTCTTCAACTTACTCATACTCCAAAGTCACCAGTTAATATCTTTCTTGCAGGGGGGTATTGGAGTTTACTTCTGGCCAGGGGGGTGGCTACAGAAGTCATTATCTTTCAACTTATACTCCAATACTCACAGCTCATTACTATAATGGACAAATTTAGCAAACACAAATTATCATCTAAGATGCTGTGAAAATGACGTGAAAATGGTGTGATATGCCCATGTAAGGATAAGGCCTCTTCATTTTTGCACCTTTTGCACAATGTCTTAAACCCTATGTGTTGTGTTTGCTAAATTTCTCTAATGTCTATGGGAGGGTGTGGGTGTGGCATTACCTTTGTGATAGGGGGTCAGCTGTGTGGAACTCATTATCTTTAGACACACTTGCACTCTTAAGTTTCTAGTCTTCATCTTTCTGTCAGGGGGGTGGAGAAATAAGTTATTGTCACTCCTGCAGGGGGGGGATAGTTGTGCTAATAATTATCTTTCAAAGAACCTGCTTATCAACATATTTATAACGATTTTTAGACTTTGGTGGTAAAAGTTGTTGGTGTAATATTCTCTGTGGCTGGAGGTTTGGCTGTGGGAAAGGAAGGTCCAATGATTCATTCTGGGGCTGTTCTTGCTGCTGGTATTTCTCAAGGACGGTCGGTTTTGTTTCGAAAGGACTTCAAGTTATTTGAGACTTTCAGAACAGACCACGAGAAGCGAGATTTTGTCTCGGGTGGTGCAGCTGCTGGTGTTTCTGCTGCCTTTGGTGCTCCAGTTGGTTAGTAAGCAAAATATATTTAATCAAGACTAGTCTTGACTTTAGACATTTCAATATTTTTATATGTTCAGGTGGCGTTCTTTTCAGTTTGGAAGAAGGCGCTAGTTTCTGGAATCAATCGTTAACATGGCGGATTTTCTTTTCTTCTGTAATATCGACATTTAGCCTTAATTTGCTTCTTTCCATTTATCACGATCACAGTGGCGAGCTATCATATCCTGGCCTCATCAATTTTGGATCATTTTCTGTAAGATTAACTTGTTGCACGATAATTTCATATAATGATTATAAGGCAGTTGATTGAACTGTTTTGTTTTGTGGTCATTTTAAGGTAGTTGATTGAACAGTTTTGTTTTGTGATCATTTTAAGCAATCCCATACAATTTGATTGTAAGATGACAGGTTGAAATTGTGTTGCAAACGAACGATCATTTTATTGAAGGCCACCAGTATTCCACGTTTTGTTTTTGCTTTAAAAATGCAGTTCAATATTTTTTTCCTGACGTTAAAATCGCTTTAGAGTTTCATGTTACGTTCACCTTTTAGGACATTAAGTATTCAGTTCGCGAAATTCCTTTTCTGCTTATTATGGGTATTATTGGTAAGTTTTAGCAATGTCAGTTTCTTCCGCTAACATTCAAGTAATTTTTTATATCGGCGTTTTTCATAGGTGGTTTTTTGGGCGCCTTATTCAACTTCATCAATCAAAAATTAACTGTTTTCAGAATGAGGTAAACTCTCGTCAATGCGTTCTGTTGTTATATACGTGTTATGTACATGTTATGTCCTGTTATGTACCTGCTATGTCCTGTTATGTACCTGTTATGTACCTGCTATGTCCTGTTATGTACCTGTTATGTACATGCTATGTCCTGTTATGTACCTGTTATGTACATGCTATGTACCTGTTATGTACATGCTATGTCCTGTTATGTACCTGTTATGTACCTGCTATGTCCTGTTATGTACCTGCTATGTCCTGTTATGTACCTGTTATGTACATGCTGTTTTCAAAGTTGTGATATTTTATTCACGTTGTTTATCTTCTTTGATTTCTACATCCAGATATATAAGATCAGCGTGGAAGCGAGTCCTTGAAGCAATGTTGATCTCTGCTTTAACTACATGTGCACTATTTCATTTGATGTATAATTTTGATGTTTGTCAGTCAAAAGGAGTTAGCAACATCACCATGCCTTTTCAGGTAACAACGAGTAGTTATGTCTCGAAAAAATGTTGGGAAGGGAAGGATGGCGTTTTCATGGGATGAGAGGAAAGGGAAGGATGGCGTTTTCATGGGATGAGAGGAAAGGGAAGGATGGTGTTTTCATGGGAGGAAGGGAAGGATGGTGTTTTGGGATGAGAGGAAGGGAAGGATGGTGTTTTCAAGAGATGAGAGAAAGGGAAGGATGGTGTTTTCAAGGGATGAGAAGAAAGGAAGGATGGTGTTTCATGGGATGAGAGGAAAGGGAAGGATGGTGTTTTCAAGGATGAGAAGAAAGGAAGGATGGTTTTCAAGGATGAGAAGAAAGGGAAGGATGGTTTTCAAGGATGAGAAGAAAGGAAGGATGGTCAAGGATTAGAAGAAAGGGAAGGATGGTGTCAAGGATGAGAAGAAAGGGAAGGATGGTGAAGGATGAGAAGAAAGGAAGGATGGTGTTTTCAAGGGATGAGAGGAAAGGGAAGGATGGTGTTTTCAAGGGATGAGAGAAAGGAAGGATGGTGTTTTCATGGGATGAGAAGAAAGGAAAGGATGGTGTTTTCATGGGATGAGAGGAAAGGAAGGATGGTGTTTTCATGGGATGAGAAGAAAGGGAAGGATGGTGTTTTCATGGGATGAGAGGAAAGGGAAGGATGGTGCTTTCATGGGATGAGAGGAAAGGGAAGGATGGTGTTTTCAAGGGATGAGAGGAAAGGGAAGATGGTATTTTCATTGTACGACGATTTTCTTTGTTGTGTGGGGAAGGATGGTGTTCTTTTCTGTAGAATTGGAAGGTTATTGTTTTCTGAAATGGAGAGAAAAGGAATTGTGTGATCATGCTGGGCAAAGACTTTGTTTTTGGGCAGGGCATTTACACTGTATTTGCGACAGACGCACATTTCCATCAACATTCATCACAAGCTTCGTATTTAAAACATTCACACATTGTAGAGAATCCTGAAATCACCTCACATTTACGTTTACTGCAACGTCTTCATTATAAGAATATTGACGTTAATTTTTTTCATCTCGTAAAGTTTTTCTGTAAAGATGGTGAATTCAGTGTGATGGGAACTTTGGTGTTTCGACTACCAGAGCAATCGATCAAGAATCTTTTTCATACCTCAGAAGGTGAACAAGTAAATAACTCGAGCATTATGTTATAGAAGTGAAAAAATTATTTGTGATCTTGAGCGATGGAGAAAATTTTGACGGATTTTAATCAACGACTTACGAGTGCTTTCTATAGTCTTCGTTGCTTTTACTGTTTCGTGAGTAAAGTCTTGCGATTTTTCTGTACATTTGTGTACTACGTGATTATTCATGAGAATAGATTAGTTTACCTCTCAGAACTTTTTAATCCATACTTTTCTTTTTGTTTTGCTGGTTGATATTGTATAGATTATTAAAGCTACGTAAATGACAAACTGCCGTAGTTATATTTTTTTCAAGGTGATGAAAGCAGAAATAGATTCGTAGCGTAATAGTTTACAAATTGCCATTTTTGCTTCGACAATTCAGTGTAAAATGGGAATTTTATTTGAAGTGTGTGTCGTCTTAAACTTCGTTGACTATAGCATTGAATTTTTGTCATTAGCTTCAAACGATGTTTATTGAACCCAGTTCTTTTCCATAACCTTATGTTATCTTCATTTCTTTAGTGTATGATCTTCAAGTATTGGCTGCGTTTTTTCCTGTCTACTTCTTACTCGCCACATGGACTTATGGATCATTTGTACCAAGTGGTTTATTCGTACCTTGCATTTTAACTGGTGCGGCTTGGGGGCGATTATTTGCCCTTGGTTTATCAAAATTTCTTCCCGAGCCGTTTGTGGCCAACACGTGCTTGTATGCTGTAGTCGGTTCTGCTGCCTTTCTTGGTAATGTTGTTTACTTTTTTTCAACAATTTGTTCATTGAAAAACACAACGTTTTGAATGTGTGAAACGCTTGATTCTCATAAGATTACTCGTCAATAGTATTGTCTGTTGGTTTGTGTTTTATAGGCCGGTTTGTGTTTAGTGAGGCTGGTTTGTGTTTAGTGAGGTTAATTTGTGTTTAGTGAGACTGGTTTGTGTTTAGTGAGATTAATTTGTGTTTAGTGAGGCTGGTTTGTGTTTAGTGAGGTTAATTTGTGTTTAGTGAGACTGGTTTGTGTTTAGTAAGGTTGGTTTGTATTTAGTGAGGTTAATTTGCGTTTAGTGAGGTTAATTTGCGTTTAGTGAGGTTAGTGTTTAGTGAGGTTAATTTGTTTAGTGAGGTTAATTTGCGTTTAGTGAGGTTGGTTTGTGTTTAGTGAGGTTAATTTGCGTTTAGTGAGGTTAATTTGTGTTTAGTGAGGTTGGTTTGTGTTTAGTGAGTGTGATTTGTGTTTACTGAAGCTATAAATTGCGTCAAATAAACATCTGACTTTTGTTTTATCGCAAAAGCTAGTAGGAACTTCGAATATTTCATCTTCTGTCTTTGCAAAAGTATTGAGAAGGTCTTACACTTTCTTGTTCAAAACAACGTATTGTCGGGTTTGCAATAAACCATTAACATATCTCTAGCTTTTTCTACGAAAATTTTGCATATCAAGTTCTTCTGCTCAAAATATTTCCTAAACCAGAGTAGTCAATACGCCAATGATTGTATCGATTTATCAAACGAAGCTCTTTCTCAGCGTCGTGTTAAAAATATACTCAAATGTTTGTAGGAAAATATTTATTAGCAGCAAAATATTTGCCACTATTCTCGAAGAACTAAGACTCCCATACGAATTATTTTTAGGTGGTGTTGTGCGCATGACCATTAGTCTCACAGTAATTTTAATGGAAGCGACAAGGAATATTACATATGGTCTGCCGATGATGTTGGTTATAATGGTTGCAAAGTGGATTGGAGATTTATTTAACGAGGTACATATCTCTTTAAGGAAATTTGATCTTTTTTGCTTGTTTTTTTGTATGTATCATAGGATTTTTTTCCTTGTCGTAAAAGAGCCATGTTGTAGTTTTAATATGTTGGTGTGATATTTAACATGATTTAGATTTTCTGTATCTAAGCATTTTTATAAACTCTGTTGTTTTGTCGTGTTTTTGAACAAATACTACACGTCATAAATACGGGGGGATGTCAAACAGTACGTAGTTATGAGCAAATGCTACACGTCATAAATACGGGGTGTGTCAAACAGTACGTAGTTATGAGCAAATGCTACACGTCATAAATACGGGGGTGAGATGACTTCACATCGCTCGTGAATATCCAAAGTTGTTCTCAACCCATGTTTCACGTCAGTAAGTCGTGCCCAGTCTTTTTTCATTGTGCTCGGTTTCATTTGAGAACGTCTCTAAACTATAGGAGATGACGACAGTCTAGTGAGAGACTTTACTCTTAAAGTTTGTGTATTTTTTGTCTAGGGATTGTACGATATTCACATTCGTTTGAGTCGTGTTCCTATCTTGGGATGGGACCCTCCACAAATGGTGGAAGGTTTAAATGCAAGGTAATCTTTACTTTATATCGAGCTAAAGATCAAAATAAAAGAAGAAAATTTAGTAATTATTTGGTTTCAATAAGTTCTCATTCGGGAAGATTTTCGTATCTCCAGGAAAACAACTTGGAACTGATATTTATCTGATGTTTTAGTTTAAATTTTTTCTCGCTGTTTTTTTACTAACAATGAGAAATAAGAGATGAAAGATTTACTGGATCTCGTTTTAAGAATTGACGGATCTATCAAGTGGTCAAATTTTGGTTTAAATTCCTTCAGTAACAGTTAGATTATTAAGAGTATACTTTTGGGGTATATTTTGTTCTGAACTCATGCAAAACCTATTTCAAATAAGCTCATTTGAGGCAGCGTTTCTTCCCATCGTGAAAAAAGATGATTTACACGAATTCTCAAAAAATACATTGCTTGTTTTCTCGTTCAATAGAAATATTATGAACAAACCAGTTTGCTGCATGAACTTAATCGAAAATGTAAGTCGTTTTTCCTGGGAATCTGTCTTTGTAAACAACGTATATATAATTTTTGATACTTTTACAGGTTGGTAACGTAATTGAGTTGCTCAAGACGACTACATATAACGGCTTTCCTGTCATTGATCCTATATCTGAGGTTTGAAGTTTGAAGATTTAGATTTTCTAGTTTTCAGTAATCAAACATTCACTTTTTGACGAAATAAAGTTCGGATGATTTTTTACTCTGAGATCTTGTTTCGTACAACGATATGTTGAAGAGAAGTTTATTTTCTTCATATCTATGTATCTTTGTAGATGAAGATCGTCCAGGTTAGTAAAGTCCTGAGAAGAACTGTTTTTGTTGTTGTTGACTGACGTTTCGACAACCTTATTGGTAGTCATCTTCAGAGTCAAAAGAACGTAAGAACCAGATAACAAATACGGCTAACCTAACGTTTACTCCTCATTTGTCTCTGAAGATGACTACCGCTAAGGTTGTCGAAACGTCAGTCAACAACAACAAAAACAGTCCTTCTCAGGACTATACCAACCTGGATGATCATCATGTACAAACATGTAACGATACTCCCGGGTTCAAACCATTTACTTTATCTATATATCTCTTACCTCTTTTTGGGCTGATTCAATATTTTTACACAACTGTGCGCACGGCGAATGCTATTTTGCAAAAATGAACTTGCGTTTTTTGCCAGTGAGCAGAAATTCATTCTACAAGTTCATTTCGAACGAGAAAAGTAAAATTCAATAAAATCACACATGTTTGATATAACTTTCTTTGTATTGTTAAGATATTTGCCCAGTGTAAAATATCGCTCGTAGAATCAGTTATTTAGCATTCTACCTCAACTTCTACACCGTCTCTACCAACGTCCTTGAGTTGGAGGAGGGGGGGGGGGAGTATGAACAATTTATGTGTAGTAGTACTAGGGAGTCATTAAGTCGTTTGTATATGTTTAGGATGAGGAAAGAAGTGATAAAAAATTTGGTACATATCGTGGTTTGATTCTTCGGTCTCAACTCATCGTGCTGCTTAAACATAAAGTTTTCTTTGAACGAGGGAAAAGACCGACCAAACATCAGTTGAAGATGAAAGATTTTCGAGATGCATATCCCAGATTTCAACCTGTCAGGGTAAGGGATGTCTGGGACTTCTTGCTTTGTGTAGGGATACGGGACATGTTACATGTCGTTTTGAACCATCGTAGGGGATACATGGAGCTTTTAGTTGTTCTATGGGATACGTTCTTGGGGTTACATGTTGTTTTAAAGTATTGTGGGGGATACATGGGGCTTTGAGTTGTTCTATGGGATACGTTCTTGGTGTTACATGTTGTTTTAAAGTATTGTGGGGGATACATGGGGCTTTGAGTTGTTCTATGGGATACGTTCTTGGGGTTACATGATGTTTTGAAGTATTGTGGGGGATACATGGGGCTTTGAGTTGTTCTATGGGATACGTTCTTGGGGTTACATGTTGTTTTAAAGTATTGTGGGGGATACATGGGGCTTTGAGTTGTTCTATGGGATACGTTCTTGGTGTTACATGTTGTTTTAAAGTAGTGTGGGGGATACATGGGGTTTTGAGTCGTTCTATGGCAGGGGTCTCCAAACATTACAGCCAGAGGGCCACATGAACTTTCATCCAGCATGTTGAGGGCCGAAGAATATAAAAAATTTCCACGTTATCCTTCAGCTTTTTAAATTTCACAATGTGCTGGAAACGGAAGTAGGAAGTTGGGAGAAAAAATGACGTAAGCCACTCTTGCTAGTTGGCTTGCGACATAACGTGAACTTTCTGCACAAAGTTTATTTTGTTTAATAATAATATTTTTTTTTAAGTGCCTCTGCGGGTGATGAGAGGCCCAACGGGGCATCTGGTGGGTTAGTTTGGAGACCCCTGTTCTATGGGATAAGTTCTTGGGGTTAGATGATGTTTTGAAGTATTGTGGGGGATACATGGGGTTTTGAGTCGTTGTAAGGAATGCATGATATTTTAAGCGTTTGCATAAGAGTACATAAACGATTTTCGTGCTTTCGACTTTTAAGTTTTTGTATAAAAATATTTTTTAATAAGAACTATGCTATGTCTGATTAAAACAAACGACGCATCTAGAGTTAATAATCATATTTCATGTGTTTTCTGTAGTCAACTGTCTTTATATGTCTCTTTAGACTATACGTATATCTCCTCTTGAACGAGAATGCTCACTAGACCTTCAACCTTTCATGAATGTAATGCCTTACACTGTACACGAGGTTTGCAGGCTCTTGCTACTTTACTAACTAGTCTTTTACTTGAATTTAACACGGAAATGAATACTTCATTTTAGGAATCGTCGATATCACGTGTCTTTCATTTATTTCGTGCCATTGGATTACGTCATCTTGTGGTTGTTGATCATCATAATCAAGTACGTCATTACATTATTTTTTGCAGGGGGTGTTGTTTTTCATACGAATGAGTTATTGAATGAATCACTCCCCCTGGCCCATCATTTTTTCAAGGGGGATGGGTGGTAACCCGATCTTTCTAAGTGAAGTGAGGACAACAGCGGTGGAGTTGGTAGGACAATTAAAGAAATAAAAGATGTTTACTCTGTTTGCACAGGTTTATGCAAAACGAGGAGACCTATGGGAGAACTCGAGAGCAGATCAGTGCAAGCGGGACCGAAGGTCGAGAGTTGCACCTGCTGGAGAGTTCTCACAAACGTCTCCGAGGTTTGCATAAGCCAGTTTAAACACGAAAAAACATCTTTTATTTCTTTCCTAATATAACAATAATGCCGAAATAGACAAATTCAAAACTTTTTTAATTTTTACATGTATTCATGATTGATTTAATTGATTGAGCTCAGATCGGCGAGCACTGACTAATGCCAACTCAGATATAGACCAATCAACGCACGTGTTTCGTTGCTCTTATTTTTTAATATCTTTATAGTGACTGACTGCCATTATTTTGTCATTTGTGACTAGTAATTGTAGGTTCAGCATGTCTGCAACATTGAACATCGTCTGTTGCGTTACGTCACGTTGAGATAATTGCATTACGTCACGTTGAGATAATTGCATTACGTCGCGTTGAGATAATTGCATTACGTCGCGTTACTAAATTTTATGCCAAAAGACCTGTTCATATGAGACGGTCCAACCCGCTTAAGCCGGGCTAGGTAGCTTTGCCGAGATCTCGCCTCGTGTATTATTTTAAATTGTTTATGAAGTTACGTCCATATGAAGAACCTGCCAGCCCGGCTTGAAGAAAGGAGGATTTCGCCGTCTGATTGCGAATACAAATTGGCCCGGCAAACTAGCTAGCACAGCATAAGCGGGCTGGCCCCATGAACAGGCCCTTAGTCATTTTCGGGCGTTTTGTGATAAAGGGAAAAGAATTAAGATAATTTTTAAAAACAGTCAAACATTTTATTGAACATCGTAGTTTCAACAATAGCAGTTATAAGCAAAAAGCCAAAAATTGAAAAAATATGACTTAGGCCAAAAAAAATGATAGTAAAGCGACGATGATTTCTTCTTACTGGAGAAAACTCTTTATTTTTTAACAAATTTTCAAGGTTGTGGGTATCGTTACGCGTAAAGATTTAGCTCGTTATCGACAATGGAGTCACATGGGAAAAACTCGTCTGGAGAAAATCCACGTCTTGGATGATAGCGCTTCTGAAGATGAATAAGACGACGTTGAATATCGTGGGATATTTACCAGCAGGGAATAACTGACCGTATTAACCGGTGAATTAAACAATAGCGTCGTTCGAACGTAAGAAAGACGGTGGATCAAGTATGTTTTTATGATTTTATTCTGCACTTTATGATTTCATCAATTATTTGACCAATTTTATGATTAGCTTTTGCAAGAACTTTTAGGAAAATGATATTTTATTAGCACGTCAAATTTAATAAATGGGGAATATTTTTTCAATAACATTTCCTTGTTTTGTTGTCGATTTCTTTAATATCCTCCTCAAATAGCCCCTAGTGAAAATTTTACCCTCAAATACCCCTTATCATAACGATTCATCCTTATAGTTTTTACCGCTGTTTGACCCATAAAATAAATGTTATCCTTTGTTGTCCTTGTAAAATATCGTGTGTGTTAGTAATAGTTTAATGTCGAAAATTGTTTTATATTTTGAAAACACCTTCATTTCTCAATAGTAAAATTTTTTTCTTCATATATATTACAATTTAAATATCTTTATTGTTCTTATGATAGAAATTCTTCTTTCTTTTGATGAAGTTGTTTATTTTTCAGTTATAATATCATTTTCTCTCTTTCATACACATTTTTACGCACTTTTTTCAACTTCTTGCTGCTTTCCGTTCGCGCTCAAAAATCTGTATCCCTGTTTATCAATATCTATCCCACGTTATGGTTGTAATTTGTATCTCCTCCTCCCCCGCAAGTTTTGGTTGTCAACATTCTTCCCACATCACTGTAGCTAACCTTTCCCCACATCACTGTAGCTAACCTTTCCCCACATCACTGTAGCTAACCTTTCCCCACATCACTGTAGCTAACCTTTCCCCACGTCACTGTTGCTAACCTTTTCCCACGTCACCGTAGCTAACCTTCCCCACGTCACTGTAGCTAACCTTTCCCCACTTCACTGTAGCTAACCTTTCCCCACGTCACTGTAGCTAACCTTCCCCCACGTCACTGTAGCTAACCTTTCCCCATCACTGTAGCTAACCTTCCCCACGTCACTGTAGCTAACCTTCCCCACGTCACTGTAGCTAACCTTTCCCACATCACCGTAGCTAACCTTCCCCACGTCACTGTAGCTAACCTTCCCCACATCACTGTAGCTAACCTTCCCCACATCACTGTAGCTAACCTTCCCCACGTCACTGTAGCTACCTTCCCCTAACCTTTCCCACGTCACTGTCTAACCTTCCCCACGTCACTGTAGCTAACCTTTCCCCACGTCACTGTAGCTAACCTTCCCCACGTCACTGTAGCTAACCTTACCCCACGTCACTGTAGCTAACCTTCCCCCACGTCACTGTAGCTAACCTTCCCCCACATCACTGTAGCTAACCTTAAAAAACCCCAAGCGTTACATTTTTCAGCCTCTATCACCAAAAATCAAAGACAATACAACACAAGCCTCTTTCACATTCTCCTCAATTTGAAAATCCCTCCTCCCAGACATCCCCAAATTTTTCATTATTTTTGGTAGTTTCCCATAAATAAAACCTTCATTCACACTCCTTTCCTTCGCGGATCTTCGCATAAATTTCAGCGAAGATTTTTTTATATTTTGGTAGACTCTCTCCATCACTGCAAGCTTCATTTACGTTCACACAGGTTTCTTGTACATTTGTTCCTACCGACTCGTCTTCGCAAGTTTGTACTGCTCTCTGTACAGTACACATTTCTTTTGACTCATAGGGAATACCCTCGTTTTTGCATTTTTCAACCAAAGCATTGTACTTCGTCACAAGATCTCTGTACTGTTGATCTAACTCGTCAAGAAACGAAATTTCCGTGGATTTGCTATCCATTTCAATAATACCTTCTTCCTCAACCATTACAAAACTTTCATCTAAACATTCTGCATCGTCTTCTTCGAAGTCTGGCTTAGTTGTATTAAGGCTTTCTACTGTAGAACTTGCAATATGTTTTGATTGCTCAGCAGAAGAAAGTCGATTTCCATGAGCAAACGATTGCAGTTTATGCTCCAAACTTTGATTTTCAATTATCAATTGTAATAATTCATCTTCTAAATCTTTGCGCAACGTCTTCTCGATATCTTGCTCAAATTTCATCGTTTTTATGACAACAGACAAATCTTGAACGCTGTTTTCAATTGAACTGCATTGTACAGGAACATCCTTCGTCGCTGCTTGTCGAGAGATAGTTTCAGATTGAGTTCTCGACATGGACAACTGTTTTTGCAGTTTCGCATTTTCGTGCCTCAATTGTTCCATTTCAGCTTTGTATTCGTTACATTTTTCCATTAAAGAATTCAAACTTTCAGTCAACAATTGTTTGTCGTCGTGTATGAGTTGTGTCTCGCGCTGAAGTTTCGCATGACTTCGCGACAGATTTTCGTTATTTTTCTCAATTTGTTCCATCACCTTGAGGCGCGTTTCATTCAATTCTCTAGCATCCTCCAACTGAAGTTTTAAATACTAAACAATAAATAAAAGAATTAGCAATGTTCTCCCACATGAAAAGTATAATGTGGATACAACATAAAATATAATGGAGGCCAAGTGAAAATGCACCTAATGTATGTTTTAGAAAGTGGCCAAGTGTTTGTAACATATTCATTAAAATCATTTGAGAAAGTTGGAGCCCAATCCCCCAGATGGCCCACATAATATTTTTTTAGTCTTTTCATATACTAACTTGACTCCTCTGGACCTGCTCTTCGGCATAATCTTGAGTGGATCCAAGCAATAATTCCAGTTCTTTATTCCTCTCCAATAAGTTCTTGCCGATAGCAGCAGCAAGCTCGAGATCTAAGAATATGAGAGTTGTTGTCATTAGCAACAAACTGGTGAGAGTATCTTGAATAAGCCAAATTGTAACTGGGAGAAGGAAAAGGCATGGCCAAGAGTGGACATGGTTGGGTGGGGGCCTAGGTTGATGCTTTTGCTTTCACTCTGGGCCTAACCCATCATGAATTTTAATATCTGCCCACAACTACTGCTGTGATGTGTGTTATACTATTAAAACACTGGCATTGATTTGCCAAAATACTATTGTCTATTCTATTCAGTCTGCTTGAGAATCAACTGCTTTGAATTACCAGTCAAAAATAAGAAATTATGCTATGTTATATTTCTCTATCGCAGTACCCTTTTCCGTTGATATAAATTTTCATAAACAAATTAAGAAAGTGGCGCTTGAAATGCAGTCTCAAATACAATACCCTCTTCACTGTGCCCTCTTTTGGAATTTTAAAAAGAATTTAAAACGTCAACATAATTTGCCCCGAGGCAAAGTTTTTAATGACAGAAATATTATGAAGCTTTTTCAAGTGTTTTAGATCAATATTTAAATAACACGATATTGACTAAATACCAAAGTTCAACATCACATGTTTCATTCCGAGATTCACATCAAGTAATTTAAATACTAACAATTTTTCGACAATATTTACCTCATATTTCTAGAACAATCGTAGACAACGATTAAACGAGAGCACAAATTTAGAATGCAACGAGAAATAGAAAAAAACATTATCTCATTATGATATCATCGTCAACAACCCGCTATGGAGGATGTATCATCGTTCATTTATTTTGCAATGTAACTTCTCCTTATTCTTTATCCAAAGTATAATGACAAAACCTTCCTTGACTATGTTTCAAAAACACTGACATTCATGAACAAATATGAAACAAAAAAATGTTGTTTCTTATACTAATATAATAAAAAACAGGCACGGATTCCTCACTTCTAAAAATACTCTTAAAAATCAAGCATAAACACAACATAAATATTTTCTAAACCTGAGTTGTAATTTTCAATCTCGATTTCATCCATGACATCAAATAAAGTCGACTTAACATTCACCGTTGTCGCCATAAATTTGAAGTATTTCACTAGCACAGGCGGTATAAACACCAATATTTCAATCGATATGAAGCATAGTATATTACGGAAATTTGAGACGACAACTGGTACAGCTCGCTATCGACACAATGTACAATATAACTTCGTCGCTGTTAAGCCACGTAATCTTAATAAATACTCATAATATTTTATTCATTTTATATCTCCGACGAAATCTCGATCTTTTCCCATATTAAGAAAACGTTGATAAGATAATACACTTCATTTATGGCAATGAATATGAGTGGGATGCACGGTTTAATACAAACGACGGTTTTAAACTATCGTTTATGTAGCGATGTTTGACCTTATGACAGACAAACTTGCGTACTTTTACTTAATTGAAGTGTAACTTGTTACTGGCTAGTTTAATAGTATGTAATGGTGCTTTATAGCAATTATTTAAGGATATCGGTATTGACTTAAACTGCAGTCGTCAACTAATGTTTTAGTTGCCAGAAAATGAGCTATTCTTAAGCTTTAAACACAACCCCATCATAAATTCGCTGCCAAGGCTACAGAGACGCCATTGTTATGACACGTCACGTGACCTTGTGTTGTTGAAAATACAAATGTAAAACATTGTGTTTCATGAAGCATTAAAACATTTTTTGCCAAAATAAATGTTGTCAAATGTTTCATACTTCATTTTGCCATAAAGATAAACAAATTGCTGGACACAGTTTTAGTGGTATTCAGATAATAGTGGATAATAGAAGATATCAGTATTAGTAAACGAAACGCATAGTCACGTGACTTTCACATAATCATCAATGTTGCTAGTCCCGCGCGGACTCCACGCAAGGTTCGAGAGCCGCCATATTGAAAGAATTATAATAGAGGAAGAAGGCAAAAATATAGTGAACAAAAACAAAAAAATTTACAGCGATCTTGCCTCGATTTGCTGGAGGACCTGGCCCGAATATTATGCCTAAAGACGAAAGACAGCGTAGCTTGGATGTACTTGGATTAGCTAGAAACTGTACAAAAAGTAAGATTTGATAAGAATTACATATATCTCTGTTGATGGTTACGTCGGATTAAAAAAATCTATGACAATATATTCAAGCCTGTTGTTGGCGAGTGATTTTAAGAGTATTCTGCCTAGCTTTTCGACTGTGCATTTGATTTTGCTTATATTTTTCTCCGAATTTCTTTTACAGATGAAATACGTTTAGCTTATTTCAAAAGATTACTTCATTGTTTTCCGGACGCGGACGACGATTCAGTTAAAGTATTCCTCATGAATTATTTGCTATTTCTGTTTGTTTACGTTGACGTACATGGATTTCAAGCGATTTGTCCGTACACTGACGAAAATCCGGGACAATTTTACTGTTGTCAATGCAAGAGAGTCTCCTAAATGTGGTTTTTTATTCTTCTTATAGAGTTCTTCAGATAATTTACGGCTAGTTGCAGTTTCTCAAGCTTACTGCAACTTGTCCGGTGAGTAAAGAGTAATATTGATGAAGTTTATAATGAAGCTAAATAGATCTTTTATCATCTTGGGATTAAAGCATTGATCCTGCCTTTTGGGTTCATAATTCATTTCAAATAATCCAGGCTTAAGTGGTTGAAAGACTTGAAGCACTTGTGATTTTCAAATACTCAAATCTCCTTGTAAATCGTGCAAATTGTTGTCAAAACACTTTCATTTTTAATTTATTTAAATTTGTGATATTCTGTAGATGTATTTGATCCGGAAGATGTAGACACTGAAGAGGTTAATGAATATTTTTTGCCATCATTATTAATCCCTAACATTTGAGGAAACTTTACAATTGATGTGTTCAACCCACTTTTTTTTTCATAAAACTGACCAGAGTTCCTTATTTTAGGTTTTTTTCAAATTTCTTCAAGAAATTTTCAAGGATGGTTCGTACGCCAGTTCACCCTAAACTTTTCATAAAAATAATACTTCCCTTGGATTTCATTTATAAAATTATCACTTTCGATTTTAGAAAGTGGACAGTTATTCCATGTCTTGTTGCAAGAACATGAAGCCACGATGTGCGCAGATGATGAGTATAGGTAACAAATTTATGCATTAAATATCACATTAAACATTTTTTTTGGTTGATAATTTACTGCCAATATCATCAACACGGGTTTGATGTAAATTTATGTCATTTGTTAGGTGTGATGAAGATGATTATGATGTAGATATTAAAAGGGATTTTGATAAATTGGTTGCTGTGCTAAAGAATTACAAAAGAAATGGATCAGAGATTCCCGATGAGCTGACCGAGGAAAAGGTTTTCAAATATCGAGATAACTTGTTGAGACTTAGGGAAGATTCCAAGAAGGATTCCAAAAAGGTTTGCAGTTATTTTAATCTTGTGAGTCGTTTTATACATTTGATTACACAGCAGTAGTGAAATGAAATTTAAATGCAGAAAAAATTTTCTCCCCAGCAGTCGTCAAAGAAAGGAAAAACCGTACAAAATCCTGTTGCCAAGGTGACATATTTATTATTACAATACGTAGTGCTAGAATGCATTGAATTCAGGGTTTAGAATAATAGCAAGTAATATGTCTGATCAAAATTGGGCATAGACCAAACAAAAGCTTTGATTCATTACCGTGCAATTTGTTAGATCAAATTAAGAACATTTTTAATTTCATTGATAAAATGTTTAAAATATACTGTATAAATATTTTGTCCCACGAAAGATTGTCCATGAGAAACCCCATTTGACAGCACAATGTGTTTGTTGTTCCTTTGTCTTTTGTTATTTCGAGCCCTATTATCAGGAATTGAATTTTTTGATATGTAAAATTGACTAGGCTGTGGAATTTAACTCCAAATGCCTTAATATTGACTGCCTCGTATTTTGAAAGCCCAAACCAAAGAGCAAAAAGCAACTTCTAGCGGAGCAAAGGCGACGTGAAAAAGAAATGGCGAACATTGCTGTGGAACTTGAAAAGAAAAAGAAAGAAGACGAAGAAAAGGAAAAAGTTCGAAAACAGGTCAACTGAACATGCGTATTACAAAATATTTTATCTTTCCTGCCTTGGCTATCGTGTGTTTAGTCGTCCTCAATATTTTGTTCTCAATTTATATGTTTTATTGTCTTTTTATCATTAGATTTTTCTTAAAATAATGAGAAATATTATTGGCAGCTGTGAATTAATTTTTGCTTCTTTATTGTTTAATTGTTTGTAAAATAAAATATTTCATAGTTGGAGGTAGAAAAACAAAAACGCTTAGAGGAAGAACGTAAGAAAAGTGAAGCAGAAGCGAGGAGACAAAGGGAAAGGTTTGTTAAGATATACAGAGTAATTTATCATTCAAATGCTCTTAATTATTTGTGTTTGTATGTTTAGAGAACAGAAAGAACGTGAAAGGTTACAAAAGTTAGAACAAGAACGAGAGAAAAAGCAAAAAGAGGAAGAAGAACGTCGTAAGAAGGAAGAATTGAAGAGGAAAAAACTTGAACAAGAAAGGATCGAGAAAGAAAAATTGGAGAAAGCAGCCAAAATCAAGGTATACCTAAATCTTGCTTACACCTATGGTGCAAAAGTTCTCTCAATATCTTTGCGTGTATGTACCTTGCTTATTCTAACAAACAACCTACTTTGTATCCTTTTATCACCCCTTTTAGTTCTCTATTATCCTCCTCTTTTCTATTTTAAACTATTTCATTGCCATAAACGACTTAAGTTGATAGTGTAGTGACTGCCATACAAAACTTTACTTGATTGCCAACTTTTGCCAAAAAATTTCACAGTTTTTTTGCAAATCAAAAGTTAGGTATATGTGACAAAATATTTCTGCTACGTGCTAAAAATAATTGACACTGGGCCAAAGCAACTTAGGAGTGAAAGAGTTAAAGTACTAGACTGTTTTAACAACAGTTTTACATCCCTCTATATGTATTCTATTATGTATTCCATTATCCCTTATCAACTTCTTTATTATCTTCATAGGCTGCTCAAACTGCTAAAGGTAAGCGATAAATGATATTTGATGAACACCATTAGAACTGTGTAGTTAGGAGATACATTTTATTTTATAGAAAAAGAAGAACAAGCAAAGAATATCAACAAAAACCAGGTAAATTGAATATTTTTAAAGTATTTATAAAGTATGTGAATAAAATATCTAAATATTATCATATGTTCTGTGATAACCCTTTTATCGTATCCCGTGTTTTCCCTTATTTCCACACATTCCTTTGTATGCTGTCCCTTACTATCCCATACTTTCATACATCCTTTTTATCTTGTCCCTCATTGTTCATTATGTGCATATATCACTTTTTATGTTATCCCTTACAGTCCCTTTTTTCCATACATCCTTTTTTTGTTATCCCTAATTATCCCTTATTTCCATATAGCCCTTTTTATGTTATCCCTTATGATCCCTTATTTCCACACATTCCTTTTTATGCTGTCCTTACTATCCCATACTTTCATACATCCTTTTTATCTTGTCCCTCATTGTTCATTATGTGCATATATCACTTTTTATGTTATCCCTAATTATCCCGTATTTCCATATAGCCCTTTTTATGGTATCCTTTATTATCCCTTATTTCCATAATCTTTTTTTATGTTATCCTTAATCATCCCAAATTTCCATTTAGCCCTTCTTATTGCAATCCCTTATTTTCTTGTAGAACATCAAAAGGAATCTGACTCAACGTAGTGATCAAACATACCCTCGTGAAATTCCACCAAGATTTCAACGAATGTCCAGAATGAAACAACAACAACAGACAACTTTTCCACAACAACAAATGTCTTCTGTTTCTCCAGTTTTGCAACAGCAGTCAGTCTCATCAACAGCAACAACAGCCACCACTGTTTATCCATCGCAAGGAATGTCGTTAACAAAACCTGTAGCAAAACCTGCGCCGCCGATTGGTAATGCAAATTATAGAAATATAGTACTTCGTGTCTTACAAATATACTTAAGACTGTATTCTAAAGCTCGCGCTCACACTCACTGAGTTTGTCTTTAAAATCACCTCAAAGTTATTCGAAGATGGTATTTTCGCTCCATTGATTCCTTATGTTGAAATATTTTACTAAATACTTTGCTATCGTTGAAGAAATGACTTCGTCTTTGATTAGTTGAAGCAAGATTTTTTTTGTCGCACTCCGTTTTTGAGAATTCGAGTTATCTTTTAGAATACTCGCATTGATCTTAAAAACGGAGGATTCATAAGAAATAATGCGTTTACCTATTGCTTATTGTATTCCCTCTTTTTTTAAACTGGAGGAAGGGGGTGTTCATGTGTTCAGTATTGCCTGACTGATATATTTTGTAAAGAAATTCAATTCCAAATGAATTGAGTCAAGCACAACAAAATAGCAGGAAGAAATACGGATAAATAACCAGATCTCATTGAGTGGTATAAATACTGCCAGTTCTGGCGCACCTCACACCCTGAGACCTTGTATACGCAAATCTAAGCGCCCTAGCGCTAGTTCGCGTACGTGCTTTTACTATGTATGTCTGAAAGACATATATACGTATAGTAAGTATATAGTAAGTATATGAACGTTCTAGGAACCACGCTGGTGTTGTATTGAGTCCATTTTTTTTATGTCGGTTAAGGTTTGTTATGGCAAGTTAAAAAACAGTTTAGTTAAACTGTTTTGAAAGTCTTTCGTGAGAACATCTCAAAAAAAAGATTTTACGATATGAAAAACCAAAATCTGCCAACTTCTTAATACAAAATAAAACAAATTCCGAAAACTAACGTTTCGTTTCTTTTTATATTTCTGATTAAATTAATTGCTTAAAGACAGAGTCTGTTTCTACATCAATGAATGTAAACAAAACAAAATTGCCCATTTTTGGAATTTTTTATGTTGTAAATGCAAAATTTGTTTGTCCTGTTTATTATTGTTGATAAGATGTTCACGACAATTTGTTTATATTATAGTTGGTAAGAAGAAAGACCAAGAAAGATGGACTAAAGGGGACTATACGGGAATTATTGAGGACGTTCAGGATGATGCAGGGTGGTCCAATGCACCACCAGCTGTTAGCACAGAAGATTGGGATGATACTAGTGAAGATTGGGGATATGAAGTTACATCATTGGAGGATAAACCTGCAGATGACGAAAGGGTAATTGTGGATAAGACAGATCAAGATTCATGGCCTTCAGTGCAAGGCAAAGACGAGAAAGAAGGATTTGTTAGCGATGAGAAGGAGAACAAGAGTACATTTGGGGATACCTTAGATGCTGTTATTGATGGATTGGAAGCGGCTGAGATGAATTTTAATGGTAAATGGAACAAAGATGGCGCAACAGATAATATTAAAAGTTCAAATGACTTCATGAATGAGGTTGTAGACGTTGATAGTATGTCAAAGGTTCATGGAAAAGATTTAAGACAAATTGTTGAAAGAAGTTCGGAGAATCCATTGCAAAATCCCTCATCTGGATGGAAAGACTCTAATCTTAAAAAAACTTCAGATACAACTAGCTCAGATTTACAACAAAACCCATCGGTTTGGAAAACTAAAACTTACGTTGATTGGCCAGATAAACCGGAAGTTGGCGACAATTGGAAGGGATATTCAGGAGGTAAATCCGAGCTCCCAGAGGAGACTGGCTGGGGCGAGAGTAATGTAAACAAATCCGTCAATAATAAGAACTGGAATGCTTCGTTGTCCGCGCAGGGACTAAGTATTACTGGAACCGAGATCTGGGATCAGGCAAGTGCTGATACCAAAGGATCTGGTGATACTGGTAATGACTGGACTGCCCAGGATAAAAGTGGTAATGAGGATTCAAGATGGGATTCTGTTAGACAATATGAAAATAGTAACTGGGGCACTTCCTTGTCAAGTGCTGGCTCGATGCGAAACAAGGTACTTATATATCCATTGGTATCAAAGTAGTACATAACTATCCATTAATGTCCAGCAGTAAGGCACGTAAATATCTTTCTAGATGTAGATCGTCCAAGTTAGCAGAGCGTTGAGAAAAACTGTTTTTGTTGGTGTTTGCTGACGTTTTAACATCTGAAGATGACAGCGTTTTCTTGCATAAGCCAGTGCAAACGCGAAAAACATCTTTTATTTCTTTTATAAAATAACAATAATACCAAAAAGACAGACGTTTTAATTTTTCCTCTAAAATGTATTCATGATCGATTTGGAAATCGTCTTTGTCTGATTGATTGTTTTGATTGATTTCATTGGTTGAGCTCAAATGTGTTTTGCACTGGCTAATGCGAACACGGCTCTAGACCAATCACCGTACGCGTTTTATTGTGTTTACTTTATAGAATAACATACACCATATAACAGATAATCGTTGTCTTCATTTGTCGTTGTAGCAAAATTTAGGTTATGATGAAAATGCGTGGCTAAGGCGTTCGCTAAAACAGTTGGTAGACATGGGATTTAAGGTGCGCTGTCATCTACGAGTAACTTTCTTCATTTTGACTTGTGAAAGAATGTATTTTCGGCTGTGCTTTTGTGATTTTTATTGATTTTCACTTTGTAGGAGGCGGATGGTGAAAAAGCTTTAAAATCCAATAACATGAGCCTCGAAGGAGCCATAGGTAAGACATAAGTAACCAATGATCTAGAACCCGATCTACTTAGATTCCTTATTCCTCCTACATTTTATAGCTGCGAGTAAGGCAAGCCGTCGTCCCGGAGGGGCGGCAAAACTGCCCGACTAAAATGTGTTTCTCTTACGTTGTTGCTTCGTTGCTAGGCTGTAGGTTTGGTTTTCAAAATGTTTGATGTGATTGTTTTTAAACGTTTTTAACCTTTTGTTTTGACTGAGAGGCTCGCTTTTTGCTTCCATTCATTCATTCAGGTGTTCACCGTTACGAGAACATACTTTTTTGTATAACAAGAAAATTTCTGTAATTCTTATTTTTGCGTTTATATGGCCGTAGGTCAATTACTCGCCACTCAAGGCACTCCATCTATGAAACAATCGTCGATAGCTACGTTATTGCCATCCGAGTTCAATGTTAATGCCGAAAGTACTTCATCTCAAACGGATAACAACGAGGATGTAACAAAATTGAAGCTGTCTCAACAACAGAACTTAATGTCACAGAATTTAGCACCCGAGGCATTAAAGAACAACGACGAACCTTCTACGGACCCTTCAAAAACTTCTGCTTATGTTGTTCCGTCTGTTACCTCTACGTCTGTGTCGGAGAGTGCTCGTTCACCGGCATTAACCGATCAACGCTCTTTGGAGTATCTAAAGGAATCGGATGATCTACGGTCTGATAAAATTGCTACTTCCGGAAATATGTGCATCCCTGGAAACCAAGATAACTCCAGGCCACTTTCTTCAACTGGTTCTTCGGGTGTGGGCAACTTGCCTACAGTACAAACATCCTTACCAGTTGTATATCAACAACAGTTATTGCAACAACAACAACAACAACAACAACAACAGGTACAAATGCAACAGTTGCGATTTGCACATGCCTCTAGATTAATGAGGAATTCTCTCGCATCACAACCAGTTATACTGCTTCAACAACTCGCGCAACTTAGGATTGTTCAACAACAACTCGCTACGCAACAGCAGTTGTTGCAGAAACAACCGCAAACTAACTCAATGCAAGTACAACAGGTTGCTGTGCAACAGCAACAGATTGCAGCCATGATGCAACAGATACAACAGCAACTTTTACAACAACAACTCCAGCAACAAACTCAACAACAATTGACTTCCGGTCAATTTTCAACTCCCCAACAGGAAACATTACTTAATGCGCAACCTCAGTTGCAACAGCTATTGTTACAACGTAAACAACAACAGCAGCAACAGTTGTCACAGCAACAGTTGTCACAGCAACATCGTAAACAAACTCCATTAAATCATCAAGCCGAGTTAAGTGATGAGAGTAAAGACGTTTCATCAAGGTCAAATTTTTCAAAGGAAGCTGTGTCTTCATTAGTTCAAGCAGTTAATTCTGCTCCAGCGTCACCCAGTACTGGGAAATCTAGATTAGGACAATGGACTCAGAATTCTATTCAACCTGAAAGAACCTCTCCCAGTCTTCCTGATGGAGGCAGTGCGCGTAATAACCTGCGTTCGTCTCCACAGCCCGACTCTTCACCCCTTATATCCAGGTCGACAAACTCTCCTAGTTCAAGTCAAACATCTTCTAGTTCGGCCCCAGGCCACCGGGTGATCGACCCAGTCTCCAGTAGATGGGGTATCGATGCTGCTCCTAAACTCTCTGCAGAACCACCAGAGTTTAAACCTGGTGTTCCATGGAAGTCGCTTCAAGGCAAAGATGATATGGTTGGTGATATTTCTCTGACGTCATCAAAAATCGTTGATTGGTCCAGTAGTTCAAATCAAACGGTCTCTTCAGCTTTTGTTCCCATTACAACACGAAACAACATACCGTCCTTGAATCCAAGCTCAAATTCACAAAATTTTTCTCAGGCGAATCAAGCAGCCATTTGGCCAAGTTCTGTTTCTAGAAATACAACTTCTCAAAAACAGAATTCGTTGTCATCAAACATTAGACCACCCCCCGGTCTGGGTAATGACAACAGTTTCCATAACATTTCCAACGTTCATAGTCGTTCTAATAATGACTCTAGTTGGGGAAGCCGCAATGAGAGTCAGATAAACAATACTTCACAGTTTGGTATAAGAACACCAGGACTACAAACGTGGTCAAATGAGAGACGAGAAGTAGGATGGCCTGGGACTAGCGGACAGCCGCTTGAATCTCAGCCATCTGTTGCCCGAGTAAGCAGCGACTTGCGGGATTTGAGTATTTTAGGAGAGACAATTATTGATGGAAACGGAGTGAGTATGGGATCTAAACCCGGTTTACCGTCCTCTTACAGCAATATATCAACATGGCTCGTCATGAGAAATGTTAATCCACTGGTAGGTTTTACTTTATGATTATGATTTTGCTTTTTCGTAGACAACAATAGCATTAGTTTTATGCATTATTGTCAAAAACTGCCAGTGAAATGTGTATCGTGATAAAGTGAATGGTTTGAACTGGAGGGGGGGGGGATATCTTTACATGTTGGTAGATGTAGATCGTCCAGGTTAGTGGAGTCCTGATAAGGAGTATTAGTGTTGTTGTTGACTGACGTTTCGACAACCTTAGCGGTAGTCATCTTCATTTGACTCTGAAGATGACTACCGCTAAGGTTGTCAAAACGTCAGTCAACAACAACACCAACAGTCCTTCTCAGGACTATACCAACCTGGACGATCTACATCCATTACAATGTAACTATACTCGCGGGTTCAAACCATTCACTTTAAACGTGTCTCTTTGTTGATCAGAGATGTTGAAAAGACAAATGCGTATCTAGTTGGGGTTTTGTGAAGAAAAGATCGTCTTTTCGTCTGTAGAAAATTCTTTTCAAGAAATCATTTTTTATACTCAGTCTGCTTCAATACAGCGAGTAGTATAAGTACGTCTTCGCTGGACGGAAGTATTTTTCACATATGAGGCTATTTTCAAACATATGATTTATAATATTTATGTCATTTTTTCTACAGTTAGATTCAAATGCTCTTCGTACACTGTGTCAACAACATGGTCGATTGTTGACATTCAGATTAAACTCGCGCAACGGAAATTGTCTTTTACGTTATGATAACAAAGATGAGGCGGCAAAGGCCCATGGGAATTTAAATGGACTTCCGATAGCCGGCTTGAGATTGTCGGTTGATTTTGCATCTGACTCTGATATCGGAAGTTTTTTTGAGCAGAACTCTGACTGGACTTGGCCCAATGCGCATGCGTCATTGCCTAAAACTCAGACTATTACCGAATGGCCTGCATCCAAGCCTTTGCTTCCAGCGGGAAATTTTTCATCAGAGCTTTGGTCCTACAGTCAGGCGGGTGGGTTGGCCAGCGGCAGCGGTGTATGGTCGGCGGCGCCAAGTAGTCGACTAGATGGCGAACAGTCAACGGGAATGCCCGAGAACGGTCTTACTAGTCCTTCCATGGTGACGTTTTTGCCGCCGGGTTTGTTAAACAGCAGCGAGTCGAATTGAACTGAAATTTAAAAATCTTTTATCTCTTCATTGTTGTTTAACTTGTTTGTTGGTCTTTTTCGTGTTTGAAATGTGTAATTTTGTCAATATGTATGAAATAGTGCATTCTGTATAGAAAAAAAACATTCATGAAAATAAGAGATGATCGATTTATTAGCATACTTGAGTTTTCAATGCTTTCTTCTCGCTCTACTCCTAATGTCTCCTCTTTCGAGAGCATGCAGTTTAGAGAAACACGTCCTATGTTTCACAATACCTCTTATAACACGAAGTAAACCAGAAATGGTTTCGTCGCTGTGTATTGCGGGCTCTTGATGACCATCATTAACTGCAGAACAAATTTCTCGATAGTAAATCAGAATGTGACAGTGAAAATGTAAAGTTGACAAGAAGACTGCTCGAGTTTTCTCAGGTTTGTATAAGCAAGGATATTTATAATGGTCCTGGTGATGTGTGTATGAAGCTCTCGATAATATTTGCTGTAACTTATAGTACACGTGTCAAGAAATTTTAGTCTAACCTTCCCCCCATAGTCCTTCAGCTTCTCCTGAGGTGAAGCACTTGAGTTTCTTCGGAAAGTTTGTGAGAAAGTCATGATTGCTTAAACGGTTGAAATTTTTACTTTGACGAGCAGAGCTATCTTCTTGAAAATGACAAATAGAAACAAGAGCTTGGACTCGCTGTTGGAGATGAGTGAGGACTTTCGTGTGCCCGATCAACTGGTAAGAAATGCTTTTATGCTTACTTTTATGAGAAATGACGATGCAGAATCTTGTGAAATGGCATTGTGTTTTAAATGTTTCATTTTATGGTTTCCACAATGCTTGTTTCAGTTGTTTGTTAACTTTCATGGTCAACTTTTCTAACAAACTGCTTTGTCAAAAGGGAATTAATGGTTAATGGAAACTAGCAAGAATATCTTCAGAAATTAGTGATAATATAGTGTATCGCTTTCTGAATTTATGACCTTCAAGCATTGCCTCAGTAAAATCCATCCTTTTGGTGTCAAAATCTCATCAACATGTTTCATATATTTGATAAGAATTATGTTATTGTTGATCCATTGAATTTTTTGTTTAATTATGTTGTGCTCCAAGGTAGACATGTTTTATTGTGATATCTTTGTGTTGCTAGTTTGAGGACAGTGATGTGAACTGTGAAGAAGAGCAGATCAAAGTGCATGATGGGAAAATGGGGAGTGATATTCAAGAAATTGAATTACCCATGATCCCAAATCATTTAGTAGATGCTAATTCAATTTCGACAGATGGCCTTGTAGAAGTCGAGGCGAAGAAGGATGATGGGAAAATGGGAAACGATATTGAAGAAGTTGATGTACAGACTCCTCAAAATAAATTAAAAGTTAAAAGTAAAATTTCACCAAATAGTCAGGATGATTCCACTCAAGTAAAAGATTTTTCACAAAACATGAATGCTTCATCAAAACTTTCCAATAAGTCGTGTGACAGTGTTGTTGTCATTGACTCTGTCGTGAACAAAGAAACCCATACCTCCACTTCATCCTCTGTTAAAATGTCGATCCCATCAAAAAACCCATCTGTCCAAACTCCCCTAAAAATGGTCTCAATACCGGTGGACTCAAATATAATCACGCAAAACAATAGTCAAGTGGTGTTGATTCCCGTGGGTGGAATGGATTCAGAAACTTTACAGACTTCGTTAAAAGTGCCACCTGGACAAAAAATTGTGATAATCAAACCGCAGGAAATATTGAAAACAATCGAACAGAAAAAGTCACAAAAGTCCGAGAAACAAAACTTAATTGTTGACAATCACAAGGTGATACTGCAAACGATCAAACCAAATGTATCAGCAAATCAAAATATTGTACGTGCACAATTGCCTCGTGTTTTATCGAAGACGGCTGTTGTTCCTTCTTCAATGGTTAGTCAATCAAAGCGGGTAGGTCAAATTTCTGGCCAAACTGTACAGCTTCTACCTCTACAGCCCCGCGTACCTTCCTGTAAAAAAGGAAGCTTAGCTCGTCCCTCTTTAAAACCGACTGTTCAACGTTTTCGCTTCCGCAATCTTCAAACACCAGGGCAGCGATTGCTGTTACGCGAACTTCTGATAAACCTGTTCAAACAGGCTTTGTCGTCTCGCAATCCGGATCAGCAGCGTCTCAAACCGGTTTGTTTATACCTAAGGTCAATTTAACTACCGTTAACGCAAATGTTCAGCCTGAAAATAACATAAATCTACCCATTGTTTTAACTAAAGAAAAGGATAGTTGTACTTCGAATGATCGACAAAATGAACTCTCAAAATTTCCCGCTAAAGCAGAACAAACGTCAGATTCCAATGTGGCAATTGATAACCCTACAGGGGCGCACATTCAGAAGCCAGCGGTAAATCCTGCTACAAAAGTTCTCAATGTTTCGAGTACATCGAAGCGTCAAAGTAATAGAGCTCCATTAACTGCGCAAAGCTCTTATAGTGAGCCGAATGCTGTACCGAATTTAGTTTCAAATGTGTCATCGTCTTTTAAGAAAGTTGAGAATTTACTGAAGCCATGTTTATCTAATGAGGTTACGTGGCCTTCGATTAAAAAACCTGAAAAAACTTTAGAAAAAGTTGTTGTTCAACCTCATGGCAAACCGAGATTGTTGCAAAATAACGATGGTAATGAACCAAAAAGTAATCTATTTCAAAATGAAACAAACACATCTCAGACATCATCGACAAACGAACTTATCAATGCTTCCGAACGAGGCAAATCGTCAGCTAAAACTGGACAAGTAGTGAAAAAAGTAAAAAATAAAGAGGTTTCAAGTACCAACCCGTGGACTTGTGCTTTGTGTGGAAAACCGTCCTTTGTCAACAACCTCGGTTGTCTTTATGGACCATATGAGATTAATGATCCATCGGGGATCACATGGGATATCAGGAGGAAAACGTTTGCGAGGACAGTGAGCCCATATCAAAAAAACGACGATCGTCTACGAGTGAGAAAGATTCTCCTTGTGAAGTATGGTTTCATGGTTACTGTGTTGTTTGGTCGCCGGGGTTCTATACCGTAGATAATACTTTAGTGGGATGTGAACAAGTTGTTATTGATGCCAGAACAAGGGTGAGTTGAGTGTCAGTGTCGTGTTTATATTATTATTTTATGTATGCTACTATATAATAGACTCTTATTTGATGCAAGGAGTCGGCTCTCTTTTTCCTAACACGTATGAAGTATCCAGGCTCTACCGCTTTCCAATATATTGCAGGCTTGCAATATCATATCAATATTTAAATAGAGTACGTCTGAGTACATCGAAGTACGTTCCACTACTGAGTTATTCGTCTTGCTGGCAGCAGTTGTCTTTATTTGTGTTATATAAAGTATCGGATTTACGAGTGGAAAATTGTCTAAAGATTTTTCACCATTCACCAATAAAATTAAGTTACTAAGGTGGCAATTTCGTGCTCTATAATACGCGAAATTGATTTCTATGATTTGTAGGATTAATTAATCATTTTAAAAAGCATATGACAAACAAATAATGGCCGACAAAGAAGTTTTATATCGTTTTTACTGTTTACACTGTATCATTTGTGGTTTATCTTGTTGGAAAGGTGTCTGTTGTCAGAAAAAAGTTTTTCTTCTATTATTTCGCGATTTGAAGTAATCTTTCTCGGCGATTATTTGCCTATTAACAGGCTCATCCTTATGTTTAAGTTTGAAGAAAATCTATTTCATACATGAACGTGTTTTTTTCGTTTTTTTATAGCGTAATTAGGTAGTTATACGGCAACGAGCATGTCAATAATGTGAAATACATAATTCTCTTTAGTTTTGTAGCGTCTGCGGTGAAAATGGCGCTACGTTGATATGTTTACAACGTACGTGCCGGAAACTGTTTCATTTTTACTGCGCCAAGGAATATGGTGAGTGGGGGGACGTTGTACACGAGCAGGGAGTTTTGCGTTTTGAGTTTTATTTTATGTATTTTTCCATTGTTCAACAGGATGTGTGTTTGATGAATCAAATTATACAATTCAATGTGGAAAACACGTCAAGGTAAATGACAGTTCTAGGCACTCCCCCTGGATAGCTTGCTGTTTGAATCTTTAGTCACTAATTTTCAATGTATCCCGGGGGGGTGATAGCGTCTGTTTCCTTTTCTGGCTGTGTGACGAATCAACGATGTATAAATAGTTCTTGGAAAGAATCACAGTTATCATGCTTAGCTCCTTGGTGTGTTAGTATTTTACAGGAAGTCAGCATCCCTCTAGCACCCTCTAGTCATGGCTAGGAGGAGTGCGCACCACCCCCATGCATCCCTCATTATCCTACAAGAAATCCATCCCCTATTCAATAGATCAATCGATGAAAAATATAAGTCACATTTTGATCCATTTTTTATTAGTAAAACGATGAAAGAGTAATGTCAATAGATGGCTTATTCAGGTAAGAGAAAATCTACCTTCTTCCACATTTTTTGTTTCGCATATAATACGTCTTTTCTAAATGTTTACTTTTTCTACAACAAACTGAAACGAAATGTTTTAGTTGCAAGCTTTTTCATATACATGTATTATAATAGCCATTACACTGGAATGGATGACACAACTTCGAAAAAAAATTGAAGAAAATACAATTTCCTGATCTATGTTGAATTTATGATCTGATGAATGCGATATCTAAATTATTGCACAAGTCTTTTTTTCCGCCCATGGATTGTCTTTCTTGTCAACTGGGGTAATCAATGGATCAGCGTTGATGTGTCTTTGACAATAATCTTTCAAACTAAAGCAGTAATGAAAATGATCGTCTATTAGTTGTGTTATGTTTTTATTGTTCGATATTTTTTTTCATAATGCGTCGCATATATCACAAAACATAAATCGTTCGTAGCTGTTTGAAGTCCATCTTGTTTGATAGCGTTTGCGTCCCATTTTAAAGCGGCTTTTAAATTTCAAATCATGTAACAATGGGCGCGCTTGCTATGATCTATGAAGGGCTTTGTAAGTATTTTATATTTTGTCTGTTTGCTTGTTATGATTATCATAGGCGTCACGCTAATGTGTTCAGACGCTGTACGTATATATTCATGTTTCTGTGAAAAACCGTTGACTTTCATTGTTTTTAGATTTTCTATTTTTGTATCGAATATCTGATATTTTGACCACAAAATCACCTCACAAAATTCCAAAAATAGGTGCATTCTTAAGGCAGAGTCAACGCTGCATGTAAAATATACCTTTAAACGCGTTTATTGAAAGCTTGCAGATACACAATGCTATTTCAAATCACTGTTGAATGAAAACGATTGAGGAAATCTATTTATCATTTATTTGCGTGCTTACACGTAAACAATCACATTTCATGATAAGATGTATTTTCAAACCGCTTCTAAACCAACCATAGAACCTAACGTGAAAACGTTCCTCCGACGTCGGTAATTGTGCAACAAAATGATTTTGTCAAATTGCTTTGTGCAAAACAAATATTTGACTAACGTAAAAGCATACTTAGCAATAATATATGATCCAATACACGTTACAGAACTCATTGTTTTTCTTCTAAAGCACTTACTCGTAGCACGCTTCAGACAGTGGAATTCTTGCGATATTGAGTTGATGTTTTAAACTTTCGACCGTCTGCTGTAGCTGGGACTTCTCCATTGTTTATTCGAATGATTTGGACGCTTCTTGCAGTCGTGTAATTTTCGCATCAACTCTTGGTTCCAGGCAGCAGGTCTTGTGTTTTTATCGTGGCCAACGACGATTCATTCTGTTACGAGACTTTAATTACATCTTCTTTGTTGCTAAACTTTTTTGAATGTAAATGAGGTCGTGCTCCAGATGGCTTTTGACGCGCCTGACCAATCATGTTGTTCGAATTTGAATATACATATGTTATTTTGAAGCCGACATGAAATGAGTTATCGCTTAATAAACACTGTTTGGTGCATAATTATACTATGCATAATTCATCAGACTTTTTAAGATTATTTGAAAAGTCATAGAATTTACTTTGGTCTGCCAGTGTTTCGTCATTTCTAGTCTGTCTTTTATTTAAATCACGAATATCGTGAGAAAACCACATCTATCTTGAAAAATCGCTTACGATATGACCTCAGGCATGCACGCATGACAGTCACGTGTTCTTCAATATCATCATCTCCATCGCTATTTAACAAAACTGCCGTGAACATTGTCTTTCAATTCTGTTACCGTCGCCAAACGAAAAGGAACCAACTCAAGTCATGCTTTAAATTTGTCCTCTAACTTACAATTTTCCAATGTGTTCGATAATCCTTCCACTTTAATGTTTCATCTTTCAAACACGAACAAAATCTCTCCAGGCACAAATCTCATTTGTACATTTTCGACCATTTGACCTTCACATAGAATGCGACATGTATTTATGATCATTCGCATATTTGATCATCACCCTGAATATCAACAAATTATTATTTTGGATTGTGGTGTGAATAATACAAAACTCGGTTAATTTCCGCAAGCTAAAACTGAACAATATAAATATTTGGTTTGTTTATATCAATAATATCACGTAGTTGTTAGCTTTCACGACATTAAGATTCAGTTTTCACCTGTCGATTGCTCAGAATAATCAACATGCAATACCTTGGATTCTTCAATGTAAATGGACAAGAACTGAAAACGGGTGCTCGTGATAAAAAAGCGATGCGTACAATTCATTGTTATTTCAACAGATCGAAGCGGATTGTTTTGATGGATTTTTTGCGCTTTAAAAACCCTTTTTCTGGGATTTGGAGATTGATGAATTTCACACTAGTTTCTAGTTTTCTTTTATCAACACGCATATCCCTCTTACGTCAGCAATTTAGCTAGACCCAGTCTTTCAATGCACGGCCCGAAGAAAGTTCATTGACGAGGCAGAAAGCGAAAATGCGCTACCTTACCTTCATTTTAGCCTCATGCAAGTACAGACATGTTTACCTTAAAGTAGCCGCCATTTTCATATTTACTTCAATGGACTAGTTGTCTTTGCTATTTACTTCTGTTGTTTCCTTTAAACTAATCTTTCAAAACATTGAAACCTCGATATTCCGTACGGAACTTGTCGCTTATCAAATTGCTCGCTAAAGTGTTAGGCTTAAAAAAAGTGAACCCAGCGTTGTAAACATACACATGTGCACTATGAATAGCTACATATTGTTTGAAAATACGTACAAACGATTTATTAGTCATGCTTTCGTTCATATATCAATAATTGTTAGTGTGGGTTTTTTATATACTAGTTTGCAAACTTCATAGTTCCATCATCTTCTTTTCCACTTTATAATGTAACTTTTCCACTTTATCTTGTATTTAGATCACGTGATAACTGACATAATGCGCATGGCGTACAGAAGCAGCTTATCAAGGCGTCGCTGCAAACTGAACCCTGGAACATAATGGATTGTCGGGAATTTCAATGGATTCAAGTAGGATACTGCATGTATTTATGTAGTCGGACAAATTACCTGTATGTCATGTTGTATGCGATATTTGGTCCTAAGGGATGATCCCCCGAAGCATCCAGCACAGCAACATTCGTTCATTTTACGACTGAGTTTGCATGCCAATATTGGCGAGCAGAACATACCCAAGAGACCTGACCAATAAAGATAAAAATTTGTTGAATCGCGTGCGAGATAATGTCACGTTTTTTTAAGGTATCGTTAAAGCAAATTCGTAAAAAGTGTCCAAATTTGTCTGAAGTCGGCGAAGTAAAAAGTAAAAGATGTTTTCTGGCTTTGCACAGCTTTATACAAGCCTGGGAGACCTTTGTGAGAACTCGAGAGCAGATCAGTGGAAGCCCGAAATCGAACATCGAGAGTTCTCACAAACGTCTTCGAGGTTTGCATAAGCCAGTTCAAACACGAAAAAAATCTTTTATTTCTTTTATAAAATGACAATAATGCGAAACAGATAAATTTGAAACAAATGTTTTAATTTTTCCTCTAAAATATTTTCATGATTGATTTGAAAACTATCTTTGATTTATTTAATTGATTGAAGCTCAAATCGGTTTGCACAGGCTAATTCAAACTCAGCTATAGACCAATCATCGCTCATGTTTTATCATTTTATGTCATGAATAACAATGTCTTTTTTTCGACTTTTTTTTGAGAATATGTAGGTTTTGTTTGTGCAGCTGGCTTCTGAGCATTTATTCGTGACGTATGTTACAATTAAACAAGAACAAAACATGTTTTTACGCTTTTTTGAGGAAAGAAAATACGTTTAACCGGAAGTTAACGTCCCTCGGCTCAATTATGTTCAACAAAATGAAACATGTGGCTGTAAGTCGTTTCACAAAGAAATTTTTCTGTTATAATAAAACAGAGGCTTTGTCGTGGTGACAAGTTTAAAGATTGCCTTAAAAAGAGCAATTGCCATTTTGCGTTTTACATAAGGCGATTTTTCTGTTATTCCTTGCCGGACGGCTTATTAGGATCGTTATGTACCATGATGGATAAACTTACATGATTTAATGTCCCCAAAACATCCTAATAACCCCGAACTCCACTTTCCTGTGGGGATGTCGGCCTTGTCATTTTGCGTAGTTGTTTCTTCTGGTTGGTCTGTCATCACTGGTTCAACTGCGGCCATTTTTGGCTTATCGGATGAGATTGCTTAATAAAATAAAATGAGATATTCCAGACATTAATCCTCTTTTGTGCAGCCGAGCAGAAAATACTATTATTGTCATTCTCTGGATTTTCATATTTGTTAGATTTTATTGGGGAGAAAAATCCACTCTTAAGAGTTGGCCGTTTATAGTTTATAGTTCATCGACCGTTTTCAATTGTTTGTGAATGCTTTTGAGTAGGTGGATGTTATATTTTTTGTATGAAAAAAAGTATCACTAAAATCAAGTGATGTTTCATCTTCAATGTCAACAACTTAATCTGTGCCTATGTATGTTGTTTACGTGTTCTATGGCAACGTAAAACATTATTTATCGTTGCTTGGTTACTAAGTTTCAAAACTTGGTGAAAACGTTTTAGAAAAACGAGACTCTGGCATTCTTTTGTCGTTGGTTCGCGAGCATTTCGTAAAACACTTCGTCAAGTTGAGAACAATTAACGATGTATATAACTTTTTTCTTTAAAGTTTCGGAGAATGATGCATTTCATTTAAAATCAAATCCAATTCTAAATATGAGCTTATTCTGTTATTATTGTTGACTTGAAAAGCCTTTTTAATTTTATCAAAAGCTTCTTTCCTTACCTAAAGTTTTCTTTTGGCTTTTCTCTTTCTTGTTCTGTGATAACATCGATCTAAATCCACAGACGCTTGTCAGATAACTAAAAGTATCGGTATTTGCTTTAGGCTTTTAATATCTTACATCGTTAGACTACGTCATTTCCTGTGTGTGATTGATTGTGCCGGTAAAATCAGCGAGAGCTAACGAGCGTCAAATAAAAAACGTTTCAATTGACTTTCAAAACTACTTTCTTCAATAACCTTTTGCATAAACAAGAAGTTTGTCTTACAACAAGTATTTGTAGGAAGATTTGACTTATGAGAGTTACATAACAGTTAACACAAACTTTCTATGTCAGCTCAACCCGTTGTTGCATATGACAAGAAATGATTAAGAAAATGACAGCAACATGAGTTTAAATATCTTTTTATACATTGGCTTATATGAAGTATTGTACAAGAAACAGTCAAGTAAAAACGAAAATCCTTCAGAGAAACACAAAATTTTGATGACTTGCGCATGTGTAGTTTGGCTTAACCACTGGTCTATGTGCGTCTCGGCTGCTTTTTTTTTGTTCCTTTACAATGCGCACAGTGCTTATTTAAAGTTTACATCATGTCTTGTTCTATGTAACTAACAATATAAACCAAGGCTGCTAGTTCAAACAATTTTTGTTTCTTCTTTAATGAACATAAAAGCTTGTGTATAAATATGAATTTTTTAATGTTACAAACAATGCCTTAGTACATTTCTTTGTATGGTGATGTTTTGTAAATACTTGATGTAGCAACTGATTAACTGCAACCTCGTACCCAGATCCTTTTTCTTTCACGAACTTGAACGTGAAGGCTAACGACCTGGGTGCAAGGCATGGTCAGTGGGCATGCTACATGATTACAACAGTGAACTATAATATTAACTGGAACGCTAACTCCAATACACTGAACTAAAATACATCTGGAACGATAACTTCTATAATTTTCACAATGATTGGCTGAAGCCAAAATACACCTGAAATTTGTAAGCCCCCCTGAAATAATGCGTGTTTTTTTTCGGCGAGCGATGTTTGTTTAGGCTTCTTGGCAGTAGAAAAACGTGAAAAAGTGATTATTTGTCGTTTTCTTACACATTTTGTGCTTTGAAATTGCATCTAACGGAATGAGTTCATGCAAAAGCAAGATATTTTCGAGGAGAAACATATTCAGCAAGAATCGAGGAAGAACGATCGGCAAACCAATACAAGTCTACAAGACGGAACTGAATGTTAAAAAATATGAATGCTATATAAAACATATTTGAATATTCATAGCATTTTATACACCTTTTTCTAGTATGATTCCTTTCCTTTTAAGTTTTATCAATGTTCCAGTGATGTTAGTTACTTTGTAAAAAATTATCATGGCCTTCTAAAAACGCAGAAAAAGTAGCGTCAGTATTGGCTTCAAAGATGGCGGCGCAGTTAGCGTTCCAGTTGATATTATAGTTCACTGGGTTGCAACTGTTGCAACAAGACTAATGTGCAAACAAGCTTTAAACAACAAATGACGTTTTTAGTCGATCTTCCTTGAAAAAGATTTTTACTCTTTGAAGTTATAGGGAACCATTTATGGGTGCTATCAATCATTTGTAATGTAAGGAGTTTGTTTAGTGTGTAAAACTAAACAAAATCATTGCTAGCAAGCCTACACTAAACCATTATTCAAACAATAGCATTTTCATACTAGTGCATGCGAAAGATCTCACAATGTCTGTATTTTTGACTTTTGTGAACTCACATTTTGTTAAAATACATACATTTGTTTTGGTTAATGGCGTTATTGCTGGGGTTACCGAAGTCTGAATGTAAGTTTGGATTTTTTTGTATTGTCGCGAGATTACATGAAATCATGCTCACGAAGTTCTTGAACCAATCAAAATCTTTCTTGGATCATGTACACGAAGTTCTTGAACCAATCAAAATCTTTCTTGGATCATGCACACGAATTTCTTGAATCAATCAAATCTTTCTTGGATCATGCTCACGAAGTTCTTGAACCAATCAAAATCTTTCTGGGATCATGCACACGAAGTTCTTGAACCAATCAAAATCTTTCTGGGATCATGCACACGAAGTTCTTGAACCAATCAAAATCTTTCTTGGATCGTTTCGCGCGAGTGTGTCACTAACAACTATTATGAAACATGATTTACTTGAATTATATTAAAACATTATATATGTTATTTACCCGAGGCCCTGAGCTGGCCACTTTACAAGTTTAGTTTTAATAATTGGATATGTCAATGTAGTGTATGGTTTTAAGTAACAAGAGTTGTTGATATATATTTTATAATATGTTATCATATTCCAACGCTTAAAAACGCAGACAAAGTCTTAGGCTACAAATGCTGTGTATGGATAAGTTTTTAGAATGTATTGAATCACTTTAAAAGTTGAAAGTTCCTCAATCTAAATGCCATGAATATTTAATTCACGGTGCATTTGACACATGGCACAAGAACCACACCATGCGAGAACACAGAAATCTTCACAAATACTTCCCTAAAATACAAATTAAATTGTTTTGTTATTACAATTTTAATTTCAGTTGTCTTAAGACTTTCAAGTTATTCCACAAGATGAAAAACAGCATGTTTTTAAGACCCAGAAGATGCTGTCGCTAAAAGAGGTTTTTTAACTTACTATACCTTAATATTATGCCTCAATCTGATCTTGGTTCTCAAAGCAAACGGACAATACATCCCCACACAACAGCATTCTTTAGCCAAGCTAGCTACGACGCAGCTGTGAATAGCTGGGCAACAGTAAGCGAAGCAACCTTCAACAAGGCAAAAAATCAAGCCTAAGCACTCATACTTCACAGTAGCAACAAAACACATGATACAGTGTGCATAAAACATGAAATTAAACTTTTATTAGGCCATTGTCCATTTGGTATTGGGTTTTTCGTCCTTAGCTTTCCAATGATGTGTTATTTATTTTATAATATTTATAAATGATCGAGTGCTTCGAATTGCAAGGCAAAAATGCATTTTCATCATTGGGAATAGAGTGTTGTTGATGAAGTTTCACAACCATTTTAAGTGCAAAAACAAATGCACGATTACCAGTAACAGTTTGATTCAATTTTTTACACACATTCTCTACAATCGTGTAATCGTCACTTACATATTCCACAATCGTCACAACAACTACATAAGCCAGTGCTCCAATCACGTTCACCTTGGATCATAATTTGCTGAGGTTGTTGCTGTAGCACAACAGTTGTGTTGTTAGTGCTCTGCTGCTGCATGAAGCCAGGATGTGTCATTGGCTGTTGTTGCATGCCGGTTGTCCTGGATATGGTAGGGTGTATTGTGGAGGGGGCTCCATTTTATCATTATACCCTGGTTCTATTGTTGGATTGTACATTTTGGTATTGGACACTGAACTAAAGAAACATAAGTTGAATTACAAACGGTTTCAGATGACATTGAATTGATAATGATAATGATAAGAAATACAGGACGATGATAAGCAATGGTAGTGATGTAGAGAGGGGGATGTTGTGATTCTTGTGAAGGGGTGGTGTATAGAGTGGTATTCGTGTATGGAGTGGGACAGTGAGTGGCAATGGTATATGGAGTGGGACAGTGAGTGGCAATGGTGTATGGAGTGGGATAGTGAGTAGTAGTGGTGCATAGAGTGGGATAGTGAGTGGTTATGATGTATGGAATGGGATAGTGAGTGGTAGGTGTTGTCAAATAACCTTGCTAAAAGTAACTATAGTTACATTTAACTTTTTTGACGAATGGTAACGGTTTGCATTTTCATCAACAAAACTATGTAATAAAGTACTGACTGTCTCTTGTTTTTATCTTCAAATAGAAATACTTACTAAACACATTGTTGTCTGTTCATTTCTGAACTTCTTTGCATGCTAAATTTTTAAATAACTATATACGTTTTAGATTTTATATGAATTATTTTTCAACAAAGTTTGTCTGTTTAGATAATCGGAAATGTTTAATTTAAATAAAATTTCATTTTGCGATGGTTTGTCAAAATTTCTGACAAAATGTTATTGTAAAAAAGATTCTACTGTAATAAATACTGTAATATATAAAGATATTACATCCTTTCTTGTTGGTCAAATTAAGTCCTCATTCTCACATATGTTGAGACAGAAGCAGTCATAAGTTATGCCTTAGTTTGTCATTCATTGCATGCACTAGTTCACTGGTATGTACAATATACCGCCTCCAACAGTGTTTGTGATTATATTTAAAGAGCTTGTATTTGCATTTAATATTTGTACGTTTTCTGTTTAGCGAGAATTTTGTATGTTAATACAACCAAATCATGAATAGAGGAAATTTTATAGCGCCTTTAAGCTTCATTCCTTATTTTTCGATCATTTATTATAAATGACATGCTCATCGATTTCTCAAACAATTTTCATTTAATAATCTAGAAATGTTCATAGCTACACAACTAGGTTTTACATTGGCGTACAATGAAAAAACTTAAGTTGCTTAATACCACTCTCTAACGAAGCAAATTGTGTTTCGTTAAAAAGATATCATCAAATATTCGCAATTTAGAAGAAAACTACGAGGAAATTACAGTAATAGCTATTTTACAAAAAATGTGGCTTTGTTTCGTTTTCACAACATCAATTACCTATTTACCGTTGAATTTCTTCACTTTCTCAATTTCTTAGGCAAGCTTTTAGGATGTACTTTCTTCGCAAGTTAACGATAACTTCACCTTTGCTGTTTACACGTAAGCAACATTATTCATGCTGTGATTCTATACAAATTGTTAAATCCATATTATAAAGAATAGATAAAGAAAATTGCATAGCTTGAAGTAAGCCGGCATGATTCCGGGACCAAATCCCCGAAACGATTTTATATCAGTTTGAAGCAACGACAAAACCATAAATATTTTACTCATTCATCTTTTGTACAAATGAAGACCACGAAACGCGAGAAACGTTTCTCATAACACTTGTTCTCAATACAGGAGACCCCAAGGTGCATAGAATACGTGAAATTGTTTCAATACCTTTTTGCTAAATGATCATGCTGCGAAATATTGATTTAGTATCCATATTGCATGTTGGTTTCGCTTTCCAACGCCGGCTCACATATTTTTGTATTGAAGTAAAATCTTTTCTATGAACTTTACACAACCTAGCAACTTTACAATTTTAATATTTAATTCACGGTCCATTTGACACATAGCAAGGAACCGCAGTATGCCATAACAAACCAATCATTAACGATACTTCCCTAAAGTAGAAACAAAATTCTCATGCAAATACAAATTCAAAACTTTTTAAGATGTTCTACGACATTAATTATAGCACCATTAAATAGTTCACTAAAAGGTATCTTTTACTTACTGCAATATTATGCCTTGTTCTGATCTTGGTTCGAAGAGCAACAGGACAACAGCATGCAACACAACTACATTCACCAGCTTTGCCACTCACAACACAAGAGTGAATGAGCGGGCAGCAAAACGCAAATAAACCTTCAACGATAAAAGTAATTATCTTAGATGCTTATACCTAACAACAGCAGTAAAACATGTTATGTATAACTATGTAATTGTCACCTACATACTCCAATATCTTCAAAACAACCACATAAGCCAGTGCTCCAATCCTGTGGACCTTGGATGACAACTTGCTGAGGTTGCTGCTGTATCACAACAGTTGTGTTGTTAGTGCTCTGTTGTTGCATGAAGCCAGGCTGTGGCATTGGCTGTTGTTGCATAGGTTGTCCTGGATATGGTTGGGTGTAATGTGGAGGGGTATCCATTTTATCATTATACCCTGGTTCTAATGTTGGATTGTACATTTTGGTATTGGACACTGAACTAAATAAACATAAGTTGAACTAAAAGAGTGGGTTAGTGAGTTGTAGTCATGTATGGAGGGGATAATGAAATGTGGTGATGTATTGAGTAGAATGGTTAGTGGTAATAGTGTATGGAATGGGATAGTAAGTGGTCGGTAGTGTCAAGTACTTCATTACAAGTAACTATAGCTATTCTTAAGTTGTTATTCGTGAAATGTTTTTTAACGTAATAAAAAAATAATAAAAGAAAACAAAAAACTCGTCGTTTAAATTAAATGCGCATTAGCGATAGTGCTTTTGCGAAATTATGATTACAAACGATAAAAGACGTAAAACTAAAAAGTGTCAAGCTACAAATGCTGTATAGACAGGTTGTTACATCACATTGAATCATTTTAAAAGTTGGAAGTTCGTCAATCTAAATGCCATGAGCATCTAATTCACGTTCCATTTGGCACATAGCACAAGCTCCCCAGTTAGACAAAACACAGTTATCTTCCCAGATACTTCCCTAAAGAAAAAGACAAAATTTCATATAGTTTCAATGCCAAAAATGTCCAACTTGTTGACATAAAAAAAACAGTATTTTAAAGAAAAGAGAAGAAGTCAAATGATGTTTAACCAACCTTAATTCAAAAAAAAACAACAATTTGTTTTAACTTACTTTAATATTATGTTTTGTTCTGATCTTGGTTCTCAGAGCAACTGGACACATCAAAGCAACACAACAGCATTCACCAGCTTTGCCACTTACAATTATCCTGTGAATAACTGGGCAAAAACATCCAAGTAAACCTTCAACAATACAAAAAATTTATCTTAAATAGTCATACCTAACAACAGCGATAAAACATGTTATATATAACTACGTAATTGTCTCTTACATCCGCTACAATCATCACAGCAATCGCATAAGTCAGTGCTCCAATCACGTGGGCCTTGAAGGACAACTTGCTGAGGTTGTTGCACTACAACAACAGTTGTGTTGTTAGTGCTCTGTTGTTGCATTAAGCCAGGCTGTGGCATTGGCGGTCGTGGCATTGTCTCTACTTGCGCGGGATTATCCATATTGAAGCCTTTATACTTCTATATAATTGTTTAATGAATTTTTATGAACAAATGAAACAAATAAGAGAGCGTTATCCCAGGTTATGATGATAAATATAGGGATTACAGGACCACAAAAAGTAACGGTAGTTGTGTATGGAGTGGAAGTAGTGGGTGGCAATGGTGCATGAAATGAGAGTAATTAGTGGTAGTGGTGTATGGAGTGGGAGTAGTAGGTGGTAATGGTGTATTGAGTGGGAGTAGTTAGTGGTAATAGTGTATGGAGTGGGAGTAGTTAGTGGTTGTAATGTATGGTATGGGATAATGAGTGTTTGTGATGTATGGAATGGGATAGTGGGTGGTAGTGATGTATGGAGTGAGATAGTGAGTGGTAGGTGTTGTCAAATAACCTTGCTAAAAGTAACTATAGTTACATTTAACTTTTTTGACGAATGGTAACGGTTTGCATTTTCATCAACAAAACTATGTAATAAAGTAGTGACTGTCTCTTGTTTTTATCGTCAAATAGAAATACCGACTGAACACATTGTTGTGTGTTCATTACTGAACTTCTTTGCATGCTAAATTTTTAAATAACTATATACGTTTTAGATCTTATATGAATTATTTTTCAACAAAGTTTGTGTGTTTAGATAATCGGAAATGTTTAATTTAAATAAAATTTCATTTTGCGATGGTTTGTCAAAATTTCTGACAAAATGTTATTGTAAAAAAGATTCTACTGTAATAAATACTGTAATATAAAAAGATATTACATCCTTTCTTGTTGGTCAAATTAAGTCCTCATTCTCACATATGTTGAGACAGAAGCAGTGATAAGTTATGCCTTAGTTTGTCATTCATTGCATGCACTAGTTCACTGGAATGTACAATATACCGCTTCCAACAGTGTTTCTGATAATATTTACAGAGCTTGTATTTGCATTTAATATTTGTACGTTTTCTGTTTAGCGAGAATTTTGTATTTAATACAACTAAATCATGAATATAGGAAATTCTATAGCACCTTTAGGCTTCATTCCTTATTTTTTGATCATTTATTATAAAAGACATGCTCATCGATTTCTCAAACAATTTTCATTTAATAATCTAGAAATGTTCATAACTACATAACTAGGTTTTACATTGTCTTTGCGTACAATGAAAAAACTTAAGTTGCTTAATACCACTCATCAACGAAGCAAATTGTGTTTCATTAGAAAATATCAAATATTCGCAATTTACGAGAAAACTACGAGGAAGTTAAAGTATTAGCCACTTTACAAAGAATGTGGCTTTGTTTCGTTTTTACAACATCAATTACCTATTTACCGTTGAATTTCTTCACTTTCTCAATTTCTTAGGCAAGCTTTTCCAGGATGTACTTTCTTCGCAAGTTAACGATAGCTTCACCTTTGCTGTTTACACGTAAGCAACATTATTCATGCTGTGATTCTATACAAATTGTTAAATCCATATTTTAAAGAATAGATAAGGAAAAATGCATAGCTTGAAGTAAGCCGGCATGATTCCGGGACCAAATCCCCGAAACGATTTTATATCAGTTTGAAGCAACGACAAAACCATAAATGTTTTACTCGTAAATTCATTCATCTTTTCAAATCAAAATCAAATCAAAAATTGTTTAATATGAATGCATCTTGCAGTTTTTACAACTGAATTACGTGTATAATACACCATTATTATACATAATTACAAAAATACAGTTATTTACAAGCATTAAGATTAATAATAGTAAAACTCGAATAAAGATTAAATAAAAGATATATTACATAAGCAGATCGAATGTACAACATATGGGCAACCTACAATTTAAGAGATATGTTCGTCTGAGAAATTTGGAATAAAAGAGTTTTTAAAACGATTTGTGCAATATTTAGTTGCATAAAATATTTTATTTGTCCTTAGCTGATTATAAATGCCATCAGTTCTTTGAGGTAGTAAATTGTAAAGTTTGTGATTCTTATTCTAACTATATCATTGAAGGATCTCCTACTGAGAGATTCATGTCTGTCAAATAGGGTCGGAATATCAGCTGTGGTTAATGCATCTTTATAATGTGCTCCAGGAAATATGATGCCCATGGCTCTCTTTTGTATACGCTCTAAATCATCAGATAGATATTTTTATTTTTGTAGAGCAGAGTGAAATACTTGGCAACAGTACTCTTCTTTTTGTACAAATGAAGACCACGAAACGCGAGAAACGTTTCTCATAACACTTGTTCTCCATACAGGAGACCACAAGGTGCACAGAATACGTGAAATTGTTTCAATACCTTTTTGCTAAGTGATCATGCTGCGAAATATTGATTCAGTATCCATATTGCATGTTGGTTTCGCTTTCCACCGCCGGCTCACATATTTTTGTATTGAAGTAAAATCTTTTCTATAAACTTTACACAAGCTGGCAACTTTACAATTTTAATTCTAGTGTTTGATGTTTAAAAATGTGTAGGTGCAGTGTTTGTTAGAGAAACAAGATTACTTTTACAATTCGACAATAAGTTTACGTTGAAAAGTATTGATTTATTTACACGTAAATACATCGTGTATTTTTGTATCGTTTCTTTATCTTAGCTCAGGATGCAATGTTGGTCATTGTAACATGAATAGTTTTTATAAGCTTCAAAACATTTTATTGATTATAAAATATTACAAACGATAAAAGCCATACAAAGTGTCAAGCTACAAATGCTATATAGAGAGGTTGTTACATCACATTGAATCATTTTAAAAGTTGAAAGTTCCTCAATCTAAATGCCACGAATATTTAATTCTCGGTCCATTTGACACATAGCAAGAGAACCGCAGTATGCCATAACAAACCAATCATTAACGATACTTCCCTAAAGTAGAAACAAAATTCTCATGCAAATACAAATTCAAAACTTTTTAAGATGTTCTACGACATTAAATATTGCACCATTAAATAGTTTACTAAAAAAGGTATGTTTTACTTACTGCAATATTATGCCTTATTCTGATCTTGGTTCGAAGAGCAACAGGACAACAGCATGCAACACAACAACATTCACCAGCTTTGCCACTCACAACACAAGAGTGAATGAGCGGGCAGCAAAACGCAAATAAACCTTAAACGATAAAAAAAATTATCTTAGATGCTCATACCTAACAACAGCAATAAAACATGTTATATATAACTATGTAATTGTCACTTACATACTCCAAAATCTTCAAAGCAACCACATAAGCCAGTGCTCCAATCCTGTGGACCTTGGATGACAACTTGCTGAGGTTGCTGCTGTATCACAACAGTTGTGTTGTTAGTGCTTTGTTGTTGCATGAAGCCAGGCTGTGGCATTGGCTGTTGTTGCATAGGTTGTCCTGGATATGGTTGGGTGTACTGTGGAGGGGCCTCCATTTTATCATTATACCCTGGTTCTATTGTTGGGTTGTACATTTTGGTATTGGACACTGAACTAAAGAAACATAAATTGAACTACAAACGGCTTCAGACGCCATTGAATTGATCTTTGAAACATATTCTTCGTCACTGTTATTGGTAATTCGTGATAATGATAATGATAAGAATACAGGATGACCTATAGCAATGGTAGTGATGTAGAGAGGGGGGATGTTGTGATTCTTGTGAAGGGTGGTGTATAGAGTGGTATTCGTGTATGGAATGGGACAGTGAGTGGCAATGGTATATGGAGTGGGAGTAGTTAGTGGTAGTGGTGTATGAAGTGGGATAGTGAGTAGTAGTGGTGCATAGAGTGGGATAGTGAGTGGTTGTGATGTATGGAATGGGATAGTGAGTGGTAGGTGTTGTCAAATAACCTTGCTAAAAGTAACTATAGTTACATTTAACTTTTTTGACGAATGGTAACGGTTTGCATTTTCATCAACAAAACTATGTAATAAAGTAGTGACTGTCTCTTGTTTTTATCTTCAAATAGAAATACTGACTGAACACATTGTTGTTTGTTCATTACTGAACTTCTTTGCATGCTAAATTTTTAAATAAATATATACGTTTTAGATTTTATACGAATTATTTTTCAACAAAGTTTGTGTGTTTAGATAATCGGAAATGTTTAATTTAAATAAAATTTCATTTTGCGATGGTTTGTCAAAATTTCTGACAAAATGTTATTGTAAAAAAGATTCTACTGTAATAAATACTGTAATATATAAAGATATTACATCCTTTCTTGTTGGTCAAATTAAGTCCTCATTCTCACATATGTTGAGACAGAAGCAGTGATAAGTTATGCCTTAGTTTGTCATTCATTGCATGCACTAGTTCACTGGAATGTACAATGTACCGCTTCCAACAGTGTTTCTGATAATATTTACAGAGCTTGTATTTGCATTTGATATTTGTACGTTTTCTGTTTAGCGAGGATTTTGTATTTTAATACAACTAAATCATGAAAATAGGAAATTTTATAGCACCTTTAAGCTTCATTCCTTATTTTTCGATCATTTATTATAAATGACATGCTCATCGATTTCTCAAACAATTTTCATTTAATAATCTAGAAATGTTCATAGCTACATAACTAGGTTTTACATTGGCGTACAATGAAAAAACTTAAGTTGCTTAATACCACTCTCTAACGAAGCAAATTGTGTTTCGTTAAAAAAATATCATCAAATATTCGCAATTTAGGAGAAAACTACGAGGAAATTACAGTAATAGCTATTTTACAAAAAATGTGGCTTTGTTTCGTTTTCACAACATCAATTACCTATTTACCGTTGAATTTCTTCACTTTCTCAATTTCTTAGGCAAGCTTTTAGGATGTACTTTCTTCGCAAGTTAACGATAACTTCACCTTTGCTGTTTACACGTAAGCAACATTATTCATGCTGTGATTCTATACAAATTGTTAAATCCATATTTTAAAGAATAGATGAAGAAAATTGCATAGCTTGAAGTAAGCCGGCATGATTCCGGGACCAAATCCCCGAAACGATTTTATATCAGTTTGAAGCAACGACAAAACCATAAATGTTTTACTCGTAAATTCATTCATCTTTTGTACAAATGAAGACCACGAAACGCGAGAAACGTTTCTCATAACACTTGTTCTCCATACAGGAGACCACAAGGTGCATAAAATACGTGAAATTGTTTCAATACCGTACCTTTTTGCTAAGTGATCCTGCTGCGAAATATTGATTCAGTATCCATATTGCATGTTGGTTTCGCTTTCCAAAGCCGGCTCACATATTTTTGTATTGAAGTAAAATCTTTTCTATAAACTTTACACAAGCTGGCAACTTTACAATTTTATTTCTCGCGTTTGATGATGAAAAATGTGTAGGTGCAGTGCTTGTTAGAGAAACAAGATTACTTCTACAATTCGACAATAAGTTTACGTTGAAAAGTATTGATTTATTTACACGTAAATACATCGTGTATTTTTGTATCGTTTCTTTATCTTAGCTCAGGATGCAACGTTGGTTAGAGTAACAGGAATAGTTTTTATAAGCTTCAAAATATTTTATTGATTATAAAATATTACAAACGATAAAAGCCATACAAAGTCTCAAGATACAAATGATATATAGAGAAGTTGTTACATCACATTGAATCATTTTAAAAGTTGAAAGTTCCTCAATCTAAATGCCATGAATATTTAATTCTTGGTCCATTTAACACATAGCAAGAGAACCGCAGTATGCCATAACAAACCAATCATTAACGATACTTCCCTAAAGTGGAAACAAAATTGTTATGCAAATACAAATTCAAAGCTTTTTAAGATGTTCTACGACATTAATTATAGCACCATTAAATAGTTCACTAAAACAGCTATCCTTTACTTACTGCAATTTATGTCTTGTTCTGATCTTGGCTCGAAGAGCAACAGGATAACAGCATGCAACACAACAACATTCACCAGCTTTGCCACTCACAACACAAGAGTGAATGAGCGGGCAGCAAAGGGCAAATAAGCCTTCAACAATAGAAAAAATGTATCTTAAATATTCATACCTAACAACAGCAATAAAACATTTTATATATAACTACGTAATTGTCACTTACATCCTCCACAATCTTCAGAGCAACCACATAAGCCAGTGCTCCAATTACGTGGACCTTGGATGACAACTTGCTGAGGTTGTTGCTGTACCACAACAGTTGTGTTGTTAGTGGTCTGCAGTTGCATGAATCCAGGATGTAGCATTGGCTGTTGTGGCATTGACTCTAGTTGCACTGTTTTTTTTTTCATATCGAAGCCTTTAAAATTTTATGTAATTGCACAACTTAAAGTAACTGCACATTATTTGAGGACCAAACATCATAAATCCTGAGACAATTTATATCAGTTTAAAGCAACGACAAAACCATAAATCTATTGTTTCTAAATTAATTCATTTTTTGTAAAATGGACGACCTTAGAGCGCCATCATTTTGAGACTTTAGAAAAAATCCGAGAAATCATCAATGGACAAAAGTTCAGATCTTCGTATAACCCTTTAGGTTAGCAAAACGTTTCTCATAACGCAGCTGGTCTTTATGCTTTGATTTAGAATCACTAGGGGAGCAAAGTCTGAGTAAAATGTTTGAAAACGTCTGAATAATTGTTTTGTGGCGTGAAATGATGACAAATTCGCGACATATGACAAGTTTGAATAAATTTACGTTGACAAATTATGATTTAATTATACATAAAGTCATTGTATTTTCGCGTTTTTTCTTTGTCTTAGTCGAGGCTAAAAAACAAGCATCTTTACAGGCTTAGTAAAGTGGAAAAGAGACAAAAACTTATAGATTCTTGAGTGTGATCGTGCAATGTTGGTTAGAGAAGCAAAATTATTTACTACATATTGTGGAACGAATTATTGATTATACGATTATCATTATAAACAAAATAAAGACGTACGAGTACAAAGTCTCAGGCTGCAAATGCTATCTAGAAAAGTTGTTACAACACATTGAATCACTTTAAAAGTTAAAAGTTCTTCAAAATCTAAATGCCGTTGTTGTTTATTTCACGTTCCATTTGACACATTGCAAGAGGCCAACAGCAACATATGACACAGCAGTCTTCAAGAAGACTTCCCTAAAGAAAGAAAAAAACAAAATCGTCATGAACAACGATCTTATAATTTTTTCAAGTTTACTAGAACTTAGCAAACAACACAATTGAAATCGCATGTATTTTTTTAACCTTGGAAGATGTTGTCGTTAAATAAGATATGTTCCACTTACTGCAATATTATGCCTTGTTCTGATCTTGGCTCTCAAACCAACTGGACAGCAACATCCAGCACAACAACATTCACCAGCCTTGCTACTAACGATGCACCAGTGAATATATGGGCAAAGAAACCCAATTAAACCTTCAAGAAAACAAAAAATCCATCTTAAATACTCAGACAACTGTAATCGAAGATGTCACATAATTAAATTACATACATCCTGCAAGATCATCAAAACAACTACATAATCCAGTGCTCCAATCACGTGGACCTTGAATGACAACTTGCTGAGGTTGCTGCTGTATCACAACAGTTGTGTTGTTGGTGCTTTGCTGTTGCATGAAGCCAGGTTGTAGTTGCACGGCATTGTCCATGTTGAAGATTAAAATTCTTTATAAATGCTTAATGGATTTTAGTAAAGAAATGAAAGAAATAAGATCATGTGATCATAGGCTATAATGATAAAGATAAGGAGTACAGGACGACAAAAAGTAACAGTAATGGTGTATGGAGTGGGAGTAGTGGGTGGTAATGGTGTATGGAGTGAGAGTAGTGAGTGGTAATGGTGTATGGAGTGAGTGTAGTGAGTGGTAATGGTGTATGGAATGGGTGTAGTTAGTAGCGTGTGGAGTGGGTGTAGTTAGGTGAATGTAGTGTATGGTGAGAGTGTAGTAATGGGTGTGGCGTGTGGATAGAATGGTGTATGGAGTGAGAGTAGTTAGTAATGTGGAAGTGGTGTGTAGTGTGGATGTGGTGTAAATTAGTGGTAATGGTGTGAGTGTAGTAGCGTATGGAGTTAGTGGAGTGTAATGGTGTATGGAGTGGGTGTAGGATGAGTGTGGAGTGTAGGTATGCGTAGTGTGCGTAGTTAGTGGTGTGGAGTGCATGGGCGTGTAGTGTGGATGTGTGTAGTGGGATGGTGGTGTGGTGGATGGGTGAGTGTAATGGAGTGTGGTGCGTGTGGAGCAGTGTAGTGGTAATGGTGTGTTGGTGTATGGTGTAGGCGTATGTGAGTTAGGTAGTGCGTGTGGAGTTGTGTGTGGTGTGTGAGTAGTAGTTAGTAGCGTGTGGAGTGGGTGTAGTTAGTAGTAATGGTGTATGGAGTGAGTGTAGTTAGTAGCGTGTGGAGTGGGTGTAGTTAGTGGTAATGGTGTATGGAGTGAGTGTAGTTAGTGGTGGTGATTTATATAACTTGGGAGTATCGTCTAACAATTAGAACAAAACAGTATTTAGAACTATGTAATAAAGTACTGACTGTCTCCTTTTATAGCATGATTTGAGGTTCTCAATTAGCAGACGTTGACACCTGAGGAGTAGTCTGCCAAAATGCATAGTGTCTCTTTCTAACTGTAAATAACGGTTCCTTTGAATTGTTGGGTTAGTGTTTTGGTTAAAACAGTTCTTTTAAGAACTATTACATTGTTATTATCACCATTCACCATGGTATTTGCTATTTTGAAATCCATCTTTTTTTTTTATCTCCAAATAGATATACTGACTGAATACATTGTGTGAATATCTGTGTATTACTAAACTACTGTTCATGGTGAATTTTTAAAAAATAAACGTTCTACTGAGACTTTTTATGAAATACTTTTGAACAAAGTTTGCCTGTTTAAATTAATCAAAAGTTTCATTTTGCGTGTATCTCAAAATTTCTGTTAAAATCTTCTCGTAAAAAGGATTCCTCTACAGTAAATAATATTATAAAACTAAAATAGAGACTTTGTCGTGGTGATAAATCTGAAAATTGTTCTGAATATCGCAAATACCATGGTGAATGGTAAAAGTAATAAGGTTCTTAAAAGAACTGTTTTAAAGAAAGAGCATTAACCCAATATTTCTATTAATAGCCCGTTATAACCCAATAGCACAAACCTACTAGTTTCATAACATTTCTTTTAGAACTATTGGGTTTGTGCTCTTTACGTAAAACAGTTCTTTTAAGAACTGTTAACTTATTACTTTTACCATTCACCATGGTATTTGCGATCTTTCGAACGATTTTCGTATATAAAACTATCGCACACCTTCCCTAATGTCGAGATCAAAGTAGAGGCAAGTTATGCACAAATGTGATGCATCACTTCACTGGTATGTACAATGTACCGCCCTCTACTAGTGTTTCTGATTACGTTTGAGATCTTGTATTTGCATTTGATATTCGTATACATTTTCTCTTGAGCGAGGATTTTGTATTTTAATACATTAACTATATCATGATGATAGGAAATGTTATAGCACTTTTTTCATCATTTTTGGTGTTTATTATTGAAATTATGCTCGTCGATTTCGTAACAATCTTCCGTTTGAAATGTTCATTTCACATATCTAGGTTTTCCTTGTCTCCTGCATTTACCAATAAAGCAAACCCGAGTTAATAAAATAAAAACTTTTTGCGGAGGAAGTCGCGAAACAACTGCTTCATTAAAAAACGAAACTAAATTATAAATTCTGAGGTGTGACGACAATAAGCAATTTACCAAGAAAACTACGAAGAAAATAAAATTCATACGTTACAAAGAATGTCTTTGTAACGTATTGACAAAATGAATAACCTACTTACCGTCGAATTTATTTAATTTCCCAGTTTCCTAGGCAAACTTTTGGAATGTACGTTCTTCTGCAAGCTAAACGATTTCACTTATGCGTACACGTCTGCAAAAGCCCACATACTGTGATGTTGAACACATAAGTGCATATTTTAAAGCACAAACAACGGAGAATAATATTACTCATCTTAATAACCAAAGCATATTACCGAAGTATTACCTCCCTAAATTTCATATTTCTAAAGGCGCGACAATACCATAAATGTATTATTTCTAAATTCATTAATCTTATGTGAAAGAGAAGAGCGCAACGCGGTGATGACTTTGATTATAAATTTGTGCTAATTTCGGTGAATACTTGGTCACTGATCTGTTCTCGGTTTTCCACGTTTTACATCTAACTTTATGAATTACAATGGTATTCCTTCAGTTTCATATCGTTTGAAATAAACTTTCAGACGATTTTTCTTGTTAACTTTTGACCATTAAACTGGCAAATAAAATAAAGTCGAAATACAGCTGTAAAGTTTCAGTTGTTGAATAGCTATCTCGCAGAAATTTGTTACAAGGTTGAACAGGGATTGTTAGTTTTTTATAGTTAGAGTATGTCACATTTCATTGTGCTGCTCATGTGACCTTTGAAGTGTTCTTGTTGAGGGGACTGGGGGAGACCAAGCCATGAGGTTAGCAAAATGTTTCTTAATACAGACTTAATTGGTCTTTATAACTTTGATTTAAAATCATTAATAAACCAAAGGCTGCGTAAAATGTACGAATACTTGTTTTATGTGCGTGAAATGACGACAAATTCGTTGTACAAAAATAGATCATTGTATAATGTTAAGCTTTTTCTTTGTCTTAGTTTAGCCAACAAACAAGCAACTTTATAAAGTAAATGGTTTGAGCCCGGGAGTATCGTTGCATGCTTGTAAATGTAGATCGTCCAGGTTGGTATAGTCCTGAGAAGGACTGTTTTTGTTGTTGTTGACTGACGTTTCGACAACCTTAGCGGTAGTCATTTTCAGAGTCAAATGAGGAGTAAACGTCAGGTTAGCCGTATTTGTTATCTGGTTTCTACGTCATTGTATTGTGTGTACAGGAAATGTGTAGCCTCTTGTGTGTTCAACGGGGACTTAATTCTAAGTCCTGCTGGAACGAGACCAAAATCCTTGCAGCGGTGGTTGAACCAGAGTTGTTGGCGTATGCGTCTGACGTTGCTTGCAAAACGTATGTAGTCGTTAGCAAGTTGTTTGCTCTGTCGTCCAAATGATCGTAATAAACAACAACTTGCTAACGAGAAAACATCAGGTACGGCTAACAAATACGGTTAACCTGACGTTTACTCCTCATTTGACTCTGAGGATGACTACTGCTAAGGTTGTCGAAACGTCAGTCAACAACAACACTAACAGTCCTTCTCAGGACTATACCAACATGAACGATCTACATTTACAAACATGCAAGCAACTTTATCTTGGCAATAATGAAAAAAACCACCTTGCATGATATGGAGTCTTGATTGCGTAGGTGAAATGTTCGTTAGAAAAGCAAGATTAGTTAGGTTTTGCAACAATTTATTGACTATAAGACATTACACAAAAGGTAAATTAAAGACTAACAAAGTATCAGGCTACAAATGCCGTCTACATATGTATCCAGTTGTTACATCACGCTGAATCACTTTAAAAGTTAAAAGTTCTTCAGTCTAAATGCCGTTGTTGTTTATTTCACGGTCCATTTGACACATGGCACAAGGATAACAACATGCCAGAACAAAGCAGTCACAAACGATACTTCCCTAAATATAAAAACAAAATCGTCATGCAGTTGAAATTTCAAAACTTTTTATTACTCTGAGGTATTCCAGAGCATAGCAAACAGCATCATTAAAACAGCATGTTTTTCGAGGCCCAGAAGATGTTGTCGTTAAGAAAACATTTGTTTTACTTACGTTGATATTATTCCTTGTTCTGATCTTCGTTCTTAAAGCAACTGGACAACACATTCCAACACAACAACATTCACCAGCTTTGCCACTCACAACACAAGTGTGAATGAGCGGGCAGCAATACGCAAATATACCTTGAACAATACAAAAAAATGCATCTTAAATACTCGTATTTAACAACAGCAGTAAAACATTATATATAACTATGTAATTATCACTTACATCCTCCACAGTCTTCAAAGCATCCGCATAAGCCAGTGCTCCAACCACGCGAACTTTGGATGACAATTTGCTGAGGTTGTTGCTGTATCACAACAGTTGTGTTGTTAGTGCTCTGCTGCTGCATGTAGCCAGGCTGTGGCATTGGCTGTTGCTGCATGTAGCCAGGCTGTGGCATTGGCTGTTGTTGTATGTAGCCAGGTTGTATTTGCACGGGATTATCCATTTTTAATTCTCTATAATTGGTGTGTGGAGTAAGAATAGTGAGTGGTAGTGGTGGATGGTGTGGGGGTAAAGAAAGGTAGTGGTGGATGGTGTGGTGGTAGTGAGAGGTAGTGGATGGTGTGGTGGTAGTAAGAGGTAGTGGTGGATGGTGTGGGGTGAATGAGAGGTGGAAATGGATGGATGTGGTGGAATGGAGGGGTGGATGGTGGATGGATAGGAGGATGGAAGATAATATGAAAGATATATGTGGAGAAAGAAATGGAGGTAGTAAATAAAGGAAGGAGTGTAAAACAAAGAGGAAAGGAATGATGGAATGGATAAAATAGAAAAGGATGGTGGCGGTGAAAGAAAGAAGGGAAAACGATGTATAAATGGCGGCGATAAAAAGGAAGACGCATGGCGTAAATGAAAAGAAATAATAAAGCAAGATGGCGTATAATTATAAGGATAATTTGGAAAATCAAAATGATAAGGAAATGATGTGCGGAAGCGATAAGGAAGGGTGTAAAATGATAAAAAAGTAATGCATAGGTGTTGATGCAGCGGATGTACGCGTAGAAGTAAATAAGTGCGGTAATGGCGAGTGATGCGAAAGTGATGTAATGTATAGGCGGTGAAAGATGATGTGCGGTAGTGATAAGGTGATGCAATGGCGTGCAAAGGAGTAAGTGGTGACTGTATGGTGAGTGATGATGGTAGTGATATGGTGTGCTGGTGTGAATGGATGTATGGTGTGGTGGTAGTGAGAGGAGTGATGTATGGTGTGGTGGTAGTGAGAGGTAGTGATGTATGGTGTGGTGGTAGTGAGAGGTAGTGATGTATGATGTGGTGGTAGTGAGAGGTAGTGATGTATGGTGTGGTGGTAGTGAGAGGTAGTGGTGGATGGTGTGGTGGTAGTGAGAGGTAGTGGTGGATGGGTGTAGTGAGAGGGGTTTGCTCACCCGTCCATAATAAAGGTCCAGCTATTTTAAGCGAAATCTTTTATTTGTTTCAAAAAAAAATTTCCGGAACTATTCTGAGCTATCAATTTACAAATTATAAATAAAGCGATTTATATAACTTAGAAGTATCGTCTAACAATTAGAACAAAACAACATTTAGAACTATGTAATAAAATACTAACTGTCTCGTGTTTTTATCTTGAAATAGAAAGACTGACTGAATACATTGTTGTGTGTTCATTAGCGAAGCCAGTTTGATCTTTTACTTCACGCACAATGCAAATTTTTCATCGAAAATATTTTTCATTTCTTTTGAAAATTAATTCCATTCATTGTGATTAAAAATAAAAATATTTGCCTTTGTGTCGTAAGAAACGGAGTAGCTTTGTTACTGTGTCTGTTGAACACTGGATGGCGAGTTTTAAAAAAGGAACGTTGTAGACATTATATGAACTATTTTTGAACTAATTTTGTCTGTTTAGGTAATCGGAAATGCTTGAATTATTTAAACTTTCATTTTTCAGAAATATCTCAAAATTTCTAATAAAATCGTATTTTGCTATAATAAGCAACAATTTGTAAAGCCATTGCACACTTTTTCATCAGAAAAATCAATCATCGACCTCCTAAATGTTGAAAGCAAGTTTTTATATAATAACATGCTTCATTTCACTGTCATGTAAAATTACTGCTTCTTTATTTATTTTCGATAATTTTCAAGCATTTGCATTCGATATTTTTTCGTTTCCTGCTTAGCGAGGATTCGTTTTTAATGCACAAACTATCCGGATGCCTGATAAGAAATGTCATTGCGTTGTTTATCCATTGTTCATTTATTATTTACGACATATTTATCGAATTTCAAAACAATTTTCAGTTATCTTGAAATGTTCTTAACTACATAACTACATTTTCTGGGTGCAAAGAATGCCTTTGCATCGTTTTCACAATACGAAGATGAAATACCTTTATATCTTACTGTCGATTTTCTTCACTTCTTTTAAATCTTTCAGGCAACTGTCACGAAGTATTTCTTCTCGCAAGTTAACGATAATTTCACCTTCGTCGTACATAAGCAGTACTTACAGTAATTATCTTCGCATATAAGTGCATATTAAAAACCCGAAACAAGGAAGGATAAATCACAAATTAAAATAACCGGAATTTTCCAAGACAAATCACCGTAAACTACGTTTTTAAAGCAACGGCAAAATCATGAATGTATTCTTTCTAAATTCATGCATCTTTTTTCAAAAAAGAAGAACACAAACTTCTTAATGTTGATCATATATTCAAAATGACTTCTTTGAAAACTTGCAAAATTTTCAGTCGACACAAATTTGTGTAAAATGGCCATTGGGTTCTTAGGTCGGATCTCGGTATTTCATTGTTAGAAATAATGTGTTATCTCAGTAGAGTTTTTGTGTTGTTGCAAATTAATATTAAAAAAAAAAAGATTTTACTTTATTGTTTGACTGGAACTTCCTAAATGAAATGAAGGCGAAATATTTCTGTAAAATTTCAGTTGTTGTAAAGTGTGCCATGATGCCAAACGAGCGACACTTTACAGCTCTCTAAGTTATCCAGCCGAAGTCAGTTGGTTTTTCTTGTACAGTCAATTTATATACAATTGCGGATTATCCAGTAGGCTAAGTAATCTCCAGCCTACAGGACCAGACTTTCATGCCGTAGTATCTAGACATTATTAGTGTAAATATAGGCTTTTATTTCTTTTGATTCGTGGTAGTTGACAATGTGACAATGACTATCATTGATCTTGCTTGACCTCCTTCATCATTCGGCTCTATATCTATAGTTTGTATGATGAGATTACATTGTAACCAAGGTCAATATCATAGGAAGCCTGGGACCGAGTAAGATAAAGTATATAAATGACTAAGTTTGAGGAAGCTGGTCATTGTCCAAAAAGCTGGTCATAAATTAGTTTTTTTCGGTATTTTCATCGAAACGATCAGATGCAAGTATGTGGTTGTTGGTCTATCACCACAAAATGACCGGCCATATTATAAAATTGTAGAATGAATTGTATTACAAGGATTGCGGAACCTGTTCAAAAGTGCGTGTGTGGGGAGGGGGGAGGGGGGAGAATAGCGTAAGAAATACTCTAATAATAGAACCGAACCACGAACGCTGAACTTTTCTCATTTCTCAATAAACAACTTATCGATAAAATATTTGTCCACAGCAATGACAAACATTGTTCACAGCAATCAATCAAGAAATATGAAGGAATGTATTTACATAAATTGATTCTATAGGAAAAGCAACTTGATTTCAAGGGCCGCCTGTGGTTTGAATAAATATACGTTGTCATACATGGCGTGATTGAGCAAGCATGAATATTGCTTCAAAATCTTGAGATTTCAAAATTGATTCTGTTTGAAGTATGTTTTATTTTGTGTTGCTTCAAATTTTCAGTTGGTAAAGATTTTGTGGTTAGACTGCAGTTTAACGGACAAACCAACGGCGCATATCTTCTTCTAAAAAGTAATTGTTCAAGGCACAAAAGTCTCGCTCGTCAACAACCGCATAACTAAATCCTTTAGGTTAAAAATCGTTTCTCTCAACGGAGGCTTGGTCTCCCACGGGCCGCATAAAATACGTAAAATTATTTCAATACATTTTTCGCCCACGTTAATAATACACAACGAGAACGACGCCAAATTGACAAGTTGAAACAAGTTCCTGTTAAATCTTAAATATTGATTTAGTATCCATAGAAACACTGCATTTTTTGAGTATTTTCTTTTTTATCCGAGGCCATGTTGCTTTCGCTTTCCAACGCCGGGCTCACAGATTTTTGTATTAAAGTAAAATCTTTTCGATAAACTTTGCACAAGCTGGCAACTTTACAAGTTTAACTCTCGCGTTTGATGATTGAAAATGTGTAGATGCAGTGTTGGTTAGAGTAACAGGAATAGTTTACATATGCTTCAAAACATTTTATTGATTATATGATATTACAAACGATAAAAGCCATACAAAGTCTCAAGATACAAATGCTATATAGAGAAGTTGTTACATCACATTGAATCATTTTAAAAGTTGAAAGTTCCTCAATCTAAATGCCATGAATATTTAATTCTCGATCCATTTGACACGCGGCAAGAGGACCACAACACGCCAGAATACAGCAATCATCAACTATACTTCCCTATTTAAAGGAAAAATGAATTTGTTATGCAATTTCAATATAAGAAATGTATAAGCTCCTGATGTTTTTATGTAAGCTATTTTGGAATACAAAGAATATTTTATCAATGTTATTTGTGGCATTCAACAGGTGTGGGCAAATGTTATAGTTTGGTAAATTTATCCCAAGATAGATATCCATTGCAAGTCAAGAATCCCAGGGTATCAAAAACAGCAACCTTAAAGTGGCACATTTTCAATAAAATAACTTTTGAAACGAACAACAGGTAGACACAAAATGGATAAGTCTAACTTACTGCAATATTATGCCTTATTCTGATCTTGGTTCTCAGAGCAATAGGACAACAGCAAGCAACACAACAACATTCACCAGCTTTGCCACTCACAACACAAGAGTGAATGAGCGGGCAAAAAAGGGCAAATAAACCTTCAACAATACAAAAAAATTTATCTTAAATACTCATACCTAAGAACAGCAATAAAACATGTTATATATAACTATGTAATTGTAACTTACATCCTCCAACATCTTCAAAGCATCCGCATAATCCAGTGCTCCAATTACGTTGACCTTGGATAACAACTTGCTGAGGTTGCTGCTGTACCACAACAGTTGTGTTGTTAGTGCTTTGCTGTTGCATGAATCCAGGCTGTGGCATTGGCTGTTGTTGCATGAAGCCAGGCTGTGGCATTGGCTGTTGTTGTATGTAGCCAGGTTGCATTTGCATGGGATTATTCATTTTTTATTCTCTATAATTGGTGTATGGAGTGAGAGTAGTGAGAGGTAGTGATGTATGGTGTGGGGGTAGTGAAAGGTAGTGGTGGATGGTGTGGGAGTGATGTATGGTTTTGGAGTGATGTGGGAGTGATGTATGGTTTTCGAGTAGTGAGAGGTACTGGTGGATGGTGTTGGAGTAGAGAGAGGTAGTGTTGGATGGGGTGGGAGTAAGGAGGGGAAGTGGTGTGAGAAATTAGTGTAGTGGTGCTATATGAAGTGGGAGGGGTGAGTAAAGTTAATGGTGTCTTGATCTGAAGCGACCTAAATCCAGAAGGAGGAGTAGGGAGAGGGGTTTGCTCACCCGTCCATAATAAAGGTCCAGCTATTTTAAGCAAAATCTTTATTTGTTTAAAAAAAAATTTGCGGAACTATTTTGAGCTATCAATTTACAAATTATAAATAAAGCGATTTATATAACTTAGAAGTGTGTGTAGATAAAAAGCGGACGGCGGACGCAAAACGCGCAAAATAAAATGCTTTTAGTCCGATCGTAAAATATTCTTATTAAAATAAACGAACAATGCATTCTCACAACGCTAGTGGCAGATTTTTGCGTTTAAAACAAAGAACATGAGTGTTCCCCCTGTTGTCTCCAAATACATATTCAGGTTTGCATAATTATATACACATGAAGACTCTCGCAGTGAACTTAGCATCAACTTCATTATAATAACAAATGATATAATAAAGTGTTTAATGGAAGTGCGAAGTTTTCAATGGTGAGAAGAGAGATCCAACTTGTGGATAAGTGTGTTTTTTTTTACATGAAAAATTGGCAAAAACTTATCGTTTAAAACAGCTCGATGATGTGAATGAAATGTCGTCCATTTAAATAAATGAACACACTTACGTAACTTGCACTGGCTAAAATAATATACAATACTTGCTTTACTATTTTTGATCCAACCGGTTGTGATGTTTGTTGTTACTTTTTCCTAGTAACTTCTTCAAAAGAATATACATTCCAAGTATTCCGTGTCTTGCAAGCAATGTTCAATGTTTTAAAGGAAAACACTTAAAGGGGAACTCCACCCTCACATAATGTTGGTCTTAAAAGTTCCATTTTCATGCAAAGGTTACTATATTTTGAAATTTTGACATCAGTTATTTTATTTTTGACAAAATCGCGTCTTTAAGGGGGGTTGTAGATATAAAGCGTCCGCCATCCGCGTCTGCCGTCCGCGTCCGCTTTATATCTACACCCCTTAGAAGTATCGTCTAACAATTAGAACAAAACAACATTTAGAACTATGTAATAAAATACTAACTGTCTCGTGTTTTTATCTTGAAATAGAAAGACTGACTGAATACATTGTTGTGTGTTCATTAGCGAAGCCAGTTTGATCTTTTACTTCCCGCACAATGCAAATTTTTTATCAAAAAATATTTTTCATTTCTTTTGAATAATAATTCCATTCATTGTGATTGAAAATAAAAATATTTGCCTTTGTGTCGTAAGAAACGGAGTAGCTTTGTTACTGTGTCTGTTGAACACTGGATGGCGAGTTTTACAAAAAGTTACGTTGTACACATTATATGAACTATTTTTGAACTAATTTTGTCCGTTTAGGTAATCGGAAATGCTTAAATTAATTATCAAATGTCATAAATATCTCAAAATTTTTAATAAAATCGTATTTTGCTATAATAAGCAACAACTTGTGAAGCTATTGCACACTTTTTCATCAGAAAAATCAATCATCGCCCTCCTAAATGTTGAAAGCAAATTTTGATATAATAACATGCAACATTTCACTGGTATGTAAAATGACTGCTGCTTTATTTATTTTCGATAATTTTCAAGCATTTGCATTCGATAATTTTTCGTTTCCTGCTTAGCGAGGATTTCGTTTTTAATGCACAAACTATCCTGATGCCTGATAAGAAATGTCATTGCGCCTTTATCCATTGTTCATTTATTATTTACGACATATTTATCGAATTTCAAAACAATTTTCGGTTATCTTGAAATGTTCATAACTACATAACTACATTTTCTGGGTGCAAAGAATGCCTTTGCATCGTTTTCACAATACGAAGATGAAATACCTTTATATCTTACCGTCGATTTTCTTCACTTCTTTTAAATCTTTCAGGCAACTGTCACGAAGTATTTCTTCTCGCAAGTTAACGATAATTTCACCTTCGTCGTACATAAGCAGTACTTACAGTAATTATCTTGGCATATAAGTGCATATTAAAAACCCGAAACAAGGAAGAATAAAGCACAAATTAAAATAACCGGAATTTTGCATGACCAATCACCGTAAACAACATTTTTAAAGCGGCGGCAAAACCATGAATGTATTGTTTCTGAATTCATGAATCTTTTTTAAAAAAAGATGAACACAAACTTCTTAATGTTGATCATATGTTCAAAGTGACGTCTTTGAAAACTTGCATAAAATTTTCAGTCGACAAAAGTTTGTGTAAAATGGCCATTGGGTTCTTAGGTCGGATCTCGGTATTTCATTGTTAGAAATAATGTGTTATCTCAGTAGAGTTTTTGTGTTGTTGCAAATTAATATTAAAAAAAAAGATTTTACTTTATTGTTTGACAGGAACTTCCTAAACGAGATGAAGGCGAAATATTTCTGTAAAATTTCAGTTGTTGTAAAGTGTGCCATGTTGCCAAACGAGCGACACTTTACAGCTCTCTAAGTTATCCAGCCGAAGTCAGTTGGTTTTTCTTGTACAGTCAATTTATATACAATTGCGGATTATCCAGTAGGCTAAGTAATCTCCAGCCTACAGGACCAGACTTTCATGCCGTAGTATCTAGACATTAGGGAGTTTTAGCAGAGCCTACGAGTACGACTACAAGTACGATTTACGTCATTTTTTGGCGCGAAAACATTGTTGCGACAACAAAAACACGTAGCCGTCATCAATCTGAGTGCGATGTTTTGTAAAAAATTCGTAGTCGCGACTACGATGTCTTTTTAAGCAAAGAAAGTAGGTATATTTCTTCATTCTGTAAGAAATTAGTTTACAGTACTATTTTCGAGCATCCAGGCTTTAATTTAGAACCATTGAGTTCTATAATAACTGGAGCGGCTAACTTTACTGGGGCGAAGTCGCCAAAAAAATGGCGGCCAACGGACGTATTTCCGCTGAAATGATCGCTTTGAAGAAAAATAATATTCTCGACCTCCCCCTGGTGTCTATATTAAATTATAAAGAATTTTTCAAAAACAAACACGATATCACGGAATATGGATATCGTTAGTTCCATATTCTGTGATCTTTTTTAGCATTTCTTTTATATTGCCAACACTTCAATCGTTCAATTGTTGGATGTCATAGTTTCCACAAAAAGGAACATATCGCTTCTCACAGGTGAGGTAGTTGTTTGTTTTGTTAGTCCGTCAACGATTGAAAAGCAATTATACATGCACTTGAAAAGCCATAAAATACATATTAAAGATCGTATTTTTTAAGACTGACTTGAACGCCAAATATACTGATGTTTTCCTGTTTTTGTCTATAAAATTCTGCATACTTTTCTGTCATTTGTTAATGCATGAAATCGTAAATTTACCTATCTATTTGCAAAATAGTTTCCCTAAAGCAAAAAAAGACCCTGCACACATTTTGCTCTGTGAAAAGTATCAAAAAGAAATGATCAGCCCCAACAGTACCCACGACTTGGAGCAGAGCTTGTTATGTTCTATTTGCTGACAACATGCAGGGAAGATCAAGGAGTAAAGATGACTGGAAGATGTTATTGACCAGGCAGAGTCTTAAAAAAATGGTAATGCTGTAAAAATAATTGATTTATTGTCTGCCTTATCCAGAGTTATTTAATTTGATCATGGTCAAATTCTATGGATGGAGACAATGGATTCACTAATGATGCCTTGAATGCTTTGAAGTTAAAGTTCATGATCCAAAGAAAGATGGCAAGAAGGTTGTGTGTGTTTTGATGCTTAATTAAATTTCAATTCACAACATATAAAATGGAAAGGCCATAAAGTTTGTGTCTATGTAAGCATTTGTACTGAGATTGATGATTGATCTAATGCACTATCCTGAAGCATTAAAGATTCAGTGATGAAACCTTTAAAATTACTGTACTGTATATTTCTTATATATTTCTTATATTTCTTTAAGAAACAGTTTGAGCTTATTTACCTATTAGAGTACAGAATGGAGATTTATCATATGCATCATTGTTGCTTTTTTAAATAAATGTTTTTCACTTTTCAAAGCCTTTTTACAAATATTTTGCTTCTTATTTCTTTTCATGAGATTGATGATATAGAGGTAATATAATCCAATAACTTTATAATTTCTAAAAAGCTTTTAAGCTTCTAGCATAAAAGTACACTATAGGTATTTAATTCATTTGGTTTTATTGCCTTGCTATGACATATCCATATGCATTTCATCATTCATGAATGAAGAAAACACCAAATGTGGATACTCAGAGAACAAAATGCACTACCAACTGCTTATGAAATTTATTATTGAGGTGAAAACTGTGTTAATCATTCAAATTGTGCACTTATATTGCAAATATAAGAAAAACAAAGTGAAAAAGAAGGGTAGAAGTATTAAAACTAAAAATGAATTATAAACACCATTGGAAGCATATGTGTTTTGATAATTATTTGCATTTTGCCCAATTTATATATCAATACAACAAAATCAAAATGTGCTACAACTTTACAAGTATTTGATGCAGTTGCACTTCAGAACATCACAAAAAGGTTACTTAAAGTAATTTCTATACAATATTGTTTGTTTTCATTTACCAAACCTATGCAGACTTGAGTCTTTTTGAAATTTAATATGAAACTCGACTACAGAAAATCCGTAAATATCCAGAGATTTAATATTTACTTTTTTAAAGAAACAAGTAAAAATCCTACAATTGTGGCGAAAAAAGCCATTGCCTTTCCACGAAAAGAAGCAAAATAGCAATGATAACAAATAAGCTAAATTCTCTCCCGTGAACCACTGTGGAGATGAACTATGATATACTTTTTTATATAGACTAAAGAGTTTAATCGATCAAACAAGTTTGACGCTGGTAAGAAAACGACGCATATCTGCATTCATAGATGTGTAGCCGACATATAGCTCTTTCGTCGATAGTTATAAATACATCCTCGTAGGAGCCAATAACTGGAAAGCTAGGTTGACTCGCTGTTACGAATTGTAGGTTTTTATCGTGATTTTCATCAAAAAATTGCTTGCCGAATCCCAAATACACACATACATTTTCTTCACTCTTTCCTCCGGAGGGAGTGGGAAATTGTGAAATTTTTGGAAAAGCGGTCAATTTCGGTAAATCTCAGCGGCAGCGGACGAAATCCGCCATTTTTTTGGCGTCATCAGATATCTAAGGCCGCGCTTGAGATAGCCGCTCCAGTTATTATAGAACTCAATGTTTAGAACCCTTTTTGAGCGAAGATGTACATTACAAAGGAAAATATGACCTGCAAAACTTTCATGTATTTCGTACGCAAAGTGAAAGGTAAACAAACGATAAAATAGTACAAATATATCGTACATAAAACTTAAAATAGTGAAGATTTTTCAGTCTAAAGAGTCCTATATTCTTGCAACACCAGTATTATCGATTCTTTGATATCATTGTTGACAAATAGAGCCGTAGCTGCTTCGAAAACGTCGGTGTTTTACACAATAAAAAGGCTCGTTCTGTTGTTTACAACTAAAGCAAAATTTTGACGAAGCGACAACGACAACAAACTTCCTCGTGCCATTCCCTTACACGGTCAAACTTCGTACTCGTTGTCGTAGTCGTACTCTTGCTAAAACTCCCTAATATTAGTGTAAATATGGGCTTTTATTTCTTTTGATTCGTGGTAGTTGACAATGTGACAATGACTATCATTGATCTTGCTTGACCTCCTTCATCATTCGGCTCTATATCTATAGTTTGTATGATGAGATTACATTGTAACCAAGGTCAACATCAGAGGAAGCATTTGCGGCCTGGGACCGAGTAAGATGAAGTATATAAATGACTAAGTTTGAGGAAGCTGGTCATTGTCCAAAAAGCTGGTCATAAATTAGTTTTTTTCGGTATTTTCATCGAAATGATCTGATACAAGTGTGTGGTTGTTGGTCTATCACCACAAAATGACCGGCCATATTATAAAATTGTAGAATGAATTGTATTACAAGGATTGCGGAACCTGTTCAAAAGTGCGTGTGTGGGGAGGGGGGGAGGGGGAGAATAGCGTAGGAAAATAATCGAATAGTAGAACCGAACCACGAACGCTGAACTTTTCTCATTTCTCAAAAACAACTTGTCGATAAACAATTTGTCCACAGCAATGACAAACATTTTTCGCAGTAACGGCAGAAGTTATTCACAGTATTTCGCAGCAATCAATCAAGAAATATGAAGGAATGTATTTACATAAATTGATTCTATAGGAAAAGCAACTTGATTTCAAGGGCCGCCTGTGGTTTGAATAAATATACGTTGTCATACAAGGCGTGATTGAGCAAGCATGAATATTGCTTCAAAATCTTGAGATTTCAAAATTGATTCTGTTTGAAGTATGTTTTATTTTGTGTTGCTTCAAATTTTCAGTTGGTAAAGATTTTGCGGTTAGACTGCAGTTTAACGGACAAACCAACGGCGCATATCTTCTTCTAAAAAGTAATTGTTCAAGGCACAAAAGTCTCGCTCGTCAACAACCGCATAACTAAATCCTTTAGGTTAAAAATCGTTTCTCTCAACGGAGGCTTGGTCTCCCACGGGCCGCATAAAATACGTAAAATTATTTCAATACATTTTTCGCCCACGTCAATAATACACAACGAGAACGACGCCAAATTGACAAGTTGAAACAAGTTCCTGTTAAATCTTAAATATTGATTTAGTATCCATAGAAACACTGCATTTTTTGAGTATTTTCTTTTTTATCCGAGGCCATGTTGCTTTCGCTTTCCAACGCCGGGCTCACAGATTTTGTATTAAAGTAAAATCTTTTCGATAAACTTTGCACAAGCTGGCAACTTTACAAGTTTAACTCTCGCGTTTGATGATTGAAAATGTGTAGATGCAGTGTTGGTTAGAGTAACAGGAATAGTTTACATATGCTTCAAAACATTTTATTGATTATATGATATTACAAACGATAAAAGCCATACAAAGTCTCAAGATACAAATGCTATATAGAGAAGTTGTTACA